ACTCATCGGTTTGGATAATAAACTAAGATTTAATAGCATCAAGGTAACCAGGGAGTTTGCTATGGCTCTGCTTCTTTATCGACTCTCATTTACACGTCGCTTATCAGATATGGTTGACATTTTTGGTATGGCTGAAGATAACATTGGAAGAACTGTCAATGGACTGTCAGATATTTTACTTCAGAAGTTCAGGTATGGCCTCGAGTTTGACGAGAGACAGTTTTCCAAATCCAATTGCGAAAAGTTTTCAAGAGCTATTCTAGAGAAAGGGGCATATTATCCAAACATTGTTGGTTTTATCGATGGAACCATGCAACAAACATGCCGTCCAAAAATCAACGCAGACCAAAAAGCATTATTTAATGGTTGGAAGCATCAACACTGTATCAAGTTCCAAGCAATCTCTACCCCTGACGGAATTACCAGCAGTTTATCCGGTCCTTACGTAGGTCGACGAAATGACAGAGGTATGTTGAACGAAAGTCAGATTGTGGGTGTTTTGGATAGTAAAAATTCAAACAAAAGGAAATAAAACAAAAGTAGGAATACTTTGAGACTGTTGGTATGCTTTATTTCAGTTAAAAGAGAATTAGAGATTATCTAGTTTATGAGTCGAGGATATATATATAAGATGTCTGAATTTAAAATATAAAATTATTGCATAATGGAATTGTACTAAATTAGTGCAGTGTCTTCTTACACTATTTTAGTCAAAGAAGTACATAGACTAAAGAGGTGTGTTTGGGATGGAGATAAAATGTAAATTAAGGTAACAAAAGAAAATACTGTTAGAACTGTGTATATCTTTTATTTCGAGAAAATTTATATTAGGGAATTCTACTAGCAAAAACTACAGGTATTTATACTAAATGATTAGATGGCTTTCGGATAATATATGTGACGCGTTAGAGGAATATGATGTAATGTTATACATAATGTCTGTTTAAATAAATATGTTATGAAGTAATTCCTGCCTTACAAAGTAAAGACAAAAGTACGTGAGGATCTAAATTCATCTCCGCAGGTGACATTACGTAAATGCCAAAGAGAAAGTTTAGCGCGTGTAATATTCAGTAACCGAATATTCCGCCTGTGGGATTGTACTATACTTTTATGGTATTATAATATTTTACTCGTCACAAGGCAAACCACCTTGTGCACAGACACCAACGGTTCTGATGATAACAGATGGGGCGAAGTGTGAGCCATGAATATTTATACATGATCATCCATTATTATGTAAATGTGATGATTCTTTTATTATAATCTATGACATCCTCAACAAGGTGTATTTGCTTTATAAAGTATTGATGCTGGGATATTAATATTTTAGTGTTAGATGTATGATGTAAGTGTATCTGATGTTATTTTTATTATGGTTTTTATCAAGAAGTAAGTCAGATCATCACATTATCCCCACCCAGGTATTGACTAATACCGGCAAAATTTACTTATCAGATCGTTTGCTCCTTTTGTTGAAAAAGTTGTTACAATCTTCACTTATTCCTGCCGATCTTTTTCTTGTTACTGGTTCATGATTGGGAGTGATTCTTTGATCTTTTACGGCTTTCAATGTTTTTTTGTTTGCTTTGTTAATTGCTTTAATACTTTCAGGGATTTCACCTATTCTTCTCCAATATTCAGTGATAAATTTTGGATCAGTGAAGTTATCGGCAGGTTCCCATGTATCATGCGAATCATCATAATTTAACCATCTGCATCTATACAAGTATTGATTTTCTGGATCTTTCTTGTGACCAATAATAGCTTCCACTTCATAGAAAATGTCATCTTCAGGCATAATATCAGCTAATGTTACTTTTAATAAGGATGGAGGATAATTTCTGGGTTCTATAAAACCTTTTTCATTTTTCAGTACATATGTTCCAGCAGCTGTTTTTCTGACTATTTTATAAAATCCTTTATAATGTGGATCAAGTTTATTTTGTTTGTCAGTTATTAAAATCATTACTGTTGATCCTGCTGGTATGTCGATCATTTTGTGGCTTTTATCAAATATGGCTTTTTGTTTATCAGTGACGCGTTTGACTTGTTCGTATACAGCAGGATAGACCACTTCAGTCATAAATTTTATTTTATTTTGTAATTCCTTATTTATTTTATCTGAAGTTGGCTTGTCCTTTTCTTTGCTAAAATCTTCAAAGTCATTAGGATTTCTACCGAACATTAAGGAAAACGGTGTGCTTTTCGTACGAATATTATATTTACTATTAAGGAATAACTGGGTAGGTGCCACCTTCATGTCCCATTCCGCGACGTTACCATTTATTTGTTTCTTTATAGTTTTAACGGCAGATTGTACAGCTCTTTCACTTGCACCATTTCCCCTAGGGTAATATTGTGAAATTAATGCGTGGTTGAATCCCAAGTTTTCTTTTATGCTGTTTACAAGGCTATTGATGAACTCAGATCCATGGCCGCTTTGAAGCTTACGCATAGGTCCGAAGGTGCAAATGACGTCAAGGATTTCAGTGGCCACACTTATAGCAGATTTATCAGGTATAGCTCTTAAAATGTAGAACTTGGAAGCTATATCGATCATGACTAATAAATAATGGTTTCCCCTTATAGATGTTGTAAATGGTCCTGCTAGATCAATACCCCAACTGCCACCAGGAAGAGTAGCTAAGACAGGCCTTAATGGGTTATATCCTTTTTGTATGATGTTGTGGCGTTGACAAGGAACACATGCTTGTATTAATTCATTTGCATCTTTTTTTAAGTTTAGCCAGTAGATACCGTTTCTTTTTAATGCTTGTAATATCGCTTCGACACCAAAGTGTCCTTTACTATGTTCATGTGACAATAGTTTCATACGTTCTTCTTGTGTTGGAGGTGTAAAGTATTCACCACTTTCAACTTTTGGCAGTTCTTCTTGTACTTTGCGTGCAACTCTGCTTCTCATGATGGATTTATCCCCACCTAGTTCGTTTGACGTTTCATGATCGGTTTCAAAGAGACGAGATAAGGCATCCGGAAGGATATTGGCAATACTGATAAATCGGTGATAATTTAGGAAAAATGACAAGTAAGATTAACCAGATTGCAAAAATTAACTGAACTTTTATTAACATAAAATTTAGGGGTCCTTTATATACACATTGAATTCGACCTCCTTCTTAAACAGGGCTAGATGACAGGCAAGATTATGACTGACACGCCATATCTTGAAAGTAAGTAATCCAATAAGAATCATATACTAGAAGAAAGGGTGGTACACGTTTCTGTAATAGGTCTGTAGTGTCACTTGACGCGTACATTTAAAAGTCATCAAAGTACATTCAAAAATTTATCGTCTTTGTACTTTTAAACCTCGCTTGTCATTGGCCTCCGCTAATCTGATTAGTACAATATATTAATAATGTCTTTTTAGAATAATTGTATAATAAATGTATACTTTTGTACTTGTATTTAGCTTGATGAATATCGTGCTAGTTTGTTAAGTCAATTGTGAATATTTAATATGCAACATTAAAAGAAGTATTTATAAAATTATCGTAATGGATAAAATATGCTGTGTAGATCAATTATACATGAATATATAAAGCTCGATCACAACTAGTGTTCGGAATGAAGATCGAAACTCTCGAGCGAGCTTCGATCGTGTTCCAGTCGAAGCTCGCTCGGATGCGTTTTTTTGCAGCTCGAGCTCGCTCGAAGTTTCTTAAGCTCGGCTCGGTTGCGAATACGATAGCTCGAACTCGCTCGCCTTTTTTATTACACAAAGTGCACGTCAAAGTGATGTTAATTACAGAAAATTATGATAATAAAATTGTTATTTATTGAAATAGAAGTTGGAAAAAGAAAAAGTTTTTTTTTTCACCAGCCTTAACACCAAATTCGAATAATTAAATCAAACTGTTACTGCATCTATAATTATAATACATTTGGATTTGTGAACATGAAAGTTTACATTAATTCTGCTACGTCATGTTACTATGGTTGCTGTAAAAAATTGGCTTAGTTGGGTATAGTGTGCAACACTGTTTCATTTTCTATGGTAAATGTGTTTGCTGGTTGTACAATTAAATAAAAGTCCAAAGCATTTTAATTGGAATTATTAGAGCATAAATAAAAAAAAATGGTAAAGGGAAGAAAAGATTAAAATCAAGGGGAAATGCCATCTGTAGTCTTTCAAGGACCTTAACTTTAAAGTGACTACTATCGACATTTTAGCCGAGCGAGCTTCGAGCGAGCATCGATCGATGCTCGCTCGAACCCAAAAAAAGTGGCGCAAGCTCGAGTACAAAAACTCGGTTCGAGCTTCGTTCGAACTGGCGCAAGATCGGTGCAAGCTCGAAAAGTTCGAACACTAATCACAACAGTTTGCAGCAATTCGAAGACACGAACATGATTATTAAATTATTGAGTGAATTTATATTCATTGATTTTTTACAATTTTATATTATTTATACCCTCAAATACCGCAAAGACAAAACGCATATATTTCACAAATGTTCAAAGCTAGCGATAATTGTGTCGGGCACGAGTTCAGTAATAAGAATGGAGAAATATCGGTACCTTCAGTCGATAAGTTGTATCCAAAAGAATTGGGGACTAGAGTTGATATGCTTCTCACAATAAACAATTTGGAGTTTCTTTGTGAAGAAGTACACCTCATAAGCAGATAGGCCATCCATCGACCATGATGGTATTTTTCAATAAAAAGTAAACTGAAAATCAATGAAAGCTACACATTTAAGTAAGATGAATTTTTGATGAAAAAGTAAAAAAAATGGAAAAAGCAGAAATACATATGCATATAGTGTCTTACGTATTTCACGCTGGTTAAGCGCTCGAATAAAAATGTAGTTAGTCATCGTTGGTTTTAATGCATGTTGTGCGAGTTATCGTCGTCGCACACAGTGTTAAAAAACACAAGTTAGTTAAGAGAGTAAGATTTGACATACATATCTTTATAGAAGCCTTCTTTGATACATATGTGATTAAGGATGAGCTCCAAATCTTGAGAAGCTTCAGTGCTAAATACAAAAGACTTGTACGTATAGATTGTCTATATATATGCACGCACATATGTAGATATGAGCACTAACATATTACATAGAAATTTGGATGAATGACCCATATTTTTACTATGATGCGAGAGAGGCTTTTCCCACTCAAACGTGAGTATAAAATCTCACAAGGTGATGAAAGTATACAAATAATAAAGTGTGCCTTTGCCACTCTAGATAAACTTTAATGAAATTATGAACTTAAGATTCTTTTTCATCTGGACTAACAATATGAGCAAGCTTTGACTTTATTATGTAAAAATTCATATAAGGGTCAACATCATGAATAGACTGTGATAGGAGTATGAGTGATTTTTCTGCATTATTACATTATTCAGGATGATGTATCGTTCTCCTTTTTTTGTTTTTTGTGAGGGGAACCATGGGGACTTGGTTCATCGACAACCTCCTCTAAAACGTCTTGTGTAAGATCAATATTATCCAGGAACTTGTCAAGAATATGTTGTGTGTTTTCAATTAAATATAAAATTCCATACATATTTTTGACGAAAGATGGCATTTGTTGCGGGTTTATAGATGATGGGCCGAGACTAGAAAAACTGTAATCATTCACGAAGACATAGCTGTGGTCGCAAGGTTTGCAAATACTGTAAACGAAGACTCGTCCATTGTAAAATTGTAATCCGTATAGCTTTAATTTTCTGATAAACGTTTTTGATGGCACCTCCATATGTGAAACAATATTTTTAAACATGGCCTTCAGACTCTTGCAAATTTTGTTTCTATCTTCCAGAAAGTGCGTGTTGCCTTTACAGACGTTTTTGGACTTTGATGGGAAAACTTGAATTTGGTTTTCCAAAAACGTCATATAACTGGTTTTTTTTTTTTGGGTATTTAGTGCAAAGTCGATGATGTCAAAATACGGAAATGTCTAGACCTCCGTATTTTTTTCAAATGTATTTTTTTTATGACTACCACTTACAGCAAGTCTGGCCAAGACCAGAAGGCCAGTATAAATAACACTTTTTACAGTGTACTCACAGCCATTCACAGCCCCAGAGTTTCTAAAAACTCAAGAACCCTGCTATAGGACAGGTCACCCCTCCTATAGCAAAGACTAGCCGCAGCCACAACACCGCAATAATATCTTTTTTTATTTTAGTGTCTTTTTAAAGAAACAAGAGTCATTACTAACTAACCTTTTTACATTATTGGTTACTTTCAGAAGATAGAAGAAATATGTTAAGGGAAAAGAAAAGGAGAAGAATAAAGTGTGTGAACCAGCTTTATTTATAGGCTGATAAACAAGCTTATGTCAGGATGGTTTGATTAATTGTTTCATCATTTATAATGTTTGGACCTTTACTTAAAATAGAAACATTAGCAAAGCCCTCATTTTTATAATTCTCCATCCATACCCCCAGTGAAATTTCATCACCATCATCACCTTCATTATCTAGGGATGGCTTATGACAATTACCTTTTGATACCAGAATTCGATGTCCAGTATTCCTTCCCAAAAAGAAGTAATAATAGGGGGTTTCATTAATTATTTCTCATTCTCATGATTTTTTCTCATAAATTTAATCAGCCAATAACATTGCTTCAATTTTTGAGAAATATAATGAAACCCCCTAATATCTAAATCATGAGAATAGGCTGGGATGTACAAATAGTGATTTTTTGCTGCAGTAGCAGTCAGAAACTTTCTGATCTCACGGTCAAGACAATTAAATCCCGTTACCACGCTGCTTTGATCCATTGTTTTTGTTCAAAAAAAAAAAAAAAAAAAAAAAAAAAATCCAGCAAAGACGATTTCCGTAGTTATGTTACACTGATAGCGAGTCAAAGTACGTCGGGAATCGACAAAAGCCAAGACGATGTCTAGCTGATAGTTGGTATCAATATTCTAAAAACTTTTATATCAAGTCCTCCGTATTTGAGTTTTGACTTGGTAACCTGGTGGGGAGAAATGTTACTACAGCGTGTTTTGTGGGAAAGGGTCTTAACGCGCCATATCAGGTTCTCAAACAAGTTTTTTTTAGAGTGTAGTCACAGGGCCTTTCGTCCCAAAAGTAGAGGCAATTTAAAGGCAAAAAAAAAAAAAAAAAAAGGATTCCCAGACCACAGCTTTTTTTTTTATATATACACTTTTCAATACCTTTTTCTAACCATGTCATCCACAAAGTTAACGAGAAGTTGTACCAAAGACAAAAATAAAAAAAGTATATATACAAATATAATAATAAACAACCCCCCCCCCTTATATTCCTTGTTGAACTAATCTCTTTAGACCACCAGCTACTGGCATTGAAGAGACTTTACAACAAGTCTTTCCCTTAAAGATTGTAAAAAACGACGTCACCTTGGACCAAGATCCAGAAAACGATGTAAGAGGATTGAACAGTCGAGAAATCACCTTTGTGGGTGAGTATCGAAATGTAGAAGTATCTTGTGTATGTGTTATAGTCTATGGCGACAGCAAATACCACCTGAAACAATACCATCATGGCTTTACCATGTCACAAGAGTTAATGGCATGTCGAAATATGGCTAATTACTTTGGCATGTTTAAAGAACAAGTCGCTTTCTTGGTAGAATATATAAACGATCCACCTTCCGAACCCGCACTATTCATTCTTAAGCCTTATTTCCCCAATGGCACCGTAGCACATTATATGAAAACCCTGAGGAAAACAGGTAAACAAGCTTTATACAGGAAAAAATTGTCCCGCATTGTTTTTGTAAACGCCTTTTTTTTTTATTTTTTTTAAAAAAAATCCCATGAAGACAAATACCTTGCCCCATTACATCTTCTGCAGATGGCCATTGGTTTATTCTCAATATTATCGGATGCACATACACAAGAAGTTGGATTGGTAGATATCACAGTACATAGTTTATACGTTAGTTTGGATCGAGGAATTTATTTCGATGGATTTCAATCATGCATACGATTGAACAACAAGAGCACTCATCATCCCCGCTCATGGATGGATTTAAAATCACTCAAATGTCCAGGTAACCAAACTCCCCTTCCTCCCCCTGAAATTTTTCATACGTATGGAATTGATAAATTTAACCTTCACAAACATACATAGAGTCACAATCCTTGACATATGATAGATATACCAAAAGTACAGATGTATTTCTTGCAGCATCCGTCTTATTAGAACTTGTTCGAAAATATGATTGTAAATGCAAACGACTTTATGAACGAGATCGATCCACGAAAACTATCAAGGTCATTACGAAATATGTAGATGAAAGGCATAAGGGATTGATCCCCATGATTGAAAAGTGTTTGAGTGTTCAACCTCAAGATCGACCCAAGGCAGAAGAGGTTCTTTATTGGCTAGAATCACTAAGATATCTTGCATTAAAGAACGCTTAAAAATTGACAATAGAAAAAAAAAATGTGTGACTTGTTTTCATAGTGTGTGTGTGTGAGGGGGGAGGGGTAACCCTACGGCTTTTTTGTTTCTTTTTTTTTCTTGTGTCAAAAAAAAAAAAATCTTATAATGATACCTTGTAGACTTCATTCACGATTCTTATTAAAAAGAGGTAAAAAACAACACTATAACTAATTAAACCAAAAAAAAAAAAAGAAACTTACAAAAGTAGAATAGCTTTTAACTTACACAAACAAGCGCCTGTCTTTGCCAAACACTATTATAGCACACCTAGTCATGACAGTACCGATTTAAACCATGACAACACCGAATCGTCGAGTTCCAACAATACCGAATCGTTGAGTCCTGACAACACCGCTTCTGCTCCATCGACCAATGACAGCAGTCAAAAGATGAATTTCTGGGAAATCCCCGAGAGGGAAGAACCCGAGACGCACAATAAAGGTGTCAAGGCTCGTGTATCACGTACGGTAGCGGATACGCGTGATTTCAAGGAATTACTTGATACTTTATTTGACCGTAAACCTGCACAAACACCTCCCATGCGTAAAAAGCCACAAGGTCATGACACGGATTCTGTGATTGAACAAAAATTATTGGATTTGGTCATTCGTAACCGTCAATTGTATAAAGAGAAGGCACCTTTACCTCGTAGTATGATGGCTCCCATCTATGGTAAAACCGCTGATAAACAACGAAAACAAAAGAGAGAGGAAGAAAGTGACGATGAGGATGAAGACGTGTTGGACTTTTTGAACCCTGATACAAAAAAGACAACGAATTGGGATTTAAAGAACATTGCACAGAATAAACGTATTGCGACCAAGGAACAAGAATTAAAAGCAATTCATTCGATTGTGGATACAGAGACTTCATTGGATTTACTTGTGAATGTGATGAAACAAATTAATCAGGAAACGTATCCTAGGTATTATCATCGTGTGTTGACAAAGGCCATTGAACATGCTTCTAGAAAGGATCCTTATTTGGCCTTGACCATTTTTGAAATTGCTAAGGGTAAAAGTATGGAGAGTTATATTTTGGGTTGCAATACCAAGGTCTATGATGCCATGCTATTATTACGTTGGGAAACTTGGAGAGATGTACACGGTATGTTGAATTTGATTGAGGAAATGACCGTGAATGGTATAGAGTACAGCAATGATTCAAGACGTATCGTACGTTCCGTTGTGCAAGAAATAGAGGCTAATGAGGAGAGTCAGGAAGTCACAAAAGATATTTATTGGGATGCTGATGAAAAGAGAGCTTGTAACGTCATGAAGGAAATGGTCGGTAAATGGATTCTTAACAAGTAATCCTACCCACCTTCTATACTTTTGGCCTTACATACCTCCCACTTTTTTTTTTTTTTAGTTTAAGCGTGTACATTTAAATAAATCAAGTACTCTTTAAAGAGTGTCTGCCTATCTATCATGATATTTTAACTTTTGTTTTCCATAAGAAAAATATGTCAAAAATAGCCGTCACGCGACACATCCAATGGACATGTCTGTCAGTAGAGCGTCAGTCAAAATTGACACTTTTTTTTTTTACAAGCGGGGAGGGGAAAAGGGTAAAAAAAAAGATTGTTGTCCCTTTTTTTCTCTCTCCTCTTTTCTTCTTTCCACACAAACCACAAAAATTGAACAACAAATGAAAAGAACAGTAAGCACTCGTTCTTCTGAAAGACTGTCAAAGAAAGCCAAGTTGGTTAATGACAGAATTGAAGAAACACCTGTCATTGTTCAAAGTGAAGACATGGACGATTTCCAAGACCCCATTCCACTTGTTCGTCGTCGTTCACAACTTACCAGAGCATCAAGCACCGTGGTTAAACAAGTATCTGTTGTTGTTGCTCATGTCGAATCGAGTCATTCCGCAGTAACTTTATCTACCACGCAGGAGGAGGAGGAAGAGGAGCTTGGAACGGAGGTTGAAGACACTCTTTCATCAACCCAAGTCCAATCACTGACTACGTGGGATGAAGAAGTAGATGAATTAACAGAAGAATCAGATAATGAAGCAGAAATTGCCCTTACTTTGGATGAACCAATTGATGATTTAGTGGTACCCGATATAGAGACTACGTCTTCCAATGAGGAGGATGAGACATTAGCGGAGGATGAGGCACCAGCGGAGGCAGCGGCGGTGGACGAAATTCATGTAGAGAGACCTCGCGGGAGGCGCGCACCCAGATTATCAGCTGTAAAGTATTTCGTGTTTTTTATTTTTTTATTCATACGTGTTGATTAACGTGTCCGTATTTACGTAGTACAAGCGCACTCAAGCCAAAATTATAGAGCAACGACCTGAATTAGCTCATGTTTGGTCTGACATTGAGAATATTGAGCCTCCTGTCGTGGTTCCTATTGAACAACCTGAACAATTACAATTAACTCTTTTACCTTTTCAAAAGTACGGTGTTGGATGGATGATTCAACAAGAAAAAATGGAGGCAGTGAGTAGTTTTTTTATAGGAGTGAATATTTTATTTTATATTGACGCTCTATCGTTTTTTCTTTTTTAGTTTAAAGGTGGTATTTTAGCTGTAAGTATTTCCATACATATGAAAATAAAATGGCCTTGGATAGACTGACCTATGTTTATGCGTTTTAGGATGAAATGGGTATGGGTAAAACCATTCAAACCATTGCCTTACTCCTCAGCGATAAAAAGAAACCAAACCTTGTTATTGCTCCCACTGTAAGTTTCTTTATACATATATAAAATAAGAGAGAGAGAGTGACTAAACATACATGTATACATATATAAAAAGGTGGCTATCATCCAATGGAAAAATGAAATTGAAAAACATACGAATAATGCCTTGAAAGTTTATCTTCATCACGGTGCCAAGAAAGCTACATCCTCTGCCTATTTAAAGAAATTCGATGTTGTTTTAACCACCTGTAAGTTCCCCCCCCCCTTTTTTTTTAAAAAAAAAAATACATAGATATGAAACAGCTAATCCATGCATAAAAAAAAAGATTCGTTGCTGGAAGCTGCTTTTAGACGTCAAGAACAAGGATTAAAGAGAAAAGATGAATACGGAAATCCAATTATTGTGAGAGAGAAATCTACAGTTCATAAGGTTCAATGGCATCGCATTATTCTTGATGAAGCTCATAATATCAAGGACAGATCAAACAATACTGCAAGATCAGTGGTAAAAGAAAATAACCTTTTAAAAAAAAGTTGTCTGGAAGGCTAACTACTTATAACTCTTATAAGTTTAATTTAAAAGGTGAATTTAAATGGTCTTTGACGGGTACTCCTTTACAAAATCGCGTTGGAGAATTATACTCATTGATTCGTTTCATGCAAGCTGGTACGTTAAAATATTCATCCTTAAATTGGGAATACATTCATCTAAAACACTGTGTTCCATAGATCCATTTGCCTATTATTATTGTAAAAATTGTCCCTGTAAACAATTAACCTGGAAATTCTCTGATAAAAAAGGCTGTGATGATTGTGGTCATACACCCATGAGGTAAAAAAAAAATCATTGAGGGAAAATTTATGTCTCTGTACTGACGGTTTACTGCCTTTTAAATATATGTATAGTCATGTCTGCTGGTGGAATAACGAAGTATTGAAACCTATTCAGATCCATGGTTATGTCGGTGACGGTCGTCTTGCTTTAAGGAAACTTCGCATGTTATTAGACAGAATCATGTTGAGAAGAACCAAAGTGGAATGCGCAGATGATCTTGGTTTACCTCCTCGTGTGGTGGTTGTACGTCGTGATAACTTTACCGAGGAGGAACAAGATGTTTATACCTCCCTTTATTCAGATGTTGCACGTACCTTTACCACCTATGTTGAAGAAGGTACCGTCTTGAACAATTATGCAAATATCTTTGAATTGTTAATGAAGATGAGACAATGCGGTAAGTTCCATCTCACCACTGTATATATCATTTTGTATCCTAAAATAACATGCATTATTTAGCGGATCATCCTGATCTTGTGACAAAAAGAAAAAGTGGCAACAAACAATTATTGTGTTATCTTTGTAATGATCTCGCAGAGGTTTGTCTTAAGTCACCTTACTTTCCCATGCACCCGTTGGTTAACAGTTTCTTTTTAGGATCCCATTACTGCTGCTTGTAAACATGTATTCTGTAGAGAGGTAATACTTTTCTATATTTAAGAAAAAGAGAGAAATATATATAAACTATTGACACATACAATAATGTACTAGTGCTGTCTTCAATACTATGAAAGCTTTGATGATTCAGTGGGTAATAAACCTCGATGTCCTAGCTGCTACGCTGAATTCAATGTGGATGTAGCGCAAGCCTCAATGGAAGGAGTAGAAAATGCCGAATCCAATGCCAATTATTCCAAGACCAGTATTATTAATCGTATTGATATGGATCATTGGCGTAGTTCTACCAAGATTGAAGCACTTGTGGAGGAACTCACTAAATTACGTCGTGAAGATAAAACCATCAAAAGGTAATATTTTGAATAGGGTAAGGACTTATATGGGAGGAGGAAGAAACTGACGGTCTCTCACTTAGTATTGTGTTTTCACAATTTGTGAATTTTCTGGATTTGGTGTATTGGAGATTATCGCGTGCAGGATTTGAATGTATTCGATTGGATGGTACCATGTCTCCTAGTCAAAGAGACGCTGCTATTCAACAGTAACGTATTCCCCCTTGTTTCCCTTCTATTTTTACATTATTGACTTGTATCCTTTTTTTTTTCTTTTAGCTTTATGACAAAGCCAACAGTGACTGTATTCCTCATTAGTTTAAAAGCAGGTGGTGTCGCATTAAATCTTACAGAAGCCAGTCGTGTATTTATCTGGTAAGCACAGAGTGAAAATGATCCCTTTTCACATCTAACTCATTTTTTTTTTTAAAACGATAGTGATCCATGGTGGAATCCCGTAAGTTTTTGTTAGACCTTTTTTTAATTGGAAGATTTTCTAAAATAATTTTCTATTTCCTTTTATGACACTAGGCTGCTGAATGTAAGTTTTTTTTTTAAAAAAAAAAGTAGAGTTCAACGTTATACATGGGAACTAACACACCTCTTTTTTAAATAATAATCAATAGTACAAGTAAGAAGAAGTCGATAGATTGTTTAAAAAACAGGCGGAAGGTGTAAAAATAAAAATAAAACTAACTCCTTTTTGTAATAGGCAATGGATCGTATTCATCGACTTGGTCAACACCGACCTGTCCGAATCACACGTCTTATTATTGAAAATAGTATCGAAAGTAGAATTGTTCAACTTCAAGAAAAGAAGACAGCCTTAATGAACAGCACAGTTGGTAAAAAACAAAAACAAAAAAAGAGTAGGTGAGAACATGGATTGACATCTTTCTTTGGATATGTTTTAGGTAAAATGGAAAATGCTTTGGATAAATTAACAATTGAGGATTTACGCTTCTTATTCGTGATGTAAAAAAAAAAAAAAAATACTCATGCATACGTGTTAAAAGCAAACCATCCTAAGGATGATATCATTAGCAATTTTTTTAAGAATAAATAAAGCGCTCTCTCTATTTTTTTTATAATGCATCACATGTGTGTCCATCAATAACAACTCAACTCATTCATTTCAAGAATTATTAATGCCCATTACGGCTCACTTCATGATAAAAACCTGTTTAATCAAAAAAAAAGAAACTCAGGCCGAAAAGTGATGCCGAAAGTGTTTATACGGATGCTACCTTTTTTTTTTTTTTTTTTTTTTTTTTTTTGGTGACAAACAGGCCCCGAGTTTCGCTTCTAAAATGAGCAAGTTGTTCGTGTATTAGCCTATGTGTTCATTATTGCACAACTAGTGAAATATCGTCCATCGGGTAGAAGTTGGATATTTAACGGATTAAAGGGCGGCTCAAGTGAGACCACCGCGGTTGAAATTGTCAACGTCTAAATGCCATATTGAACTCACAGTTTATATGCTTTTATTAGATAAATAAGTACAACTGAATTAAATAGGCGTCTGATCAGATTAATGAAAAACACGTGCTTTATACGAGAATAACACTGAGTTGTTAGGATGGCGACGGGGGTATCGCAATTTAAGACTTATTCTCATACAATCAATAGCAAATTACATCGATATTCTTGCATGGGGAAGAGGATGAGTGATAAGTCAGACGCCCCTTTAATAAATTAGGATGCTTCGTACGTCTATGCGTCGGTCTCGATCCCCAAAGAGAGGAATCCGTGTCCAGACTTTATCAGATTACGGATGTAATACCTTGGTATGAGACATACAAGGTCACAGACGTTGTCGCTTTTAACTTGTCACTTTTCAAGTGACAGGGTTGTCGCTTTTAACTTGTCGCTTTTCCTAAGTGACAGGGTTGTCGCTTTTAACTTGTCACTTTTCCTAAGTGACAGGGTTGTCGCTTTTAACTTGTCACTTTTCCTAAGTGACAAGGTTGTCGCTTTTAACTTGTCGCTTTTCCTAAGTGACAAGGTTGTCGCTTTTAACTTGTCGCTTTTCCTAAGTGACAAGGTTGTCGCTTTTAACTTGTCACTTTTCCTAAGTGACAGGGTTGTCGCTTTTAACTTGTCGCTTTTCCTAAGTGACAGGGTTGTCGCTTTTAACTTGTCACTTTTCCTAAGTGACAGGGTTGTCGCTTTTAACTTGTCACTTTTCCTAAGTGACAAGGTTGTCGCTTTTAACTTGTCGCTTTTCCTAAGTGACAAGGTTGTCGCTTTTAACTTGTCGCTTTTCCTAAGTGACAAGGTTGTCGCTTTTAACTTGTCGCTTTTCCTAAGTGACAGGGTTGTCGCTTTTAACTTGTCGCTTTTCCTAAGTGACAGGGTTGTCGCTTTTAACTTGTCGCTTTTCCTAAGTGACAAGGTTGTCGCTTTTAACTTGTCGCTTTTCCTAAGTGACAAGGTTGTCGCTTTTAACTTGTCGCTTTTCCTAAGTGACAGGGTTGTCGCTTTTAACTTGTCACTTTTCCTAAGTGACAGGGTTGTCGCTTTTAACTTGTCACTTTTCCTAAGTGACAGGGTTGTCGCTTTTAACTTGTCGCTTTTCCTAAGTGACAGGGTTGTCGCTTTTAACTTGTCGCTTTTCCTAAGTGACAAGGTTGTCGCTTTTAACTTGTCACTTTTCCTAAGTGACAAGGTTGTCGCTTTTAACTTGTCGCTTTTCCTAAGTGACAGGGTTGTCGCTTTTAACTTGTCACTTTTCCTAAGTGACAGGGTTGTCGCTTTTAACTTGTCGCTTTTCCTAAGTGACAGGGTTGTCGCTTTTAACTTGTCGCTTTTCCTAAGTGACAGGGTTGTCGCTTTTAACTTGTCGCTTTTCCTAAGTGACAAGGTTGTCGCTTTTAACTTGTCACTTTTCCTAAGTGACAGGGTTGTCGCTTTTAACTTGTCACTTTTCCTAAGTGACAGGGTTGTCGCTTTTAACTTGTCGCTTTTCCTAAGTGACAGGGTTGTCGCTTTTAACTTGTCGCTTTTCCTAAGTGACAGGGTTGTCGCTTTTAACTTGTCGCTTTTCCTAAGTGACAAGGTTGTCGCTTTTAACTTGTCACTTTTTTCCTAAGTGACAGGGTTGTCGCTTTTAACTTGTCGCTTTTCCTAAGTGACAAGGTTGTCGCTTTTAACTTGTCACTTTTCCTAAGTGACAAGGTTGTCGCTTTTAACTTGTCGCTTTTCCTAAGTGACAAGGTTGTCGCTTTTAACTTGTCACTTTTCAAGTGACAGGGTTGTCACTTTTAACTTGTCACTTTTCCTAAGTGACAAGGTTGTCGCTTTTAACTTGTCGCTTTTCAAGTGACAGGGTTGTCGCTTTTAACTTGTCGCTTTTCCTAAGTGAAAGCTCTTAAAGTAAAGCTCGGTAAAGACGAAACGGAGTTCCCAATGAGTGTTATTTCAAACCAGAACGTGACTCAGGTAAACTATAAGATTTGTATTATTAAATGACGGTACTCACACTCTGGGGGAAACTAAGCGATACTTAACAACTTTGGAAAGTGGCGGAGCGCTTGTTCCATCCATCGACCAAATTAAACAAAAAGCTGCTGATTTAATACAAGCCAAAGAATATGTATTGAACGACAAGGAAGTTAACGAAATAATTGAAAATAAGAGAGCAGTGAAGGGCTCATCTTTGAATACAGCTATGGAAAAAGCACAGTTACTTGCACGTCTCAAGTATGCCAAGGGTCACAATGAAGTGGAAAAGGTTCTCAGGTTGACAAAGGAGAGAGCTAAGTGGATTAGAGAATAAGGGGTCTCAAACATAAAGATATCATTTCCCAATGTTCAAAAAAATTCCTGGGAATTTCTTCCCAGCCAATCTCCCTAAAGTATACGGGCAAGAAAAGTGTACTTGGTGACCCTTTTTCAAATTAATTTATGTATGGAAAGGCTTGAAATTATGATCCAAAGTTGTTTAGAGACAGCCTATGAAATCGCAACTGGAGGCTCAATATCACCAACCCTGAAAAAGGGTAAAAGAGTTTAAACCTTTTTTGTGTACTAAGTAGAACCAGTTACTCACATACACACAAAAAAAAATCAGGAATCTTGAAAAAAATTTAATGTTTGGACCCTCTAATGGCATATTCCTGAAGGAAGCAAGCAAAATGTCTTGGCAAATATCAGTAGTAAAAATAGAAAAAGAGACAGAATTGAAGCCCACGAAGCCGAACTTCGTGCGGCAGAAGCAAAAAAAAAGACGATATCTGGAAGAGTTTAAAGCACGCAAAGCCGTTCAGATATCAATCGAAATTGTAGCGTAAGTTTTAATACGATAATGTTTAGAAAAGTGATAAATTAACGATTGTATTTCTATAGTGCTACCAAGTCATCTTTGATACCAGACCAGGCATCGATAAAGCCACTTGCTAAGCCTGTAAAATTAAGTAAACAAGCTATAAAAGTCGGTGAAGCTACCTCATGCTTAACCGACTATGAGAACTTGTAAATAGAGTTGCCATGGAGGTTCATATTGAGCTTTTATGTGACTCAGAGAACTAAAAGACATGGTTCAAAATATACCTTATCGATGACAGAACACATATTACTTAATAAAAAAAACGTTAAAAGTTACATGAAAATATTAAGCCAGTCAATAGATTACTCAAATTAATTAGGCGCACTTAATTTTTCCAGTAGCATGATCTTGTGCGTCTGAAAAAAAAAAGAATAACTAATGTGTAAGTCTTTATACCTTTTTCGCCTTTGAGACTAGCTGGTAGATGGGCAAGTATTGGATGCATTGAGTAATTTCTCTTATCAACTAACAACACTCTTTCTACCTGTTGAATCAAAATCGTGGTAATCAGGGAATCAGTGTCATCCTATTTAATGAATAATTAGCTTATTAACACAGATTTCTGCCGGCAGTAATAATTCAATTTCGCTGGTATAGCCATGATATATTTAAACTTGTATTCCTGTTATCGTAGGGTGTGCTTTGTTTCATTTCGAATTGTATACTCTACTACATTTAGTCTTTTAAGAGCACCGGATAATATGCAGTAGGAGTCATTTCATATCCTGTCACTCACATTCAAAAGTATTCAAGTCTTCTTTTCAAATTGTCAAAAAAAAAACTTCAATATTTGAATAATAACCCATCTCATGATTGACAGCTTCTTCCCCAAGACACATATTTACTTTTTACTGGTCATCATGAATAATGTTTTGGGTCTGATTCAATAAATTTTAATCCACCTCTTCTGGGCCTACATCTGATAATCAGCAGTATTTTCGTATTTTTACATCTATCAATCAGTGTAGCTCATCTTACTAAATATTGGGTTTGATAGTATTAACAGTCTTTCTACCTTTCCGAACTTCATTTAAGAACACGCAGTGAAGGTTGAGCCATACGGCTGGACCCTTTAATCTGGGGGGAGGGAGCCAATAATCAGACTGATTTCCAAGTGCAGCAAAAAAAAAAGAGAAATAAATTGATGCACTTCTTGCATACCGAGAATGTCAAAATTGTGTAAAAAAAAAAAGATAAAGTGACGATGATGAACTTCTTTTCTGTACAACGATGAAAAAAACGATGTCATTTTTCGCTGATGTGCGGAGGTTTAAAAAAGATTGAAACAGTTTCGTCGTCCCCCCGCTCCCCCTTTTATCAAACCATCGCGCCCAGATACACTTTTTTTTTTTCTTTTTTTATTATATATATATAAATCTCGTCTGTATAAAGAATGGTAAGTTTTTGTTGTTGCTGTTACTATAGAGATGGAACAAAGTGCTAATGAAGACTTGTATAGTCTACATCTAACTCTCAAGGAATCAATACTCTTTTGGATGCTGAACGTGAAGCCGCCAAGATTGTCCAAAAGGCTAAGCAATGTAAATAAGAGAGAGCGAGAGCGAGAGAGAGAGAAAGAGAGACGGGTTTCTTTTTTTTTAATAGGGGTTTACTTACTATTTTTTCTTTCTTTCTTTCTAATGGGCAGACCGTGTTCAACGTTTGAAGGATGCTCGTTCCGAAGCTGCCAAGGAGATTGAGGAACTCAAGGCACAAAAGAATACCGAATATCAAGACTTTGTTGCACAGGTAAACAAGTTTCAAATGTGATACTTTTTTGTTGTTTTTGCAAACAAACATTTGTATTTTTTTTTTGTATATATAGCATTCGGGACAATCAGATCAAAGCCTTAGTGTTGTTGATCAAGAAACCGAGCAAAAGATTGAGGAAATTCGTCGTGATGCTGGTGAAAAGAAGGGTGATGCTGTTGAGAAAATGATGAAGGCTATCACAAACGTTGAAACTAAACGTCATGAAAATTATCGTGTTTAAATAATTTTTTTTTTTTTTTATTTTCATGCATTTTGAAATAACAAAAAAAAAAAAAAAAAAAAAGTTACATATATCTTTTTTGGAATATACACAATAAAAAAAAAGTGGTCGAGGATATATATATGACTACACCCTTTCCCCCTCCTCTTTAACTTGGTGTGTTAATCTCGTGATTGAAACTTATTTTTCTTAAAAAAAAAAAAGGAACCATATGATTTTTTAAACATGGTGGTTTTTAAATAATGATTTTTATATATATGTATAGTAATGGTTGTGTAGTATTAATAAGAGAGAAAGAAAAATGTTTGGTTTGTAAAAGAGAAAGAAAAAAGGATTATATAAGGTGGTATACGTAAAAGAAAAGAATATCATGAAATTAATAAAAAAAAAAAGGTGAGAGCGGTAAAAGGTTTCTAAAGAGAACATATAAAAAAGAAAAAAGAAAATACATACAAGTGAAATGGGGGGTATGATTAGAGAAAATGGGAGGAGGAGTGTGGAGTGAACATAAATGGGTGTGGGGGGATGGCAGTATACATAGAGTTATTAGAAGTAAAAAAAATAAAAAAAAAATAGAAAAGGGTAAAAGGGTAAGGAAGGAAGTAAGGATGGGAAAAAAAATAAAGAGAGAAATAATTTAGAATGAATGACGACGAACATCTTCAGGTCCCTTCATGATACTGATAACAACAGCAGCAGATAACACACTCAAGAACTTGCACCATTGTAAACTAGTACAGGTGGTTTGATACACCATACTTTTACCCATCGTGAGCCATTGATTCATGTACGTTTGTTGTCGAAGCTCTTGCATCGTGGATTGAATCTCCGATAGGGGTCGGCAACACAAATCAGGATTTCGGAGTAGTAAATAGAAATCTTCACCAAATCCCATATCGTCTCCATTTTCACTAATGCTTTCCAAAAAGCTCATGGCCTCATCCAACACATTGCGTTGTGGGTAAAGACTTGTTGTCGTCGCCATCACCTCTTCGTCATGGGGTTGTGTAGCATACAACCAAGAGTGTGTCTTGTCATGATAATCCATATTGTCTTCTTCAAAGTAAAAATTACCTGCATGATAATTGGGTGGAGGTGTCATGGGAGAAGAAAGTGATAATGGGTGAACAGCCTTGTGCAAAGATAAAAGATCGTCCGAGATGAAAGATTCATTGTCACTGTAGTTACCGTCACCATGGCGACTCTGTTGTTGTTGTTGTTGTTGTTGTTGTTCCAGATGTTGTTGGTGTCGTTGACGACGTTGACGGCGTCTCCAACGAATTTCGGATGTATTGGCGATCGGCATATTAGGTTCCTTTTGTTCTTCTTGTTCACCGCTATAAACGCTACCACAGAAACTTCCTTCTCTGAAGCTGCGTTTGCCAGCTAAATCATAAAAGGGATGATCTTCTCCACTGATACTTTCGATATGTGAGATACAATCATCATCAATGATGGATTGTTGATCACTGACGCTGGTATTACTGGTACATTCGGAGGTACGATTAAAGATGGAGGAGACAAGTGAGAGAGACGACAATCTTGACATGGCAATAGCAGTCAAGGGAGGAGAGAGAGAAGTATCTTTTTTTTGTTGGGGGAGTGGATGTTGATTGGAAAGTAAAAGATCATCCTCTTGAGATTGAAGGATGGTAAACTGTTCAAGACTGGATTTATGTGAACTAAGTCTTCTTTCCAATACATCCATTTGTCTATTCATCTTGACTGATGAAGAAGAAGAAGCGGTATCATTTTCGAATATATGAGAGATGGTATCGATGGTGGTGATCGCATCTAAACGAAGGGACTCTAATTGAGTTTGCAAGGAAACGACTTGTGACATGACATCCTGAAGGTCATTTTCCAAGCGACGTCTTCTAAGATGGGTGGTGGCTCTGTCGATCAAATTTAAACGAAGTTGTTGTTCATCATCCTTGTTGTCTACGCACCAGGAAGTACGTTTGACTCCTTCGGATTCATGATCGGTATTGGTGTAGTAATTGTTTGGTTCTTCCCAAACTAAATTGTCTTCTATCATCGTTTCTTATTTATGCTGAATAGAAGAAAGAAAAAAGAAAAAAAAAAAGGGATATTTAGGAAAAATATATAAAAGATAAAAAAAAAAAAAAAATCACTCTAGGGAAAATGTATATATATACATATTGAAAATGAACATCCAATCTTGATGCCCAGCAATTTCAAATGCAAGGGGGGCATTTTTATATATAAGCTGGTTTTTTTGGAGTCATCCTACCTTTCTCTTTTTTTTCTCTCTCTCACTCTCACTCTCACTCACTTCACACGCACACACACACTTTTTCACACCCATTCCACACTATTTCCTCCCCCCCAAAAAATGGACGTACCAGTTAAATGGAAATAATTCCGCGAGAATAAAGTTAAAATAAAAAATGTGTGTTATATATAAAAAAAAAAAAAAAAGAAAAAAAAAGAAAGAAAAAAAAAAAAGGGAAAAGGAAAAAGGAAAAAAAAACAAAAAAAAAATATCCCTTGAATGCTTTTTGTCTTCAATTGGACCGAGGTCAGACGCATATTTATAAATATAATTAATATGTACCAAGTGTATATATAAAATATATAAACATTTGTGTGTGTTCACATATAAAAAAAAAATGATAGAGTTTGCATAAGTTACACTATATATGTATCCATCATCATCATCAAAAAAAAAAAAAAAAAAATCATGTAGACCCAATTAAAAGACCGAGATTTTTTTGTTTTTTTTTTTGTTGTCCTGAAATACGAAAAGGAAATTTCCATCAGCAAATGAAAGCTACCAAACCAATCAATCAATTAAAATTGATACAAGAACACGTTTTTTTTACTATTATTATTTACCCCACGTTTTTGTACTATAGCCAATACCCCATCATTTACACATAAAGACCCCCTTACCTGTCCCTCCTCCTTACTTTTAAACAACTCCCTCTTTTTTTTATATATATATATATTTATATTTATACACTAATACTTTAATTCTCTTTATGTCTATTACTATGGTAAAACTGTCATATATACACATATTTTAATTAATCCTTATTCGATCCAACTCTTTTTACCCCCTACTTCCTTTTTTTTTTTCTTACCCCACTCTTTTTTTTTTTTTTTTGTATCTTGTGTATGGTTCAAAAGGAATGCTTATCATTTGAACACAATTGAATTAATAAAAGGTGATTGACAACGAGGTTTCTTTATTTGTTTATTTTTTTGGGGGGATGATATGTTGTGACAACAATGATTTATTTTTGAGATGCATTCCTTAATAAAACAAAATAAAAATAATGAGTTTTTTTTGATTGTTTTAAAAAAAATTAAGTATGCCCCACTACTACTTACATTTGTTCCAATTGTTCCTTGTATTGCTTATTTACAGCATTACGCTTCAATTTTTGTGCAGCTGTCAAAAGACCCTACATGTAACAAACAAAAAACGTCGTCATTTAAATCATCATCATCATCATTAAAAAAAAAAAAACTTACATTTTCAGAGGTCCATTCTTCATCCGTCAAGTAGATATCAGCAACGATTTCAATGGGTTTCAATTGCGCTGTCTTGGCTTGCTTGTGTAATTCATCCAAAAATGCCTTTTTAACTTGAGGTGATTCACAAAGTGCTTTGAAAGGTTGATGTGCGTCCAGACCCAAATCCTTGGCCATCTTTTCCAAGGATGAATGAATAGGCATGACAATGGCAACAGGTTTATTGCAAAGTGAATCAGCATAGACACAAATATTCTGTACACCCAACGCCGTCTTATAAACCGACTCTAATTTTTCTAATGCAATATATTCTCCATGACTTAATTTTACTAAATTCTTGATACGATCAATGACGGAAAGTGTACCGTCCACGTTCCATTCGCCTACATCACCGGTACGAAGCCATCCATCCTCTGTAATCGCTTCCTTTGTCAAGGCTTCTTGTTTGAAATAACCTTTTGTCACGGAAGATCCACGTACATAAATCTCACCTTGGGGTTTGACGTTACTCGACAAGTAATTGGCATCAGGCACATCCACTAATTTAATCTCACAACAAGGGACGGGTCCACCTACGGATCCACATGAAAAGTTTTCTGGTGTCATGATAGCACACATACCCACTAAAAAAATTACCCCAATGTTAATAAAAAAAAAAAAAAAATCATCACCCCATTTCTTTATGTCAGATTTAACTTGCCTGATTCGGTCTAATAATAATCAAAAAAAAAAGAAAGCATGATTAAAAATAAAGATCATCATTGTTTAACATAAATATTTAAGCATTGCTTACCATGCCATAACCCCCCAAGATGGGGTTAAGTGCAACTGACAAGAACTTTTGTGTCTCAAGAGCTAAGGGAGCCCCACCACAAAGACCAAAACGGAAACGACCTCCCACTTGTTCTTTCACCTTATTAAATACCATGGTATCTAAAAATCCTGTGGGTAAACCTCTTTCCATTAACCAAGACTTGGTAGCAAACGCTCTGTTAAAGATAGCTTGAGCAGCGGGGGATGTCTTGGCTACACTACTTAACACACCTTTACGAATGGATTCCCATACGGCGGGTACACCAGTCATGATAGTAGGTCTGAATTCTTTAATATCGCCCTTACAATTACGTACAGATGCATCTGTCAATGTACGTGGGGATCCATAACCTAATGCAACACCCCAAAATAGGCAAAGGTTTTCTACTAAGAATTCAAGGACATGTGCTAAAGGTAAGTACGCCATAATACAGTCTTCTCCTTCTTGAATAACGTGACCCAACAATGTATCCACGCCTGCAACTACATAATACACACAAATGTTTTTTTTAGCATGCATATATATAAAAAAAAAAAAAAAATAGGTGAGGTGTGTGTGTAGGGGGAAGGAAAACTTACTGGCGCCAACGAGGTTAGAATGATTCAGAATCACACCCTTGGGAGCACCTGTACTACCCGAAGTGTACATGATACAACATAAATCATCCCGACCGGGTTTCGTGGGTCTTTGCGGGTTTTCCTGACCAGCTGAAACAATTTCATCCAACGTAAAGATACGGTCGCCAATCAATTCACGTACCTTGGCAACATCGACTTCACTAGCATCCCCGGAATAGATGACAAGAGGTTTAACGGTGCATTGAGGTAAAACACTAATGAGGGTCTTGAGTAATTCACTACCAGTGTAAATGGCTTCCACTTCAGCCTCGTTCATGGAATGCAATAGACCTTCAGGACCGAGTGTTTCATAAGCTGTGACAATAGCCATATTTTGTGTAAAAGCCCCATGAGCCACCGAAATCCAATCCTTGCTATTTAGTACATATTATAGTTAGAATATCAGTGATGTCTACACATATAGAATGAGGAAATATATAAATATTTTTTACTTTACGAGGTGGATGCAAAAATCTCAATCTTGGACTTGGGAGATAAACCATGATGAATCAAACCAGAGCCGATATGATGTACCTTGGTAGAGAAATCATTGTAGGAAATGTACTGATAAGGTGATAATTGAAAATATTTCCAGGTCTTTGTTTGTGTGGTCTCAACACCATCCACGAGCTTGGTGATTTTCTTGTCTTCTGACACCATCTTTTCCAGGTTACGATAGGCCATAGCGTTTCCATCGCCACGTCGTTTGACACTGTATTGTAAAACATCGTACAATGAATGTACACCTTGAGCAGGCGTATCCACTACTTCTTCTTCCGCTAATACAGAACGACGTACACCACCTTCTCCCTTTAACATTTCACTTACAATAGTTGAAACACTTGACATCTTTTTTTTTATATATTTGGTATAAAGAAGATAAAAGAAACCGAAAAAAAAAACTAAATTTAAATCAGCTTTTTTTTTTTTTTAAGAAAAGATAGGGAAACTCCGCAGGGGAATCGGAATATCATTTTTTTTACATATAATGAAGCTTTTTGTTCTTCACATGTCAATCGGTACATCATTTTTTTTTTTTAGCTGAACATTGATCGGGTTATCCATTTTCCCACTCTACCAAAACACACCAACTATCTCCTTTTTCGTTCATTTTCACCATTTGTAATCCATTCATGATGTAATCTATTTCATCTCTTTGGCGCGTTATTTTTACACATTTACATTCTAAGCGGGATCAAAACTCAGATAAGACTAAAAACTCGTTTATTGATTTAATTTTTTTTTTTTTTTTTTTACTCTAACGCTGTTCTCTCTTTCTCTCTCGGTAGTCGCTTTTAAATTTTGTATTATTAAAAATCACCAAAATAGACTTGACTACATGTAGTCAGCATGTATCTTGTTCCTTTGACAAAACCCTTACTGCTTTATTTAAATATAAAACAGAAAAATGTGACTGTCGCATAAATGTGAATTCAAAAGCTTATTCTTTAAAAGCATATACTCAATGGGTAGGATGGCTCCTCCCACCCATCTGCTTTTCGTATCATGTAAGGTATTACTACCAAAGAAAGGTAAATTCATACCTTTTGTGATTCTTCTATTGAATAATTTTATTTGTCAAAGAAATTGTCATTCACAAGCCCTATATTTTTTTTTTCTGTATCTTGACAGCGTACATGTACACTTGTTTGACAAAAGTCTGTGTGTGTAACGTGAATTGTAAAAAAAAAAATGTGAAAGTTTAAATGACATTTTACCATCATATGATGAGATTCATGGTTTTTGACAGGTTACGATTCTCCCTCTTCTTTTGTGTTGCAATGGACCAGTGTTTTGGTGAAATATTTTTTCGATTGTGTCATACTCTTGACCCTCTCGAGAGATCACTTTAGAGACGCATCGTATCCTTATTTGGTTTGTGGAATCTTCATCATTTAGCATACTCGTTAAAAGTCATACGAAACATCTTCTGTATGTCTTATAATTTCATTATGTGTGAAATTGGTTCAATCACGTTTTGTGAGATTTACTTGATTCTGGGACCCTTCAATAGTCTTTGCATTTATTCGTCCTTTCCCTTGTATACACACTGCAGGGTTATTTTTTTCTGATTCTTCTTTCTCTTTGTCTTTTCGCGCCTTTTTGCTTGTAATCTGCCTTGTTTCTGCACGGGTGGGATTTACCGTCTGGATTGTTTTTTTTTTTTTTTTTTTTTTTTTTTTGTACCGCCTGAACAAAAAATGTTTACAAGTTCATCATCCATTCTTTGCTGGCCACGGTAATTAAAGAAGCGAAGGCCCGTAAATAGACCATCATAGAATATAAAAGCGTGTCTAGATGGGTAAATTAATATTGTAAATGTTGTTCAAAAATTGATAGCTTTGAAGTTCGATGAGTTGGAAAATTCGTTTCAACTGTAGTAATCCCTTCTTCTTGTTTGAGCGAATTCGTTGCTACCTGACTGTTTTTATAGCCGGCTTTTAACATAGTACTCCGCTGTCGATATGGACCTTATTTCATGCGCATTATTTCCATTTACCTCGCTCGCAACAAATATGCCAGTGACACCCGGATCGGCACCCCACAATCTGACTACCTCTTGCATCTCCCATATTTCGAAATCGTTCATTTCAAGCTTTATATCTTCTTTGTCATTGGGAACTGCAGGTCTGGCTAAACAAAAAGTAAACCGAACGCCTGTCCGTACAAAGAATATTACGCATCATGACTTGTCTTCTGTTAAGCATTTCAGTGGTGATACTGCAATAATATAAAATGTTATTTTTTCTATATGGGCCAAAGTTATAAGACAGAATCGTTACCTTCCAGATTGTCCCAGCTTTTTTCAAAGCAAATAGACTCATGAAGTAAGTCGAATCTCGGGCATATGCATCCAGCGATTGATCATAAACTGTGATACGTTTGATAATGTCAGATCTATTAACGTGAATTTTTAAAGTAGCAATATCAATCGTTACATATTGACGTTTCAGTCTGTAGTGAGGCATCATGGAAAACGTTTTATACGGGAATAGTGGATAGAGAAATTTTCTGGTATAAAACAATCTTTTCTTTCGGGTATAGTAACATCTGGGTCACTCTGGTTTCAGGATTGGAGAGGTAGATTCTTGACTGTGTTAACTGCAGGTGTGTTGCCCCAACATTTTCTTGTACTTTGTTAAAGTTTGCTTTGGACAGGAATGCCGGTTTACTTAAAGTAACTGGCGTTGTTGAACTGATAGCATTTCGAATCTTCCTTGCCAAAGCTGACCGTCTTCTTTTGTTGATATCTTCAACTTCATTTTCACAGGTTATGCTCAACATATTGTAAACCCGAGGTTAAGATACAGAATCTTGAGGCTCCTCCACAGCAACAGTTTGAGCCACATTGGACATTTCCGTAGTTCACTTAAGATTTTAAACAAGCTTGTAATGACAATACTGGGATTTTCGGAAAATTTAGAGGATGTCAAAGGTGTATGAACGCCTGTAACTTTGAACATCATTATTAATGCCAGCAATTATTCCATGAGTACAGGAGAGGATACCAGATTTGTTGGACAAACAGGTGTTTTGAGCATTGTATGTTATAAATTCAACAAGTCTTTATCTTGATACAGCAAATTGTAGAGAACTAATTGTATAAATGACGAGACAGGACTGTATTCAATTGTCGAATAACTTTCAACAGTTAAATTAATAAATAGACAGAAAAGCATATAATGAGTCCTTTTATATAACATTGCTGTCGTAAAGAAATCATATCGAACATTACCCCATTTGCCTAATTTCTTATTGAAGTTCGACAATTGTAGTCTACTCCTGTGAATTTTATTAAGCACCCATTTTATATAAATGGTGTATTGAACATGTCCATGCATTCATGCCAAGGTTACAAATAAATGGGTTCAAAATGTATTGGCCGACATGTTTAATAACAACCTTTGGATCAAAAATATATTGGATGCTGATTCAATCAATGAAAGGATCCAATGGTCTGAGTAACCCAGCCAGACACTCTAACATTTAAACCAGCCAATCATCTACGATTAGTAACCACAGAGCTTTTAGTATTTAAGACACCGCTTACCCGCAACGTTTTTATTTACCGCACATTCGCCGGGGCTTTCCCGGGCAGCAGGTGCGGAGGAAGGGCAAGGGCAGGGCAAAGAGTATATGTACGCATTGTTGAATCCAGGAAGTAGAAATCCTCCTCTTTTTTAGTCTCTATAACAGCCATGGTAAAAAATCACAAAAAACATGACATCCATCCATCCTGTATACTAACATGAATTCCTAATAGTCGCACAGGTAAATATATCCAACCTCTTTAAACAAAAAAAAACAACGATTTCGACAACACCCAGCAATGAAAAAATCGAAACCAACCTTGTCAAAACTCAGAGTCAACTAACATTTTTTTTTTTTTTTTTTTTTGGCATTGAATAGAAAGTTTGAGGGTAAATTAGAAATAATCAAAGAAACGCGAGAGATGAATACTAATATCAATCTAAATAGCTCCTCGTCACGGTCATTTGGGTTTCGGTCCTCGTAAGAGAACTAGATCTCACCGTGGTCGCGTTAAGGCTTACCCCAAGGATGATGCCAAGAAGCCCGTCCACATGACTGCCTTCATGGGTTACAAGGCCGGTATGACCCATATCGTCCGTGATCTTGAACGTCCCGGTTCCAGTAAGTGAATGAATGATTGAAAAAAAAGATCTGAGTGTCTAGAAGATCATGAAATACTAATTACAAAAAAAAAAACTTGAACAGAGATGCACAAGAAGGAAATCGTCGAAGCCGTTACTGTCATTGAAGCTCCCGCTATGGTTGTTATCGGTGTTGTCGGTTACGTCGAGACTCCCCGTGGTCTCCGTTCTTTGACCACTGTCTGGGCCGAGCATCTTTCCGAAGAAGCTAAGCGTAGATTCTACAAGAACTGGTACCGTTCCAAGAAGAAGGCCTTCACCAAGTATGCCGCCAAGTATGCTCAAGGTGCCAAGGATGTCACTCGTGAACTCGAACGTATCAAGAAGTACTGTTCCGTTGTCCGTGTCATTGCTCACACTCAAATTGCCAAGGCCAAGCTTCACCAACGTAAGGCTCACCTTATGGAAGTTCAATTGAACGGTGGTTCTATTGAAGCCAAGGTTGAATGGGCTCGTGAACATTTCGAAAAGGAAGTCACTGTCGGTTCTATCTTCGAACAAGATGAGATGATTGATATCATTGCCACTACCAAGGGTCATGGTTTCGAAGGTGTCACCGCTCGTTGGGGTACCAAGAAGCTTCCCCGTAAGACCCATCGTGGTCTCCGTAAGGTTGCCTGTATTGGTGCCTGGCATCCTTCCAGAGTCATGTACTCTGTCGCTCGTGCTGGTCAACGTGGTTACCATCGTCGTACCGAAATCAACAAGAAGGTCTACCGTATTGCCTCCGGTGCTGATGCCAAGTCTGGTACCACTGAATACGATCTTACCGAGAAGCCTATTACCCCCATGGGTGGTTTCCCTCACTATGGTGTTGTCAATGATGATTTCGTCATGATCAAGGGTTGTTGTGCTGGTTCCAAGAAGAGAGTTATCACTCTTCGTAAGTCTTTGACTGTCCACACCAAGCGTTCTGCTCTTGAGAAGGTTCAAGTCAAGTTCATCGATACTTCTTCCAAGTTCGGTCATGGTCGTTTCCAAACTCCTGCCGAAAAGCATCAATTCATGGGTACCCTCAAGAAGGATCTTTAAATTGTTTCTTATTGAATAATAAAAACTACATTTTTTTTTTAAATATCTTTCATATTACATGTAAATATTTTTTTTAAACAGGTTTCATGCTAGTGTAATGTACGGGTGTGTGAATATTTTTTTTTTTTTTTTTTTTGCTTGTGTATGATTATTTTCGGTGCTTTCCGGGCCCTATAAAATTAAAAAAATCGTTCTATTTTTTTCTTTCTTTCTCTTTTTCCCCCTTTATAAAATAACAATAATTAATGACTACGTATTATTATAATACAGAAAGAAAGAAACAGAGACCAAGGTCGATCATCACCAGCTTTAGTCCCGAGAGTTGGGACTTGAGCATGGAAACAACACCTCCACCACCACCATCTTCTGTGGTTGGTCGTCGACCCAGTAGCCAGAACGTTCCTTATTTCTCCTTATTCAGTACACCCACTTGGCAAACAACCGCCTTTCATCATCAAGAAGAACAAAAGAGCCCTCCCATCGATTTCGATTTCTTAAACAATGAAAAAGACTATTTCCATTTGAGTGCACCTTGGACGTATCAACCACAGCATCCACCGCAGCAACAGAGACCTTTATTAACACCACCACCACAATCCCCGACTCGACAAAAGATTGATGATTATTTCAGTCCTCCTATGGATGTCAATGGGTTAGGCAAAGGCGTATTCTTAAATCAAGTCAAGGAATCACAACGAATTTATCAGGTTGGATTCAAGAACAAGCACGAGTATTTCTATACCGATGACAAATTTAAAGTAAATGATAAAGTAGTGGTGGAAGCGGACCGTGGTTATGATATTGGTCTGGTACTCGGAGAAGAAATTGCCGGTCGCAAGAAGAAGAAATTACCTCAACAAAATGAAAATTCCATGATCAAGCGTATCTTTCGTTTGGCTAATGCAGCAGAATTAATCACGTTGGAGAAAAAAAAGGTGGATGAAGAAAAGGCTCTTTCATTGTGTCAGGCTAAAATTAAGCAAAAAGGGTTGCATATGCAAGTGGTGTCGGCGGAGTATCAATGGGACCGTCGTAAATTAACCTTTTATTGGATGACTTCCAAAATGCAAAATAGAATTAAATAGAATAGAATTAACTCCGGGAATTTGATTTTCCGAGTTAATTTTTTTTTGTTCCAAAACCATAAAATAGAATTAACTTTCAATAAATTTTATTAATTTTCATAATTCAAAATTTCTTGCTCTCTCGCCTTCCAATTAGCATAGTAAACAGTATTAATTTGGTTGACGCCAACCGTTCTTACACTGAAGTTGTGTAGTCTCCATACAAGGGTCAAGATTTCATAACGCTTAATTTTATCCGAAGGAAGCTTGGTATGAAGTCTTCCAAAAGACCCTTGTATGGCTCTCATACCCCATTCCACTGCCTGTCTATGCTTGGTAATGATAGCATGTTTCTTTTGTGTCTGCACGTTGGCTCTTTCAATGCCAATTGCGTTTTCTCTTGGTACACTTAGCACTTTGTTTTCAAACTCTCGCTTACAAGGGAAAGCAGAATCCGCAAGAAGCTTGAAAGGGCTTGGACATTTGTAAGCAAGAAACCTTTCGTAAAGTGGAATTGCTATTTCGGCATCATGCCAAGAACCAGGACAGTTATATCTATAAGAAAAAGAGTCAATTTAGTTTTGTTTGTTTAGAGAATCAAACAAGTATGTCAATCCTACCTCACATAGGCGATACAGCCATCCGGGGTATATACTAAAACTTGTGAGGCATAGCAATCACCTTTCCATCCGTTATAGTACGCATTTTGCTCGAATGGGTCTTCAGGATGTTGTATTCTAAGGTTAAGACCGTCAACAAAGCCAAACACTCCTTCTAACACCTGTTTCTCAAAGTCATTTGTGGTGTTCGTAAGCACCATATCGTTAAACGTTGTCATTTCATCTGTAGTGGGCCAACCAATTTTCCAACGAGGGTCTTTTTTGTTTTTTTCAAAAACGTTTAAGAGGGTTTGAATACCCATAGTTTTAAATCTACTGAGTGTTGCAGCAGGGACACCAAATATTATACAGAGTGTCTCCTGCTTCATGGTGTTATGCAACCACATCAGAACCAAAGCAAGTGTCATCACCGTGTCAAGTACTCTTTTACGTCCAGCCGTGCATTCGGTTGGATATTCTTTTTGGAATTCTTCGTGTAATTGATCGAATGCTCCAGTCGTCAAACCAAAATGACACATAAAGGCATCATCCTGACGACCATCAAGCAACCTTTTAGCAGCCGATTTAGTAGGTGAATGCAGACTTTTTGACGTTGTGTAGAATCGTTTAGAAATACGGCGTTGAGATTCAAGATAATTCATGTACTGATAGGCAGCAGCAGAAAGCAAAGTAATATGCGATAATAATGCTAATTTACGCTTTGTTATAGGGGGCATTTTGTATCAAAAATATAAAGGGGATAAAGAAAAAGGAAATGGATGATAAAAGAGAGATTAACTTGTATTTCGTTACCAATACAAAAGTGACAACAATTGGGTTCCACAACATCGAATCTCATAAGTCACGCCATATTATCCCAACAAGATGATTGATTCAAACAAGTCTGACATAATAGCGTGCTTTATTAAACAACGTGTTATAAAAACCATAATTTTCGCTTTTTAAAAAAGCCTTTTTTCTTTCTTTTCATATAACTTAATAAAAATAACAATGGGCAACGTAACAGGATCTGTCAGAATGACTAAAGATGAAAAAACCTATTTACTGAAAATAGTAAAGAAGGTTTTGCCAAGTGGAGCGGACGAATGGTCCCGTGTAAGCCAAATATATATGGCTGGACAAAAAAAAATTGTCGAACAAGAAAACGAGGCCATCAGGTTGGAAACAGGAACCAAGGGAACGAAGGTTGCCTATGAGCGTAGCGGCAACTCTTTGAAGGCGGCTTATCGTACATTGAGAACGGCAAAAGCACCAACAGGTAAATTATCATATAATTCGAGGTGTAATGAAAGAAATCTTGCTAACAATGATACAAACAAAAAAAATCTATTAGGCAACTCAACCCCAACTACTTTGATTACTGATGCAAAAACAATTGAGGACCAAATTGCAATCAAAGGCTGCTTATCACAGCTTCATGGTCACACGGATTCCGAGGATGAAGAGAAAGCAAGCCGCATGCATCATGGAGGTAGCGGCTTTCGCTCAATTGATGATCTGGTAGAGCAGAGTTTAACAGACAGTGACAAGAGTGAGGCATCTCCTCGTGCAGTTGGTAGAACGGTGCCAATGCCAAAGAAGTCCAAAAATACCCACCAGCATATGGAGGACTTCAACAACCATTTTGGTGTCCTGGCTGAGGCAATTGCGTTGTCTCTTCGGGGAGAAAATGAACCAAAACCATCGGTCCCAACCACACGTTCCGAAATGACCAACGTGACCGATGTCAATTTGGAAATGATTGAAAATCGTCTTGGAGCTGTTGACAATCAATTTGAGGAGGTCAACATTCGCCTGGATGGTGTGAAAAATGGCCTCAAAAGTGAACTCAATGATGTCAAAAAGGAGTTCAACGAGTTGAAGGAGACGGTAAATTTAATCAATATGTTGATTCGTATCATATATATAAACTCTATCTAACCGACTACATTATCAGATGTCAGCGATGTTTGAATATATCAAGACATCGGTAGCTAAGGTAGTTTAACTATTATAAATCATGTTTTTTTTATTCGTACTAAAAACCATAATCTTTATATGCACATTAGCAACCTATTCCTACTTCTGAAAAGGGCAAAGGCACCCGTTCCCAGAAGCGTAAAAGAGCCGAATAAATAAACGTTTTTGACAAATATTATCCATACATCTCATATCTATTATCTGCATATTATTAGCGTTTATCAGAAACAAAGTATTTAATAGAAATGTTTTTTTTTTTTTTTTTGGAGTTAATTCTATTTTAATTCGGGGGGGTAGGGGGGTCGAATTAACTTCAAAAATTTAAGCAGTGAAATTTAAGGTTAATTCCACGTTACACAACCCAAAAAATTAAGTCTATTCTATTTAATTCTATTTTGCATTTTGGAAGTCATCCATTATAAGGCTCAAGGACGTGTCGATTTTAGAGAATTGGTCCGTGAGCTGTTCAAAATCTATAAAACCCGGATCTGGATGTGTGCTAGTCTTTCTGAAAATTAAAAAAATTCATCATTACCTCCAACCTGTTTAGATTTGTATATAACAACCCCACTCAACAAGACCCACTCAACAAGACCCACTCAATAAGACCCACTCAACAAGATTACTCCAATAAGACGCAAAAAAAAAAAAAAAAAAAAAAAAAAAATCTTTTCCCATCATTTGCATTCTCAATAATAAAAAAATAAAAAATAACGTATCCCCCCTATTCATAATAGAATAGTATTTAGTTATTAAAAAATATAATTTATCATGATTAAATATTAAATAGTTTCATAAATAGTTTTTTAAGCTTTTCGGGCTGGTGGCGCTGGATCTTTTTCATCGGGAACATGACGAGGATAATCAGCCTCATCAGGCACATTTCTTCCTGACGACATTATCATGGGCTCAGCCGCTGCTACCGCTGGTGCTTGACCTCCATAGTATCCTCCTTCATACCCATAATTATTCGTCTGTCCATACCCTGCTTGGTATTCAGGATAATACTGTGGCTGAGTCTCATACCCTCCTACATCATATTGCTGTTGTTGTTGATCTACTGTCGGTGGATTATACGCTTGCACAAAAGGTCGAGGTTTAGCACCCACTGTACTCATCGGTCGACTACTATTACCATCCGATCCAACCACCGTAGGCGATCCATACGTATTATACTCGTTAAATACATGAGGATCATCCAACACATCATCGTTATCATACGTCTTCTTTCGGTTATTATTATTGCGACGACGTCTCATTAGGAAAAATACAAGTGCTATTTCAATATTGTTTAGTCCTCCTTTCTTTTTTCTTTTTTGTATAATAATTTTTTTTTTTATATCCAAGGTTACCTAGTATAGCCATGGCAGCAATACCACCGACGACACCTCCTGCAATAGCACCAGTGTTGGACTTGGAGGGTTGGGCTTCGGTAGAAACTACGGTGGGTACGGTGGTCTCATAACTACTGTAAGATGTAGATGTGTAGGTAAAAGTGGCAGTACCTGATGTACTAACAGTGACTACCGGAACAGCGGATGAAGTGACCACTCTCGTTGAACTGGTAGTCATTGATGGACTACGACTGCTGGTGGTGGTTGTTATGGTTGCAGCTGGTGTTGTTGTTGTGCTACTGCTAGGAGACCCATTATTGTTCGTAGTAGTGGTAGGGTTGGGTGTAGTGGTTTCGGCAGGAGGGTTTGTGGTAGTAACGGGATCTAAAGTAGAAGATGATGAGTCGGGGGTCAAGGTAGTGGTGATAGAAGAAGAGATTAAACTACTAGTAGTAGTAGTAGTGATCGTCATACCGTTACTAGTAGGAAGAGGCGTTGTGATAGGAGGATCCACAGTGGTTGTAGTGGAAGCTGGGATCACCTGTGTATTTTAGTTAGTTCAGATATGAAAAAAAAAATATAACGGGATGAAACATACGGGATCAGAAGTGGTTGTAGAAGCAGGGACCAAAGTAGCTGTGCTGGCATCTACTGTAGCGGGTGTGGTTGCTTGAGCTGATATCGCAATTGAACTCATTGGGGGAAAAGGATAAAAGAGAAAATAGAAAAGAAAAAAGAAAAAGAGAAAAAGAAAAATCCGGGATAAAAATAGGTTTGACTTTTTATGTGTGCAATGACTATCGGACCGACATTGGATTGTGTCACTGAAGAACTTTTTTTTTTTTTTTTTAATCAATCAAATTTAGCCCTTTGGTCCTCCTAAAGAGTAAGATACATTTCTGAACTAAATCCATCCCCCCTTTCTTTTTTGTCGGTTAGTGTATCCTTTTTTTTTTATCTTTTTCTCGAAAAAAACAAAATAAACAATGTCATTTTCGAAAGAGAATTACAAAGAAAGTGTTTTCATTGATTGATCCCATTTAGTAAGGATTAGATAATAAAAGTAAGAAAGGTTAACACATTTTATCGGTCACTTTACAAAATTGAATACCAAATATAATTTGGTATCAACATCGTAGTAACGGGATCATTTTCTCTGCATAAATTCAAATATGGCATTCTCTATGTGTACAGTCACTTTATTGTCATCCCATAAAAAAAAAATTACTCTTTGTTCTCGTCTTGTGTAACTTCCTCCTCCTTCTCCTCAGTCTTGGTCTCAACCTCAACCTCAGCCTCTCCCTTCACCTCTTTAACTTGCTTTTTTGGTTGTTCAGAAGCATCTGCGTTATTGATACCCAAAATACTCTCGATATTGTACTTTTTCAACTTGTTAAAATCCTCAACGACTGATAACATGCAAATATTCTAGAAAGCCATGATATTAGCAAACAAGCACATGTACACTTCAATCTAGTCTTATACCTGACAAACTTCGGCAATGATGGTTAATTCAGGATCGTTTAAATCAACTTTATGTCCAGGTCCGACAGTAGCAGCTAAAGCATTGATGACATCCATACGTGTCAACTTTGTGCAATTACGCACTCTACAAGCAACCGCAAACTACAAAGAAGTGTCAGCAAAACAACAATTTTTCTTTTTTTTTTGTGTGTATTCTATCACATATTACTTTACTCTTTTTGGTACAAGTTCACCTTGACTATCCTTTTGGCTGAAATGGCGGGCAAAAATTTGCTTGGCGGAATTCTCGATATCTTCAATATGAGCTTGACATGTCTTTTCAACAGGGAGGTATCTGCAAATATATCGAGTGGTTTTGGTTTGGGTTTTATCTAAATCTGTCAACATGTGGTGAACTAATTTAACAGGTTCGACAGGAGGTGTGGCACGAATAAACACGACTAACGATAGAGTTGTGAGTATACAAGGGTCATGGAAAAAAATAAAAACATGTCTTTCTTTCTCTCTTACCACAATCAGTGCCTGTGGTGATATTAGCAAATCGCTTTCTTCCTTTAGGCTTCTTGAGGGCGGCTACTTCTTTTGCAATTGAAGCCTCTAAATCATCCTCCTCGTCGTCTTCGTTGACGTCGGCATCGACATCTTCCACAGGATATAATTCATCGCCATACTACAAAATGTTGTTAATGGTTTAAACTATATTTGAAGACTCGGTGAGGGTCAAACTTTACTCGTTGCAAAATATCTAAAGCCTCCTTGACAGCACGACTTTCTTTAGAACGTGTGCACATGACAAGCACACCTGCCATATCTGGCATCACATTGAAACTGCTCTTACTCTTTGCAGCAGCTCCAGCCTTTTCTGTTTCCTAATTTATAAAATGGGTAAATGTCGATACAAAAGATAGAAAAGGTGACCTTTTTTTTTTTACTTTAGCACAGTGATAAGACTTTTGCTTCTTCTTCTTTCCTCCTCCAAATTGACCGTTTCTCTTTGACATTATTGTACTGGGATAAGGAAGGAGGAGCAAAGTTTTTTTATTTATTTCAATGCAAAGGGGGAACAAATTAAAGGTAGTCACGAGTGACGGTTTTTATGCTTCTCCGCAAAAGCCCAATTCATGCTTCATAATAAAAAGTGCGATTTCTATTTTATGTTCCTGGAGAAGTAATAATTTAAGAGACGATGGAAAAGGGGAGGGGGGCTCACATTTATAGATTGACGACGATCGGCTTAGCCTGACGCATGGTGTGACACATACCAAAAATCGCTGAAACAGCCCTCCGTTAGCCGAATCAAACGTTTGTAATTATATCAAACAGGCTATTGTTTGTTTTCTTCTTTTATCTTCTAGTTTTCTTCTATTATTTTAAACTACCTCTGAGAAATGCATTCTTTGTTAAAAAAAAGACCAACGAGATATGACCCCAAAGCTGAATGGAGAGCATTACAAGCATTACGAGCAAACGCAGGTATTTACGATTTGTTAAAAAAACAAAAAGAAGATGAACTCAAAGTTGATTGGGACGCATTGGAAGCAAACGCAAGTTCTAACGATTTGTTAGACAAACAAAAAGAAGGTGAAATCGACCCATCAATGGGAAAAAACGCAAGTGTTTACAATATAGGCATAGGTATTGATTTCGGAACCTATTTCTCTCGAGTTTCTTATACATTTGCCTGTGAAAGGAATGGTGAACGGAATCCAGAAGTAGAAGATATATGGAGATGGTAAGCGTCACATTTATTTGGCGCTTGAGATGATCAATAACTTTTTTATAATAAAAAGGCCAAGGAATGATGCATCTCTTTCTTTACTTCCGACGAGGTTACTATATGAAAAAGGGGTTATGATAAAATGGGGCAACTTCCGTAAAATACGTTCTCAAGAGGAGGAAGCCACATTATTTAAACTTTATTTGGACGAAACCAATCATCAAAGTATCCCATCCTTACCGTCAGGTGTTACCACACTTCATGCAGTTTCCGATTATCTAAAAGCAATTTTCGACTACACTTATTCCAGTATATCAAGAAATTATGGAAAATATGTGGACCAAAGCAAAGTAAGAGTTTGTTTGACTGTGCCTGGTCATTGGTCAGATAGATCTATAGACCTTTTGAAAGATGCGGTAGTTCTAGCCGGTATTTTCAGCCGTAAAGATCTTCCGGAGAAGTTATTACTTGTTCCCGAACTCGATGTTGCGGCTTTGTATTGTGAGGCCTTCGTTCCAGAATATAACCCTAAGGATGGTGACACCGTTATGATATGTAAAATAGAAGAAGGGATTGCAGAATTTGCTGTTCATCGTGTCTACACTGATGAAAACGGTGAAAATTCACTTTCACAAGAAGTCCCATTTGATCGCGCCATGTTTAGCTCGGAGACCATAGATATGCTATTCAAAAATTTTGTTTCTGAAAAAATGGAAGAGATTTCAAAGAAGCATAATGTCGAGTCTTTGAGACCGTATGAGTTAGATGATATACTGAAACACTTTAGAGAGGTGACTAAGGTATGATTCTTTTCGGACTATTTACACTTTTGAAGCTTGTAATGGTCTAATTAACCTTCTTTTTAATCAAAAAAAAAAGCACTCGGTGTTTTCTCTAAATCACCCCGAGTACGATGAAGATGGCCATTTTATAATACTTCCTTGCAGATATGACTTTAATGAAGCAGAAGTGGATGCTGGCGTATATATTAGTGACTGTCATTTATTCATATCATCTTCAGAAATGATTGCAAATAATTTCGATCCGTTTATTGATAGACTACTAAACCTCATAGTCAAACAATTTGAACGATTTGATAGTAAAATAAACAACTTGTTGGTAGTGGGCTCAGATGCTGATTACGAATATGTACAAGAAATACTAAAAGAAAGGCTTCATGGCAAAGTCGGCCAAGTAATAATTCCTCCACGTTTAGAAATGTATAACAGTCGCGGCGCCGCTTTAATGGCCTCAAATCCTCGCACCATCAAAGTAAAATCAGGTCGATTTTACGGTTATGAGTGCTCATTAGAATTCGACGAAAGGTTGGATCCTTTAGAGTTACGCTGTATGACGAAGGAAGGTGTAGCTTACTGTAATCAACGATTTCAACTCTATTACATTAGGAGCAGTGCCTATGATACAAAAGACCAAAATATGACATCTTTCCAGACTTATTGCAACAAAAACCCCACAATACGTAAGTAATTAGCATGCATTATTACTTCGAACATCTTGTAAAATATTGACGCCCCCACCCTCCCACATAAAAGAATTATTTGAATACGAAGGTAGTCTAAATCAAGTCCCAAGGCACACCACCCATGAAGATGTTAAGAAACTTGCTTCCGTCGAGATCGAATTACCACATATGCCATATAAAAAGCCTACCGACACAGTTGATGTGAATGTACAAATAGAACTTGATGGAATCGAAATCAAGTTTTGGGTAACCATTATGGATCAGGTTCAACTTTATTCACGGTGTCTTACAAAGGACACCAAAATTATGATAGGAGAGCTTCTCTGAATAAAGTTGGTACAAGTCTATTAAAATACGAATATATTTGAAGTTTATAAGTTGGGAAGAAATAAAGTACTATTCACAATAAAATAACATTTCTTTCTGATTATCTATCAATGTAAGAGTTGCTTACAATTATATCTACAAGGGTCATTACACGAGACCAATTTGTCTTCTGATACTTTCATTTACCTGGTTTATATGAAGATAAAATGTGAGATTTAAAGTTAATTTTACGACAGGGTGATCACTGCAAGACCGTCCAGACAATTTCGATTTCCTATCATATAGTTTATAAATAACGCGCTCGAGCAAAAACTGCAGGACCGATTGTTCTCCCTGTCTTGTATAATACAGTAAAAAGCAAAGAGTCAAGCGTGTTGGCATTTTAGAAATACGTTAATAGAAACTTGTCATTTGTGGTACACATGTCTTTGTAAAAGTGAAGATTGATTACCTGTGATTTGTAGCAAGATACGCCATGAGTGTAAACAAATCAAGTATTATAAATCCCATAAAATAACATTGTTTGCATGAACTAAAATATGTGGTACCAGAAGAATGAATCAGCAATAGATTTAAGGTGAATGGTGATAGGATGAAGTTAATTTGGCCTAAACAGAATCTTCAGTTCAATTGAATTCTCAATAGGCGTGCCGTTTACAGAATTAACGTTCTTTATGGTTAGGTCAATAACATGTTGCTAAGATAGTTATAGTTATTTGGATACGAAGGTGATATCAATCAAGCTGTTCGAAATAGTTTCCTCATTTTCAAGATCAAATTACGTTCTAGTAGTAATTCCAGACAATATACCCTACGATATAGCTGAGGTAAATGTACGAACAGACTTTGAAGCGATGTCCATCAGGCTTTGGGTAATAATTATTGATTAAATTCGGCTTTGCTTACGATGTTTTACAACAAACACAAACAGTATGCTTGGGGATCGGAACTAAGATATATCATATGCTCATTAAAATAAGCATAAACAAAATGTTATTAGATAATGTATTACTTACACGGGTCTTGCGTCCTAATATAAAGGCAATTTAATCCGTATGGTTGGTGTGTTTGTAAATAATGAAACGTTAGCTAAATTGTATTGAGTTACATGTCCCTAAGGTTTTACATTAGAACATATTTATAAAGGTAATTATGACATTCATAATGTCGATTATAATAATAATAAGATCATAAAGGCAGACACTGTACTGTAAATGTTCATATTCGTAGACATCTTTAATTAAGTACACGGCTCTCATTCTCGCACACCAGAGCTCTGTAAAGGCAGCAATTATAAATCAACAGATAAATTGATTTGGAACAGTTGGACATATCTTTTTAACGAAAGAAACTGCCAAATTTGATATATACCCCATATCGCTTTTCAATGGCTTATAGCACAATTCTGAGTTAGTGTGATCCCTGAAAAGATACAAATTCATATCGCTTTAGAATGTATGACAATAAATTCCATGAGGCCTTATTGTCCCCCTTCAGACGGACAGACATTCTTTATAATACTTGCACATTAAAACCTTCTTTGCGTACAGTACTTTTTTTTCCAATTGTACATGTTCTCATTTTTAGATTGTCAATCTGAGTAGATAGCTTTATCTTGGTTTGAAAGATTGATTCATTATAGATCATAACTTACAATTTTAGACTTGCAGAACAAACTGCTGATTTTTCCAATTCAATTTATTTAAAAACTTCATGCTTGATGAATTTGTACGATACCAATTTACCTTTTGTTATCATTGTGTCTAACCAAAAGAGTATCAGCGCAAAATTTGTGGATATGGTTCAAGAGTTAAAATCCTGTACCTTGTATAATAATTCAAAATGAAAAATGCAAATGTTAAATTACAGTGCTTTGGGTTTATTGTTTGCTATTTCTCCTTAGACATGCTCAAATAAAAATACGAGGAAAAAGTTACTGCATGATCCTACATGCATATACTAAAAAAAAGAAAGAAAAGAAAAAAAACTATGAACCCTTCAATTATTTATTGCCAAATTTAGAGATCCTTTAGTTTGTAACATATCTCTAGAGAAATCATCAAACAGTGATTGTTGCAATAGCAGGTCACGTGCAGGCTGTTATAAAAGGTGAAAAAATAATTGTAATTTGTGTGAGGGGGGACCTTTTTCTCTCTTTCATATTATAATGAGCGTCGACGACAACTTGTCTATATCTTTTGCTTCAAGTATAGGCATTGATAATATCAAGGATGAACATTTGAATAAGAATAATCTGTACACGGATTTAGATCAGTTGGAAAAATCCGTCGACGCTGAATTCGAACATTATATGAATCAGGCACGGTCCTTTCCTTTCCAGGAGCAAGAGCAAGAACGAAATCGTGAGCATCCCGATCTAAAAGACGCCTCTGTTCATTCCGACTTTGAAATATTGGGTGCTGAAATATTGAATCAAGTGAATGATGAGCTTGATTTAGATAACGATTCATGGCATCGGTATTTAGAAAATAACAATGCAGACGACCTTTATAATGTAAAACCTCTTCGAAATAATACCAACGATTTCCCAAGGGAAGAGGATAGTGGACATACTTCTCCTGGTGAATACTTTGGAGCAAGGTCGTTGCCTTTGAATTCATTGAATTTTCAACAAAACGATGAATTTCCCTTAGATTCACAGCAAGAAGAGAGATCCCTTCCTTTAGATTCTTCAGACTATCGACAGGAGAGATCATTTCCTTTAGATTCACCAAAATATCAGCACGAAGAGGCATCTCTCCCTCCAAACTCGTCTGAATATCAACAAGAGCCCTTAAGTTTATCAGACTTTGATCGGGATCAGTTACGAGAATTGAATTTGTCTTTTGTAAATAAAATTTTCTTTCTTGTTTGGGGGGTTAACACGATTCTAATCACTGCTCGATAGGCATCATCTATAAAAGAGACGCCTGTTAAGACAAGGATGCAGCGGTTAATAGAGGCGCGATTTGTAAGTGTTGAATGGATATTGAAGGATGGAATATTCTAAACGATTTTTTATTGTTTTTTTTAAAAAAAAGAAATCTTTACCGAAATCACTTGGTCTTTTTCCAAAGTACGAAATACCCGAAATAGAACTACACCATCCATACACCCAAAAGAAACAAAGGAACCAATCCACAGGCTCCTCTTCCATCTCATCCACACGTCAGCAATTCGCTTCGGGAGATCAGCAGCCAAAAACAACTACCGACAGTTTAAGCAGTTTTCATTCATCCAGACCGACCAACAGTGATGAGGAATGCACGATTGAACCTGCCTCCTTACACTTTTTATGTGAAATGTCGCCAAAAACGATCTATGCCAAAGTCATCAATTTGAAAATCAAAAATCCTAGTCCGAATACAGTGCGAAACTTTTCCATCTTTTCACAGGGGAACCTGTTGGAATTTGAAGTGAACGAAGGTATGATTCTAGAGCATGAAGTAGTGCAAGTGCTGGTCAAGGTACGATCCAATGCTTTATTATCCTATCGACGTCAGCAAGAGCCGCTTGACGAATATCCATCTTTACATGATAAAGTGTTGGTATTGATCGATCATCAGCAAGTAAATCAACTGGAGGTGAGTATTGATTTCATGAGTTTAGAAGATGATGATGATGATGAAGAAGAGGAGGAGGAGGAAGAGGAAGAGGAAAAAGAGTGCGGTAGACCAAAGTGTCGATACTGTGCACTTGAAAAAGGATATCCATTACATTCTCTTTAAATATACATAGCTTGTTAAAATCTAGAAAAAAAAAAGAAATTCTTTATTGTTGTGTTGTTTATATTACAGATAAAAAAAAAATGGAGAGTGTGTGTGTCGGGAGATACTGGAGGGAGGACCTTCTTATTGTGAATTTACCAAGAAGCCTTCTTAACACCAGGAAGTTCACCATTCAAAGCCTTTAAACGGAATTGGAATCGACACAACTTGAATTCACGAAGAACACCACTACCATGACCAGTTGCTACACAACGGTTGTGAATGTAAGTGGGTGAAGATTGCTTGGGCATGGCGTTTAATTGAAGTTGAGCTTGATGACGGACACGAGCGGGTAATGTCTCATTACGAGTGATGAATCTGAAAGCTTGGCGAGTCACTTCATTGTTGGCGACTGATTGACGAGCATTGATATCACGAAGAATACGACACCTCATTTTTTATAATTTTTGCTTATGGAAAAATAGTTGGGGCGAGGGGGAGTCAAATTAAACATGGTAGGGTCTCTCTCTCTCTGTCAAATAAAAATCAAGTCACACACACCAGCCAATCAGACCCTTTCTGATTTGTCCCTTGCAGGGAATTAGGTAAGCTCTGGTGCTTGATCATCCAGACATACCTGTGCATCTTTTTGTTGAAAGAACTCGGATACATTTATACAACGATTGGCTCATACAACTTTTTTCTTTATTGTTACTGTCATAAAGTTCTTTCTGTCAATTTATCCTCCAGCATCTAGTGAGCTCTGCCCCTCAGAAATGCCTTACAGCGTTTATTCAACTGATAGTTTAGACGTATAATTGCTGTACCTGAGAGATTGACAATGTGTTGCGTGAAAGTAGGAACCTTTAAGCTCTTTTGGCAAATGGAAACCGCCACACACATGTTCACACTCAGAAATAAAACCAGCCATCATTTTTTTTTTTTTTTTTTTTTTTTTTTGAGCTTGCTTCTTTCATTTATTTAACCATGGTTGCATCCACCTCATTAGACGTTGTTCCTGACGATCCCACGGCATACAAGACTCAAAAGTACTGGGAAGAGCGATACCAACAGTAAGTACATATATGCAAAAGAGGCTCTTATTCTTTCTAACAAGCATGGTATTAGAGAGGACTCTGGCACCACTTTTGACTGGTTCAAAACCTATGCTGAATTAAAGCCCTTGTTGAATGAGGCCATTCCTAACAAGGATGCCAAGATTCTTATGCTTGGTTGTGGTAACTCCAGTAAGTCGAAAACAAAGTGTGAGTGTTGAAGGTGGCGATTATGCTTAACCAACTTTTTTTCTTCTTCTTTCTTATTAGCCTTGGGAGAGGATATGTATGACGATGGATATAAATACATTACCAACATTGATTACTCCAAGACTGTCATTGACAACATGAAGATTCGTTGTGCTGATAAGCCTGAAATGACATGTAAAAGATAACCTATTTTGACAGGTTGCGGGCAAAAATTGAACATTTTTTTTATAATAGGGTTGGAAATGGATATCCGTGATTTAAAGTTTGACAATGAATCATACGACGTTGTGATTGATAAAGGTATAAGAGGGTTTAAATAGAAAGGCAACCGAACTAATGATAATCTATAGGTACTATGGATGCCTTGATGTGTGATCGTGGTGACGTTTGGGAGCCTTCTGAAGAATTAATCAATGATGTGAAGGGAGAGGTAGATGAAGTTGAAAGAGTCTTAAAGGTCGGCGGTACCTTTTTATATATTACATTCGGTCAACCTCATTTCCGTAAAAGACATCTTCAAAGAGATTGTTGGAACATTGATATCAAAACTATGGGTACTGCATTCCATTACTTTTTCTACACCATGATTAAACAGTAGTGTGGCTTAGTTCTTTCTCCTTCCTCTTCTGTCTCTCAATAAACTTATCCCCCCTCCCCTTTTCTAATTCTGAATGCTTTTGTTCAAACGGTTCTTTACCACGCTTAAAAAATATGCCCCTGCGGACCAGTTAGAAAGTATTCACAGGCTTTCTTTATCCGTCAATGGAACTTCTAGCACTATTGAAAAGCATGCTTTACTTGCTCAATTCCCCGCTTGTCATTCCACTCTAAAGCGCATATACGACCCTCACACGCGCCTCTTTATCACTTCCAAATCAGCTAAAGCCTACCTTACGAAACAAACCAACATGGAACCCACTACATTTCATCACCTGGACGATTTACTCGATGCGCTTTCTTCCCGCCACATCACGGGAAAAGCTGCCTCTCAAGCCGTTGCTTCTTTCTATACGACCTACTGTCACTCGGAAGCTCATCAAAACATCTTTTGGCGCATCATTGACCGCAATTTAAAAATGGGAGTGTCTGTACAAACCGTGGATCATACCATTTTACGCGATCCGACAAAGATGGACGTATCGCGCATCAGTGTGGCTCTGGCCACGTCGTATACGCCCAACAAATTGACAGACGTGGACGGTTGGTATGTTTCACAAAAGCTGGACGGTGTGCGGTGTATCGCCATGATTCGATCGACAGGCGACATTCAATTTTATTCAAGGACAGGTAGACTATTCACCTCGCTACAGAAAGTCAGAGCTGTCTTGGAACACCAGTTAAAAAAGGGGGTTGCCGACGGCGAAGAGTTTGTGCTGGACGGAGAAATTTGTGCTTATGCTGATGATGGAGATCCCTCGCAAGAGGATTTTGTAAAGGCATCATCACAGGTACGTCGTACCAATGAAGAGATGGAAAATCCGGTCTTTCAGGTATTTGATAGAATTAGGTTGCAAGACTTCATTGAAAAAAGCGGAGATCAAACGCTACTGCAGAGACAAGAGGCACTACAAAAGTTTGTGGGGAAAGACCCGCTAGATCATATCAAGGTGGTGAAGCAAGCAAAATTAAATAGTCTGGAGGAATTTGAACATATCAAGGCACAAGCGGTTGAAAAAGGATGGGAAGGTTTGATGTTACGAAAAGATGTTCCATATGAAGGAAAACGAACGTAAGCTCCTCATTGTATATGATTGAAAAAAGAGACTAAATGTTTTCCTACATATATAGTCGAAATATGTTAAAGGTGAAGCAATGGGAAGATGGTGAGTATATTGTCAAAAGCACAGAGATGGGCTTGATGAGGATGCCCGACACGGGTGAAGACAAGTATGTCACCACAAACGTCATTATCGAGCATAAGGGTTATCCCGTCAGTGTCGGATCCGGATTCACTTTGCAGAACAGAATTGATTACGCCAAAGATCCTAGCTTAATCATTGGAAAACCCATTACTGTGCGCTACTTTTCAGAATCCAAAAAGGACAATGGTGCAATATCTCTTCGATTTCCTTCCGTAAAGGCTGTCTATGGGGAAGGTAAAAGAGACATCTAGTTGTTCAATAAAATTTGTATGATAAAAGGAGATTTAAAATTATCCTGTCATTTTGCATAAATGGAATTTCTGAGGTTACACTGTCACTCCATATAATAATGTCCTTTCGCCAATCAAGTTATTTCTGGGCATACAGTTATAACCGACTTTTTTACTCATATATTAGCCCAGCTTTCGTATTAAACAGCTGTGGTACTCACCTAACGTTTACGAGGCTACGCAACAGGCCACACATTTTCCATGTATTAAAGCAGCCTAATTAAAGGTTTATTCACTGCACTTTAAGTTAGCACGTTTTTCATCTGCTGTATTAAGATTAAATCTTTTGATCCTTGAGCTTGGTTTATGTGCGGGTGAAAGGTAGGTTTTTTGCTTTCCCGGCTTTAATAGATTGCTTTGCATCAATCGATAAATTTCAAAAAAATAGTACCTGGTGGTAAACCCAAAGCTTGCCCGTATCATCCAGACAAAAATTGGAGTCGTCGACATGCTACTGAATGTCTCCATATTCACCGTCATTTGTATATGCCTATAACAATCGATGATCCACTCTCTTTCATGACCAATTTGCTACCCATACGTAAGCCCTGTCGTAAGTCTGATTCTATCAGCTGGTTTATCGCACTGGCCAATGATTTGTACTATTTTACATGAACTGGACCATCTCTTCCATGATGAGTTCCCTCCGCCTATTGAAGATCTTAGCCAGAAGCTATTGAACTGGTTATCCACGTAATAATGTGAGTCTTTCTGTCTACTCTGTCTTGGTTTTTCTCCTGTCACTTGTTAATTTTAACCCTGCCACTTTGTTTTTAACTCGACGGCAGGGTTAAAAATAATAAGTGACACGGTTGTCGCTTTTAACTTATCACTTTTCACTTTAACCCTGCCGCTTGAATGATGACTGAAACAGAAACAATATTCAAAACAGGATTCCTCATAATCTTCTTAGTTTTACGCTCCTGCCCAAACACCGGCTTGGTACAGATTTAATGTCCAAAACACTTTTAAAAGACTCAAGGGTCGCAAACATGATAGTGTCCACGTTAGTTGGTATGTTTTGTGGTGTTTTGGGATAATAAAAATTCAGACAGAAAGGAAATAAAACAAAAGTAGGAATACTTTGAGACTGTTGATATGTTTTATTTAGTTAAAAGAGAATTGGGGATTATCAAGGTCAAAGAATAAAGGATATATATAAGATGTCTGAATTTAAATTATAAAATTATTGCATAATGGAAGTACACTATTTTAGTACAGTGTCTTCTTGCACTATTTTAGTTAAAGACGTGTAGAGACTAAAGAAGTGTATTTTCTTTATCAAGTATGGATGCTGAGATATTTATATTTTAGTGTAGAATGTATGATGTAAGTGTAACTGATGTTATTTTTATGATGATGATTTTATTAGAAGTAAGCCAGATCATCACATGTTTCAGCTATATAATTTTATTAAAGCTTCTCGCTAATGGTATTAATTTAAATGTAGGCAAGCATGCAAGCATACAAGCAATAACTATACAGCAAAAAATGAGGAATGACTTGATGGAAAACTTGCTGATGTCCTACTCATCCCAACAACTGATACATCCGAATCATTACCACCAATTCTTGTTGAAATACAGAATGTTGTTGACAAGCCATACATGCACCGACTCACCAAATGTTGTAATAATATATACGACGAAAACAACAATATTGAACCAATAGCACTCACTATTTGTATTAAGAATGTGCGGGTAGAAAATTCCAATATGTTTTATGATAGCCCCAAAGCTTCATATTTAAAGCAACTTCCATGCAACCTTTGGGCCAGAGACCACTCAATTATAACCCCTAAAACTATCGCAGATTATATTGATAATCATGACAATAATAATAAAGACAGCAGCAATAGCAGTCAAACCAGTAACAGAAATATCAACAACGAAAGTGATACCAGTATTAATAGCAAGCCTCTTCCTCAGTGTTTTGTAGTTTTTATATCTTGAAAAATAACCTTCAGCTAAGCCTTTGTCATAGCAGACTTTCCAATTCATTTGTTTACGTGTTTTCAGGTATTCGTCCTTATACTCTCTAGCATATTTCATATCATCGAGTTGTGGTTCAGATGGCATTTGTGGTAAGATGTCAATGCGTGTACTTCGTTTTGGGGGCTAAACATTGGGTGGCAAATCCAATGGTAATGGCATCATGTCGGAGTCGTCCAGAATTGGCCACTGGTACTTGTGTAAGCACGTCTCTGTATATAGTACACCTGCACTTGCCAAACTTTTCATTTTTTTTATGCCTACATCGCCTCCATCAGACACCTCCAGTATCCTCTTGAATTGATTTTTTGTTTCAGTGGCAACGTCAATTAATCGCTCCACCGTCGAATTGTGGTCCTGTATTTGATGGTCCAGTGCTTCTTTTGCAATTTGGTATAATAATATAACAGTGGGATCCTTCTTATACTCTAATCCAAACTTAATGAACATTTTTGTTCAATAAGTACTTACCCTACTACAGCCAGAGGAGGAAGAGGCTTGCTATTAATACTGGTATCACTTTCGTTGTTGATATTTCTGTTACTGGTTTGACTGCTATTGCTGCTGTCTTTATTATTATTGTCATGATTATCAATATAATCTGCGATAGTTTTAGGGGTTATAATTGAGTGGTCTCTGGCCCAAAGGTTGCATGGAAGTTGCTTTAAATATGAAGCTTTGGGGCTATCATAAAACATATTGGAATTTTCTACCCGCACATTCTTAATACAAATAGTGAGTGCTATTGGTTCAATATTGTTGTTTTCGTCGTATATATTATTACAACATTTGGTGAGTCGGTGCATGTATGGCTTGTCAACAACATTCTGTATTTCAACAAGAATTGGTGGTAATGATTCGGATGTATCAGTTGTTGGGATGAGTAGGACATCAGCAAGTTTTCCATCAAGTCATTCCTCATTTTTTGCTGTATAGTTATTGCTTGTATGCTTGCATGCTTGCCTACATTTAAATTAATACCATTAGCGGGAAGCTTTAATAAAATTATATAGCTGCAACATACCAACTAACGTGGACACTATCATGTTTACGACCCTTGAGTCTTTTAAAAGTGTTTTGGACATTAAATCTGTACCAAGCCGGTGTTTGGGCAGGAGCGTAAAACTAAGAAGATTATGAGGAATCCTGTTTTGAATATTGTTTCTGTTTCAGTCATCATTCAAGCGGCAGGGTTAAAGTGAAAAAGCGATAAGTTAAAAGCGACAACCGTGTCACTTATTGAACTAAATTTTCTTTACAATCAAATTTTTGAAGTAGTTGGTCATTGGTTAATTGTTGAGAGTCCATCAATAAAATTTCGTTTTTTGAAACAAAAGTTTCAATGGCGATTTTTTTTGACGGTGTATTCTTCCAGCATATCTTTGACAATATGACCGCGCGATGCAATACTAGCAAAGTCAATTGAGGCTAAAAATATGTCATGATCAATGGACTGCAAGTACATAAACATATCTATTGTGAATCAAATAGAGAGTTAGTATTGGGGTTTCCAGTCTCTATGCTGTAGTATTGCTTTACCTTGAGTGTTGCCATTAAAATGTTCCAACTTGCTCCTAATCTCATTATCTTCATTTAAGTCCCTTTCTTTGAATGGGGAGGAAGATGGACCACACACCGACACGTAAATGTTGTCCGCAAGGGAGCGGTCAGTCATGTTGTCTATCATTTTTTGGAGAAGTTTCTGGCGTTGTTCATTCTTAACATCCCCGGGCGACTTTCTAACATATCCAATGATTTCATAGTCGTTTTATTTTAAGGTTAACAATTGATGCTATATATCTTGGCAAATAGCTGACTTACCCATAAACGGGGACAAGCGGCATTTGCGTGTGGCCTGCAAGCTTAATTGCCTTTAATTGAAATGCAAGCATCGAAACAACAAATAAATCACTCTTTTATAAACTATAGATCATGTGTACACCAGCGCAAATGTTTAATACCCACGACCAGATTATTGTGATAGAACCGATGTAACTTACGTGACTATTTATAGTGGTACACGCTTAATACAATGATCCCAACTTGAAGCTGGGTTCTTTGCTTCAAGAATAGCTACACATGGCAGACTATCTCCAGCCCTAAGGTGGCACATACAAAAGAGGTTTTCGATGCTCTGGTTTTGTGTTATTTTTTGGTATCTTTTGGCAGCAAATAAAAGATAATGTCGACAAACCTTTTTGTTTTCTTAAAAGAAAAAAGAAGAAAAAAGAAGAAGAAAGAAGAAAATGCTGAAGAGATGAAAAGATGAAAAGATGAAAAGATGAAAAGATGAAAAGATGAAAAGATGAAAAGATGAAAATTATTTATATGAAAATAAATCAGAACTTGTTTACGTCAGGATGAGCTAATTTAGTGAGTTTATTTAATCACATTATTTGGTTTCATAACTTTATTCACATACAACTTTTTTTTAAAAGCTGATGTGTGATGATTGATTCCTCCAGTTGATAAGTGAAAGTTTGACTTGTCTCCTATAGTGAGCAATACATCATCCAAGATTTCATATTATACCAGCGGCACTGTACATTATATATAGTGTTTCAGGAACGATTTGCCACTGATAAATTAATTTTATTTTGTAAAAGTTTGTGAGCTCATTGACAATTTTAAAAGCAAAAACGATTTAGTTCCGAAATCGCATGACTATGGGGTACCAAAGTTAGTTTAGCAAAAAAATAAAAAAAGAAATGGCTTAAACGTTAAGAAATATCAGGCAGCTTAGATGGAAAAGCTAAAAACATTGCAAAATCTGTCAAAACTATAAAAAATAAGTTGTTTTGGGGCCGTTCGGAAATACAAGGACGCTTTATTAATCGAAGTTAAACGACCGATGCAAACTTTCTGGTAAGCTGTATCTGGTGAAAGTAAGGCTCGAGAAAAAAAAATGAATATATTTGATTACAAGCTGGATTGATTGAGGGTTGCTATGTAACATCTTGAACCGAAAACTGTTCAAAATATATCAAGGTCAAAGGAGAGATCGAGTCGCAAAAAGAAAAGAAAAAGATTATTCGATAATCAACAAACACGCATGTACAATACATTGAAATTAATTGATGTCGCCTCCCCTTTTCATTTTCCAAGAGAATAAAAAAAGGAGATTCAAAATAGACACACCTTTTTTTCTTTTGCATAAATAAATTTCTGATGTTACACTGGTATCTCCATTTTACACATGAAGCTGTGATCATTGGACTTGTATATATATATATGAAAATGCAGGGCCCTTTTCTTTTTTTCTTTTGAGTGACTAACATGACAATATGGAAAGAAGCCATTTCTAAAGTATTCACTCAGGTACAGTACGGATCAATGAGAAAAGAAATCCGTGAAACATTTCACACTTCAAAGGCTGAGTTATGATTCCTGTACTACACGTGCCTGTATCAGTCAACACATTGGTGGCGGCTAAAAAAAATAAATGATAATCAAATGATGCCCCAAAAAAGGTCATTCACTCCTTATTTTAGTCTCGGTCAAGCTAAACGAGTTGACGGCACGCCATTACCATCACCATTGAGGTGGGGAAGGGGAGAGGGGCCATTTTCCGGCTTTATGGTTAGGGTTCTTACGATCGTAAAAGGTGAAATGACGAAAGAGGTAACGATTGGTCTTATTTTAAAGAAAGGGATACCTGTTCAACATGTGTTGTATGATAAGCTTGGAGATTGCAGGACCATCATAAAAGGGCATAGACACACGAAAACTTTATAAGAAAACAAGAGATATATATATATGGTTTGATGTCATTGTTCAAGAAGGGATTTACCAAGTACAGAAGTGGGCTTGTTTGACAGTTTTCTTTTCTTGGAGAAGTGTTGTCATGGATCACGTGTTGTGCATATCATTTGTGGGTGTACACAAATACACATATGTGAATTATTTTTTGTTTTTGTTTTCATTACCTATCTTTCTCTCCTCTAAGTACACAAAAAAATAAAGGGGAGAAAAAACAATTTAGAGAAACTCGATAGGAACCATAAGCCCATCTTTTTTTCTCTTTCTTTCTCTCTTTTTTGTTTTCGAACATTGACGGCATTCAAGCCTTTTTATGCAGATTGAAGGAACATTATGCAATCGACCATTCAACCATCTGTTGCTCCAAACGGCCCATCTACGAGTACGCGTAATTCCAAACTAGATCAGATTATACAAGTAGGTATTTTTCTCTCTCTCTCTCGAAAGAAGCTAAAAAGGGAATTTTTATATGTAAGAATTTCTATACGAAAACTGCACAAATCATCGTTCAAGGACGCTGTACTCCCAATCATGACTCACGCTATGGAAAAAGGAACAGCCTGACGAAAAAAATTAATAAATGGGTAAAACAATTAAAAAAAAAAAAAGGATTTGGAGACTTCTTATTAAAGCCTATTTGTTTTTACGTTAGTTTAATATAGCGACGGAAGATGTGGATGTTCTGCGGGAGGATTTGAAATATTGGAGACAAATGGCAATACAGTCAACAGATAAAGATCCTCCGGTCATGATCATTGATGTGTATTTGGATACGTCGAAATTATCACACCATCAATCACTCGCTGTGGCCGATGATAATCTAAGATGGGGAGGGGTTGAACTCAAGTCACAGACATCCGATGCTCATATTGACCGTATATTGATCGAATCATGGGAGCTCACATTAAAGCAAGTCTTTCTAATATATTCGTGTGTGTGTGTGTGTATTTAGTCATTAACCTTTTTTTTTCTCCCGTTTTAGATACCCTTTGCCTCAGTATGCTGTAGATTTACCGAGCTTGTATAAACGATCCATTGTATTTTTTAGAGCACTGCATTCAACAGTACGCCTCTTACCTGCGCATGATCTGTATCGAAAACTCCACAAAAGTGCTGACCCAGATCTATCCATTGGCTGCCGACTCACATCCAAAGTAATCAGTAAACCCACAGAAATAGCACTAGGTAAATGAATGACTGAACCATTGGGGGGAAAGAAGGGAGAACTGGTGATTTTTTTATATTTAATAATTCGAAAAATAAGGTTCTACCATTTTGGAAAATGATGCAAGAAATCCAACCAAAACACACACATTTTCAGACATTGTAACACCAATGGGGTAAGTTATTATCAAAGTGAATTGTATCAATGTTTACCTTTTTTTTTTTTGCCATTGTATTTTAGCACTTTTGGACTTAACGTGACCTATCGCCGGAATTGTGATTTTAAAGTAGAGGATGCCGAAAGAGATCTTAGTGCTCAATTTATAGACATGGATGAACAATTCTTTACACCCACCATGGCAAAATATCAACAGGAGTTTGCCAGACCTAGACCTGTATCCATGTATTCGCCCATCATTGCAAGAGTAAAACAAAACCTACACTCATATGTACCTTAAAATCAACTGACTTCATTACATTAGGAAATAAGGCAACAGAGCTTTTCTCCTTCTGACCCACAAGAAATTCAGCCTAGAATACCTCGTACAACAAACAGAGATAGCTCAGCCTCCTCCTCCTCTAGACGTGCTTCTGTACCTTATGTTGTATCACCTTTCAAATCACCTTTCCTCGCTTCCTCGCCTCAGGGCGAGTCTATATGTAAGTTGTATTACCACAGTAAATGCGTCATCCTGACTCACCACTGTAATATATATATATAAAAAGTCTCAACCGCAAGGAATTATACACCACCTTCCTCTTCTGAAAAATCTCGCGTGGCAGACAGCGGATCCTTTGGTCGAAAAATCGAATTTTCATCCAGCTTTGATAAATACAAATCCAGTCCGACAAGCCGTAATGTAGACGCCAGTGGCATGATGATGCGACGTTCTTCACGAGCCAGTGATCACAGTCTTTTATTTAAAGACAACGATCATGACGAGGATGATTTAGAAGATTTCGTACGTTTTGTAGGCTCCAACCAGGAACTAAGATTATTTCAACTCTCGGGTTCATCTGAAAGTAGCGTCAGTAGTAGTAAAGTAGGCGCCATCTCTCATTTTCAGAATTTACGAGAAACACATACTTCCTTATCTGAATCTTTGTCCTCCAGTATCATGATTTCTCAGCATGAGCCTCATTCGGTTGCTTCCGCTTCTACACCCACTCCACCACCACCTCCATCCATCTCGGGTATTTCACCAGTTTCCTCTACCTCTTCCTCGACGGGCCGCTCATATCAGCCCATAATCCCTTCGCCTCTCCACGTTGAACAAAAGAAGAAATCTACATCACCCGTGCATATCCCCCAGAGTTATCCTCAGTTACGATCCTTGACCAATCCATCTAACGCACTGAGAATCGTAAGAGTACCCTTGTCTCAGGATGAAGAAGAGGAGAACAATCAGGACATGTTTACCTATTCCACGTACCCACAAGGCGGTCGTCATCAGGACCTTCACACATTGAGAACAGCTCATAGTCATGTTTTAGGTAAAGCCACTACCGTGAGAGCAAAATCTCCTGTAGATCGATATGAAGAAAACTACAGTCTTCAACGATCACGTAATACAGAAGGCAGCAGTTTAATGCAAGATCATTCCACCACAACAACAGATATCCATTCCAGTGGACAAGGAAGAACACATAGTTTAATGATGGATGATGATGACTCGCTTGTGTTTAAAATGAGTGAAATTGAATGTGAAGGGGGAGTGTCATCCAACACCGAGAATAATATGGTGTTTCACCATCGATTAAATCCACAAGACCTATTTAGTCATGAACAGTTTTTAGAATTAACACCGACACCGCCCGTAATAAATCGATTACAGGCGATCTCCATGTCTACCGTAACTGAGGAAGAAGGTCTTAGTACAAGTGGATCCAGTAACAAGAGCGAATCTCCTAAACTCAAACATCATCCTTTTAACGCATGGTAAAAATGAACGGATTCCATCTTATATATTCAAATCAAATTATCCTCCCCACTCACCCCCACCACACACCCTAGCACCCCAGGGCCGAACACATTTGTCGCCCAATGAACTACACACATTTTACAGGAATACAAAAAAAAACCCCCAAAAAAATGATCCAGAAATTAAGTTTTCGCTGCTACATAGGAATAAAAATTGTCGCACCCCCTTTTCTCCGTTTTTTCTGAGAAAGCTATCTTTGATTATTACCTTTTACTTTCAAGTGTCTATTTTAGTCTCATAAGACGAGGAGTATCCTTTTTTTTATTATCATTATGAAGAGAGATCGACATCAGTAACTGGAATGAAGACACACAATCGTATAAAAGATGTTCATTATCAACACTGCCCGCAACAGTGTTCCTGAAAACATTTTTTTTTCTTTTTATGAATTAAAATAGAAAGCTAATGGGCTTCAAAGCCAGCGAAGGATTGTTTTTCAAGGGGTGAATTCAGATGGACAACCTTAATTTGAAGGATGAAGAGCTTTTATATAATCATGGGACAAAACAGGAAATATCTAGAACTTCTTATTGTCTTCAAACATATTTTTCAGAATCACATGATGGTCTACACATAAGTCTTTACGTCGATTGACATGCCTTATCGTCTAAACTTTATAGGATGAGCGATTTTTGTTTTCTATAAAATCTGCTTCACAGTCATTACAATCTATTAATGAAACGCAGATATACAACTACCAAATTTTGATTTGCTTGGGGGGTTTTTGCATATGTTTCTATTTTAAGTAAAGGCTCAAACATTATGAAAGATGAAACAAGCAATTAAATCATCCTGACATAAGCTTGTTTATCAGCCTATAAATAAAGCTGGTTCACACACTTTATTCTTCTTTTCTTTTCCCTTAACATATTTCTTCTATCTTCTGAAAGTAACCAATAATGTAAAAAGGTTAGTTAGTAATGACTCTTGTTTCTTTGAAAAGACACTAAAATAAAAAAAGATATTATTGCGGTGTTGTGGCTGCGGCTAGTCTTTGCTATAGGAGGGGTGACCTGTCCTATAGCAGGGTTCTTGAGTTTTTAGAAACTCAGAGGCTGTGAATGGCTGTGAGTACACTGTAAAAAGTGTTATTTATACTGGCCTTCTGGTCTTGGCCAGACTTGCTGTAAGTGGTAGTCATAAAAAAAATACATTTGAAAAAAATACGGAGGTCTAGACATTTCCGTATTTTGACATCATCGACTTTGCACTAAATTCCCAAAAAAAAAAAAAACCAGTTATATGACGTTTTTGGAAAACCAAATTCAAGTTTTCCCATCAAAGTCCAAAAACGTCTGTAAAGGCAATACGGATGCTGGAAATATCTGCAAAGTAGTTTTAAATTCTGTACATTTTGCAACTGATCGTAAAAAAGCTATTAAGAAAGAGAAGAAGAAAAAAGAACTTGTTAGTGGTGACAAAGATAAACATATGAAAATGTGGGTGTTAAAGGTGATGAAGTTGCATTATTGCAACTTACAAGAGGATGATTATGCCAATGAAGATACATTTCTTTACTTTGTTCTGGCCCCTATTTTAAAAAGTTTGTTACGTATCAATTCACGCACTGCACTTCTCTTTGGTGAGACCAACCTCAAGTCTAAAGCCGCTGAAATCAACAGACATCTCTTTGATGATGAGAGACGATACGCTGGACCAAAGATCGATGTAATTGTGAAGGACAAAAAATACAATTTAGAGATAATGATAATAGAAGTATCGGGACCATTTGAAAAAGTGAACAACACGCTCTTTCTGGAAGATAGAAACAAAATTTGCAAGAATCTGAAGGCCATGTTTAAAAATATTGTTTCACATATGGAGGTGCCATCAAAAACTTTTATCAGGAAATTAAAGCTATACGGATTACAATTTTACAATGGACGAATCTTCGTTTACAGTATTTGCAAACCTTGCGACCACAGCTATGTCTTCGTGAATGATTACAGTTTTTCTAGTCTCGGCCCATCATCTATAAACCCGCAACAAATGCCATCTTTCGTCAAAAATATGTATGGAATTTTATATTTAATTGAAAACACACAACATATTCTTGACAAGTTCCTGGATAATATTGATATTGTTGCAGCCAATAATAATGTGGCTTGTTGTTACACAGGATAGGATCTTTCCTATAAATACGCTTCCTTTTTTTCATTCTTAATAAATATTCTTTAGTTTTGTCTTCACCTAAATTTGGGATTTATCTTGTAATTGATACTAGTAGTATTTCCTCCGCTTTTTGTTGCTGTTTGTTGTCTATTGTAAATTATACAATCACATCATCCTCTTACATAAACCCGTCGTAAACTCTTTTCTCTTTGACATCTAAGAACTATATTCTCTTCTCATCTCTCACTGTATTATTATCGATTTGCATTTTATTGTCTTATCCATATATTTTATCGTCTAAGATCACTACAGAAATACTCTTAATAATTAATAAACTAAGTTGACAACTAAAAGTCTGGTGCTCACTATCACAATTGTTATATAATAATAATTGTCCCTTTTTAAATCTAAATCCGTACTAGCGCTATATCAATATTACACAAGACGTTTTAGAGGAGGTTGTCGATGAACCAAGTCCCCATGGTTCCCCTCACAAAAAACAAAAAAAGGAGAACGATACATCATCCTGAATAATGTAATGATGCAGAAAAATCACTCATACTCCTATCACAGCTATTCATGATGTTGACACTTATATGAATTTTTACATAATAAAGTCAAAGCTTGCTCATATTGTTAGTCCAGATGAAAAAGGATCACAAGTTCATAATTTCATTAAAATTTATCTAGAGTGGCAAAGACACACTTTATTATTTGTATACTTTCATCACCTTGTGAGGTTTATACTCACGTTTGAGTGGGAAAAGCCTCTCTCGCATCATAGTAAAAATATGGGTCATTCATCCAAATTTCTATGTAATATGTTAGTGCTCATATCTACATATGTGCGTGCATATATATAGACAATCTATACATTCAAGTCTTTTGTATTTAGCACTGAAGCTTCTCAAGATTTGGAGCTCATCCTTAATCACATATGTATCAAAGAAGGCTTCTATAAAGATATGTATGTCAAATCTTACTCTCTTAACTAACTTGTGTTTTTTAACACTGTGTGCGACGACGATAACTCGCACAACATGCATTAAAACCAACGATGACTAACTACATTTTTATTCGAGCGCTTAACCAGCGTGAAATACGTAAGACACTATATGCATATGTATTTCTGCTTTTTCCATTTTTTTTACTTTTTCATCAAAAATTCATCTTACTTAAATGTGTAGCTTTCATTGATTTTCAGTTTACTTTTTATTGAAAAATACCATCATGGTCGATGGATGGCCTATCTGCTTATGAGGTGTACTTCTTCACAAAGAAACTCCAAATTGTTTATTGTGAGAAGCATATCAACTCTAGTCCCCAATTCTTTTGGATACAACTTATCGACTGAAGGTACCGATATTTCTCCATTCTTATTACTGAACTCGTGCCCGACACAATTATCGCTAGCTTTGAACATTTGTGAAATATATGCGTTTTGTCTTTGCGGTATTTGAGGGTATAAATAATATAAAATTGTAAAAAATCAATGAATATAAATTCACTCAATAATTTAATAATCATGTTCGTGTCTTCGAATTGCTGCAAACTGTTGTGATCGAGCTTTATATATTCATGTATACTTGATCTACACAGCATATTTTATCCATTACGATAATTTTATAAACACTTCTTTTAATGTTGCTTATTAAATATCCACGATTTACTTAACAAACTAGCACGATATTCATCAAGCTAAATACAAGTATAAAAGTATACATTTATTATACAATTATTATAAAAAGACATTGTTAATACGTTGTACTAATCAGATTATCGGAGGCCAATGACAATGCGAGGTTTGAAAATATAAACACGATAAATTTTTGAATACACCTTTTGCCAAAATGATGTCGCAAAAAAAACAGTGTCGCACAATTCAAGAAAAAAGTGTCGTGCTTTTTTACTTGGTCGGGTCCTTTTCTTTTACTTGGTCGGGTCCTGTGACAACATTGTATTTTTGTTTCAGTTTTGTTTCTTCACATTCAACCAACATGCACCGATTGTGAAGAAAACTTCAATTCAAAAGACACCCTCAAAAGACATAAATATGAAAGGCATTGTAAAATATGCACTATCACCGTAACAGTTGAAGGTACGTTCAATTAGATTCAAATTTACAATTGCTGACTTTGGGCTTTCAGGAATTCGCGAAAAGGTTATAGTAGAAAGAAAAAAATGATATTTTACAATGTCCTTTTTGCAATAAAGAACACTTGACTAGAGAAGGTATAAAATCTCATATACAAAAATCAAAATATAAAGCAGCTCTTTTCAATGAAAGAACCAAGACAACGAAAAAACGAAACTATGATACTGCCGTTTTGAATGCATGTGGTGCTTTATTGTTTGAGAAACCTCATCAAGAGATGGTGTTAAAAGTGGTTTCTTCAATAAACTTAAAGCCCGTTAGCATGGTCAACAGTGATGGCGAAGGATTCAATGTGCTTGCGCACGAAAGTCAATGCCAACAAATACAAAAAAACGATATCCAAAGTGCTTCGGTTGTTGCAAAAAAAAAAAAAAAAAAAAAAAAAAAAACGATTGATTGACAATGAACCTGTGGAAATAGAAGTGGGACTTGATGATGTGCTAACGAAAGGTGTTTATCGTGCTCTATTTAATCCAAATGAATTTCAGGAACTTGATGAGGAAATGTGCACCCTATTAAATACAGATTGGAGTACGAAGAAGTATATCAAATATTCTTGCTCGGCTCTTCTTGCGGGGATGATTATGGTGATCAATAGTAAAGCTATTTTGGTATTATGCCACGAAGTCTATGGAAGGACGCGGTCTGTAGATGTGCACAGGGAAGATTTTACTGTTAAATCAAAACAACCATCACCTTCCACCTCGATCCCCCTATCGGAATATTTGGGTGACAACAATTACCGACAATCATGGCTCAAAACTTATATTTGGTACAAAAACATTCAACTCACTGGTAACATCTAGTATCCGCATTGATAGTCCTTATGCACCAGAAGTTGGTCCATCCACACATCATTTTACTATCTCCAGCAACAAACAGTCAAGAGATATAAAAATTTATATACACAGAGTCTTGGAATAAAGCAAAGAAGCTTATGATTGAACCTCATAACCACACCATAAACTCTTATGATTTCCTATATCAAACTCGCCAAATACAGACCAACTTTCATTGCCGAAGTGCGTATAACCGATCAAGAGCTGCATCCATGATAATCGATAACCATACTTTGTACCCCTACAACATCTTCACTCTTTCCCAATGCAATAATGGCCCTGACATATCTGACTACAAAACTATGTCCGAAGTTTTCCGAGAAATTGCATTGAAAATATTTGTTGAAGAAGACAGTGATATAGAAGAAGATGAAATTGTAGGCTCTTTGAAAAAAAAAAAAAATCATCGAAGATCAAATACAAAAGTGCAAGTCAGAAGGCGAAATAATCAAAATACTCCAATCTGTGATAATTGAGAATAAAAAGGGAAATGTAAATTGGAAAATAAAGCAAGTAAAGAAATGAGACTCTATAATCCTTTATTATAAGTTGGAGAGTTTGTCATGATAAAATAGAGGTCCTTTTTATATTCAATTATTACTTCAAGATTTTTCCTGCGCAGATCGAATTGACTATTTACCCGCAAACTGGGAAATGGTAGTAGAATTAGATTTAGAAATCAGTTACATATGAAACATAGCTTATTGTTATATACAAGGAGCTAGTTGACCCATATCCGGCACTTCTAGAGCATTATAGTTTATCCATTCAATGACAGGGTCCTTGATTGGATTACTAAAATAAATTTATGAGAAAATAGAAGATTCGGCAGCTACTCGACCAATCCAGGAACGATTATGAAATCTGATCTCAGTTTGACATATGAGGGAGCTGGTACTGTGTCGTACCAATAGGAATGTATTCGCAATATGGTACTTATAATACATAGGTTATATGTATAATAATGGAGTGACAAGATAAGAGTGATTGTATTCGTGGAATTAGGCGTCAAATACGACACAATCAATATTGAACTTGTATGGTGAATCATTTTATGTCTGCTATTCCTAAAAAAAACGGCGTGAGTGGCATTTCTTTGTTACCATTTATTGTTGACGACTTTAAATCACTAGAAAGCGGGATGATTATGTATTCGGCTGAAGAAGACGAAAACGTTGTTGTTGTAACGCCAGTCCTTTGGATCGAAGCCGACACACCTTGTCATTCCGAGTTATGCGGACGGTTATCACCTACTTGCTTGTATCCCTGCCGAAAATGCTATATTCTTCTTAGAAAAGGAATCGCAAGTCAAAAGGGTGTAGATTATTTTGTCTTGCCACACGTTGAAAGGAATCGTGACCATTATGTCGTGGCCTCATCGGATTGTAGAAGACTATCTATTATACAGAATGCACCTACCACTGGGACGAATCTCTCTGATAAAGACCTATGCTGCAAAGGTAGGAAAACAGACAGACTGCTTGAATTACAATCCTATGATCCATCAAAAGATACTCCTGTCGAAGTTCTTCATGCCATTTTACTTGGCATTAGTAAATATATGATAGTCGATCTTGTCAAAACAGTTTTAAAAAATTGCTCTGCTATTCTAGATAGACTCTCAGATAAACTTAAACAACACCAAGAAGAATGTGTTGGATTATCTCGAAAATTTACAAGACAGTTGAGACATTGTGGTTCTTTTTTGGGTAGAGATTTTAAAATCCTAATCCAAATTCTTCCTATTGTACTTTTGTCGGATTTTTCTAACGAGGAAATATTAAAGAATATTACGGTTCTGTTTGTTCATCTCGGAAAACTATGTTCTTTGCTCTTCGTACGGGAAATGAAAAGTAACTTAAACGAGTATATAGCAACAGTGGGTAGAGCAATTAAGGATTTTATTAGTGCACTTCACTATTACGACTTGAATAATGATATTCCTGGTCATAATGCTTATACTGGAAAGGTGAAGATCCATCTTCTTACCCATATTCCTCAAGAGATCCGTCGATTTGGAACAGTACTACAGTACGAGACCGAAAAGAGAGAACAATTCAACAAGCATGTTAGGGAGCATATAACATTTACCAAAAAGCTCAATCCTTCTCGAGATATCGGGTTAAAGTTTGGTAAACAGTCTATGATGCGTCATGTTATTGAAGTTGGTTGATGGTTGAATGAAAACAAAATTAGAGAAAAGGCAGGAGACGATGTAGTCTCATTTATTCAATCCAATGAAGATATAGTATATTTGGATCTTTTGGGTGGCTCCAGAGACTTTATCGATAACACCGACCCTAGTTACAAAAGATTGACGAAGGCTCTTTTGCTTTATTCAGACATACCAATAATGACAATAGTTCTTTACAAGTTAATCAACAGAAACCTTTAGTTGGCGTAGTATGTGGGCCAAATGTATTATGTGGCGAATGTTCTTGTAACAATTTCGAAAGAGGTTACATCCCTTTGAACTTTAGTCAAAACCAAGTGTTGGTTCCACTGAATCAACTAGAAGTTGAGACAGTATTGAACGTATACAGTCGAAGTGATGGAACATATTTCATCAATCTTTTCAAATTTGGCTCTTATTGGGCAATGAAAAACTTAATTTCATAAAGTATTTTGTATTACACGAATTTCTTTTTAAAATAAAGTGTTTACGATAAGTTCTTTTCCAGTTACGTAAATCTCTATTAAATACTGCTTGCATCACTCTATGACTTCAGAGGAAGGTCTATTTTTCAAATAGAAATTACACAAAGTATTTGTATTCAAGCCAATCAACAGCCTTAAAACATTTTCGATTTCCAAAGTTCGTTTTTGTCTGTTTCAAAGTCAAGGATAACTCCGTCATCGTAATCAAACTGCCACCACCATTAATTTTTGGGCTCAAATTTGGGAACGGCAAAAGCGAAAAATGTGCTCATACCAAAACGAATTTTGGCCAATAAAAAAAAACGAAGATTGGGCTTTATAAAAACGAAAATTGGTCAAAGACCAAAACGAAATCGGTTCGTTGGAAAGCGAAAATTGGGGGTGGAGGCACTGTACAAAAGAAATTCTCAATTTGTAATCCTCATTGTGACTATCTTTTTTGTCCTTATATTGTTGGGTTTTTGTTAAAAGCTGGAACTCTTGTTTCTAATACAAAATAATCATGTCGGCCACAAACGATATCACACCTTTTACAGCACAACAAGAACCTGAACCCATCTTTAAAAAGAGATCAGCCAACAAAAAGAACCTGAAACGTAAAGCGCCAGTCAAGTTACAAAGCGATTCCGACGACGATGATTCCGAGGACGACATGGCCTCAGAAGTCGTAACAAAAGAACGCAAAACCGTAAAGAGTCCGTTTGTACAAGGCACACGTAAAAGACGAGTTAAGAAGGGTAGTGACGATGAAGAAGACGACTCGATTGGTGTTCAATATACAGCAGATCGTTCAGCCACTTTGCAAAAGAGTGATGCTGCACGATATGATACCGAGTGGGAACTGGAAAAGAAAGAAATCGATAAAAAGGGCAAAGAGGCTCCCAAGAAGGACGTCATGAACGCTAAAATGTCTGTGGGGCCTCAACGAGCTCCTGCTAACTTAAGAGTGACTCAGCGATTCGATTACCAACCTGACATTTGTAAAGATTACAAGGAAACCGGATTCTGTGGCTATGGTGATTCCTGCATCTTCTTACATGACCGTGGTGATTACAAGACAGGGTGGCAATTAGAAAAGGAATGGGAGGATGCACAAAAGAACCACACTAAATTTGGCTCTTCTGATCCCAACAAGTACGCAATTTCTGATAATGACTCGGACGATGAATTACCGTTTGCTTGTTTGATTTGCAGAGAAGAGTTTAAAAACCCCGTTGTCACCCGTTGCGAGCATTACTTTTGTGAGGCGTGTGCCATCAAAAATTACAAAAAGTCACCCAAATGCTATGCCTGTGGCAAGCCCACTCAGGGCGTATTCAACACTGCCAAGAAAATGCTGGAAAAATTAGAACTCAAGAAGAAACGACAGGACGAAGGCAAAGATAGCGATGTGGAAAATGACGACTTTATTGAAGGTTTAGAGACAAAGGACGACAGCGAGGAAGAAGATTAATACCATGTAGAAAAATAAAAATAAATGTTGTATTTTATCAATTGTCCCACGAGACAATCGATAGACATAAATAATTAAATGTGTATCGATAGGCATCTGAAGGATTAGATGTATAATGGTGGTATTAAAAAGAATTTGTACATTTTTATTATGAGATGTTTTTTTTTTGTTATTGTTGTTCATTTTCAATTTCTTCGCGGATATCCAGCAGAGTTACGATGGCTACTCAAAACCAATTGGAACAATGCTTGGGTATCAGGCTTTTGGCTGTGAGTCATGCATACGTGAATGACAGATTTTTCTCCTCCTCCATTGTAGTAGGCAAGTCGAATATTTTCACCAGAGATAATTTGGACGAGTTCACCCTACAAACAAATTTATTAATTAAGAATGATCCATACATACATATACAAACTTACACTTTCGTGACGAATTTCGATAAAGTAAGGGTCAATGGCAATGATGTAAGGATGATCATACAAGATATGTGTTGGAGTACCTTCCCATTCACAAATAGTGGCAGGCCTATCATGTAATATGTAAACAGTCCATTTTCTTTTTCTTCTTTGTATACCGTAACTTACTTTCTTTTATCTGGACGAGGCACTAAAGAACCATTGCGGTTATTGACATAAAATGCGAATTTATCATAGCATAACAAAAATTTGTCATTGACCCGATACATGGCTAATGGCTTCAGTGGTTCTGCATGACGTGTAACAAAGTAAAACTCAGGATCTTCAGTATCAGGAATATCACGACTTGCATGTAAATTCTCAGGATCAATGACTTCAAAACCTCTTTCACAGACAACATTGATCTTGGCCTTCAAGAAGTGAATATTACTAGCATCTGCACCAATATAGAAATCCTGTTACGAGTAAAAAAAAAAAATAGGTTTAGCCCCAAAAATCCAAGCATTGTTTTCTTTCGTACTATTTTTTTTTTTTTTTACCTTGTATTTCTTGAACCATCTCAAATAATCTGGCTTACCAAAGAGGGATGGACGATAAGTCAAGAGTTTTTCATTCTTGGGATCACGTAAATCACAGAAAGGTTCGAGAGAGACGAACACACTACTGGTATTCTTCTTCTTTTTAAAAACAAGCATATCGCGGCCGTTACAAAAGCCGATCTGGAAAAAGTTGACATTGGTAGCGATTTCAGCTTGAACTCGGTCAATTGCCTTGGTATTACTTTTGGAATCAAGTACATCGATAGGATATGCACGAAGTGCCTTTTCTAAATAATGATAAAAAACAGGCATATGTCAGCATTGTCATTTCCTTTTTCATCGCTTCATAAATATTTACCTGTCAAAACAATCAAGATATGATATTTTTCAATAACAGCCATTTGAGTTACACTTTCGCATTGAATAATACGACGTACAGAATCTTGTCCTTCTGTCTTGAAAAAGACACCGCTGTCAGTACCAATAGCGATCTTCTTTTCGTCCTTGCAAGACAAAAATGGCACGGAACAGTTAATACGGGACTGAATGCCGCCCGATTGATTCGTACCGACATTACGGAAATTAACATCATCCAAAGGTCGTAATTCAAATATATCAGAATCACCATGGCGCTTCTTCATGGAGGCCTTTGCATCATCAATGGCTTTTGTCCACAGTAACTTCTCCTCCATACTTTGGCAATAAAAGGGGTACACCGCACCACCACGAGAACCCAAATGATGCAAGGTCAAGGCTACACCAGATCCTACTTGACCACTAGCAGGCGTATTGTAAGGCGTATTTGTTCCTGTGAGTTGGTATCTGACATTGGATGTACTTGTTTGGACCACCAACATTTGTAAGGGGATAGGCTTTTTAGAGATTCTATACTCTTTGTCGGTACTGGTGTTTCGCATTTTGGTCATAATTACCATGTGATCAAACACGAAGGCAAAAATATCATTTTTATCCGCCACATCCAGGGTGCCACTACGACGTTTCAAAACACCCGAGTAGTATAAGCGACGGTTAGGATTATCCAGAGCTAAATCATGGACTTCGCCTTGTTTGAATAAAATACGGTCACGGATATTCAAGATGGCAAGACGATCCTTGACATGCAATGCTTGGTTATCAGCCTTGGAAGCCACAGAACGAATAATTTCGTAACTACGGGTTAAGAAGACATGATCGGGATGGTCCTTGGGCGTCTTTTTCAAGAGCCCCTCAATCAAGAGAGGATAACGTTGCATACGTGTGACGGGACAAAGCAAATAATGCCAGATGGGTAATCGATCCGTACGTTCATGCTTGGTGATCTCTTTGGTGAATTTTTCAAATTCGGGGTTATTTTTGATTTCTTGTTCTGCCAAGTATTTCGCCATTAGGGCTTGGGGACTGTACGTAACATAAGGCTTCTCAAAAAACTGCATATGCTGGATAAGAATGTCACCAATGGTAGGCACACATTTACCGACATTTTCACGGAAACGGGTCAACAAATCCTTAAACAAAGCTTCACTGATCTGCAGCAGTTCTTGATAATTATTAAAGACTGTTTGGCAGAAATGGGCAAGACGATCGTTGGAAATAGCTCCCGATTTTTCAAGGCCTTGAACAACAACCTTTTTTGTTTACAAAAATCAGCATAAAATAATACGAACAACACCCCCGAGCTACACTTACCTCGTGAAGGATGGTTAAATCCGAAAGATATTTTTCTTCGGAATACATCGTTTCGTTAAGAACTTCTTGTCTTCCGATTTCTTTGGGATCCAACGTTTTCAAAAATTCACGGTCCACACTTGCAGCCCAAGCCTCATGAGGCATCATCTGTCAAAATACAAATAATAATGCATGAGCTTTTTTTCAAACTAGCTTGCATACGTTGCATGTAAACTTACCCAGCCACCGGCAGGAGAACTTGTCGATTTAAATGAGTTGTTCCGAGAGATAGCTACTTCAACCTATTATGTATAATTTAGTTGACCAATCAATCTCTCTCCCTTCCTATCTTTAAATTTACCTTATCGTCATTAACAAAATCCTTTCCATTGTTGGGACATCTGTCAGAATAACAGCCGCCTTGTCCAGGTCTACATGTGTAACTATAACAGGGAGTCAAGCTAGGAAGGACACCAATGGGTACGGTATCATCCGAGACATCCTCTTCCAAGTAATAAGTGTCATCGGAATTATACATGGTATTGGAAATAATGGATCTCTGAGAGTACTGAGTAGGTAAAAATAAAGCGGGCTTGCATCTCATCAAAGCATTAGCCACAATAACACAGTATTCCTCAGGCACTTGTTCGTGTAATAATCCCTTGATGATAGTCTACATTGATATGAAATTAGCATTTCCCTATTCATCAAACCTCCCACATTAAATAATACGTTACCACTGCTTCTGAACCTGTAAATGACTCGTTATACTCGCTAGCACACCATAACTCTCTGACGTTTTCTAAACCCTTGACGTGACGGATAAAAGCGGTTGATAAAACAGAAAATAAACCATAATTGGGACCAGTTAATCTAGGAGGAGCTTCTTGCACAATTACAGCGGGTTCTACTTGACGAATATCTCCTTGTTGAGAAGGATGGAGTTGGATAGGCTCTTGTTGTGTGAGATGTTGTTCACGAACAGGCTCTTGCTGAGCAGGATATTGCTCATATTGACTGGCATATTGGTCACGCATAGGTTCTTTTTCACGGGGATATTCTTCTTGTGGATAATGATGATCCTGATTAGACATAATTGGTACTTGAGGGGGTTCTTGAGTCGTAGGAGGATACATATAGAATTGCGTGGGATCATTGTAGGTCATACCAATGGATTTCTCGCCTCCTTTGTTATCAACAATAGGCGCAGTAACAGGCGCAGGTTGATCCTCTCGACTGTACTCGTTGGCATGATAAGGAGGTGGATTCTTTTGCACCACGGTGGTTGGAAAGTATTCATCGTCACTGGTGTCAGGTGATACTGGGATAAAAGGCACTTCACCGTCATCGGGGTTTTCATTTTCCGGTAAATAGTCATAGCGTGGACGTTCAATAGTCATGATAACATTGGATCTGAGAGAGGAAGGGTTACGTCGAGTGGATTGATTGTAAGCATTTTGTGCAGCGGGAGGCACTCGGTATCCCGTATTGTTATTATTAGGTGGAAGTGGCGGTGTGCTTAAAGAAGAGTGAGTTGAAACATTTGTAGAAGAATCTGATACGTTCTGAGCGAATGCCGGACGAAAAGAGCTGGTTATCATCTCCTGCGTTGAGTCTGGATAACCTGAAATGGTTTGATATTGCTGAGCTTGTGTGGGAGGATAGCGGGGAGGGGAACCGGGAGGAGATGTGGTGGTCCCACTCAGGTTACGTTGGTGATGGTATTGCGGAGGTGGATATACGTTCTCCTGTTGATAATGTGGTTGATAGTGAGGTGTAGGCATAGAATACATATTTTGTCCGGCTGGAGGCGTAGAACTATCAATCATAGAACCATAATCATTGGCGGTCGAAGCAACTCTCTGTGGTAAAGGGGTCGACTGTTGAGGTGGGTAGCCGTCATAATTGTTACCAATAGGTGGATATCCCTCATAACTATTACCAGAGGGTGGATAACCACCGCTGCTCTCGCTGGGGTAATAGTATTTATTAGAATCTTCCATCGTATCTCCATGATTATAGCCACTGTGTTCAGTACGAGGTGGAAGTTGAGGAGGAGGTCCATTACTATTATTAGAATAATAATTGAAATAGTTGTTTGACTACCATTTTCTTATTAATAAACATAAAAGGGTAACATGTTCATGCATAAATTGACTTACGTTTTGATGTTGAGAGTTATAGTCATAACTGTTATATGTAGAAGGATGAGGCTGAGCTCCAACAAGAGAATTCAGCAATGCATCTACTTCATCTGCAGAATTATTAGGAGCATTATCGTAATAATGTTGCTGATGTTGTTGGTTGGCCATGTCACTATCGCCAAGAAAAACCAAGTATTTAAATATTTAGTTCTTTTTTATTTTTGTATTCGAAAAACAAATGGTGGAAAAGGGATAACAAAGCTAAAAGACAATAAATTGTGGTGTAATAGACATGTCTGGGAGGAAACAGTCATTTTTCAAATTCAGTTGCCCAAACTGGCTTATTGGTAAATGTCATATCATTGCATGTAAAAGCTCGTTATTAATTATGGGATAACGTGTCTGGTCAATTTCAGCTTTATTCGCCTTATGTTCACTGCTGCTACGTTCGAGGGGGAGATGGGATCCTCATCTCTATCCATTGATACAACGGAGGAAAATACAATTAAAGCAATATTTTTTAGCTCCGTTTTTGTCTTTGTTGATTAAAATATAGCTGCGATCCTTTTTGGAGGTTTGTCATTGTTGCAAGCAAGAGCTTCTTTAATTCTTTCCTTCAACTATGTGACGTTTATACGTGTGAATTTGTCTACTTACACTCGTCAATCAAAGCGAAACTCGACTCTCCTTTTTATATGGTTTAAGCTTCTCTTTAAATGGCCCCTCAAGTAACTCAAGACCCCGGACCCTTTTCTCGAGAATGATACTCTTGATCGATCATTTGAATGGGTTATAACAGATAGAAATAAATTTATTTTGATAATTTGGGGTCTTGCTTTTTCTTTGATTGATTTGTTTAAGATTAAAACCTGATTGTAGATAATGTTACACCTACCTTATTTCTTTAATTGCTGAATAAATTGGAGTTACAAGACATGAAAGTAAGCTTTTCATTTTTCCTGCACATTTAGCGTAGGTGCAATCGTTATTCATCCATTTAAATAACTTTTCTGTTGAGATTAATTTGTAGTTTTTTAACCCCTTTCAGTTTAGAAGTTGTAGTCCGTTAATCTTTTCCTGTTGGTATCTGAGGACCAGATAGCATTAATTGTTCCATGAACATCAGCAATAACATTGGATTTGTATCTACCTTTTTTTTTATAATCAGTTTTGCCCAAGAAAATTCGAGTTGGATTGAAGTCAGCACTTTATATATTTTGTTATACTTTGGCCGTAGTCAAGTTAAAAGGTTTGAAAAAGCTATCCTTTTGTTTTATCATAAGTAGTTGAGGATTTTAGAATCTATCATCTCTTCACTTTTTCTTCTTAAATGCTTTTGTATGGCGGATGCTGTAACGTTATGTATTGTGACTCTGTTGTTTAATCGATATTTAAGAACCTTTACGCTCGGTTGGCACAGGCTCACGTTTTATTTACTAGGAGAACAACAAGGAGAAGCAATACCCGAAATTGGGACCAACGTTATTGATCGGAACGTTCCCCACACCTGCCAATCAAATTTAAAAAAAAACACTAATGACTCGACCCCCCAAAAAAAAAACTCGTTCCCAGTGAGCTGGAAACTGGGTTTCGTCTCCGATTTTTTTTTTTACTAAGCGAGCCGAAAAAACACGTAATCATAGTATGTTCATGCAATAACTTGTCATATATCGTATCACAAAAATGTACTGTTTTTTATTTTTATTTAAGAAGCAATTTGGTATAGGATGATTATTGATGTTTTTTTTTCTTTCTTTCTTTTTTCTGAATGCTGTTTTAGGCTACTAACCCGGCCTGTTGGGTTGGAGCATCGGAGTCTGATTTCTTGGATGCTAATAACTTGGCATAACGAAGACCGCAGGCATTACATAACTCCTTGGGTCCATTGGGACCCTTTCTCCATTCGGGAGAATCCTTGCTTTGACATTGTGCACACATTTTAGGAATATCTGAGACTTCAATAGCCTTCTTCTTCTTTTGCTATAGTTACCATATTAGTCAAGTGTAACCCTCATTGTTTTGTCTATATTTACCTTTCTGCGCTTGGGGTTTGTGATATTTTCGAGTTGCTCCTTCAACTTACGGTTGGCCAACTGAAGTTGATGAAGTTCGTATTGCCATGAAGTACCTCTAACAGTCTCAAGTTCGGAAAATACATTTTCGTCATTGTCAGAGGGAGTATCCATCATAGATTCCAAGACAGGTTGATTGTTGGTGGAACCATTTTCTTTAGCTCTAATTTGAATAAGGGCAAATGAAGGACGACCAACACCAAAGGAAACATCACCAGGGTAGAAAGTAGAAAATACGGGAATATAATCACCCTTATTGTTTTGCATGGTGTGATGAAGATTGACAATACGACCTTCCTTGACCAATTCAAGAGCTCTTGTGATATCACGTACATTATTATCACCAACGTATTGGTAAAGAGTAGCACCATCAAGAGCATCCGCACTAAATCCAACAACCTCTTCGCTAGAAGGAGTGACATGCAAAAATAAGCCAGTTAAAGTTGCCTTTGTCCAAAATTCAGGGCCATTGGTGATATCTGTTGCTTGGACGATTTCCTTGCGTACCAATTCATACATGGGTCTTTCACGACCAGCCAAAATCAAACATTTACGTCCCTTGCTTTGATCAACATGGATTTTACCTTGACATTCCATCCACATGTAGCCGGAGTATTTACGACGAACACGGAAGATAAGGTTGACGACCTTGTCTGTGTTACCTGCGGCTTCCTTGATCTCACGCATCACAGGTACAATATCGGATGGATGACAAATAGAGGATAAAGGATGACCGACCAGCTCCTCAGGATCATGCTCTAATAAATGAGAAGAGGAACGAGAACAGTAAAGAAAGAAACCCTTCAAGGATAATACGTGAATAAAATCTTCTGATTGATCCAAAAGAAGCTTGTTCCATTCCTGTTGTAATTGTTGTTCATTATCTCCAGCACAGTTAACCAGTTCAAGAATCTCAGCCGAAGCCAAAGTGGAAGAAGCGGGTGCTGTGGTAGGCAACTCACGGAAGTAGTCATCCACAGGTTCAGAACTATAACCTAATTTTACAGTATATTTTAGCATACAAATACACAAACAGCGGCACCAGAAAATATTTTTTTTGACTTACTACTTCCGGGGATGTAAGGGGGTATGTTCATCTGTTGGTAATTAACCAAATAAGTACCATCTATTAATAAGTTGTTAATTTAAGTTCATAACAAAAAAGTCATGCATTTGTGTTACCCTTCATCTTTTCAAGAATAGCATTGGGCTGTTCTACCAAATCGACTTGCAAACCAACGAAAAATGCAACTTCGTTATTCTCATTTGTGATTGGAATGACAGTGATAAGGTTGACAAAAGGCTATGATAGATATGAGTATACATATATCATGTTTGATAAATAAAGAAGGACTTACTTGACCACCTTTACGGTAGTTAATAATACTGGCTTGGTGTTCCTTGTTTTGCAACATTTGAGCTTTTAAATGGTACACAGCTTGATTATCAGTGTAGGTACGTCTAGAACCACAAGTGACTTGACCATCAGGGGCTTGCAAGAAACGACAGTTACGGCCAACGATTTCATTGGCATGATAACCTGTCAAGTGTTCAAATGTAGGAGAGCAATAAACAATAGGACAATCATATTGGCGGGCATCTGTCACCAAAAATGAACAGGACATATCGATTGGTCCCAGATTGATTTGAGGATTGGGCCTATATTAAGATATTTGTCAGTATGTTCTAGAAGCCATCTACAAACTCCATTTGGGTCATGAATTTAAATTTACCTGTTGACAAGGCGAGATAATACACCCACCATATCAAAACCAGAACTGGAGTAGACACCTGTTAAAGGAGCTTCAGGTCCGGTTTGTTCAACTTCAACAGGTTGGAGATCAATGGTAGGAATCTCTACAAGTTGTTGATCATTAATAACAGGTTGATTCAAACCAGCAATATTAAATGGAGTCTCAGTTGCTGTAGCAGTTCTCTGTCCAGTCCATTGGGTGTCTTTTTCAAAGTGTGTCATTTTATCTAATTGGGAAAAAAGAGAGAAAGAAAGAAAAAAAAGAAAATAGGGAAAAAACCAGGTAGATTTTATATGTGAATTAGAGCAAGAAACGTCCTTAAATGGAAAACACTCCCATCTTATTGGCTGAGGTGATTTTCAGGATTGACAGACGCCTATTAAAAAATAAAGGATTAAACTTATAAAGTATAATCCGTTTGCATCCTTCGAACTCCTTAATAATGTACTACGACCCAAAAAAAAAAGCCAAGATTACAATTCGAAACAGACTAGTTTTTTGTGCATTGTTACATTGGAGACCCGAAAAAAAAAATTATACTAAAGAAACTTCTGTATGTGATTTCGAGGATTTACTACTTTTAAAATACACACACACAAAAATTATGTGCCCCCCATAACAGGGGGGGAGCAAGGCTAGGGATAGAGGGCCAAGGAGTCAACAGAAACTTAAGGAGCCCAAAAGCATAAAAATAAAATTGCAATACTTACCGAGCATTGTTACGGATAAATGAATTTACAGAACATGTATTGTTTTGATTATCGTTGAATATTCAATTCGTCTGTAACAATCTACAGTGGTTATTTATCATTATTATAATGTGCGCCACATATAATGAAAAGGGACAACAAAAGAGCAATAAAAAACCAAGATTCTTGTTCTCCTTTTTTTCACAAAAAAAAAAAAAGCGAACCCGAGTAGATAGCTCACAAGTCAAAATTAGAGAGAGAAGCACTGCATAAAAGACACTTGCATATTGGATTGGGAATATGTTCATTAGGTTATAAATAAAATGGTTAAATGCAATTTGGGGTAAGGGAAGGAGATACGGGAAGATCATGCACATCGTTGGTAAAAAAGAAACCGTCCTTATATGAATGGGGTAACTCATAAGAATAGTCTTTGGCAATCTTAAACAACAACAAATGATGAGGTTAGTCTTCAAATAAGGTTGGGGCGTTTTGCCCCTTGGTTTTTGGCCCGAGCATTCTGGCTTTTCACCTAATTTGGATTTTTCATATTTGTTTATTACAAGAAAAAAATCAACTTTTCTCAAAAAAAAAAAAATCAAGGGAATCAAAGGGGGGAGAAACTTAGTGAGCAACCTCATCGTATAACATTTCTATTTTTATATCGGTTGATTAAATTACATGGCAATATAAACGTTTTTTTTTTTAATTAACTTACGTTTAAGCTGCTCCTTTGTAAGTTGATCCTTGTATTTGTCAAAATCAAAGAAACTTTCAGGGATTGGTGGAGCATCAGGCTCGTCGTCAGGGTCATGGTACTATAGAAACCATTAATATTCCGAACAGTAGGATCTGCAATTAAACTTACTGGTTCAAGGTATGGATGTTTCAATGCTTCTTCAACATTGATACGTTTTGTAGGGTTAAAGGTTAATAATTTTTCGAGTAAATCCACTGCAGATGGGTTTGCATTAGGGAATAATCTGGCAAAAGGTATTCTCTTTTTAAAAGGTAAACTACGGATATAATCGCGTGCTCTACGACTTTTGATACCATAGAAATCATCCATGGTGGGTGTGCCCAATACATCCAAAATCAATGTGAGCTGATGATGGTAATCTCGGCCTGGGAATAATGGCTTCCCGCTCAACATTTCGGCTAAAATACATCCAACGGACCAAACATCAATAGCCTTTGTATACTCTTTAAACGTCAACATAATTTCAGGTGCACGGTACCAACGTGTGGCAACATATTCCGTCATAAAGCCGCTGTTCTCATCCGCTGAGTTGGCAGATCTTGCTAGCCCCAAATCACAAATCTATTTATACCTCATTAGCCATAATCCCCATGTCTCTCTCCTTACACCCCATTCCATTACCTTTAAATCACAATTAGCATTCAACAAAAGATTAGAAGGCTTCAGGTCACGATGGAGAACGTTGGCAGAATGCATTGCTTTCAAAGCACGCAAGGTTTGGTAAGTAAAGTACTGACAGTGATCATCCGAAAGATCCTGAGTACGAATAACACGATGCATATCTGTTTCCATCAGCTCTTGAATGAGATAACTATTTAAAACCCAAACTGTATGAGCATTACGTTCTTTTTCCCTTTTTCCTTTTCCTGTTATCACTTACACCTCTGTGAAGTCATCAAGAGATTTAGGTTTCATAATGTCCAGTATAGAGATGATCTAAGAACCTTAGGTTAATCAAAAGCCCTGATGAATAGATGATGTGTATTTTTACATTTTCATGGTTAAAGTATTTTAAGAGTTTAATTTCACGAAGAGTTCGAAGACAGAACATGGCATGGTCAAAAGGCAAAATACGTTTGATAGCTACCATTTGGCCTGTTGGTTTATGAACTGCTGAACTATTTTTATGTAAGTGTGTGTGTGTGTGTGTCATTAATAAAATTTTGTTTACACTGTCACTTTTTTTTATATTTGAATGTTTACCATACAACACCATAAGCACCTTCACCCACAATATCAATCACATCGTATTGGTCTCCACCGTTAAAATGCTTTAGACGAGAAGCAATTTCATCCCGACGAGACATAGTCATTTTGTTATATATCTAAAACAAAGAAGTTAAGGAGAAAGAAAAGGTCGGCTGTTGTCAATCAATCGGGCGGGATACAAACTCGATAAATTGATTTTTTATGTTAATTAAACACACTTTGATTGGATAATTCAATATTAAGGACTATTAACAATAAAATAAAAAATACATAAATGCTGGAGATCTTACTTATTTAGCCCCAAGATAAAGGATCCTAGAGTTACAATAACTACTCCAGTTGCCTCTCTTTTCTTGTGGTTTTTAAATGCACCAAGTTTAACCTTGGGAGAACAAAGAATTATAGTTAGCGCGAACTTTATTTCTTGTGTCTTGTATTCGATTTTGACAATGCACTGCTTATTATGCAACTTTACCTTTCTCTTTCGCTGTTTAAGCCGTAACAATTAGTCTTTAGATTCAAGGGGATTTTTTTCTGTGTATTATGGTTCCCAGCTTAAAGGTTACTACACTGCGCACTGCCAAAGTGTTATAGGAGAGAAAAATCAAAGATGAAAGATGGTGTTTGAAAAGCATGTGTCACAATGAAATTCGTGAGTAAATTTTGATGAACTTCACCATCATCATTGACAATAAAGGGATACTTGCATTTCATTGCAGCACATAAACACATCATATATCGTCATCGAATCTATTTGCTTTTATTCTTGTGCAATGTAATATTTTATCCAATAGGAAAGTGTAGGCTGATTTACAATGGAGGATAAATTATTATCATGGAGAATTCGAGTAAACTTTACCTTTTTTTTTTTTGAATTAATGAAGTAAGAAACTGTATTAAAGATTGACATTATGTATAATTAGATTAAAAAAGTTACGATTAATTGTATAAGACAGATATAAAGTGGGAAAGCAGATAGATAATAATAGAGAAAGGTGAAGGTGATGGGGGAATAATATATAAGAGATAAAAATAAATTGTGTTTTTTTTTAGTTGTTGTCTGCAGGTACAGCAGGAGGAACGCTACTGTTTAAAACCACATGGGCAGGAATTTTTGATAAATAAACATGCTGAGCTTTTTCTGCAACTTCCTCGTGGTTGTCGGATGGCGATTCCATCATAATGTCGTCTTCTTCATCTAGTGTGCTGCTGGTATGGATATCAGTAAAAGGAATGACTTGATCCTCATCCTTGATGCATTCTTCATATAAACTCGTCCCCATGTTTCCAGACAAGGACATGTCTTCGACATCATCATAATCATCCACAATATCCATTGGTGATTCTGTAGAGTGATATATTTCTTCACTCTCTTCATCCTCCTCAAAAACAACAGGTAATTCCGTTGTATTATGGATATCATGATCACTTTCATATTCTTCTTCTTCCTCATCGTCAAGATTAGACAATGCTGGTGAGTGTATCATAATCAGATGAGCTGGTAAAGTGGGAGGAAAGATCTTTTCGCTCTGCTTTATGGCCAATTCTTTTGCTATGATACTATCCTGCATGACTTTCTTCTCTTGGTAGGCTAGAAGACATTCGGGCGTGATAAATTCTTCAACATAATACCGAACATCCCTATCCTTGTCCGTCGATAAAAGATATAATATATCATCTAATACCTGGCCCGGTGTCATATCGTTCTCTGTCGTTGCACCTTCAATGAATGTGATTGTTTCTAAATCGTGGCGATAGCCAGCTAATCAATTTCACTGTTAGTTTAAGTCCTGTGGTGGATACATGTATATTAAAAATACTTACCAATAGAGCATAACGTTTTGATTGTTCTGGAAGTGGCAATACGTACATTTACCACTTTATCTTTGGCTAAACCAACTAATCTGGGTAAGAAAAATGAGCCAAAGTCTGCGGGATTGATACCTGCATCAAGCAGTGATCTACATATCTGTGTAAATCTTTTTTTTTTTTTAAAAAAAAAAAAAAAAAAATGTTAATATAACCCTATTTTATGAACAGCTCATGATTCATGTCACCTACACTAGTCTTGTGCGATGTGCAGATGATCGAACCAAGTCATCTATTTTTTCCATAACATGATTTAATAATGCCAAAGCGTACTTTTGTTGACGATCGGCCATATTATCTGTATCATTTTCACTTTCTTCTATCTGAGACAAATTTTCTCCATCATCGTCCACAGTTCTCTTCACAATGTCCAAAATAACTGGAAACTGTAGAAAAGTATTTAGCATCCTTTAATTAGCTCCCAAGTTCTGGATTTCTTGCACTTACAATTTCAACGGCTGTTTCTCTTACTGCTGCAAACTCATCGTGGCATGCACGAATGGCTAATGGTAGTATATGTTCTACTACTCTCGATGCATCAAACAGCCGAGAGATATCACGTAATTGATTAGCCAAGATATCACGCAAATGCCAGTTTGACATAACGCCATCCCACACCTCTGCAAGAATAGGTATATACTCATTTCTTGAAGTAATGGCGAGAACGCCTAAAAACTCTGATAAATGTTCCAAAACACCTTGTTTGACATCATCCAAATCCATCAGGTACAGTGCAAAAATTTGTACCAAATCCCTTTCCGTGCGTTCGGGACCAATGATACGTGCAATGTCATGAAGTGAATACGCAAAAGTTCTACGTACTTTGAGCTGGTAATCTTTGGTTAAATTCAAATAAGTATCCTTTAAATGAGTGTCCCAATACTCGACACCTGCTGTTAATACTACGGCGGGATAGTTGTAAGCACAGTTATGAATACGCTCCGTGTCCGTTTTAAACATCTGGTTGGCGCTGGTAGTTGTATTTCCCAAAGATAAAAAGAAATCCAACAGCTCTTCTGGTACTTTTCCGGGGTTTCCTGTCTCCTTCCAATCATCCGGTAAGAATTTAGATATCATCTCGCCAGTAATATCAGCTAATGAATTGCGCACATTTCGAGAGACATCATTCTTGAATAACTCTACTCCATTCACTGCGATTGTAGTCTTGACTTCATTTGGTAAAACTTCACAAAGAAAAGGTAATGCAAATACACATGCTCTTCTAACGTGCCAGATTGTGTCTACTGAAAGCTTTAAATAAAGAGGCAGCTTATTTTAAATCAAAGAAAAAATTTAGCATGTGGCAATTGAAGTATTTGTTTGTCTTTTTTTCTCCTTACAAGTCTATCTAAGGCCGTTTTGGGATCAACAGAAGTCGAAAGACTTCCGACAGCAGCGGCAGCTTCTTTTCTCACATAGAACATTGGATCAGAAACCATGCTTTCCACAATAGGTAAAAATTTATCTGTGCAACCTTCTGGGCCAAAGACTTGAGCCAAAGCCGAAATTAACTAGGATAAATAGAAATCATAAGTATGACCAATAAATGACAAATTATATAAAAAAAGAAAAGCACATGTACCATTAAGCAAACCATCTTTGCCAAGTTTATCCCTCCATCATCATAATGCTTTAATACGGCGTTTGTTGCAGAAGAAATAACCTTGTTTTCGGGTGTTTTATCAAGCGGTACCTTTTCAACTATGGCTGTCGAAAATGAATCCATCACATTAGCTGTTCCCTTTTCCACAACAGTTGCCATATCCATCTCTTTTTCCTCCTCCAGATCTTCTTGTTGATTTCCACTATTGACTATACTAATCAACCCTAGAATAATGCCTTGGAAGATTTCGTTGTTTAAGAGCGATTGATTAAACTCATATTGCTCAGAGGATTTTGGTGTATCTGCTAGTTCTGCGGCGACGGTGACAATAGACTGTTGTGCGATAGAAGCTAAAGTAGTGTTTTGATCTAACAAAAAGTCAATCACAGTACTAGCAAATGCATTTGCTGGGATATGAGGTTGCTGAGTTTCTTTATCATCTGATAACAATGGTGGTGCATTCTACGTAATAATAAGTTGAGTTTATACCAATTGCATTTTTTTATTATTATTATTATTCTTACTTGATAGTAAAAGTAAATGACTTTATCCAATTCCCCCGCTAGAGCCTCCCTAACAGAGTCATCAGTATCTTTACCTAACTCAATGATGATGGGCAAGGCTTTATCGACTGCATCTGTTAAACTGATACTGTGAATGGTATTTGAAAGTTCTCTGGTCACAACAAGCCTTCTCGGTCATTCAATATTTTTAATATTAAGGTTTTACAAGGTTCTTATTGTTTTTTTTTTTCTTAAAAAAAGCCTTACCTCTGTAAAACCATTTTGCTGATACTAAACTTCTCGAGCCTTTCCAAGGGAGATAGGGTCATCCCAATGAGAGATTCATCGTCCTCTTCATCTTCTTGAATGGGATCTTCTTCACTATCTGAAGAAAAGAGTTCCCAGTTAAATCCTATTTTACTTTTTTACTCAAGGTCTCACAGGTTTACCTTCGGTCATTGTTATTTGTAACAATGACTCGTCACTAAAACTCTGACTGTTAAATTGTAGGGAAGAAGACGTATCATAGTAGCTTTCTGGATCATCTGAGATAGTTTGTTCTACGTAGGGTGGTGGTTCATCAGTTTTGTCACTTGTCGTTATATCCGTATCTCGATCATGTACTACTTCATTCAGTGTATCAGGAACTGTGGCTGTTTTGTTCTCTTTTTTCTCATCAGATGCTTCATGAGGAATGTATACACCAAGATCTAGTTAAAGTATATGCTTTAGCAACGAAAAACCAGAAAAAACTGACGCATAAAAATATTTCAAAACCCCCTTCGATTTTTTTTTATTTTTCGTGTTCTTTCTAGAATAACTAACCTGCCATGACTAACTAGATGTATGAAATTGACTGAAATATATAGATTGAGAAGAATGAATTCACCGAGATTATATAACTGATAGTGTCTGCTTCAAATATATATTTCCGTCCAAGTAGAGGAAAGAAGAGAGAGAGTGAAAGGAAAAAGAAACTACGTAGAGTACATACCCACATAATATTCACTTTGTGTATCACATGCCCTGATATTCGTGACTGGTGTTAGAACTAACCACAGTGTTTTTACTTCGTTTTTTGCTTTCAAAGAAGAGTATTCGCTTTTATTGCGAAGAAGGACAAGGGGGAGATTGTAGATGAAAAAGTAAATGACACACTGGACTGGGAAGTTGAGTATCTCCTTTTCATCTAACGACCTTGACTCGCATTAAGCATACTGCGAAATGCAAGAAAAGGAACGGATAGCCACCTTCGAGTTGGACATGCTTAAAAAGTAGAAACTTCTTTTCGTTTATTTTACAGACACAATAAATTTTTACTAGACACTTTTCAAGAGACTATTACAGAAACTTTTACGCATACTGTGAATTAGAAAATGGACTACACTAATTATCATACTGGCCGAGTCAGTTCTGGTTCCCCATGGTTCTCAAAACTATCAACAAGAGGTTCTCCTTAGCCGCATGGCTATTATCAATAAATAACTGAGAAAGCATGGTCTAATAACTGAAGAAAATATTTCTTATCTTCAGAAAGCTACAAGAAAGGGCACTCAAGATGTTTATGACAATGGATGGAGGCTTTGGCAGCTATAATATTTAAAACAAGACCCTCTAATCGACCCGCAGCTATATGACACAGTCAATGAATTTCAGTTCTTAACCTCAAACAGTGGCTACAGTAGCAGTCATCTCAACACATTAAGTTCATCCATTGCATCGCGTTATTCATGCTATAGAGACACCAATTGCAACTCAGCCTCTCATTCAAGACTTTTTCGCAGCAAAACGGAAATCAGAAGTAGAGATTTCTTCAACTCAACAATCATCAACTTGGGACACTGACAAAGTAACAAGATATATAAAGTCTACCTGGGCCATCTATGAAGAACTATCTCTGTATGACTTGCAACTCAAGACACTTACCTTACTTTGTTTAGCAACCATGACCAGACCAAGGTCAGATATAGGTCGTTTACAATCAAGAGATGTTCACTTTCAACACAATCAAGAGGAAGTTTTAGGGGCTACTATTTATTTTTGTTAACCCAAGAAAACTTAGGTAAAGACTTCTAGGTTTGGTGTCCTGCGGGATTCCCAACTATGTCCAGTCCAGACATTACATATCTATGTTTATTTCCAAAACTCAAGTTTTACGATCAATACTACCACAAGACCACACTTTGTTCACCAAGGCTATATTTTCTTGCCTGATCCATTCATTTGGACGGATTTATAGTAAGTGTTTACCCATTTACTCAAAAAAAAAAACGCAATAAAAATATAAATAGAAATGTATACACTTTCAAGATTTTCCTCACGAAAATTACAATGCAATAAACAAACAGGCACAACATCGCTTACTTTATGAGAAAAACCGAGTTTTTCTTATGTATGCTCTCTAGATAATCGACCGACTGAGATGGTTTTATCTTAACCCAATCGTTAAAAACTTGACAATTAGGATTGCCACGGATGTTTGAGAGGATTCATTTTTTTTTATTTGAAAAAAGGGACTTTTTTTATTTTATTTTTATTTTATTTTTATTTTATTTTTATTTTATTTTTATTTAATTTTTAATTTGACGCTTTTAATAATTCATTTCATGCATTGTCCATAGGCATGATTGTAAGAAATATCTTCTTCAAACATCCTTGCTTCTTTTATAACATGAGCACCACCAAATACGAGCTGAGCTGAGGTCAACAGTTCGATCTCTGTGCCTTGCTCGCTTAACATCACCCTATCATCGTTCTCTATCACTACAAGACCCTTAACATCTTACCCCATGACCTCTGGATTATCATGTTTGTAAAGCGAAGACCGAATGGAAACGTCATTATATACACCAATATTACTACCACCACTAGTATTCGATTCATAAGGTTGGAGCTGTGGAATCAAATCCGCCTTTAAACTTGCAAACATCATGATAACTGAACATCAAAACGACAAGAAAAAGAAAGGAAAAAGAAAAGAAAAAGAAAAAATCGTTTGGAAATGATAAAATCGTTTGGAAATGATAAAATCGTTTGACAATGATAAAATCGTTTGGAATTGATAAAATCGTTTGGACGAGTATATTTTGAGACTGTTCATCGATTGGACTATTTATCCTAACTCTGTATGTTATCGGGGACTCTTAATAAAGTTATCAAAGAGCTAAGGTGATTATAAAGAGTAAATAGGGGATTATTTACTACTACTGTGGTACTATTTGCAAGAATAAAAGGGTGATGTGTAACATTTTTTATAAGGATTCAGTGATCGTTTTTCTAGAAGTAACGATGCCAAAAACAATGTGTGTGTTTTTTTAATATATTTACCATGTATATTTAAGAAAATCGTACTGCTAGCATTTAATGATCGTAGAGGCATTCGGTCCATCCAGTTCAGTTCAAAAAAAAAAAAAAAAAAAAAAAAACACTTATTTTATTTTTTCATGGATGCATGGATGCGTTAACAGGCGCCAGTCAAAAAAAAAGGGATGGATACTTTGGCTTGAGTAGTGAAAGAGACAATTACTTCCCGGAAGGTCAAGTTCAGCGTATCAACCGTATCCATTAAAATCATGGTGACGGTGATCTAAATTCAATTTCTAATGATAAAGTAAGAGATCATCAAACTCTTGTATGATCAATATGGGTAATTACATTATTCGATATCTAGGCAACTAAAGAAATTCCCAACTTCAAATCTCTTGCTTGGCTATCAGATATAGTATAGTTTTTTTCTTCTTCCAAAGTACAATTATTAATTTACATTACGCTTCCGTGGCATTTGACTAGCCCCGATATGAAGCCTACTTTGACTTTTGCTTTCTTTCCAGTTGTCGAGATGGGGGCCAAGGATCATTTAATAGCTCTTGAGTTAGTTTGTATCTTGCTCTAATTCTCAAGTCTTTATAGGCTTGTTAGTTGTGGAGTCGTAGGTTCTCTGAGCAGATATCAACCTTTTATTGTAGATGAGTACAAGTCAACATTTAACTGTATTTCTTGCTTTGAGCCTACAACAAAACAAATAATACGGGTAGGAGACCATAGAAGAAAAATGATCAAAGGTGCTGTGACCTGCACAAACGAGATCTGTACCAGAAAATTGTCCTCGCGTTCTTCCACAATTAATAGAGACCAAAAAGGCGCTATGAATATTGCTTTGATTGGTTTCTGTCATCTTGTTTCTGAAGACGGCCTAACTTTGCCACCGTTCCGAAGAAGCAATGATAATTCAAACAAGTATGGGATATCAGAAATACGTAATTTTAAGCGTCATACTAACAATTTTGCTTAAAAGGTTTCACTTGTCGAAAGACTTCCAGTGCACCAGTCTGGTGACGTTGCGGTCTTCGGGTGTTCCCGACAACTAAATTTAGCGGGCATGTATTGCACATCACAAATGTTTAAACAATTCAAAGTCCGACCGTAATTTTAGCATCAAGCGTTGAGGCACGTCGTTGGTCAATATACTTTTTGTTCCTAATTACTTTTTTGCATACCGAATATGGCAGCTGGATGGACTAGTTCATTAACCACTATCGCAAGTGTAATTTTGGTTGCTTCGACAGTGGTAGCAGATATTTTGCCCGCTTCCTCCAATGCCTCGAACAGTTCGCTTTTATGGGGTACATATAGACCTAACCTCTACTTTGGCACTAGACCACGTATTCCTGAGTCTGTCATGACAGGTTTGATGTGGTTTGATGCAAGTCAATTTCAAGGCTTTCAAAGTAAGCTACACTCATTCGGTTTATAAAAAAAAAAAAAAAAAAAAGTCAACACGCTCACAAGGTACACATAGAAATTCGCCATGCTTGCGATCAAGGGGATGGAATTGAAGGATACGGCTACCATAAGCACGATGGAAGAGAATACGCATCGCAAGAGATCAATGATAAACCCAGCAATATTAAATTGAGCACTGAGTTTATCAAGGTGCCTGGAGGGAAGAATGGTGGTGATTGGGGTGTTCGCATTAGTGGCAGAACTATGGACGACACCGGTATGTCTTGTTTTTGCAACTTGTGAGCTGTAGTGTGTTTATATATTAACCTTTTGTTAAAAATTAGCTGGATCACTTACATCGGCCATGTTTTATATTGGCATCGAAGGGGAAGGTGGTCTTGATATTATGAGTAAGCTGTCACAAAAGGTAAAAGTTAATGATGCAAAAGAATCATAGTGAGCAAAATTCTAACGTGAGTTATCAGGGTCTTGGATCACCTGTAATCTTGGAAGGTGACACACCTGAATTAGGTGATTTCGAAATACAGATTGTCGATGGCAAGTATATCGCCAAACTACCTCAGGCGTGACACTTATTAATTGTATTGGTAAATAGGTCCTTTAAATACACACCCAAAAGAGGGGATTGATAGAGACCTCAGTCGTACACAATGGTGGGGAACAGAAGTACCCCAAGGCCAAATATGGAGATCCAAAGGTAAACCTAGGTTCCCATTCTACAAATTGTAAGCAGCTAACGCCCAGTTCAATCAGATATTGTTTTACAAAACCTTGTACAGGAAGCTCGGGGGCGTCTTGAAGGCCCAAAGGGAAGTCAAGAGGATGCTATGATAAAGCCATTCAAATACTTTACCTTAAGTAACAGTTTGACAGAAGAAGAAGGAGAAACAGCCAATTTTTACGTGTTCCAAAAAGTATTTGAAGGCGATTTCCAGTTTGATGTTTTATTTCATTCTCAAACCTCAAAGGAACCCCTCACTAGTAAGCTCTTTCAATAATATTTATGACTTGCAAGTATCAACTTTTTTTTTCAAATAGGTGAATCACTAGGATCCAAATTAATCAAGAAGGAAAATGAGTTTAACACCAGATTTGAAGAGACATTCCATTTAAGACAAAAGGGCTTCTCCAATAGTGAAGTGGAATTTGCTCAGTATCTCTTGAGTAACATGCTGGGAGGAATTGGTTATTTCCATGGATCATCTGTTATCGATAGATCCCATCCACCTATGGAAGACGAAGAGAACTTCAAAGGAGAACCAGTCAGACCTGAATTATCACCTCCTCAAACCCTGTTTACTGCAACGCCCAGTCGACCTTTCTTTCCCCGTGGTTTCTATTGGGATGAAGGATTTCATCAACTTTTGATTGGAGAATGGGATAATGATCTTAGTCTGGACATTATCAAGCATTGGACAGATTTAATTGACGAGAATGGATGGGTTGGCCGAGAGCAAATCCTAGGAGAAGAAGCTCGTAGCAAAGTGCCCTCCGAATTTCAAACTCAGTTCCATCATTATGCTAATCCTCCTACTCTATACCTCTCCATCAAACGTTATATTGACCGTTTAGACAAGCAATCACAAGATATCATCTTTGAACAAACAAATAGGCAGATGAAGATGGGCGTTCTGGATGATAATAAGGTGCTTCGCAATTTGCATTTACAAGACCCTGAATTAGCAGATGAATGGCTTAAATCTATCTATCCCAAGCTTCGTCAAAATTGGCTTTGGTTCCGTGCTACACAGCACGGCGATCTTGATAGGTTTGGTCGTAAAGCACCCAACAAGGAGGCGTATCGCTGGAGAGGTCGAACACCTAACCATACATTAACTTCAGGTCTGGATGATTATCCTCGTGGAGAACCTAGTGTAGGGGAACTTCATCTAGATCTTCATTCGTGGATGGCTTTTGGTACTGGTCTTTTAAAGAATATTGCCCATAAATTAGGACCCGAATATGCAGATGATATGAATGAATACACCAAGATTCAAAAGGATATGTTGGTTAATTTAGACATTTTGCATTGGAATGAGGCCGAAAATATGTACTGTGATCAAGCCCTCGAAAACAATGAGCCTGTTCATATTTGTCACAAGGGATACCTCTCACTTTTCCCTTTAAATTTGGGTCTTTTGTCTGCGGATTCGCCCAAGTTGGGATCTATTTTGGACATGATTGAAAATGAGCATGAACTTTGGTCTCCTTATGGCCTCCGTTCGTTATCTGCCTCCGATGAATTTTTTGGGACAGGAGAGAACTACTGGCGTGGACCTATCTGGATTAACATCAATTATTTGACACTTCAAAGCTTGTATAAAAATTACATTCACGTTCCTGGTCCGTATCAGGCACAAGCACAGAAAACTTATACCAAATTGAGAGATGCAGTCATTCGTAATGTTTACAAGGTAGGTTAATTGATTCATAAGTTTGATAATTGATATTAATCCTCCTTCTTGCAACAGAATTACAAAAAGACCGGTTATGTCTGGGAACAGTATTCTGAAAACGATGGAAAGGGTTTGAAAAGTCACCCATTTACTGGTTGGACGAGTTTAATTTTGCTTATTATGGCAGAAGAATATTAAAATGAAATAAATTTATTTTTTGTTACACATCATAATGCAATCAGTTTTGTTTTAAAAACGGTTATCAGAACTTCCCCCGCGTCCACGACCTCTGCCACCACGTCCTCTGCCTCGACCGCCACGACCGCCGCGACCTCCACGGGAATCATATCCACCTCCACCGTTGTTATTGTTAAAACTATTGCCATTATTGTTATTATGGCCGTTATTGCCATTGTTATTGGCACGTGATGAGTTAGAGTTTTCTCTGGAGGTGTTTTGGTGAGAGGGGTTGCTGATATTAATAACATTAGAATAAGGAAGCGTAATACCACGGAATTCAGAACATCTACAGAAACAATAAATTTTACGATTTATATGGTGTATCTAATTTTTTTAAAGAAAGCTTACCTTCCACCAAGAGTGGTCCCGCTCATAAAAGTGGTGTCGAATACAACATCAATCACCTTATCTTGCACGCTGACAACTGTACCCTTATTTCCAAGAGGCACAGATCCAGTATCACAAACATAAATTATACGATCACCCAATGAAAAGGTCTGGTAATTTAATCTGACAGGTGCATCTTTAGGCTTCAATAAAACCTTACGAGGTACACCACGAATGACAACCTTTTTAACGTCAAAGTTTTCGTAATCTTCATGATATTGAACAGCAGCCTTCTCAATAGCTTCAACATATGGCTTTATCCAAACTATTAGTACAATACGACATTAATGATAGTTGTTTCTTACCTTTTCTAATTCCTCTGTTTCAAAACTAGCTCTTGTGAAGCTATCAATCTTTTTGGTGTTAATCCACTCTTTCATAGCGCGGAGCACCTTGGATCCCTCGTTTGTCCAACCAAAATCGGAAATACTCAACATGCCACCACCCTTTTGATTTTGGAGAAGTCGAATGAATTCAGGGAACTTTTCGACATACTCACGTATAAGAGCGACTGCCGCTTGAGAATACTCCCAATAGCCACCAGGATGCTTACGAGTATAGCCCAATACCTTTTCACCGCGACTATCAAACTTCAAATTCAAACCAACATTGACACGAGAGTTTGATTTCTCGGTGACGGTTAAGGCAGAAGTTAATTTGGAAAGCGCCAAAGGAGAGATGTTCACTTCACGAGCAATGTTTTGTGCAGACTCGTAATGAATGTCATGTTCTTGTTTACGTGCAATTTCATGACCAAATTCAGGTTCACTCTGGTATTTTTCATCGACAGGTACGGTCATTTCGATATCGACATTTCCATTGGTATGACCAACGACGGTTGCTTGAGCACCCAAAAATTTATTACCCAAAAAAAAGACGTTGGATCTGACAGGGAAATCTTGTTCAACTGGAAGAGGAGGTCTCTCGATGAAACGAGGGTCAGGATTGTTGACCTTAATCACAACCATTTGAATGGGTACGAGATCTTCAAGGCTAGGGTTCACAAATTCCTTGACAAGTGCACCTTCTTCAGTTTGATGCATACCATTCAAGACGCATACATGGAACCCAACTTCAATTTCTCCCACAATAAGACCGAAACGTTTGCTTGGCATATATTCGGCACGACCCATACGGGATTCCCAACTTTCTCTTTCCTTATCATCCCAGAAATGTTCCAAAATTTGCTTCTTACCGTTATTGAAAGTCACGTAGTATTTCTTTTCGGCATTGGATACACCAATCACTACAGCTTCTTGCAAATAAGGATAATGAACATAGATACTTCTGTAAAGGAAAAGCTTGGCAATTTCTTCCATATCTGCGTGCTTGTATTTGTTCTTAATGGAGATTATAACAGACTCATTGCGACTATCTTGCTGGAAAACATGCACACCGTGGTGTTTGATTTCATAGGTATATGGAATAGTTTGGAGCGAAGGAAAACCAGCAAGGGCATCCTTTCCAACCTTGACTCCAGGAAGAAGACCCTTTCTCAAGGTCAAACCAGCTTCCTTTAAGCTAGGCAAATGGTAAATTTCTTCACGAACTAAACAGTGATGAATATCGGGGAAAACACCAGGTAAAGGACTAGGATAAACAGGTAAATCTTCAGGATCCTTCTTTGCTAATTCTTCGTCATAAGAGAATCGATAACTATCGCCTTCACGAGCCATATCACGTTCAGTCTTTGTTAATCGTTGTTCTCTGTTCAACATGGCCTCTAATAGACGTTTTTCATTGATGAAGGGAATCTTGACAATAGCTTCCCAGTCTTGCTTCTTTCCGTTCATATCGGTATCAAAGTCACGAGGATAAAAGTCAATAATGGGAGATGTGATATCTGTCATTAAGTCTTGGTAAGCAACAGGTAAAAGTTTTCTACTTAAACTTGGCAAGACACCCATCAATTGTTCATAAGGTTTGAAAGGTTGGCCGAGATTAAAATCATGATCTTGGAAACGTTCAATGTTTACAAGATCGGAAATTTTGGGGGCATAATGGTATGGATAATACCAACCCCATGAAGCAACACCGTTGTAATAGTATTGGAGTACCCACTGAATACCAATAATATAAGAACCCACGAGATCATCCATTTGTTCCTTATTATCAATGTCGATATCCATCTTTTCCTTGTAATAATCAGCTTTCCATTGTTTTAAACCAACTTCAAATCTCTCCTTTTCTTCACGTTCAACATCTTCGCGGTTAATAGTCTCAGAAATAACTTCGGCTTCTTGGTATTTCTTTAACACACGGTCACGAGCAGCGATAGCTTCCTCATCGACTGAATCTTCAGAATCAATATCATAATCGAACATGAGTTCCACATCGGTGGTTTTATCAGGGTTGGAAACAATATTACAAGTCATGTTCAAGTCCTTGGCAAGTTTTTCAACAAACTTACGATCCCGGCCTTTAAAAGGAAAATCAAATTCGAGTGTTGTTCCATTACCGGTTCTCTCGTTTAAAAGATAATTCGATACTTGGCGGAAAATCGTTTCTTGCATTTCAGTGATAACTTTTTTTTTTTTTTTTGAAAAAAAAATATGTATAAATACGATGTATATACTACTTTGAAATGCTCAGTTACCTAATTTGCCGTCCTTGGCCTTCTTCTTTTCCAATTGGTGTAATAACTGACGGTCATTTTGACCATTGGGTCCTTTACCAGAGATATACAGATTGTCCATACCTTCGGCTTCAAAAGCCTCCTTTTCAACCACCTGAGAAATTTCGTTCAAGATCTTTTGAAGTCTGGCCATATCGACTCTTCCGCCGTCTTGAAGATAACCTTCGCAGGTAGGTAAAATTTCCTTGTAAATTCTAAACATCAGACTCAAAGCTCCTTCACTAATATGAATGTTGGGTAAATTGGGTAAGAAATCGTTACCGACGAAGAGCGCTAATAAAATAAAATCATCGAGAACACGCTCAGGATCATAAGGAAAACTAAGGGAATCACTAATAGATTGGAATTCCATGTCCAAGTATTCTCTCATTAATGACAAATGCATGAGGTAAAAGTTTTGAGTATCCAAGCTATTAAGATATTCATTAGTATATTGAGTTATAATGATGATGGGATCAGATTTTGACGCATTATACCTCTTTTGTTTCTTGTTATTAGTTTTTCCAAAAGTGACTTCTTCACGTAATAAAGCGAAATGAGGGTCATGACTTAACAAACCCAACATGACAAGATCGGCATCAAGACCATAAAGACAATGTCTCACGTTGGGGTCATAGTTTGGCTGAGCCTTTGCGAGACGAATATATTCCATAATCTTGTGCTCACCCTCTCCAGGTACCTCAGGACCTGACAGTACAATTTCAACACCTCTCCAATTTGCATCCTCTGACACCTTCTTGGAGATAAAATAACGAAGTTCCGCAGTTAATTTCTTCATGAAATCGGTACCGGGAGTGATACAATTCGAATCAAATGCGTCTTCTTCTGGTAATTCTTCACCCTTCTCGATAGCCTTTTGCTTAATGTCATCGGCCTCTCTTGCGGTACGAAAACGACGCGAACGTTGTTGATTCATTTTGGCTCTAGGTGCAACACCATCAATGGCAAGGAAAAAGAATTTTTTAGGCTTGATTTTGGAAAACAAGTGATCTATATAGTTGAATACACCAATCCAGATTTGCTCTTCCGTGATTCTGAAATGGGCATTATCGTTGTTGTTATGAGAACAATTATGGATAATACCATTCATGTCCAGGTATAGATTATCTACCTTGTCTTAGACACATTTCCTTAATTTTCTTTGGATTTCTGTTGTACTAACCGAATTCAGGGATGCCGTTGTCAGTAATTAACTGAGAGCACATAGGATAACGTTCACTATAAGCAAGATAAATTAGTGTATGTGCTTTTGTACGCGTAGATATAGGTTTATATACCTTATCCATCTAAAGAACTTGGGAATACCCATATTATTATATATATAAAATAAAAGACAGAAACGTAACTAAACAAAAGAAACTACAGAGGTTTATTTAAAAAGGATTACGACGCCGTGACTATCGTTTCTCCGCCAAAAAATTGACAAGATGATGCATTTCTTTATTTTTGAGCTAATTTAAGATGATAAGATTTGGGTCTAAATAAAGAAGCTATTAAATACCGACAGATTGCTAAACAAAAAATCCTATTTTTACCTCGTAAATTGGCTATAACCTTGTCTACTCATGGAGAAACCCAATCCACTTTCTTTGGTACCTACCCAAGCTAACGCAGGGTCGATGTAATCACAACGGTTCATAAACCAAGTACCAGTTTCTATTTGATCACCGATCTCTGTTGCTTTTTCCTCGCTAGCTGTCCAAATACTAGCAGTCAATCCGTAATTGGAATCATTCATAAGCTTGATTGCTTCTTCATCCGAAGAAACTTTCATGATACCAAGAACAGGCCCAAAAGTCTGTACTCAAACATCCATGTTTAATTTTAATTTACCCGCATAAATAAGATATAAAAAATACTACCTCTTCCTTCATGACAAGCATAGAGTGATCAACATTGATTAAGATCTGGGGGCTTACGTACGCAGTACCAGCCTACAAACATGTCAATATTTGTTTTCAATCGTAAATAACATCATTTACCTTATCGTTAGGAAAGACATTCTCTGTATCGATCAAAGGTTTGGCGCCTTTTTTTACTGCATCTGCTATTTGACTTCTTACGTTGCTCGCGAATTTTATATTGGCCATAGGACCTAATGTAGTTTCTTGATTGTTGGGGTCACCAAGGATATAGGTCTAATGATCTTGCTTAATATTATTCAAAATATCCGAACCGTTTTCTTAATTACCTTGGCTAGGGCAACGGCCTTTTCTACAAAGGTGTCGTAGATACTTTCATCTACATAACAACGTTCGATCGAGCAACAACATTGACCGGAGTTAAAAAAGGCACCGTCAATAATACTCTCCACGGCGTAATCTATATCGGTATCAGGTAAAACGTAAGCAGGATCTTTACCACCCAGTTCCATGCCAGATCCTATTAAAAAAAAAGTTCTCAGCATCACATGACGTATATTTTTAGTGTGCTTTTTTTGTCTACCTATGAGATGTTGACTATCGCCGATAGCTTGTCTGATCTTCTTTCCGACAGCAACGCTACCAGTGAAATTAACGAATTGGATTTTTGGGTGTTGTACAAGATAATTAGCTTCCTTATCTTGGACATGAATAGCTTGAATTACATCATGAGGTACGCCAGCTTCACGAAGTGTTTCAACAAAAATATCAGCACATTGAGGTGTTTGCGGAGACTGTTTCAGCAAAACGGTGTTACCGGCCAAAAGGGCAGGAATAATATTATTTACCGTAGTAAGATACGGGTAGTTCCAAGCTGCGATCAAGAAAACGGGACCCAAAGGTTCTTTACGCTGATAACGCTTAACTACTCCAGGTACGTGCTCAATGATATTGTCTTTCAAGCTTTCCTCTGCGACAGAAATCATATAGTTTGCTCTTTCTAGCACGCCCTTGACTTCGCCATGGCCATAGCGAATAGGTCTACCCATTTGGGATGTAATAGATGAAGCTATCTTATCTTTTTTTTGTTCGAATAGAATACAGAACTTTTCCATGATTTCAACGCGCTTTGCGACAGGGACTTTTTTCCAGCTGGCAAAGGCCTTGACAGAGCTGTCTACGGCATGGTCAACTTCATCTTGAGATAGAGTAGGTATCTCGAATAACAGCTTTTGGTCCGTGGGAGATATAACTTGAATAGGAGACATGGTTTGATAAGAGAGAAAGAGAGGGGATAGATAAAATAAGGGCGGTTTTTTCTGTTTTGCATGACGGGCTTTTTTTTTGAAGGCAACTATTTTTTGTGTGTCACCGTTCTTTTTCCGGACCGGAATTGTTTTTATAGACGCCGTTTTGTTTCTTTTCATCAGATAGACAATAACCGTACTGATGAAAAGACACAGGAGATATTTTAATTGAGGTCAATATATATATGTAGCAGAAAATAAGAAGTATGATAAATTTATGTGTCAGAGAAATCACTCGTGCAGACATCTCCATGTATTATAGAAAGGGCTTATTTGAGGCCAGTTGTCATAGTTAGTTTTGAAGTGGTTTGACCGTTCTGTATTCTTTTTTTTTGCCGTTTTACTTTGGGAGAGTTATCAACTCTATCAGCTTTGCGTTTGCTTGATGGCATCCACAGCCTTAAAATTTCTCTTCTGGATTATTTATCCTTTTGTCGAGTATACAAGCAATAGACTTCGCCATTGTCAGTCTATAAATCACTTATCTACAGACCCTTGTTATTTCTGAGGCTACATACGAGATGATCGATTTTTTTTTTCTGCATAATGTAAGCTTCACTAATAGTACATACCGGAGACTATTTTCATGTGTTTCTACCACAAAAAGTAAGGCGCGTAATTGGAAGTGACTGAATAATTAATAACATTATCTTAATATAAACCAGCTCTTCTTTATCAGTTCATAAATAAAACTCGTTCACACTCTTTTCTTCCATTTTTCTTTTGCTTTCTTTTTAACATTAAAAGATATCAACTATTTCTAGTCTATGTAAACTCCATTTTTTTACATTGTAAACCAGAGATGAATTGATATTTTTTAATGTACATAGGGCCCTCCGCTGTTGTGTCTTAAGGAAAAACACGTCTTACAATTGGAAAAAAAGAAAGGTGGGCTATTTTATTTCTTTATTTAAGTTCAAGAAATAAAAAGATAATTAGTTACCATTGTATCTTTTATCTATGAGTATATAAGCTATATATACTTAATTTCATTTATTTTTAGTTCAGCTTCTGATTAAACTAGCTGTGGTGCTCGCTCAACTCGCAACTCTAAAGACCTTTCTTTACTAGACCTCCCTTTTATTTAAAGAATCTTTTTTATCTCTATTATCCTACTCGCGTCCTCTTCTAAAAGTAGGATTAATCTCAGGGGGATATTGAGGAAAGTAAACGTATTTGTATCCTCTACCCTCAATAAGTTGGCTGAACTCTCTATTTTTTCCGTAAATAGGGAAATTATCCATGATCATGTAAAACCCTTTAAACTGAGGATAATTGTCCATTTTATTCATAGTTTTTTTTTTGGAAATTAGTATAATAACCTATGTTTGTTCTTTTAGGTGTTTTTGAATTCACTGCAGTTGCCTATTGTTTCGGAGCATCCACAACTCTAATTCCTTTTGGTGTCAAAGGCACGTGAATTTCCATGTTAACTACTGCACTGGTTGAAATTGCTCCAAGAATAATATGACTGATTGCTTGTGCTGAAGGGCTAGTAACAAAAGCTGGAGTTCCCCTAATTGATCCTGTAGTAGGTGGTTTCATATCGATGTAAAGGTGCTCTCGCCAATGAAAGTACGATTTCCAGTGTAGCTCATGTCGGTTTTTGACAAAGTCTCCACCCATTCATGTCTTTCATTAATCTTTCCAGTTTGATTTCTTGCAACTGGGTGGCGAGTAATTATTTTAATACTCAAGTTACATTTGGTTGAAATGAATTTTTCCAACAACCGTTTCTTTGAACGCAAATCCTTCGAAATTTTAAGCAAGTTCCTCGATTGCATCAGATACCCGGGCATGGGGGTTATCGTAAAAAAAACTCTATTAAATGAGTCTTATGTTCGTCCTGAAGCCGACTTTCTTTCCTATGGACTTTGTTGGTTTTTTTCAAAAATACCCAATCAAGATCATCCATAAGTTTTCTAGCTCAATCTTGACCATTACGAAGTTTAATTGCAGCTTTTCTAACTGCTGCAGCACTTAAAATTTTTAGCTGCAAGTAATATAAAACACTGTTTTTGACTTTCGGAATGATCAGCATACTTGTTTTTAGATATTGTGCTAGCTTTGATAGTTTTCTCTGGCTGATCCATTCTATCAGGAGATTTGGAGTTGTTTACAGGAATAATATTGAGTAAAATGGCCCAAATGTTCTGTATTATGGGGATTAACTTCTTCTTTCCAGTCCACATAGCCCCATTTCTATTCTTGTCAAATATGTCTCCCTGACTATTCTCAAAAATAATCTTTCCAGTGATTAAATACAGAATCATTATACAAAGCATTTTTTCACAAATAAAAATAGAGGTGAAAGACGCAAGTTGGATTTATTTGGTAGTTTCTTAAAATGCGCATATTGGCCAATTAAATTTACGCAAATTGATTTTTGTAAGGGCGCAAAAACATTTTAAAACACGCAAGTTGGCACCGTGTGCACTGTTATGACCCTTTTTACTGATTTGATTAAGGTTACACCTAGTGCGTAAAGAAAAGTGACGTTGCTTCGACCACAAAAAAAAAAAAAGAACACAACCCGGTAACGCTCCTTCCGAGAATAAAAAAAAAACACTTGAAAAAGTGACACAATAACGTGGGTTCGCTGTATGACTTTGTATGTAAATGATGAAAAAGACCCTGGTGAGCGCATTTAATCAACAACTTGGAACTGTGTTTCAAAATATTGGATATTTTTAACCATTGGCTGAGAATTTTTTTTTATTCTTTTGCCCCTAATTGAATGATTCTCAGCTATAAATATATTTTGGACCTCACTTTACTTTTTTTCTCTTTTTTCCCTTTTTTTTTTTTGTTATTATATAATATCATTATATCGTCTATTGGATACTTCTATTATACAACATGAGTGGGATTATCTATAGCTTTGAGGCTTTAAAATTTAATGGAATCTGTAGAACTATTGCCATCAGTTTATGTCCATTGATTGGCCAGACCGACGGAATCGAACCAGTTTGTTATTCTCGTAACGTTGAATTAAGTGGAAATATCATCTTCCAACCATGTAAAGCATTTACTTGTCAAAACCTGTACATATATCTATAACAAAAAAAATCTAATTGCTCTTTTATTATAGCCACTTTGATTATTGATGTTGTTGCTATTATTATGACAATGATCATGATTTACCATATTCGCTCAAAATATACTGCTGTCGGTCGACAAGAAATCGTGATGTTCTTCTACATGTATATGTTTAGTACATTGCTTGACATGTTATTAGTTACTGGTATTATTCCCACATCTTCCGTTGTATATCCTGTAAGTTCCTACATACATATTTTATAGAAGCACGCAACTAACCCCGATTTTAGTGGTTTACTGCTATTCATATTGGTTTACAATGTTCAACATATTGGTGCTTGTTATTAAATGGTTTTGTTGGTTTCCAGTTTGCTGAAGATGGTACTCCCTTGTCTCTTTGGGTAACATCTCTTTTATTTATTCTGAATACAGATGTCACTGACTAACCTATTTTTGTTAGTCCATTCGTATTAGTTCATTTGTTTGGTTCCTTATTGCTGGTTTCCTTGCTATTGGTACCTTTAAGGGTGTTGCTGGTCTTTCGTATGAAAATCAAGCAGGATTATGGATCTTCTATATCGTTTTGAACTATTTCATGTTCTTTGTCTATGTTGTGTCACAAATCATTCTTGTCGTCAACACTTTAGATGACCGTTGGCCTCTTGGTGACATTTTATTTGCAGCAGCCTTTTTCACCATCGGCCAAGTTTTGATGTATGTATTCTCTGTATTTATTTGTGATAACACCAAGCATTACGTGGATGGTTTGTTTTTTGGTGCTATTTGTAACCTTTTGACTGTCATGATGATCTACAAGTACTGGGACTCCATCACTAAGGAAGATCTTGAGTTTTCAGTTGGTTCCAAGCAAAATGTCTGGGAAGTAAAGGAGTTATTGGGTGAAGACGAATTAAGTCAAAATTACGCCAATTATCAAGCCGCTCCCACCACACCTCAACATTATCAACCTTACGAACAACATCCATTTTAAAATAGATCCTTTTCTTACTCTTTTTTTTTCTGCATCACACACATACATAATACCATTTCAACTAAAAAAAAACAAAAAAAAAACAAAAAACAAAAAAATTGAAAATAAAAACACACAAAAAAAAAACTGCTGATGTTATGTAATATTTGAATTAAAATATGTTTATTCCTCTTTCTTTTTCCTTTTAATCATGGTTGACGTACAGACGCTTCCGATGGAGTCGGACCTATATCAAACATTAGAGTGTGGTGCGGACGGAAAACCAGGAGGAATCCTGATAACAAGTGTTGGACAGGAAGTGAGTCCTGGCATATGGTTGGGTGGATACAAGGCGCTAGAAACTAAAAAGTTCTTACAAAAAAACAAGATTTCAAGCATTCTTTCTGTCGGTCATTTCAAACAAATCTATGCTCAAGATGAATTTATTCACAAGGTGAGTCCATTCTTACATGCTTCTGTTATACCGTCAACTCATTCATTGTTCAGATTATACCCATTACAGATAATCCCGAAGCCAACATTATACAATATTTTCCTGAAGCCATTGAGTTTATTTCAAAGGCACTTCAAAGCCAACAAATACTGCTGGTCCATTGTTTAGCAGGCGTATCACGAAGTCCTACAATTATAGCAGCCTATCTAATGGCTACACAAAAACTACGATATAAAGCTGCCTTGGCCTTAATCAAACAAACACGACCCTTCATCAACCCAAATCCAGGTTTTTTAAATCAGTTGAGGTTATTTCAAGAGATGAATTATCAATTTAATCCAGAGCATCCTGCTTATTTAGAATATTTAGAGAAACACCCTGTAGATGCTGGGCACGCTGGGCATGCTGAATACGAGCATTAAAATAAAGTAAAATTTCCGCCTCGTTAAGGCTTTTTTTTTTTTTTTTTTTTTTTTTTTTTGCGCATCTTAGCTGAGCCCACTTGTCAGTATACAACGTGACGCTAGTCATTCTCTATTTGTTTACAAAACAAATCCGTGTTGATCATTTACAGTTGACTTTACTTGTTATATTGACTTCTGTTGAAAGTGAAAAAAAAAAAGTTGGTTTAAAACATGTCAATAACAACAATTGAACAAACAACAATATTTCAAACCTAATAAATGGACAACAATGATGATCAATACATGTTATAAAAAAATAATTCCATTTTTTATTGTCTTGTAATTCTAGGGATTGCGGAATGCCATTTGATGCATATTCATCATAGCGTCTTGGGCGCATCACCTTCTGAATATAATTTTTTAGTTATCTTTGCGTGAAACCAGAGTATAAAAGAGTTGTCGCACAGTCAATGCACAATCTTGGATTTCCAAATTGTAAGCATGCCCCAAACCTCTCTTTTCCGTACCACATTAATGAAATACCGCTTATGACACGAGTTATGAGACCATAAACTTCATGAAATATTTTATCTATGGACATTGATTGTCCCCAACAACCATCAACACTACGTAATAATGAATATGTAACACTTGATAGTCATTGACCAGCCGCAGATGGTTCATGAGCAAGTCTATTTCCAGTTACCAATAAAATCATGATTTAAAGTGATTTCTAAATTTGGCACTTTGACTCCTAACACACTTCAAAATGCTGAAAGTTAACCAGCTTTATTATATTCTCATCTCCTTGTTGCAAGAATCGAATAATTAAATCAAAGGAGTATCAAGTAGTTCAGCTAATAATCGATTTCTTAGTTATATACTCTTTTTGACTTTATTGCTTTCACAATGTCGTAATTTAGCGTTTTTTACACTAATACTCTTGTCATGCAACTTCTGGAATGGCTTTATATTTAAAGTTTGTTGTATGATGTTGTAGAAACTGCTGGTAGTCCCCTTAGGTTAAAATGTGCATATCAGATCTTCATATCAAATCCAACGACTCCTACATCATTAATGAACAATTTTAATTATATAAAAGAAAAAATTAATGACAATGTATTCAGATACGTGACCTCTCTCAACAAGTGCGATATACAATCGTTTTTTAGTTTTATAGTTATAACTGGGCACCAACTAGAATGTTTCTCTTTGTGTTTATTTATCACAACGCACGCAATGAAAAGTCGAGGGGCCATAGTATAGTAAGACTGCCCAGACGCGACTGTCACTACTGTGCGTAATTGGTTTATAGACAGCAGTAAAAACGTATTCTTCATACTAATACATATCTCGTATGAACACCAAAGTATAATAGCCAATGCTTTCCAAAGATTTAGAATTTTCGATATTGTATACACTAAGGCAATCATTGTAGGGATTTATTTGCCTTCCCAGGAGTCGAAACCAGATTGAACAGATAACGGATCATGCGAAAAAAAATTTGGTGCCTTTGAGTAAACAAAATCCCGTTTTATGTCTATACTGATACCGGCCAATCTTAAAATTAAAAGGATATAGAAACTACTAACTACTAACTAAAATACGACCAATGTAATCTATGTATAGGCGTTGATAATACGCGATCTTCTTTTTGTCAACCAGCTAAACCAAAGCCCTTATTAGCTTGCCTTTCTCCGGTATCCTACATTTCTTTTTATTCGCCCGTTCAATTCTACATCATGTTTCTGCCAACAATTTTAATTTTCTGTATTCTTAGGCCAATCACAACCCAACCTCATAATGCCTATTTTCAACGTACATGTTCAGAGAGGGTATTTATCCTCATTGATTACAATAACCAAGGAAATTAAGTTCTCATAGATGTTTTGACACAGTTTACTATAGCGCAAATAGGATGTTTTATGTACTAAGGTGTGGCACAAACTAAGTGACACATATTTACTCGCTTTATTATTTAATAATCATCATCATCGTCTTCATCAAAAGGATCCAAACGATTTTGAGGTGGTGGTGACCTTGAATCATCTCTACTTGATGGACCCCTTTGCTTCATTGCTTGGAGCTTCTTTTGTTTATTCACTTCCTCACATGCATCAATCCAGCCTGAATAGACATCAACGGGCTCATCCAAATCTGATTCATTTTTTTGTTAGATGTGCCGTCTATTGACAAATATTTTTCTCCCTGTTAAAACTTACAAGTGACGGTGCACTGCCAGGTAATGTCGCAGATCTTGCAGGATAGAAAACCTACCTTATTTGCATGATCACTAGTGCAAGATTTAAAATGCCCATTAGGTTGTATTCTCATAGTTTATCACGCGCCTACTAAATAAATATTGCTTACATTTTACATTCGATACTATTTTCATGATTACAAAAGAGACAATTAAACTGGACGTCTAGCTTATCCTTGAGCTTCTTTTGGGGCTTTCTCTTGGTCTTTCTTTTACCCTAAACTCGGCTCGTTTAGTTGTCGTGTCTCAATGTGGTATCAATTCAATCAGCCATTGACTTACCATTGTAAAGTAGAATTTTGGGTAGGAAAGAGGAAAAACGTTATAAAAAAAAAGAATTTTTATTTTAGTAGCATACTTGCTGCATACACCACACATATTTATACGTCATTCGCCCTTTACTTTTTCTATTTTTCTACTCTTTCACCAGTTACCAAATGTTCAAAGGCTTTAAGTTTGAAGTACCTAAACCGAAAGAATTGACAGACGCTAGCCAAAAGGAACTGTCTGAACTCACTTTTCAGTTTAGTCGGATTTCAGCAAATGAAGGAAGTCGACTTGAATCATTTCAAAGTCATCGATCCCCACTAGCAAATAGATCTCGCTCAGAAACTCAAGAGAAACGACGTCTAGAAGCCTTGGAATTCCAGAAAAAAGTGGGTACGTTATATTTCATTGAAACAGGTTATTTAACATTTTTCATAGCAACGCAGCATAACCATATCCAAAGCAAGACAGTTAGCACTCGGCACACCTACCGAAGAAGAAGTCGACGAAGGCGATGATGAGCAAGAAGACGAGGAGGAGGAAGAACATGGATACTACCCAAAGCATAAAAGAGCGAGGGATTCTGATGATGAAATGGAAGAGGTTGTCAAGCTAACCAAACATAATCCCAAACACAAGAAAGCTGACAAGAAAAAAAATAAAAAGAAAAACATTCATGCGTAGGTACATAACAATAGTATTTTCTACACGGTTCACTGAGCATTTTCAACCGAATTAGTGATCAAATCATGTACGCAGAAAATCTGGAAGGTATCCCAAGCGACTTTATCGAAAATTGGGTTATGATGATATGCCCAAAAGGTAAAAGATGTTTGGTAACATCTGGCAGCGGAGAAACGATTGCTCGTTCAAGAGCCGGTAATATTATTGGACGTTTCCAGTCCATGATACCTAATGGCTCAAGGTAATTTTGCGTTGAATAAAAATAAAGATGTTCATATACTAACCAACCACTCCCTTAGTTCCAATCGTACTTCTGACTTCTGTATTCTTGATTGTGTGTACGATGCTGTGCATTGGACGTTTTATGTGCTGGATATCATGTGCTGGCGTGGATACCCTATTTTTGATTGTGACACCAATTTCAGGTATAAAGTATAAGATCTCTGTTGTTTGGGCTTGAACTGAACAGGTTTTTTTATGTAGGCATTTCTGGCTTCAAACAAAAATTGAACCTAGTGAATTGGATAGACCAAACAATGACAATAAATTCTACCAATTCAAGTCAGTGACACCTATTTTAACAAGTGAGACACAAGTGGTTGCAAAAGATCCAGAGGGATTTCTCGCTAAACAAGGCCACCACTATGAGATTGATGGATTACTATTTTATCATCGTCAAACCAATTATCGTGGTGGAAGCACACCTTTAGTTTGCTGGGTTTCTCGACAAGATGTGCCTACATTGTTAAATCATGAATAAAAATAAATTCCCAATCACATCTCCGCTAGCGTCCTTTCTCTTATTCTCACAATGTGGAAAAGAGAGCGAATGATGGTTGATGTTATTTCATTACAACGTACACCACTCGATGTGGGAGCTAACCAAACATTCAATAGCACGCTTGTACCAAATAAAATGACTGGTGCGGCTTTACTGCAAAATAGACAATGTTATCCTTTTCAAGGAATGCGGGACGATGCTAGTAATTTTTATGCAGGAAATGCTTACAACGTCAATGGTAACCTAGCCGACACAAAGAAGCGTTCATTAACATCTACGGAATCTAACATACCCAAGAAACAAAAACAAGAAGACCTCTGTCTAAAGACAAGTTATACATTTACGTCTAAGCCTTACGACGTCATGGACAACCTAATGTGTTATTATTAAAATTTGCTTTTTTATACATATTTTTTTTTCTTTTCTTTATTCTTTTCCCATTTTGTATTAAAAAAAAGCTATTTAATCTCTCTTTAACTCGTGAACTTGCACTTCTACGGGTTGGTCTTTACGAATGATAAAGATTTGAAGGTTATCACCTGTATAAATATCACGCTCAGTGGCAGAAGTGAATGCATCTTTAACAATCTTGATAGCTTCATCCAATTCCATGTCCCCAAAGGTTCTGTTTGTCTGATTTTTCTTTCCTACTTGATTATCCAAAAAGGGTTGAATTAATGCTGAAGCTGAACCACTTGCACGGTATGATTCACGTTCGAATGATCCAATAGCGTCATAACAGTATACAGCACCTTTACCGGCCTCATCAACACCACCTACAATACAGAAACTATAGTAGGGGAAAAATCTCTTTTGATACAATGTAATGGATAACATTTGTGCGACAGCTGTAACTGACATATCCTTTTCATGAGAAAATTTATACCACTAATAACAGTGTCAATATACTATATAACACACAATCATATCACATTACTCTACGCGATCTTATTTACCTTGAGCTTTTGATCAAGAACTTTCTTCAAGGTTAAACCATCAGCATGGAAACCGTTCATAGCGATAACAGAAGTTTCTGATAATTTATATGACTTTGGTGAAAATCTAGAGTTGATGCTGTAACCGGTACTTTGTCTGGTATCGGAAGCGACAATACAAAAATCCTTTCCTGCAACAGCTAAAGAAGTACTATTTTTAATAAATAAACACGTTAATGTCCCCATACATTTTCTTTAAGAGAAAAAATTACGCAATTATTTACCCTCCATTGTCATCATAAGGCTCGAATTTATGTTCGATGGGTACTGAACTTGCTTCCATTGCGTAATCCATGTTTTTTTTTAAAAAGAAATGGTTCTGAAATAAAACAAAAAAAAAGAGGTATCAAAATTTTGGACGCGCGGCAAAATCTACACCTTTTAGAAGGAAGATAAGTGACGTCAATAATTATTTTTGGGTTTTTTGTAGCAAAAAAGAAACTCTCTCAGACGGGCGGACGACACGCGTCAAGAAAAGGCCTCGTCATCGGTCTGTTAAAATTTATTTAGGCAAAAGAAGCACAAGGATTTTTTCTCTCTCTACATCTTTATCTTAAAACATGAATAGATTTGTTTCAAAATACTCATCTTCTCCTTTACAATTACCTCAAGAGGAGAATTTCGGTCAACTTTGTGGAAAATGGGATGCTGCTCAACAATTCGCTTTCCCTTCTTTTGACATTCCTGCTATCCATAACGTAAGTTTTTTGTTTTTCGTGTTTTAAAAACTTTATCTAGTAGCGGTATTCATTAGTTATTCATTAGCCTGTCGACTTTTTAAGAAGTGTTACTGATGAACAATCTCCAGAATACAAGATCAAGATTCAACACGGTACCACCACACTTGCTTTCCAATTTCAAGGTGGTGTTATTGTAGCTGTTGATTCCAGAGCTACCATGGGAAATTATATTGGTAAACACTTCAGTCATATCCGATTTGTTTTTAAGTTAATAACATTATTCAGGTTCTCAAACTGTCAAGAAGGTTATCGAGATTAATCCTTATTTATTGGGTACAATGGCCGGTGGTGCTGCAGATTGTTCTTACTGGGAACGTGAGTTGGGAAGACGTTGTCGTTTGCACGAATTAAGAAATAAGGAACGTATCTCCGTTGCCGCTGCATCAAAATTATTAGCAAACATGGTATATGCCTATAAGGGTATGGGCCTTTCCATGGTAAAGTTGCATATATTTGGAAATTTGGAAAAAAATACGGGAACGACTTTATTCATTTATTCTCTTGTAGGGTACTATGGTCACTGGTTGGGATAAATCTGTAAGTGTTTGTTACAAAAATCGAATGAGGAGCGGTAAATTAACAATGTCGATGTAGGGACCAAATCTTTTCTATGTTGATTCAGATGGTTCAAGAATTAAGGGTGATATTTTCTCCGTTGGTTCCGGTTCAACATTTGCTTATGGTGTTCTTGATACTGGTTACGATTTTGATTTATCTGTTAAGGATGCTCTTGAGCTTGGTAGAAGATCTATTTACCATGCTACACATCGTGATGCCATGTCTGGTGGCTCCGTCAACTGTAATGATTTATTTATATATGTATACTTTGTTTAACCTTTACTAATTTTTATTTTTTATTTTCATCATCACAGTATATCACGTCACTGAGGAAGGATGGAATTACCATGGTAACCATGATGTCGGAAGTCTTCATTGGGATTACCAAGACGGTATTGCCAAAGAAATTATCTAAGTTAATCCACGTCTCTCTCTTTTTTTTTCTTATATCAAATAAATAGCTAAAAAAATATACATATATTATCTGGAAGAATAAGGACGAGTTTATGGACTGGATGGTATAGGACAGTTATAATACTGTGGTGGTTTACTTATAGTTTAACGATACCTATTTGCCGTATATTTTCCAATTTTATGCCCTAAAAAAACCTTTGGTGATATGACTGACAACATTCATCTCGTAGCATTCTTGAAATAAAACAAACCAATTTCATTGGCTCTTCTGATATATAAAATTCTACCCCAGGGCAAAAAAAAAAAAAAAAATAACAGTTTACCCTATTGCAGACGTTTTCGACATGTTGAGAGCACGAAATCAACTCTTGACAGCTAGTCAACGTTCTGGGCTATTTGCACGTTCAAGTGGTCCATCAAAGCCTGCTATTGTTCGCTTACAACACACCAAGCCTAACCACACAAAAGAAACATTACCTGGTATATTCTCACCCTTCTTTTCAGCAACCGATGACGAGCAGAAAGAAGAAAAAGCACGACGAAACTATCCTCGTCAGACCGCTTACGACACAGCGAAATATAAAAAGCCACCTACACGTAATAAAATGTTGGTGCGTGATTTCATTGATGATTCACTTTATAATCCTAATTATGGTTACTTTTCAAAACAAGCTGTCATTTTTTCTCCAGAAACCGATTTTGAATTTAACAACATGGACGATCATTTGGAGTTCATGAATATTTTGGGCCAATTGTATAAGGATATTGAAGGCGATGCTGATGAAGTTGATGAAGTAGCAAGACAAGTGTGGCACACACCAACTGAATTATTTAAGGTAAATCAGTAAACGAGGTTATCCCGTGCTCTTTACTAATTATAAAAGTATAGCCTTGGTATGGTTATGCTATTGCTAAATATTTAGTATCAGAATACAAGTTGAATCTCTTTCCTCACAAGGACCTGATTATCTATGAAATGGGTGCTGGTAACGGTACTCTGATGATGAATATTCTCGACTATATCCAACAAAACGAACCCGCAGTTTATAAAAGAACCCAGTACAATATTATTGAAATTTCAGGAAAATTGGCAGAAAGACAATCTCAAAGACAAGATGTGAAAGAAGCGAAGGATCAACATAAGTGCGTTAAGATTATCAACAAGAGTATATTTGATTGGGATATCCATGTACCTGATCAATGTTTCTTCTTGGGTATGGAAGTCATAGTAAGTTTCATCTCTTTTTGTAATAAATTTTGTATTAATGCTGTCGCCCAGGATAATTTTGCTCATGATTTGATCCGCTATGAATTAGAAACTTTACGACCAATGCAAGCATTAGTGAGTACAGACGCAAAAGGCGATTATACAGAAATATATGAACCTGTCGGAAATGATGCCCTGATTAGTAGATATTTGGCCATGAGAGATCAAACAAGGTACCGCTCACCCGTATTATCTAAGCAACTTTGGTTGAAGTGCTTACAATCGTTACCATTGGCTCCAAATATGACTTCACCAGAGTTTATTCCAACCAAACTATTCATGTTACTCGAAACCTTAAAAACGCATTTCCCTCAGCACAGACTTGTACTCTCTGACTTCTCATCATTACCCGATTCTGTAGATGGTGTTGATGCGCCTGTTGTTCAGACTCGTTATAGAGGCACCATGGTACCTTGTTCGACATATATGGTCCAACCAGGCTGGTTCGACATTTTCTTCCCAACTAACTTCGAATTATTAAGAGACTTATATTTGATGGTGTGTCGCGGATCCAGAGCTGGCAATGACAAAACAGTAAAGGTATTAACACATCGCGAATTTTGCGAGAGATATGGTGATGTAGAACGTACAACCACAAAAAGTGGGGAGAACCCAATGTTAATGTATTATGAAAACATGAAAATGATTTTGACCTAAATAAAAAAAGTATAGAGTACACACGTTTTTCTTTTTCTTTGTTGGTGTGTACATGTGAATTAAAAACGGTGACTTAATAAATAATGTGAAATATGCGATTTGAAGGTTTAACCCACGTTCGTAGCTTACCGAAAATGGATAAAAAAAGATGAATACTGTGCTTTCATTCCCAATTTACTGGATGTCTGAGATCCCACTTCATTTTAAATATGTTATTGGCCCATTGTGTAATTTTTTAGAACTGGTTGACTAACTGTATGAATTACGCTTTTAGTTATTCATGCAAGATTCCAAGAATACTTTTTTTAAGCCTTGTTCAATATATATCTAAAAGAAATAGAAAGCCATGCTATTGTCATCACAAGAGTTATAAGACAATGGATATATATTGAAATTGTCGATTGAAAAAATTAAAAAATGTCTAAATCATGATGATACGTCTGCTTTAAACTTCGCTGTGCTTCAAATTTATTCTTGGATAACAGGAAAAGAAAACAGTAGATGTGCTGATATAAAATTGTATTGATGCTTGAGTTTTTTGGCAACTTTTTTAATTTCAATGGCAAACGGCCAATCAATTTCAATTCCCGGCTGTTTAGGCATCCAACAGGCCAACTCAAAGCTTGTCCCACCCAGTAAACTTTATTTCATTTAAATAAAACACGAGGAGTTCCGCTCTCTGTGCTCTCTTTTCCTTACAAACAAAAAATTGTCTATTTTTACACTTTTATTTTGATTATAGATGACGACAATGAATGAGTAAACATTAACAGCGACTTACACATTGCAATATCTCAACCTTCACAATTTCTTTTCATAGACTTCATCTAGATCTGCATTCAAAGATCCTAATGGGACTAGCGGAGGTCCTTGCTGATTCCCGAGCAAAAGCCTCTTCCAGCGAAATAGAAAAACTAATTAGCAAGTGTCCTGCTGTTCCAATTAACGACGATACTGATATTCTCACAAGAAGAGAAGCTCCTGAACTTGGTGCCATGGTAATGCAGTTTCGCAGACTTTACAAAAAAAAAATTCTAATTCGAGAATAGACTCGTAGAAGTCAACAAACTATTGCAGCTTTGGTCAATTATGCAGTAAGAGCTAAGCCCGAAAATCAATTGGAACTTTTGCCTAGACTTTTATCTTACATGAGACACCTGCCAGCTTTTCGATGGGAGCCTGTTATTTTGGACGGTAAGAAAAGAATGTGGTTGAACAAACAGAAATAACTTAAAACTCCCTCCCTCTTCTTCCTGTAAATCAGGCCCTCCTCCCCCTGACGCTATCACATATAGCTTAGTTGCAGGTCTTTTGGAGATTGGAGACAAAAATCCTGAACGCTACGAACAGATTATAAATGCTTTGTGGGACTACGCTCAATGCATTATTCACCTCATGTCTGAAAATGGTATGTGAGAAAGATTTCTTTTTTTTTTGGGTAAATGATTATTGTCATGTTAATTTTTTTTTTATCGTAGTTGAATTTACAGTTACTTTTATTCTTCCTTCATTGGCTGGTCTTTCTAGAGCTCTTCAATTGTCACCCTTCCTTTATAAACCCGACCAATTATTGGCTCTTTGCAAAAATACCCAGCCCTTAATTCGTGACGATACTTTGGATTTAATTCGCATCTCCATCAGTAGCTGTCTCAGAGATGCCGAAGGCACTGCATATAGTCGTCGTGTTCTGGCTCGCTATTGGGAAGATGGGATACCCCTTAGTTCCAACCGTGTTATTCACGATTTATTGATTGTTTTTAGAAATGTGCTTGCTCGGGTTATTGCACATTCGAATCCCACGACCGACACCGTTACACCAATTATTGTACCAGTCAAAAAATTCGCCCGTTTATATTTACCTCATGATGTCGAAACCTCATGGTCCGTGCTCATGCAGGACACTGCGACAAAAATTCAACTGGTGACTGAGGTTGATAGAATGTTAAATAAGAGCCTTAAAAATATTTATGCCATGAGTCTGGGTTACTATGAAGAAATTCGCAAGTTTGCTGAAAAGAGTAACCAAGAAGGTACGAAATGGGCTCCAGACGCATATATGCAAGAAATTATGGGGACCAGTTTGGTAAGTTTAGGATATGTAAGCGCAGTAAATATTTCTTTTACTCATCTTTATACTAGCATGTTGCATCTTTATCATCCGTATTTATGCATGAAGTTGACGACTCTCTAATTGATCACATCACTGAATGTTTATTTGATGTGCCACATATTGCTGATTCATGGGTACACATTGCTTCTTTAGATGCCGCTGTGTTGCTTGCTGTAAAGTAAGTCAACCCAAAAGTACAATGATCCCTGACCTATACTAAACCAGTTTTCTTCATTAGCTTCACTCATTTGAACCCTGTGATGACTAACACTATCTGCAGATTTTTGGCTACACCATCCCCTGTATTTGAGCTTCAAACAGAAAATGTTAATGAAATCATCAGTGTTCAACAATATGCTATTGTTCGATTAGCTCAATGCGTTCAGGTACCAGAAAAAAAAAATGCAACCGAATTTCAAACTCAATTTTCTTCTTTTTTCTTTTTTTCTTAGACTAAACCTGAGGCACAAGTTTCTCAGGCTGCAATCTCTACTGTTTATGCGCTTTTAAATGAGATAACACGATATGCTGGCACAGAAAACGGAACAGCCAACAACGAATACAAGACATCCAATGGCAGTGCTATCTCTGGTGTACCCGCTTTAGAACAATTAAGTGATAAACAAAAGCAACAAGTTTCCGCCAATGTTTTATCGGCCATTGTTGGTATTGCTGTTTACTTAAAAGATGACAGGGTAAGTCGAATACTAATGCGGGAAGCGTATCGATTTTAATTTAAATCCACTGTAGATTATCTCACAAGCTTTCTCCATGTTGGCACTCCGTCGTAAAATGTTGTCTCCTGCTGCAACTGCGTCTTTGACTTTAAAGCTGGTTGATCTTGCTCTAGTCAGTCCCCAAGAAACCTATTGTGACATTATTGCTTTACTCTCTACATTTAGCCGTGAAGCTCTTCACAGTGAGAATAACCTACTCAACACATCTGTAAGTCACTAACACTTGATAATTTCTCTTGATATCTAACACAACATATCAGATTTTGGCCGCACAATTAAGTTTGGCCAAGCGTTTATCAGAGCGTCCCGAATATTACCAACTTTATCTTCACAGTCTTTTGAACCTCTTTGTTGAAAACGGTAATTCGATTCAAAGATCCATGACCAAAAACAAGAAGGAACATGAATACCCATTAGCATCCAAGCTTGGTATGCTTTTACCCATTATCGGAGCCTTATTGGAACATGATGATTTCAACCCCCACCTATTGCCCAGCGAAGAAACCGTCTCTCTTTTCCGTAATGTTTGGTTTCATTGCGTTTTGTTTGGTTTTGTGACCGAAACTATGTGGGTTCGTGAATGGCATTCTGCCATGTTGCAGGTTTCTAAGAAGACTCCCGTGTTCGTGATTGAGAGCACAACGAACTATCTTGAGAGTGACCTTGAACACAACTCAGTTTTACGTGCCAGTAGTGTTGCTGATAATGGACTGATTCCTATGCGTCAAAAGCTTACTAATTTTTTGCCCTCTCTTGCTTATGAAATCAAAAACTTCTCTTTTGCTCAGGTCATCTTTGCATTAAGTGTTTACCATGTCGAAATGATGCGTAGTCGCGTAGGTGATTGTTCTTACATCCTTCGTTATTTTATGAACGATGGTGTCAATACAAGCGCACTTGTCAGCTGCCTTGAAACCATTGCTGATCGTGTGTCACATGCTTTTGTTAAGGATGCTTCTATCAAAGCTTTAGGTCAAGTACTGGATACCAATTTGCGTACCCAAACTGCAGCTCTTTTGGAATTATGCTGTCATAAGCGTAAAAAGGTCCACCTTTTGGCTGTCAAAACTATTGAAAAAATTGTAGCATCATTTGCTCAAGTCTTCACAGATGGTGCTTTGGTTACCTTATTACTTGAGCTTGTCCAACTTGCTTGGCTTAGTTGTGAGGCTGAATATCGTGATGAGGTACGTGCCATTTTTCTTAATTACGCAAATTCTAATATACTGATATTTTCTTCATCTTATAGTATTCGCCTGTCTTTCATTTCACCTCTGCTCGTGTTAATGTCACTATTGAATTAGGTGATTCTTATGCCTACCGTAGAGAAGTATGTACTCGTCTTTATGAAAGTGCTCGCAAGTGGCTTCAAATTGGACTTGTCCGTGCGCCTGTTGAGGTGTCTGGTTTACTTCAGGACTACCTTGTCGAATTCAACCGCTTCTCGCCTGACGGTCTCACCGATGTTGTTCACATGGGTCGCTCTTTAGCACTTGAAATGGGAAAGACCTCTTCCAAAAACGAGTTATCTATCGACTTTGTTCCCAAGGTACCATCCATCTTCCCTGACGAATCCTCCAACTTTATTGGAAGCTTCAGATCAAGACAATTTTATTCCGGTGAGATTAGTGGTATTGAATACTTAATCAGCCTTCGCGCAAAGGCTGCTGAATCTGAAGAAGGCAACACACTATCTGATCAAATTCCTTTTGTTATTGAGGCTCTTCAAAGTCTTTCGGACGATATCGCTCACCACAAGGCAGTCTCTGTAGATCGTCTTTATCGCGTCATGCATCGTTCTGCTGGCTACGCTATTGCATTGCCCAAGATTAACGCAGACATCATTCGCCATTTAGTTCATATTCCCGTTCATTTATTTACGCCCGAATCTCTTGATATTGGTACAACAGTTTGGAACTGGATGCTTGTAGAACGCCCAGAAATCGAAAATAAGCTGATGATTGAAATGATGAGTATGTGGAGCTGGGCTCAACGTCATCGTAAGGGTTTATTTTCCCCCCTTCTCAATGTCAAGCATCCCTTTGTTAGCAAGATGACATACACTCCGTCGGACAAGGCTATTCGTGACAGCAACCATAGCATTGCTACTTTCTTATTTACCCCCCACATTACTTGGATCAAATTTTTGAGCAGCCGATTCTACGCCATTCGTCACCGAAGCAAACATTTGGTCAACATGTTTATTCGTTTGCTACAAGATTCTTTCCAGAATGCAAATATGATGAGCACGCATTCACTTGCTAGATATGCCAGATTCTCTCTTCTTCGATTGGGTTTGAAGGTGCTGCAATCTACACGATTGGAGGCTTTGGCAGAATACAAACTTCGTGCCTTGGTGTACGATGCAGCTTTCGACTGGTTCTCTCAAACACCCAAATGGCATTATGGTGCACGCAAGAGTTTGGCTTTGATGGAATATAAACTGATGACAGACTTTTACAATGCAGTCGTTAGTGATGCGCCCTCCCTTAGCTATCTGGTCACATGTAATTCTATCAAGAGCGCTAATCCCAAAATCACCGCCGGGCATTACATGTTTTTGAAGGATAAAACCAAGGATGACGTGATGAAGCAACATAAGAGTGCTCATAAGCTTTTATTATTATTTATCGAGAGTGAATTGACCAAACTTTCCGTGTGGAGCAATCCTCTCAATACTGTTGGTTCCGGCAACCCGACTAGCTTCAGTGGGGCTACCGAGCGATCCATGGTGACGGATGAATCTTGGAAGGAAATGATTCGATTTGCTTGGAGTGTATCTCCTAAGTTAGCAGTGCAGATGGATTCTAGATTTGTGCAACCTATTGTAAAGAAGGAACTACACCGCTTGATTGCAAACAACTCTTTGGATGTCGTAGATGTTCCCGAGGCACTTGTTATTTTATTAGGAGAGGGCTTATCTCCTACAGCAAAGTTGGACTTGAAGTACTTACAATACTGGGCACCTGTTCCGGCAATCACGGCAGCAAGTTATTTCTTACCGGCCTATGGAAACCATCCTTTAATTTTGCAGTATGCTATGCGTAGTTTAGAGTACCATCCTGTTGATACCGTATTTTTTTACGTTCCTCAAATTGTGCAAGCTTTACGTTACGATACTTTGGGTTACGTTGAAAAGTATATTCTGGAGGCAGCTCAAACTTCTCAGCTGTTTGCTCATCAAATTATCTGGAACATGAAGGCCAATTTTTTTGTCGATGCCGATAAAGATTGTATCAAGCCTGATGTTCTTAAGCCTACTTTAGAAAGAATCATTGAAACTATGGTAGCTTCCTTTACAGGTGAAGATCGTGCTTTCTATGAACGTGAATTCAAGTTCTTTGGTGATGTCACTGCCATCTCTGGTTATCTCAAGGAATATATCAAACACGGCCAAAACGAAAAGAAACCTCTTCAAAAGAAGCGTTTGGATGAAGAGCTTTCTAAAATCAAGGTCGATGTGGGAGTTTATCTTCCTAGTAATCCTGATGGCCATGTTGTCGATATTAATCGTGCTTCTGGTAGACCTCTTCAAAGTCACGCCAAAGCACCTTTCATGGCTTCTTTCTTGGTCGAAAAGGAGGAGGAAGATATCACTGCCATCAGCAAGGCACTTATTTTGGCATCTGATGAAATTGAGGTCCGTAAGCGCACTATGCAAATCTGGCAAAGTGCTATTTTCAAGGTCGGTGATGATTGTCGCCAGGATGTGTTAGCACTTCAATTGATTGCTGTCTTCAAAAACATCTTCACAAGTATTGGACTTGATTTATATGTTTATCCTTATCGCGTTGTCGCTACTGCTCCTGGTAGAGGTGTTATCGATGTTATTCCTCGCTCAATTTCTCGTGATCAATTGGGTCGTGAAAAGGTGAATAGCTTGTATGATTATTTCGTCGCCAAGTATGGTGGCCCTGAATCTATTCATTTCCAACGTGCTCGTATCAATTTTGTTCAAAGTGTTGCTGCTTACTCGGTGATCTCATACTTATTACAAATTAAGGATCGTCATAACGGCAACATCATGTTGGATGATGATGGCCATATCATCCACATCGATTTCGGTTTTATCTTTGATATCGCACCTGGAGGCGGTATTCTTGAAAACTCTCCCTTCAAGTTGACAACTGAAATGATTCAAGTAATGGGTGGTGGATCTGAAGAACAGGCTTTCAAACAATTTTCTGAGCTTGTGATTAAGGCCTATCTGGCTGCACGTCCATATGCTGAACTGATCATGCAACTCGTTTCTTTAATGCTTCAATCTGGTTTACCCTGTTTTAAGGGAGAAACAATTAAACGCATGCGTACCAGATTCCAGGTTGACAAATCCGATCGTGTTGCGGCCGATTTTATGCTGATGCGTATTCGAGACTCATTCACTAATCAGCGTACGGTTCTTTACGATTACTTCCAAAAGTTAACCAACGGCATCCCATACTAGACCTTTTCACTCTCCCGATTAAAGACATTTAATAAACAAATAATATTTTTTGGTTTTTGCTTTAAAAAAAATTAAAGATGTTTTTTTTTATTACAAATAAAATTTGATTTGCAAAAGAAACAAGAGTAAATTTTTATGATACCGTTTTAAAGAGATTTAAAAGAGGGAAAAATTTACTTTCTTTGCTTTTGAGCAAGGAAGTCGGAGAACTCTTGGTAAGGACCCTTGGAGAATTCAGACTCTTCCCAGAGATCAGGGGTCAAGAAACCGTAAGTGTTACCAATGGCAGCGAAGGTAGCCTTGACGAAGTTACCGAGAGTACGAGTAGAACCACGAGAGGTGGTGTAACAATCGGTGACACCAGCCAATTGGAGAACCTTCTTGGCAGTGGGAGAGGCAACAATACCAGTACCACGGGGAGCAGGAACCAAACGAGCAAGGACGGAACCACAACGACCGGTAACCTTACAGGGAACTGTGTGAGGCTCACCAAGGTTGGAACCCCAGTAACCACGACGAACGGGGATAATGGCAAGCTTGGCAAGGATGATACCACCACGAATGGCAGTAGCAACTTCCTTGGCACACTTGACACCCAAACCGACATGACCGTTCTCATCACCAATGACGACGAAAGCCTTGAAACGAGTACGTTGACCGGCAGTGGTTTGCTTTTGAACAGGCATGATCTTCATGACTTGATCGGTAAGCTTAGGAAGGAAATAATCAACAATTTGATACTCCTTGATAGGGAGAGAGAAAAGATAGATCTCTTCAATGGACTTGATCTTGTTAGCCTTAACGAGACGACCAAGCTTGGTAACGGGAACCCATTCGTTCTTTTCCTCACCACGACGTCCACGACCTAAATTCTCAGTTGAGTTTTCCAATCTTAAGTGAAATGTTGATAAAAGTAATAATCTTACCACCACGTCCACCACGAGGTCCACCACGACCACGTCCGAATCCACCGCGACCTATCAAATTATAAAGAATGGTAAGTTCAAAGCAAACATTTTGCAAATGACATTATGAAAAAAAAAAACGTACCACGAGAAGCACCGGCTGAAGCTGAGTCGGCCATACTATTCATTGAAAAAAATCATCCATCCGTTAATATCGATCGCTTTCTATGATCATTCACCATGTTGTTTTGCTGGTGAATGTATATGGGTACTCACTTTAATATTATCAATGAAGAAAGAATCTACTAACTTGGAATCTTGCATCCTATTTTAGAGAACTTCTGAGGCGGATTTTGATATGTATCCGGTCCGGAGCACTTAAACTCCGGTCCAGGTTACTCCATACATAAGATTTGTCAATTTTTCATGCATTTTGACATTTGATTGTAACCATTTTTATGGATAGCTTGAATACAAAGCAAATGTTTTCAGCGCTTGCATGCTCACTAAATTAATTTTTATAAATCATTTCTTTGGGCAACTTGTCTTTTTTTTTATTTATAAAAGCAAACCTATAATGTAAGTACTTTGCAAGGGAACTTAAAACTTAAAAAGTGTACTGCTTATAAAGAACGGCATGTAGCACTCAATATAAATGTATAAAAAACACAATGTTTTATATTACATGGGTCTAAGGTGAATTACCCTTATTAATAAGCCAGTCTAGCGATGTGGTAAAATATATTTATGGTCATTCCATGGTCCTCTGAATTTACCGTGTAATAGTATTAAATTATAATAGGCTCTTAATGTGGGAACACGATCCAAAGTAACCTTTCCATCAAAAAATTTGTTTTTTCTTTTTGATCAGTCAAACTTGTCTCTTTCAATTCTATGGGGTTATTCCAAGATGGCGTTTCGACATATTGATTTCACGACAGGTACCGATTTAACATGGAAACATGTTAAGGAATTAGCCTATTGAAGGTGCTCATATCTATTTAACAGCGAGTCGATATAATAAATTTGAGATCGGGAGTTCAAGGTAAAGGATTGATTCATCATAATGGCAATGAACTTTGGAGAGTATAGTTAAGTCTCCCGAAATTAATTTTTTGAGATCGATCAATCTTGTGTACACCACAATTGTAATACATTTTAACCCCAGTTTTTAGCGTCATCACTCACTGACATGTTTGAGAACGTTAAAATATTTGTCGATCTATTATTATGGAGAAATACTCCATATTATACATGGTTAGACTTTGAAATCTAGAGTTGAAAGCGTGTGACGGATATGACCTCATTTTAGGTGTAAAAAGGAGCAGCAATACTGAAATTTAACTGCATCCCAACTTCTTCATTCTTATTGACTGTATGCATATGAGCACATCATATCCACGGAATTATATCCATACAGCTTTGATATATAAAATTTGAATACTTGCATTGATGGATCTTTATTGTTTAATAAAGTAATTACAACAGTTCTACGGTTAAAAATAAAAATAGAAAGAAAGAGAATTTAGAGTAAGCATGTTTCAAAAACCACCCCCTCTCGAGATTTACTGTTGTATCACAGTAATCTTAAACTTTATTTGTCAATAAATTTAAGTGACACAGAAAATGCCGACACAAAAACAATGTTGTCAAAATTATTATACCTAAAAAGCAATAGTTGATGGAAACAAAATAGAATAAAAGAAAAATGTATGTTACGGGTTATGGCCCATTTTTTAGTCAGAGATAAAAAAGAAACGATTGGTGCAATAACTTTAATTGAATTTAAATAAATAGGCCCTGTGTCCACTTTAGGAGATATGGCGTAATCGACAGGCAATAAGGCATAAACTTGTAAAACACAATTGCAAAATGCCTTATTAGACAATTATACACATAAACTCTGGTGTACGTGTAACTTCAAATGAAACTAGCGCCGAATTTTAAATGCTGTATGATATCTTACTTGTCAAAAGATCCTTTTAGATGAACATTGGTACAAAAGAAGGGGGAGGGCTTTGCTGCCATATGATGCATGATTACCTGTATCTAAAGTGCGGCAAACAGGTTTTGACGATCTTTAACATCATTAGTAGAATTTCATCCATAAAAAAGCACAACTTATTAGAGTAAGCACATGTTTGTAACTATAGTAGATATTTGATACTGATATTATAAATGTAAATTTTTTTCGCTTTATTTCTGTAGAAGATTAAAAGCGAAAAATAAGAATTATGGACAGATTGATAAAAACTTTGACATTTGTTGTTACTATTTTCATTTTATTATTTAAAAAAAAATTAAGTAACTATTTCCGTGTGATTGAGATTTCTCCTGTGGAATGCTGAGCCTCACATGCCTTATGTAATTAACGGTTTACCTAGAACATCAATGTATCCCTTTTAGCTCTTTAAAGACAACTCTACTGTACATATATATATCCTAATGCCGCTTTAATAACCAAAAAATTAAAACATGTAACTACAATGACTTAGTCCGGAAACGAGAGAGGAAATTTAAATTAATGAACGCAAGAATGGATTCACAAATGTTTCAGTTGTGAACTTTATTTCTAATTTAGTTGACCATTAAAAGCGGGATGGTATATATGGTATTCTATCAAATCTATTGTATTTGAAGAACAACTACAAAGACAGCAATAAGAGCTGTCAGTGTTGCAACAGAGCCGAATATAATAATACCACGGCTAGCGGGGAAGTAGCCTTTTGTCATGGCGACTTGAGAGTGGAAATAGCGGATGACAGCAAAAATCATATACATCATGCCAATCATGATAAAGGATAGGCCAAGTGGTTTGCCAATCTGTGCAAGTTCGTCAGCTTTGTGAGGATCTTTAAATATGTCTTTGTCTAGTCTAAATAACTGTGTAATTGCTATCAACAGGAAACGTATTACTTAATACAGCATTTCATGTTTGTAAATGATTTAGCTTACCAACGCCGATAGAAATAGTCGACAAGCTAGTTCTAACCCAGGCCAAGTATGTACGCTCGTTGGCTAAAAGATAACATAAGATGAGACATATTTACATTTATATAATTATTTTATCTGTAGCTTACCTAAATGATCTCTTGCAACAGCAACCGTATTCTCCAAATATAAAGACGATGAGAAGTAATCAAATATCTTTTCAAGGCGTTGAACATAGGCCAAACTGTCAGTAGCATACTTCTGTTTTTTTGCCGCCAACTCTTGCTCCTCACTGTTATAGGTTTCGATTGAGCTAACTGTGGACATGCGACGTTCCTGTTGTAGATAATCTTCATCTTCTGATAGTTGAGCATCGAGTGAAGGGGAAGAATGTATAGAGTTCGAGTCGACTGGTGCATGGTACATTGGATCCACAGTTTCAGGACATGCTAAATAAGTCTGCCGTGTTGGTACAGTTGATAAAAGGTGCCTGTGCTCATCACTCATTTTTTAAAATCAATGAAAGAAAGTATTAAACAAAATTGAAATGGATGAAAATTTATACAAACATTGAACTGTATTTAATAGGCGCTTAAATCAAGTCATATGAATCCAAACCCACTTTACGCTTTGTCACACAATTCATCCATGACCAATAGATGGCCTGATCACATTGTTAGGAGGTGCCAATTTCAGCATTTCTTTTTTCTTGCCACACAGGTGTAGTTTCTAAACCTGTTGAATCAGTAAATATGTAGAAAAAAAAAGATGCTCCTTCGAGCTAATGTCTGTAATAGCTGATATCGGATGTGCGTTATAAATAAAAGTATTTATCCTAATTTGGGGTTTTTTCTTGATTCAATGATCCTGCAGGGCTTTGGATTTTTTCAACGTCTGATTTGCAGTAAAACAAGTATAATCAAATCCGATTTAATCAAAACACTAAACACTTGAATATTTTCTATAGCGTCACATAAAAATTCACCATATGTATGCAGTTCTCCGCTTTTACATAATAAAACCTGCCTTCGGGAGTGTCTATATTTAGTCTGTTTCATTCTTCATGATAAAAATGGATTACATTTTATTTTTAAACAAACAATTATATATTCGAAATTATAAATCAAAATAGCGGAAATAAATTACTCTTCGTGAGACAAAAGAGGGGCACGCTCTTCTTCTTCTTCTTCAGTGACAAAGGGCCACTTAAGTACACCGTTAAAGTAGAATGTACCTGTCACCATCACAACAAACCCGATAACTTGAACCCAAGAAAATTGTTCCCAGCCTAAATAAATTGATACCATCCAAATAAATAGCGTTCTGCAGTGACAAAAACTTTAGATTTCATCATTTGCCAAAGAAGAAAAACATTACCTGCATGCATCGATTGTACTTCTTGCTGTCGCAGAAATAGCAGAGGTAATTGAAAGACCGAACCAATTGAAGAAGGCAATGGACACACTGATTGCTAAACCACTTTGCCAAACAGTGGGATGATCAAAAAAATCATGATAACCTTGTACGATATCGAAAGTGGGGTATCTATCACTCAAGGCAAAATGGAGAATAGGCATGGCAGCCAAGACAGAGATAAGACCAAATGAACCCTCAAGACCTACAGCTTTTAAAGGAGTGACCTTGTAGCGACTCAAGATTTTTTCTTCTACTACAAACATGGTGGCAGTGAAGATTTGAGCGCCCAAGACTAAGCCAACACCTAAGAGAGAAGAGTAGTCGAATCCTTCTTCAGCCAAAGTGGATGTGCTTGGTTTTTTTTGGGGGAATAAAACAGATGAAAGACCTACAATAGCTACACCTACGACGACCAAGACAAGCGAGAACCATTCAAATCCACGCAAGCGACGGTTTAAAAACAAGTAACTAAACAAACCGGTAAAAATAACTACAGCACCTCTTAACATTTGGTATACACTTGCTGATGTTAAAATTAATCCCACATTCATCACCTGTATATTTCTCTATTGTCAGTTCCCATTGCCCAAAAATTCACACGCAACTTTTTACTTACAGTGGTTGCAGTCATATCACATAAAGTAGGAATCCAAAATAACAATGCCTTCCAGCCTTTCAATTCAGGGAGTTCATCTTGAACTTTGGCGATATCTTGATCAATGTCATCAACCAAAGCAGCAGCATCCAACTGGTTGACAGCAGAGGGAGGAGTGGGTCTGAGACGATTTTGTTTTTGCTGGTAGACTTGATAAAGGTATACACTCCAGACTGCAAACTCTCCCACAAACATGTTTAGTCTATAGAAAAAATCCACGTTAGATTCCATTACATAATAAAAAGGTATGTAGGGGATATTTTCTTACGTCTGCCAAATAGGTTGTTCAAAGTAGACTCTGTTCTTTGGGTTGGGATCGTCACAATTACCAACACATTGTAAGTCTTGATATTTATTAAGAATGGTATTACACACACCTACAATAAAGTTAGCTACAGATAAGGTAAAAAGCTTGTTAAAAAAATTACATACCAGAGATAAGCATGCCTGCCACCAGGAATAGTGTAGCAGAAGTGCCAATAGACTTGGCAGAAGTGTTCGATGGCATAAATGAGTTGTAAAGGTTAGGCGAAAAAAAAGTGAAAAAAAAAAGGAGGATATTTATGAAATTTAATACATTTTCCAAAAAAATAGTGACTGTGTGGGGGGTATCATGGGATATATGATAAGGCACAATATGGTATTTTGATCTAAAAGGAGAAATGAAGAGGCCACAAACAGTTGGACACAAAAATCATTTTGGATTACGTGACTATCGGTTTGTTTGTCTTTTGTGTTTTCTAATGACTGGTAGTAAACATAAGGATACTTTCAGGACAGGGCAATGGTTGTTAAGCTCCGGAAACCAGTTTTAGGGGGTAAACTAAAGTAAAGAAGCAAGAAAAGGTGCCTTTTTATACTAATCTTTATCTTCCGGTGCCTCCGAGATACACATTTGAAATATGCACAAAATGTTATGACAAAGTATTACAGACCGCTGTTACACATGTGTGATACCTACTTGCCCTGTCAGGTTGTTGAGCTTTACTTCACTCCCATATTTAGATTCTTTTCAAATATATTTGGACATAGCAAAAATTATTTTCGTAAGCGTCTAACGTGCCACCAAGCTGGAAACTGATTTTGAGTTTAGTTATATCAATTTTTTTTTCGAAAAATAAGCTGCACGGTACAAGTCCTAAGCAAGCATAAACTTGTTATCGGTAGGTTCTGCTTCTCCCAGCTCACCTTCCCTCCAGCTGGACTACAAGGTGAGAAATAGTGCTATCAGGTTTTTTTTCGGTGCCATTCAAGTTTATCCTATTACAAAAAATCAGTAATGAGTGAAATATTCCCATAAATAATAAGGATTAAATTATTTGAGACTAAAACTCGATCTCTTTTTATTAAATGGAAAAGGGGATCCTTTTTATATGAAAGGATTTACATAGAATACTATCCGGGAAAATCAGATAACAGCGTCTGGATTAGAGCTAGACATTAATCTTGCATTGATCAATCAATGATCTATGTTTCAGTGCTGGGTTGTTATTGAGTATCAAGTAGATCATAGGCAGGATATATAGTGTGTATATGTCAGCCTCCCTCAAATTTGCAGCAACTTCCCTTTTTTCGAACAAAACATGCTCACCGCTTGACAAAACCATGATCCGTCAAATATGAACGTGTATACCAACCGTGTACTAAAATTTAGAAATTAGTTCAGTTATGATATTTGTACTCTTTTCCCGCTCTCTTGAACATCTTTCATTAGTTTTATCCAAAATGTATATTTATATATAAGAAAAAAAAAAGTCACTCGCCCTTTGGCATAATAGAAAAAAAAGTTATGTAGAAATAAAACTGTTCAATTTAACAGCTTTGATTTATTACGAATATTAAACGAAAAAGAACGGCCTGCGCTTCTGATATTAATCTTCATGGGGTAAAGGTCCTGAGAACTTACCACCAGTCTCGCCGTAAATATGTTTATATTCATGTCCTCCAAAACTATCACAAGTTGTTAGACACCGAATTTAGTTTACATGTTTTAATAAATATTTTTGTACCTTTCAAGTAAAAAGTCTGTCAATAAGTAGTATACATTCTTGTTAGCATTGTGATGTCTGATAGCATGATTGCTGTCAGGAAAAATCTGTACGCGATAATTATGGATATCCTCCAAAGTGAGCTTATCGACCAAAACAGCAGTGTGTTGGAAATGAACTACATACAATGATTAATTTCATGATTCTTGTTTATCCGCCTTCTTTCTTACCATTATCGTCGCCAGTACCATGAGCCAACAGGTACTTGGTGTCTCTAAATCCAGTCATGTTATTTACAGCACTGTCGATATAACCTTGAGGATTTAATAAAGGAGTTTTCATATAACGTTCGGTATAAACAGAGTCTACCAATAAAGAAAAGGAAGCGTCAAGGAAAATGTATTAAAAGCACAAATATTTTCAACTTACCATAATAACGCCAGTCAGTAACAGGAGCTACTGCCATACCGGTAGAGAATACACCATCGTTGGCTTCAACAACTTTTGTAGTCATGTATCCACCATACGACTAAAAAACCAAAAGAAGTTAATATCATATTTTATTAATCATACCTAATATTATTACATACCCAACCCCATATAGCCATTCTAAACTCATCAACGTAGTCCAGCTTAGCCCAGTGTCTGCAAAGAAATTATAGTGAGATTTTTTTTAAGTGATTATGAACGCGTCGATAATATCTACCTTCCTGCGTTGACTTGGTCAATAGTTTCGAGTTCACCTAATCTTCCTCTGACACCGACTTTAAACTTTCTACCTTGGAATCCAGTACCTCTACCATCAACCTGGGAAGTTTTTCTTTTTTAGAAAATAGTGAAGAAGACCATTTTCTGTTTAATACTTACTGTTACAACAATAAAACCTAACTGACTTGCTACAAATGTTTGCCAATCAAGCTCAAATCTATGAGAAACTAGCTGAGATCCAGGTCCACCATAAACATGGAAAAGGACAGGATATTTCTTGGTGGAGTCAAAATCATGGGGTACCATTTCCATAGCAGTCAATTCTAATTTGAATACAGTTTGTATCAGCAAACTATCTGTTTTCTCTCTTTTCAGTTGACCCAAAATCTTACCAACGCCGCCGCTATTAATCGTTTTCATGTGTTTCTTGGGAAGATCATACTCATTCAAGAGACTTCTCAACTCATTATTATCATCCAATACAGATCTAAATGAGGAATCATCCACCTTTTTAACAATGGTGGTAGGAATACCAGGGCCCTCATAATTCAAAATATAGTAACCTGATTTAGGTGAGAACGAAGCACTATAATAGGCATGCTCTTCGGGATCTTGAGGGCATGTAAGGCAAATCTTTGTAGAAGCGGGATTATCAGACTTGAACGAAATAGTATAAAGATGACGTTCATAAGGAGATCTTTCTGTAGAAACATAATGTCTAATACCAAAAGTTAGTTTATGAACGTTGAGAAATAAAATAAAATAAAAAATGCCTACATAAGCTGACGTGCTTCATCTACTTCGACAGTTCCTGAAACAACCTCCCATTCACCAGTAGTCAACCAACTGACTTGGTTCTTTGAGCCTTTGAAAGTAATAATGGCCAAATGAGGATAACCCTCCGAGTTATCCAAAATGTCGATGTAGCGAACACCATTACCGGAAGAAGGTAAATAAACCATTGATTGAGAAACTTCGATCCAACCACCATCTGTGGGCTTATATTCTTGAACTAGTTTAACTGTACTTTTTTTGATATCATCGCTATTGATATTGACAATGTTGGTATATTGTTGATCTTGAATACGATTTGTCTGTTTAAATAAGAGGTGCGTGTGGGAGTCAGTAGCCCAGGTGACATCAACAATGATTCTATCATCCTGTTCAAAATCTTTAAAGTTGCTCGTATCCATAATGCTGAATGACTGTACTTTCTCTGTGGTTGTTGCAACAATTGTAGAATTGGATTCAAGAGAATACACATGCAATGATACGAGAGGATTAGGAGCACCGGCTTTAGGGTATCTAATATTAGTCTCTTTGGGATAGGATGCGTTGCGATCGGTATATAACTGTAAATGGTATTCAGGTACTTTTGTTTCATCTAAACGAAGATAGGCCAAATGAGTGGAGTCAGGTGACCACCATAATGCAAAGTTTGACCCAAAAACTTCCTCTGATTTAAAGGTTTATTAGAATGATATCTTCATTTTTTTGGCCAGTTCATTAGTTACCTTCGTAGACCCAATCAGGAATACCATTAAAGACTGTTTTAGAACCATCAAAAGTAATTCTTTCATAATTTTTAAGGTCAGTGATATACAGATCATTGTTCATAACGTAAGCCTATTTTAAAAAAGTGTCAGATACAAAATTAAAAAAAGCAGAACATGACAAAACAAGATACCATTTGATGACCGGTAGGACTCCATTCAGCATAAGAAATTCTTGGAGTCTTTCCTACTGTAGATAAATGCGTTAAAGGCATGATCTTTTTGTCGGATAAACGATAGATATATGCATTGAATCTGGATGAATGTCTCCATTGCTAAAAGTAGAATACTGTTATCATCATGCCTAATCTATTTTTTTTTGTTCAAGAATGATCTTACAGCGCTGACATTTGTCTTTAACAAAATGTATTGAGCATCATAAGATAACTCGAATGATGAAACACTGAGAATGCCACTGTCAATGACCTGCAAGTATGATGAGTATCAACAATAAATAAAAAATCACTTTAGTGCTTCTTACAAGATCTTTTTCCTCGACAAAGACTTGACTTTTTCTATCCTCAATAGATTCCAATAAAATGTCATTGGAAAGAGGGTCTCTGTATGTGTATATACCGTCTCTAGGATCTTATAAAGCAATTTGTTAGAAACTAGATGGTTGTGATGGTCAAGGGATATTACCATTTCCAACCCAGACCAATTTAGTTCTCTTTGCGGTAAATGAGCTATTGAAGATATCCTCGAATTGAACCAGTTTCATAGCCTCTTGTAATTCAACGTCATCATGCGAAGAGACTAAAACGCAAAAGAAAAAAAAAATTAAACGTCGATTTGGGCTACAGTGATTTTAAAGTATCTTACGTCCAGAGAATAATTTGGCAATTGAAATAGTCCACAATACCCAAGCTAAAGCTAAAATGGATAGAAATCCCACGCAGATGCAATTGATACCCTATATTGATACTTTTCAGTGCCATTTTTTCTTATTCTGAAATATAAACCAGAGAAAAATGTTACCTTTTTTTGATAGCTATAGTCGATATCAAAACCCTTTTCATTTGAGTAAAAGTCCTCTTCTTCTGAATCACTGGTGGCCGAAGAAGATAATCTCCGTTGTTGTAATTCAGGCGCTAGTAATCTTTGGGAATCACTAGCCAATTCCTCATCTTGAAGATAATGATCTCGAGATGGCATTATTTTATTAGAGATAAGAAAGCAATTTTTTTTAAGAAAAGAGAAAAATGATTTTAAACTTGGAAACCTGAGCAAAACACCGTGTAACACTCAAATATTAATAGAATTTGTAATTAAGGGACCAAAAAAAAAAAAGTATCATTTTAAGGTGGCATTAGCTTGCATGGTATATTTATGGCAGTAGTAAAAAAAAAGGTCACACCCTGGGGGCGTCAATTGACTATTATATTCGTCATATATATTGATCTAGTATGCATTGATATTCCTTTGACACTAAGCTTACCGCGATGGATCGAACAGAAACTTGGGTTAGCATATAAGCTCACCTTAAAGCTTAACTTAAAGTTTACAACAAGAACTACTTTTTGTTACCTAATTTTAAGGCATCTTTTACACCCTAACATCAGAACTACATACAAAATACAATTTGATCGATTTCATTGTACTTGTCAAGGATCTAGTTCTCGCGTTGATCAACATATCCCTATTCAATATGGATCTCCTTACATGATATTTATATAGTAAAAACTAGCTCCCTTAAAAATTACTTGTCATTAACATAGAGTCAAAGCAGTGCAGCAAAGCACATTTGCTTAATATGAATTGATTGCATTCCTTCATTGATCACAGTCGCCAATGACTTAATATGGCTAAGTATCAGACGCCCAGTTCAAAAAAAAAAATGTATATAGATTCTTTAAGCAAGCCCTTGTTGATGTTCCTATATATAATGTTGTATATTAGTATTGCTAAAACACAGTATAAACCCATATAAGGACAGCTGTAGTCTATAAGTGGTGCAGAAGGGAGGAAAATCAAAATGGACTCCATATATCACCAAATTTAATATATTCGCGATCCGTTGTTTCGTAGATTTTAGAGAATATAAAAAAAGAGTTTAATAGTCTTGTAAACACATATAAGCTGGTCGAATTACCCCCCAAGACATAACAAAAACTACATTAGTGAGTTGCATGAATTATGCGACAAGTGGACTCTCACTTTTAGGAAAAACGATGTTTGAATAACGGTTGCATAAATATAATATCCAAGCCTGGGTCACAATTCTTTTAGCTTATTATTAAACTCTTATACCACCCCCTAAATTATTTCTAATGCATTGCTACTAGGGAGCTATTTTCAGATTTGTCTTGTTAGGTATTACAAAAATAATTGTCATCTTAATCATTTAATATGATGGCTGTCTTGACAAGCTGTTGTTGCTTATATGTATGGTCAATCTTATTCTGTATAGGCTAAACAATAATCCGTTTGTATGTTTGCATTAAGTAGATTAATTCCAATTGGGATAAAAGACCTGTGTAGATGATATTGGGAAAAGTTTAATTTTTCTTGTGATGCCTAGTGGTTTCACAAACCGATGAATGAATTTAAGATGAAACTCCCCTTTTTTTGATATTCCTCCCTTTTTTTTTTTTCTTTAATTTTTTTATCATGCCTTTAGACGAAGACGACGATAGGATGCATATGCTTGCGTCAGAAGACGACCCTTTTCACCAAACCAGGTTTGATTTTTTTTCTGTCTTTTACGACATGAAGCCGCCAACTAATTCTATAAAAAAAAGCACCTTGTTGCCATCCTCGAGAACTCAACATGGATTAACAAAATCGGAAATCGTTCAAGGCATGGCAAACAGGTTCATGTACTCTAAATTTTACATTGGCCTTTATTTAGTACTAGCGATACTTAGTTTTGTCACCATTGTCATGGTAAGCAACTCCCTTAATTCTAAAAGAGACAACTGATGGTTTTAACATATTTTTGCAGTCATTAAAGGAGACTTGGTAACTAAATAGCTATTGTGTAAAAGGACAAAGTAATTAATTTTCATTTATTCATTTCAAAACTATAGTCCTTCTGTATTGTTTATCGTATTCGAGGCAATTATTAATTTGGCCATGATTGTTGAAGTGACCACCAGATTATTGGCTCTTGGCAGAGTAAAACTATAATCTTTCAACATATACCACAAACTTGCTTAACAATTATCTTGTTTCTTGATTAGGATTATTGGAGGTCATTGTGGAATATCATTGATATCATTTTGGTTATACTCTGTGCGATTACATTGATTGTATTGACCACAGGATGCTCTGTTGGAGAGAGAAGGGAAGCTATTTTCGATACCGTTTTATTGGTTATCCGTAATGGATTTCAATTATTTCGATTATTTATGATGCTCAGGAAGTAAGTAAAAATAGTTAAACAAAACAAATATGAATTGCTGATTTCAGTATGCATAAAAAAGAAATCAATATTCGTTACATGCAAGATCCACAAGAATTGATTTCGATGACATATCCGATATTGGAAGAGAGCCCTCGTTGGAATTCACGGCATTAGACCGTGATCGAGGTTTGGACGAGAGTTTCCTGGATGATAATGACTCTGATGTAGAACAAGGACGATAAACGAATATAATAAATATTTTGTACATAGTATTTTGAGAGAGAAAAGAAACAGCACTTGATGACTACCTACTATATCAGATTTGAAGAGTGATGCTTACTCCATTATACTTTATGAAAAATCATCAAAATCCATTGAGTAAAATGCCGCTCAAGGGCAGTATATTTAATAAATATATTATTCCAACGAGTACCATAGATACTGATGCTACGAGACAAGGTTAATATCACAGAAATCTCGTAGAAACAAAAGTCTCTACAATGATAATCATATTTGACATTCCCTTGTTGGATTGTAAGCTTTTAAAAGAGACGTAAGCTTTTTTTTTTTCTAAAAAAAAAAGAATGCAGATATACTATGTAAACAATAAAAAGCACGGCAAGTTTATTTTTCTATGATTTATGCAAATTTAAAGAGCAGCGTTGAAGACTTCGGCAAGGTTGTTATCGGCAACAGCCTTTTCGAAAGACTTGCGAAGAGCCTCGAGGTCTTCAGCAGTCTTGTTCTTGGCAAGGATATCATCGAGCTTGAATAATTGAGAGTCAATTTGAGCGGGGGTAGCGGCAGCAGCAGCGTTACCCAAACCATAGTTGTTATCCTTAACGATAGCCTTGATGGTCTTCTTCTCCTTCTTAATGGCACGCTTAGCCATCTCCTTGGCCTTCTTGGAATCTTCCTTGGCGTTCTTAGCATCGGCTTCAGCCTTTTCAGCAGCAAGCTTCTCCTCTTCAGCCTTCTTGGCAGCAGCTTCAGCAGCAGCCTTATCAGCAGCAGCCTTAGCATCCTTCTTTGCGTTTCTCTTCTTCTTTTCCTCAGCCTTGAAGATGGCGATACGAGGATCAACACTCAAACAAGTATCAACAAGAGTACGGACACGAGCATTATCTTCCTTCTTGAGTTGAGCACGTTGAGCACGGTTCTTCTTTTCTTGGTAACGCTTATCATCACGGTTATCGGAACCCTCAGCACCTTCCTTATCCAACCATTCGAAAGTTCTCCAAGAGTCCATGTTGTAGAAGAAATCGTAGAAAGCCTCAACTTCTTCCTTGGGAGTAGAAGCATCACCGAGAGAAGGAACGGGTTGTTTGGTAGAGAAACGACCTTCACGTTCAAAGACAGGAGCCCATAACTCAAAGAAATCACCTTGGGTCTTGGCAGTAGGAGCATCATCTTCTAACCAAGCCATACCGAAATCAACAGAATCATATTGACGACGAGTGACGGGGTTCATCAAGGTATCGAAAGCCTTAGCAATACACTTGAAGAATGCATCATCGTTCTTATCAGCCTTCTTATCGGGATGGTGCAAGAGAACCATACGACGATGAGCCTTCTTGATTTGATCCTCAGTAGCCTTGTAACGGAGCTTGGTTAAACCAAGAACGGCATAGTTATCTTGAGTCTTCCATTGAGTAGGATCTTGGTTGACGGTATCAATGTCAACATTCTCATATTCGAACTCGACTTCTTCTTCTTCAACAACTTGGTTGGCCTTCTCTTGAGCTTGATGAAGTTCATCTTCAGAGAAAGTACGGTTGTGGTTCTTTCTGCGAGCATGAGCAAGGAAATGACGACCGACGGGTTCAATAAGACGATCAGTAGGAGCTATTTTTTTTTTTTTTTACGTGATTAGTTTTCTAGCTTTTGCAGATTATGCTAAATCATTGTATTTACCACTTAAAGAACCAGAAACAACGGGCTCTTCAGACTTGTAAGAAGCAGGGGGGGGAGGGAGCAAAAAATCGAGAGTCAAAGACATATTGATAATTTAAAAATGCAGATGATTATAAAAAAGAAGAAAAAAAACTAGTCGAAATTTCGGGAGGGGTAATAGAAAAAAAAAGTATAAGCCACACACATAGACTTTACTTAACGGGGATTCAATACAGTATTTACACCGTTACAGTATTTACACTAAAAATTCAGACAAATTAGAATTAATTTCGGACAGATGCAGACTATTGAGCTTTTTTTTTTTCGGACGAATAGAAAATTATTGTTCAGATAATTTTACCTGCATGAAATTGCCAAAGCGATAACTTTGGCGGAAGATTACTGAGTTTGTTCGTTTTTACGAGAGAAGAGCGCAGGGCGCTCACCTACTTCCCTGAGATTGAATAGGATGTGCTTAAAGTTTAAAACAGCTGCTTGGTCTCTATTCCAAAATTTTCTGCCTTGAGTAACACATGCCGTATTTTGACATCTGATGATTTGTTAATATCAACATAACGAATATAATTGTAACTATACTACCTTAACAATCCATGACACTTCACGATTGGCATTGTATTTCTTTTAAATGGACGAGGATTAGAAATTATCTTGAATTGCTCCAAAACGTCACCACAATCTGGACAATGAGAGGAAGTTTTAAATTCGTCAATTAGATAAACAGTCAAACCATTTTTTTTAGCATTTGAATAAGCCCTTTATTCCTTGTAGGTTCCTGGAACTTTGTGTTCGGGGCTGACCAATTTCCAAGTACCAAGACAGCATCAGGACCAAATTTTCTTTTCAAGTTTTGTACCAATTTTTAATCATTTTGTTCATAAAACATCTTTAATGAAAATTTCATTTTTCGAAAAGGTAATAGCTGTAACTTCTCTAAGAATGTACTGATAGTTTACTGTTAAGATCACTTTGGTTGGGTCGCCTATTAATCTCTAAACCAAGCGCAATAATTCTTCTTTTTCATCATCATCAAATCTTTGTGAGATATGCTTTTGTGACAGCATCATTTCTAGATATACGGCATAAAACTGAGGATTGACAATCCTATCATTGGAAAAGTTTTGAGGTTGAGGGAAAAAACCGCAAATTCGTGATATAAATATATTGCCATAGTACAGATTGCATTTATGATCAACTCGGAATGAAAACTCTGACTCTGGAAAATAGGAGATTTCTTTGGGCTTTAATGTCTCGTTTCCATAGTAGTCGGTTAACGTGTCATTAACGGATGATCTGGCTTTTATGTACTGAATGTAGTTTTCCAAATTTGTAGATTTGGATTCTGTTTTGGAGAGCGTTGTTTCGGCTTCTTGGACAACCAAAGGTTTGTTTTGATTCCGTAAATACCTGAAATGTCTTGAGCATTTTGAGCGATTATTTTTGGTAAAAATCAAAGTTTGCTTCTCTTTAGCTGTACTAGTTTCTTTCATGTAATACAATAAATCACGTCTTCCAGGGTCGATCAGAACACACTTGTTTTCAGTACGTTTTAAATCAGCTTGATTTAGCCCTTCTATATACTCTTCTTGATCATCGACTACTCTCTTAACGCTGGTTGTAAAGAATTTTCTACTTGTATCTGTGTTTTGTTTAATGATTGATACACCGACACCATCTGTTTCAAGTGTTCCTTGAAACCTTAAAGTCTTATCAACACCTTGATTCTTGAACGCCTTCTTTTCAAAATTCACGACAGAACCCCAAATTTTAAATTTTTTTCCAGCTTGGAGAGGACTTTTATTCTTGAGAATATGAAAGTGAATTATTTTGGCATCCAAAGTCATATAGCATGGAATGAAGGAAGTGCGCAACGGGAAGCAGATAAATGCTTTTCCTGTTCTGGCTTCAACTAATTTTGCAAGTTGAAAAAACGCATCAAAATGATTCTCAGGTTTTGCTGCAATATCATAGTATATGGAGTCCTTTTGGAAAGTGTAGTCTTTAGGATAGCAGGAAAAGATACTGTTTAATTCTTTTCTTCACTGGTCATCTAGAATACTGTCTGCAGGTATCTCTTTCCTTGCTACGGCACGACTGATCTGATTATAAGGTCCGTATATCTTGCTTCGGATAGCTGATTTTATTGCTTTTTCATCTGATCCATTTTCTTTCATTTCTTTCCGAAGATTATTTGCTCTTTCCTTCTTTTGTAATATAATATTAACAAATTGGCGCAGTCTATTTCCAAAATGAGCTTTAATATTGTTATGGTAAGCCGTTTGGATTTTGGTACACTCATACAATGCTATTTGCTGAGCATTTGGTAAGCTGGGAGGAGTATAATTAGCATCTTGAAAGTAAGCCTCTTTGTATTTTGCTATCAATTGTCTATTTTTTTTTTGTTACAGGCTTTAATCTTGTGTTTCGAGTTTTCGAAAGTGTAAGACTTAAAAAAACTTCTACAAAAAAATCTTTTTCAACAAAGCCTTTTAAAGTAAAAGTTTCGCTTGCTTCCAATTCTTGCAAATAGATGTACTTTGTGAAGGCAAAGGTGTGTGTAATCAATGAATTAGTAGTGTTAACCAAATCATACAATGGCTGTAAATACAACGGCTTCCAAATGTTCTTCGCAGTTGTTTTAACTGTAATAACGCGCTTGCTTATTTTTTCAGAATCTCTCGCAGTGACACTGGTACTTGATTCTGATGCTGTTATGAATACTTCAGGCGTAGGACTTCCCTTACTTGCAACAGGGCGTCGCTTACTTACTGAAGAACTTGACTCGGCAACAGCAAATTCGGATCTGTACTTGAAACCACCACGACTTCGTAATGTATGTATTGCAGGCGGGGACTCATTAAAGTCGTCACTGCTATAATCTATCAAATTGTCGCTGACAACATTTCTAATAGAATCAGGAATACCAATGGTACTTGTAATATCAGGTTCATGTTCGGCTGCCTTGCCTTTCCCTTTAAACTTCTTTTGGGAATCAATATATGGGGTATTTTCCCGACCTATAAGAAAGGGCAATTAAACATCATGTAAGTTTTCTATCAAAATAAGACTTGGCAATGTAACATACTTCGTCTCTTCCGTCCCAAAATCGGTGGTTGAAAGTCATCGTCCGAGCTATCATTTTGAGTTTCTTTTTTATAATAGAATCAGTTTTTTGGTTGCATTTCCATCAAATATCATACATATACGTTACCTTTCATAGCTTAAACTGAATGAAAGAATGAAGAGAGAAAAAAAGATTAAAAAAAAAAAAAGTATCTATCACAATTTTTACACTTAAAATCCAGATGGTTTAGCTTACCTTTTTTGAAAAAAAAAAAAAAATTCAGACTAATTGATTACATGTAGAAAACCCCTGCGGATTTATGCTATGAGCTTATTTTATGTTAACAGCAGAAAGGCGTTTTACTTAAATTTTTTTTTGGCTTTGTGGCAGGTACTCTAATCTCAATATTCACAACGCCGATTACAGATATTTTCAATTAAGATCGTTGAATTATAGCCCTGGAGGTTGGTGTTTCAACTACTATTGTGTTTCATTTAGTCGATCTATCTGTTGGTGGTCTCATAATGATATCAACTACAAATATACAACTACTCAGTAGTCCACATCGGTCTAAGACTATTTTCCGAGCCATTGTTCTCTTGAATTTCTACGGAAGTGAATTCATCACGTATTGATGATTAACGTGCCTGCCATTAATCCAGTGAAGTCAGCATTACTGTCTTTTGGGGCTCTCTATCTCATTAATAAAATCCATCGCTTCAAATCCATCCTCTTGATAAACACCTTCTTGTTCATTTTCTTTAAATAGTGTTAAGCTCGAAGTAGTTTTAAGAATAGCAAAGAAATATAATTTTATATTTGTTTGCAATTACACTGTACATCATATGTCAAGCTCAATCATTTTTTCGGTGGTCATGAGGAGGGTAAAGCATAATTTGACTATCATTGGAGATACTCAAACCTTGCTTAGTGAAGGATAAATCGAAAGTAGAGGTTATAAACCTTTGCTCGTGTCGCCCTTTTCATTTCTTAATCCAATTGAAGAGTGCTGGTCCAAGATCAAAAAGAAAAAAAATCCGCTTTTCCTATCACTCAGTCAAGGCCGCTTGTGAGACTATTACAGCAAAATATTGCAGTGGTTGGATACCACAATCTGATACTTACTGGGATATATGTCCTGGTTTATCGAATTTTTATCTTTGTCTGATTTAATTTTTTCATTTGTCTGAATTTAAAGTGCGAATACAGTTATAACTATAGGGCTTTTATAAAAAAAGAACGGGAAAATGTTCAAGTTACTTTGACTTTAGTTTACCCCAAAACCTAATCGTTTTTACAGTCAAAAATGACTTAGTTGAAGTCCAAATCAATCATGACTCTATTCAATGCTTAATATGACATATATATATATATATACTGGTTTTTTTTTTTAAATCAACAGTAAGTATAGCTACATTAATTGGCACGGATTTTATTTGGTACCAGACCAGAATTAGCTATAGTACTGTAACGACCAGGGCAGTGTTCAATATATTTCAGAATCGATATCAAAAGGTACGACAACTATGCACTTATCAAATTCATGAATATTCTGCTTGATATTATGTATCTTAATGGAAATATGAAAGGGAGATATTTGGTGATTGATAACCGTGCTATATATAAATAGAAACCGATGATGAGGAAAATCGAGAGTTACGGCTATGAACTGATGTTCTGCCTCCATATTCGCTTGAATTAAACCCGCTTGAATAGTTTTGGGTAATCACAAATGGAAGCTTGAAATGTCATAGACTGTTAACTGAAGACATAATTGCTGAGGTATGTAACGCCATACCTGCTGAAATTCTATACATCTTTGCCAGTCATTCTAAACGATAAATCATTCAATGTTATAATAAAATTCTAATTATTTAAAAGTAAAAAATAAATATCATTTTTAGGTCAATTGGATTTAACATATTGTGACATTTCTCTTACCTCAAAAGGACAGAATTTCTAGACATAAAGGGACAATCATTTTCGGCTTAGTACCATTCATCTTTTGGAAAGTGACATATATTTTTTGGTTACGAACATTCACTGTATTTAAATTCATTTCACGCAACGCCATATTTTACATCAGCCAAAAAAAATGCCCCAATCATAATTCAATTATTCCAATTTAAAAGTCCCCAAATGTTAAAGTTTACAACATATATTTTTTTTCCCTTTTTCTTCTTTTATTCCCCTTTGTCATACCAGAAGATGTTTACCGATATCAAAGAAATTCCATCGATTGTTGGGAGCTTACGAGAAGCCTTCTCTACTGGTAGATATTCATTCACCTATTCTTTTTTTTGTGTTAGATCGGAGGCATTGATTTTGTTCTAAAATATTAGGGATCACAAAGGATAACGCCTACAGAAAGCAACAACTTAAGAACTTGAAAAGACTTCTACAAGAAAGAGAGAGGGATATAATCGAGGCTGTAAAAAGTGATCTTCATAAACACGAAGTTGAGATTATCTCTGCAGAAATCGCTCCTGTTTTAGGCGAAATTGAGTTTATGCTCAAGGTAATGATCATCACCGTTTTTTCTTTTTTTTCACCAAAACAATTAAAAAAAAAATGCATTTAGAATCTCGATAAACTATCAAAAACAACCACTGTTAAACCTCAGTATGTTATGAACGCATTAGATAAATGTACTGTAAGAAAGGAGCCAAAAGGCGTGGTACTTGTTATTGGATCCTGGAATTATCCCGTAAAGTTTACTGCCATATTTATAAGGATTGCGTTGTTAATGATTATCCATAGGTCCATTTACTTCTGCTTCCTGTGGTCGGTGCTATTGCAGCTGGTAACTGTGTTGCTATTAAGGTATAAATTTCTCACACGCTCACGCACATGTTGCCCTAAAATATAATAAAACGAATATAAACTAACTTGTCATTGTAATACGTCTTTATATAGCCTTCTGAAGTCGCGTGTCATACAGCAGCAATAATTGGAGAATTAATCCCCCAATATCTTGACCCAAAAACAGTATCCGTCGTACAAGGTGGTGTGCAAGAGACTACTACCTTATTAGGTTTGTATTAAAAAAAACTCGCAATGGGGAAGAAACCTGTTTTTTTAACAACGACTCTTACCCCTCTCTTATAGCCGAAGAGTTCAATCATATCTTTTACACGGGTAATGGTGCGGTCGGTAAAATAGTTATGGCTGCTGCCTCTAAACATCTTACACCTGTCACCTTGGAACTGGGTGGAAAATCGTAAGTATTTTCAAAAGGCACAAATGCGTGTACGACCATGTGTAACTTACACGGTACTCTTCCTTTTAAAATAGTCCAGCTTTTATTGCGCCAGATGCTAATATTGAAGTAGCTGCTAGTCGTATCATGTGGGGAAAATATTATAATGCAGGCCAGGTAAATTACAAGTTTTCCTGATTTTAAAGTTTAAACTAACATTATATGTAATAATAGACTTGTGTTGCACCTGATTATGTGCTAATCCTGAAATCTCAAGCAAATCAATTTATCGAAGCTTGTAAAAAAGTACTTATTGAAAGATATGGCCAGAACCCCCAGGCATCGGATTCTTACTGTAGAATTATCAGTGAGCGTAGATTCGATGCGGTAAAATCATTTATTGATAATGTGGATGATTCAAGAATTATTGTCGGTGGACAAACCGATAAAAAAGATTTGTATGTCGCACCCACTATCGTATATCCTGTTGCTTCTGATGAAACTGGATTAATGCAAGAAGAGATATTTGGTCCTATCCTTCCCATTGTACCTGTTGAAGATATGGATGAAGCTATTCGTATTGTGAACTCAAAGAATACACCCTTGACAATCTACATATTTACTGAAAGTAAAACCTTCCGCGAAAAAAGTACGTTTAAAAAATTAAGTCAGAAAAGAATTACCAACTAACGTAATCGTTTTCCATCTAGTTTTGGATAAAACCCAATCCGGGGGTGTTTTAGTAAATGATGTACTAATGCATGTACAAGAACTCGGTATGCCCTTTGGCGGCGTAGGTGCTAGTGGTATGGGATCTTATCACGGACCTAAATCTTTTGAAACTTTCAGCCATGAACGTGCCACCATGATTAAATCCTCGGGCCTTGAAAGTTTAATGGTTGCTCGTTACCCTCCTTACAACGATAGTAAATTAACACTATTCACCATGCTGACCATTGGTTTACCCGAAACGGTCACTGGTAAAGTTAAATCTGTCTTCCAAGCTATAGGTGCTGCTCACACCGTCTTCTTCTCTTCTAACAACGATGGTAGTGATCAACCTATTAAGCTTTAATTCACTTTCTTTTTAACCCAATTCACTTTCTTTTTAACCCCAAAAAAAAAAAAAAACAATTATATCCTTTATTATATTATCGGCATTTTTATGATTCATTATTATTTTCCTCCAATTCCTTTTGCTATAAATTAACATATATATTAGTCCCTATTCGATTCTTTAATTTATTATTATTACCTTTGCTTGCCAGGCCTGGGCCATCTGCAAGAATTTAAGAGAACGGTTTTGAACTTCGTCATCAGCAAAGATGTAGTCAAAGTATTCTTCCCAGATAACATTATCTTCAGACGAGTCAGCAGCTCTTCTTCTCTTCTTAACCACCTTGGGCATCTTCTTTTTGACAACCTCCTTGGTTTCCTCTGTACCGTAATTCTCTTCAAATTCTTTCCATGCTTCAAGTAAGATAACACGCTAAAATAGCACAGTGTTTAAAAAAAATATTACTGTATAAATTTCGGGAAATTACCTCTTCTTTAAGATCCTTCTCCTTCATCTTATCATATGCCTTACTAAAGATGGTTCGGGCACGAGTGACACCTTCGCCATTTCCATCTTTATAAGGTATAGATAACTCGAATTGTGCAAAACTAATATAAACCTTAACGTGTTCAGTGCGCTCCAACAAGCGGTAATAAAGATCCCTCGTCTTTTCGTATTCCTCTTCTCCGATTTCGAAATCGATGTATGCTTTCCATAGTAGTTCTGGCATATTAAGATTGGCTTGTGAAACAGCAAGTTCAAAAATGGCGCGAGCTCTTTCAACTTCATCCAATACGTTCTTTTCAAGCTCTGCAAATTGAATCCATGCTGAGCAATTCGAAGGATCATATTCAAGATATTTTGTATAGATGGTTCGGCAACGATCAAATTCTCTTAACTGGAATTCCAAATCAATATAACCCTTGAATAATTTGTTTTTCGGACATGTACCGATTGCTCTACCTAATAACTTTCTCGCTTGAGTCACTTGCATTTGTCTAATTTCGAATTGAGCGTACATCAGCCAGATTTTGGCAAATGTGAATTTTTTGTGTGGTATCAGTTTAATACATTGATCATAAATCTGTCTTGTTCGTTCCATGTCTTGACTTTCGAGCTCTTCATAGAGAGCATAATTAATCCACAAATAAATATAACGTCTCCAGAATCTCTTTTCCTCCGCAGGGGGGATTTGCGCAATGGCGCGTTCATATACTTCACGAACACGAGTTGGGTCTCCAGCAGATTCTTCCAATTTGGCATAATCAAACCAGATATCATAGTTTTTGGGACTGGCTTCGATTTCTTGTTCATACTGCACACGTCTTTTACCAATGACCACATCCTCGATACCGGCTTTATCTCCGTATTGCTTTTCGAAATTAGTATATTGGTTGTATAATGACTGTGATTTTGATTTGGGAAGACGATCTAAACCATATTTAAAGATGACACGTGCACGTTCAAACTGAAAGCAAAGATTAGAACTGATAGGTCATGTTTTACAAGCTATATATATGTAAAATGAAAAGTACCTCTTTAGCTTTAATCTCAAATTTCGCAAATGCCACGAGTAATTTCTGATCTAATTTCTCTTCTCCTAAAAACTCGAGACCGGCAGTATAAATTTCTCTACATTTGTTCAAATTGTTGTGTTCTTCCTCAAATTTTGCCCACTTAATCCAATTAGCAGGCTCAGGATGAATACTGACAAAACGTTCATAGATAGCGCGAGCACGTTGCTTTTCGTCGTATCGTAATTCCATCTTGATATAAGCCATCCAGGCATTCTCAGTAGGCTCCCATTTCATCCAACGTTCGAACACATTTCTTGCTTTAGGAACGTCGCCCAAAGTTTCTTCCATGTAGGTATATTTGTACCAGAACTGATCGACACGAGGTAACAAAGTGGTGGCACGATCGAGCAAATTACGCGCATGGTTGACACTACGATTCTTCAACTCCATATCTACATAACGTAACCAAAGTGCATTGTTACGCCATTCAACATCTAAAGCACGCTCAAACACAGATCGAGCACGTTGAAATTCCATTTGACTTTCTTCCCAAGAGGCATATTTAATCCAATTACTGATATTAAGTCGATTCTTACGAATGTTATCCTCAAACTCTTTACGTTTACGTTGTCTAAATTCTGACAGTTCTTCTAAATCCGCAATCTTTTGTTGGGGAATGTTATGAGTAGGTTCGAGACGACGGTCATGAGCTTCACGCAAGATTTGTTCGGCTGTAATCTGAACAGGAGCAGCGCTCTTGTTTTTAACCTGATGAAAAAAGAAATATATGTTTAGCAAAAATTATAACCAGTTCACCATATTACGTTATTTTACCTTGGGGGGTCTGGGGTTCTTTCCGAAACCACTTGTTGTCTCTTTAGGATCCATTATATAATTTAATTGACACGTAAAAAAAGATGCAGCTTTTTTTTCTGGGTTCAAGGCTGGCTTTTTCCACCTGCAACGGTGTCGGCGCTTTAATATGTAAGCCACTGCCTAAAAAAACGTCATCGCTCAAATTGATGCAAAAATTGACCCACGAAGAGTAATCTACAACTTACTTCATGGATTGTCACGTACTTTTTTTAAATTTTGCATGAAAGATTGTTTGCCTAATTATGTGCCTTGTTTTCTATAAAAAGTCATAACATATCTACTTGATCCAGCATTCGGTAATCAAAAATTGGAAATGTTCAATGAACTTTACCAATATCAAAGCTGCTCTAACGAAGTAGTTGGTATTTATTCCATGTCAAATGATATCATGTTAAATCTTGGATCCGAGTTTATGACTATAAATTTGCTAAATATTAGTTATTCCTTGTCCAACATCAATGTGCTTGTATCTCCCAATTGTACTTCAAACAACCTGTCTGTTCACAGTCCCCATAGTCAGATTTTCCAGGTACATATCTTCTAAACTGCCAAACAATATTCTTCCGAATACTCCAATAGAACTTGTGATTTCAGAACATTTTAATCAAACTATGATTTATAAAACAGACTTGATAGCTTGCCTAGTGCCATCATGGTCTATGTTTTATCGCACCCATCAAATTTTGGTGAAGTTCTAGGTACAACTATAAACAGAAAAAATACGCACCAAATTTCTATGAATACTAAAATATGTCATAACAACAGATAATAGCGGCAGTAAGTTTGATGACAATAAATTATTGAAATTGTCATTTCTAAACAAATATGTGTATACATCAAAGTAAGTTAAATCGACAAAACGTATAGCAGCATATTTAAAAGGAGCATGCATCGTATTTTCGGTCTCGTGTCCTTGATGGTAAGATTCAGAAATCTAAATACATAATTTAGATTGCATGGGTAAATCTCTTTAAGTCAAGATGTATCACCGAATCGTCTTATAAATATTACTAATGTTTTGCTTAAGCATTAAATAAAATACTTTGCCGTACTTACAAAATGTGATTAAGAGGTAGTTCGATAATAGCCATTATAGAAAGGGTTAAAAGGGCCGTGGTGATTTAGTTATATAAAAGATGGTAGAAGATAGAGGCAAGTAGAACACGGGTATCAAATAATTTCAATGATATGAATACCATCTTAGTATTTATTGAAAACGGGTATATCTACTTGTCATGTCAGATATTGCTTTTATTTTTTCCTTTTGAAAATTAATTGTGATGATCTTTTTTTAATTGATAAAAAATAGCGCGATGTGGGTTACAGCGTATACAAAGGGACTTTATACACTTGTCAAACGAGCCTGTCTCACAGGGTAAGCATCGCTGGTAAAAGGGAGGGATATATATCTACACTACAAGTGTAGGAGTGCTATCGTTTAAAGCGTAAGAGATTTTTTTGTAAATAGATTTTACTACATTCTTCAAATATGAAATGATTACACTTTTTGTTTATGCTATTTTATAAATTCACATGGAATGAGAGAACCAATCTTTTTTTTTCTGGCAGAGGGAATATGAATTGTTGCGCCAATCTATTATTTTTCTCTTTTCTTCTTAACCGGGGCAGTTTATCGTTATTAATACTAGTTGGGTCAGCCTATTAATGGCGTATAGGCGATGCCTTTTGTCAGGTTATGGATTGATGAGACATGCGGCACCTTTTTTCATGAAGAGGGGAAGTGTATCAAACTGGAGGGCGCAACCCCTTTATGTGACTATCTTTACCATAGTAACTTACACCATCTTTTAATGACTGAAGGGAGGTATTTCATGTTGGTTCACCTTTTTTTTCTCTTTCCATACCAAAGACTCATGGATTTTTCTCTTTTCGCTCACTTTTTGCCTGATAAAAAGATGAAGGAAATGCACAGATACAAGTCTCCGTGTGGCTATTCCCAGGAAACACTCTTCTAGAGTGGCTAATGTGTATCTTTTCTTTTTAATTTTAATAAAGTATGTGCTTTTAATAACTATTAAATCTGTCTTTTATTTCATGTCTTTCGTACCAAAAAAAAAATGAATAGGGAAATGTGTCCAAACAAGTAGATAGTTGGTCAAGATCCTCTGATTTAGATTGGTTCTACAATCAGAAAAGGATCAGGATTTATATGTTTAGAGACTGGCGTAGAAGAACTGACGGGCTTCTTTATTGAAGGCACTAGATCAGATTTCACTCATAATACACATGAAACTGGTGTAAAAAACAAGAAGACCCTCAAATTTACAAGAGATTGAAGATGCTGCTATTTTGAAAGCTAAGTTATGTAAGACACGTCCTTGATTTTGTATTTCACTAGTGTTAATTGAGGCAGACTTGACTACGACAGTTTTTTTACAGGCACTTTCCAAATAATGTCATGTGTATTTTTTTATCCCCATAATCTCTTTTCATGTTTATACAGGTGCATATTGTCATACGTAGGCTACCAACTCTTTACTCAAACTTCAGTAATACTTTATGATCAATGGATCCAGCTACCTTGATAGTATGAGAAGCATTTAAGACCATTTTGGAATGTATTTCCAAAAACATAATCTACACGTACAGGAACACTAACGATCTGGTTTAAAGATGGCAAATTGAATTTATTAAGATTTGCATCACAACAAGACAAACGTTTTCCTGCAAAACTACAATCACTGGGTTTATTAATTTATGAAGCGTGCATACGATATAATTATTTACTAATTTTCATAATACGTATCCACTTCAATTGTATATTAATGTGTATAGACCAACGTAATACATATAAAAAATAACGTTAACAAGTGATGCAAGGTATACTCCAGTAAATAGACCTTCACGGCTTTTTTTATGTATGTGAATCAGTGAAATGTTGATGTTCGAGTTTCACTGATTTGCGCCTATTGTTTCCTTCGGGCAGGGTGTTTAAATAAATAAATCCAACCAAGTTTTGCAATTATACTTTTGACGTTCTGTTTTCCCCCCTCTTCTTCCTTCTTTCGTCTTCACTAAAATGACTACTAACAAGACTGAGAATTTTTCTGCACTCAAAAATGATCTTTTTCTTCGTGCGCCTCTCGTGGTAAGTTATATATGGGATCAACCATTTGAAGGGCTATTAACTAATTCTCAAATTAACATTAGGCGAGAAAATTGAACGCGCTCCTGTTTGGATTATGAGGCAAGCCGGTCGCTATTTGCCTGGTATTGTACACAATAGCAAACCAAGAGTGGAGATCATTGAACTCCCTTTCTGTGACTGTATATATATGCCAACAAACATGTATTAGAATTTCACAAGATTAGAAAGAATCATAGTTATTTCGAAGTGTGTCGTACACCTGAACTTGCTTGCCAGCTCACTCTTCAAACTATCGATCGTTATGGCAAGCTCTTGGATGCTTCAATTATTTTTTCGGATATTCTCGTTATTCCCCAAGCTATGGGTCTTGAAGTGTTTATGGTTCCTGGTAAAGAACCTGTGTTCCCTGCTCCTTTAGATACACCTGCCGATTTCTCTCATTTGACTGAAAATGTAGACGTCGAAAAGGAATTAGGTTATGTTTATCAAGCCATTACTTTAGCCCGTCATAGACTTAAGGACGTATACCTTTGTATGGTTTTATAGGAGCTCCTTGGACTTTAATGGCTTATATGATTGAAGGTGGTGGAATTTAGACTTTGCATAAGGTCAAGGGCTGATTATAAAAGTATCCCAAGGAATGTCATGCTTTATTACAGTGTATTACTGATATTGCCATTGAATTCTTGGTGGTTTAAGTAAAGGTATGTCGGTATATGAGTTAAGAATTTTAAAAGAGATGAAGTAAACGGGTTCTTTTTAGTTTGGGCAGGATGTATGGCCATATTGCTGGAATTGATCGTGGTTATTGCATGACAATTTCTTGTTTTCAGGCAAATAATCAAAGAATTGAAAAAGGTCGGAGGTATTACTTGATGGGATTCATGTACGAGATTAATGGAGATGGAGTCGTAGAAGATTACTTAAAGGACTTAGATTCATATACAAAGCAGCTGAATATCGTTGTGTATATGTGTATGTTAACATTGGCTCTTGCCTTATAATGGTGAAAGTCTGATTACACCCAAAGAATACGATTACTTTCAAAAAGGGCGTCTATGATGGCAAATATGCACAGTCAAGGATATAAAGGTGAAGTTAATTTCAGTGAGGTTTTAATAGATCGTTATAGAAAAGCATTAGAAGGTGTCTATGATCTTGCTTAACTAAAATAGAAAAATAATGAAGCAGTTACCAATGAAGCGTGTGTTTCTAAATTGTCAGAATAGTTAAGACATTCGTCTTACTGGCGTGAGCCCTATTTACCATATTTTTGGTGTTGATATTACGTACTAAACCGGATATCATCTTTTATTGTCGAAAACGAGTTGGTAATATCGAGACCAGACCAGTCCAAACAAAAATAAAGTGACAGTTTCAACTATCTGGGGAAGAAATATAAATACGGCATGTTTATAGATTGAGTCGTAAGCTTACTATGTCGGTGGACAAGTTACATGGCCAGTATATATGATAACTAGTGGTAGTGTATCATTAAATATCTGTATGCCAAATTGGTATCTGTTCTAATTAACTTGTGCCTTTGTATTTAAGTAAGACTCATACCTACTAATACTTAGTAAGAATTTTATAGCTTTTTAGCTTGACATAATTTGAATGCAAAAGCCTTGGAAAAAAAATCTGGCAAGGTAATAGTATACCCAATTTCTTCCAATAAATTATTGTACAGATTATAGAATAACTCAAGGAATTTGCTTGTATTATGATCTATAAGATACGAAGAAGTTTAACCTAATACTCTTACCAATGATAAGATCCAAAGATTATTTACCAATGCTTTGTGATGGTAAAAAAAAAGCCCACGCTAAGAGCGGAAAGTAAATAAGGTTATACAAAAATAGTGCATTTTTGGTAATGATAGTTCCAGAAAGGTAACTGTGATTAAATAACAAAAACAAAAACAAAATAAATTGAAACGTGTTTATTTAACGTATCTTGCACACATGTGCACCGACTCCTTTGTTACGATAGAGGCACTAAATAGAGTAATTATCCTCTGTACTCTACTTTATAAAAAAAATAGGAAACTGAAAATAACGTGGGGAATTCAAAAAAAAAAAAAAAGATTCGTCATAAAGTATGACTTATATGCAATATGAAAATCTGATTGGACAACGTAATAATGGGCCAAAAGCTGATTTTATACGTTGATTGGCCAAATGTACCAAACTGGTCATAACCTATGAAGAACGTAAAAAAATGCAAGGCGATATAAATTAAACTTTTTTCTCCATTTCTCCCAGTTTTCTTCTTTATTATTTTATTATATTGAAAGAAAAATGGCTACTACTGATAAACTTATTATTTTTGACACAACCCTTCGTGATGGTGAACAGGTAAACCACGATATTTTTTTATTATGTGTATATGTAATTGACACATTTCATACAAAAAGTCCCCAGGTGTCACTTTAAACACAGAAGAAAAGATCGAGATCGCCAAACAACTTTCTCGTCTTGGTGTGGATGTTATTGAAGCAGGTTTCCCAATTGCTTCGATTGGTGATTTCGAAGCCGTACAACGTATTGCCACTGAAGTAGGCTCTTTGATGGTCGGCAGAGAAAAGATTGGTCATCCTGTGGTAAATATATTTAGATGCACGGCGGGAAATAATTTTATGAGAACAACCTTTTTTCTAATTATACATTTATGTTATAGACAATTTGTGGTCTTGCTCGTTCTACACCCAACGATATTAAACGTTGTGCTGAAGCCATCGCGCCTGCCGCTCGTAAGCGTATTCACGTTTTCCTTGCCACCTCTGATCTTCATCTTGAACACAAGCTCAAGATTGATCGTGAAGAATGTATTAAACGTGCTGTGGCTGCTGTCACACTTGCGCGTTCTTTTGTGGACGATGTTGAGTTCTCACCTGAAGATGCCGGTCGTTCTGACCCTGATTTCCTTTGTAAAGTGCTCGGTAAGGTGATTGAAGCCGGTGCAACTACCCTCAACATTCCTGACACCGTTGGTTATAATATGCCTGAGGAATACGGAAGTTTGATTGCTTATCTCGTCAAGAATACACCTGGATCCGAAAAGGCTATTTTCTCTACTCACTGTCATAACGATCTTGGTTTAGCTACTGCCAACACATTGGCTGGTATCAGTAACGGTGCACGTCAAGTGGAAGTCACGATCAATGGTATTGGTGAGCGTGCTGGTAACACAGCTATGGAGGAGATTGTCATGGCTATTCATACCCATCCCAATTATTTCCCTGTTCATCATACTGTCAACACCACTTTAATCTATCGTACCTCCCAAATGGTTTCTACTTTATCCGGTATGATGGTTCAACCCAATAAGGCCATTGTCGGTCGTAACGCCTTCCTTCACGAATCCGGTATTCATCAAGATGGTATTCTCAAGAACAGACAGACGTACGAGATTATTAGTGCCGAGACCGTAGGTGTGACTGATATTTCTTTGGTTCTTGGTAAGCATTCAGGTCGTAACGCTTTCCGTGAGCGTTGTAAGGAGTTAGGATTTGCCGATGTCTCTGATGCGGATTTCCAGACAGCATTTGATGGATTCAAGGCACTTTGTGATAAGAAAAAGAATGTGAATGATGCAGATATTCTCGCTATTCTCAGCAACCAAATCAGTGCTCATGTTGGAAGTGCTTATTACACCTTGATTTCTACACAAGTGGTGGCTGGTGCCGATACCACCTCCATGGCCAGTGTCAAACTTTTTGATGTCAAAGCAGAGAAGGAAATTTGTGATGCTGCAGTTGGTACCAACGGTCCCGTAGATGCCATCTTTGAGGCTATTCAACGTAGTGTGGGTCGTCGTTTCCGTCTTACCAAGTTTGATATTAGTGCAGTGGGTGAGGGTAGTGATGCCCTCGGAAAAGCCGAGATCCAAGTCATGGTTGATCCTGCTACTACAAATACTCAAGATACTCGTCTTACCAAGGCTGCTTTCTCTTCTAGCATTGCCGATATCGATATCATTGCTGCTGCCGCCAAGGCTTATTTGGGTGCTATTAACAAGCAATTAGTGTGGGAGAATGAATTGGCTGCTGGTACTGCCAGAAGTCTTGGTGAGGAACGTCAAGTGGATGTTTAAAAATCTATCCTTAAAAAACATACATTTAATCATTTGTAAATAAATATCTCTTTTTCATATACAACTACGCGCGACATAACGTTTTCTTTATTTGACTTTCCATTCCTATATTTATGTCCTAGACATAAAAAATCACAAAGAGAGTAGAAATATTTCTATGCTAATTAATCAACCTTTTAGCGCGTTTTTTATTATAAATGATGGGACCGTTAGCGGTTTTAAAACTTTGCCATTATTGAATTTATCCTCTTCTGTCTCTTCTGTCTTATCTGCTCCAAAAAGTTCAAGATTGTTTTCTTTGGACGAGGACTATGTCAAAAAATTGTATGGATATTTAAATGAGAATTCTGTCTGGAAATTGTCTTCTGGTGTAGTGGTAGAGGAAAAGAAGAAAGGGTTTGTAGTTGCTTGTAATTTCGGGTAGTAAGCATTAATAATGTTATTTTTATCGCAACATATCTACGAACTTATTTTTTAGTCGAGTGCACTTTCTCGTTCTCGGATTTACACTTGCTTCTCTGGCAAGAAGCCAACATCTGAATATGTTTGAAGATAAAAATCTTTGAGTAATCAAAGAGCGTGTCCTACAAAGAACAGTTATACAGCCATAAATAACCTTTTTCGCATAAAATTCTTTTATTTATATTTGTAAGACAATGGTAAGTAAAACTAATAATGTAAAGGAAAAGAATATCAAATAAAATGATCGATAAAATAATGTAGCTTATATATATATATATATATACACATATTTATACAAGGGAGAGAAGTATTTCACCAGCCAAATCGTCATTGCTATCACCATCATCATCTATTAAAATAAGCTTGGGGACGTTGCTTAAATACCGAGTCAGAAGGGTTATATATGCCTTGACTTATGTTATTAACTTCTTTGAGGAGAATAAAGATAATGTTTATTAATTCATGATTGAAGCTATTTATATGTTTTACAATTGTCAATCCGGAGTAACTACTATTGTATTGGTTCGTAAGGTAGTAGAAACAATTTCTGCGGTTGGTTGTGTGTATTACGTTACAATCACAAATTCACCATTTGAGATAAATAGTAGTGATATATGCAAGTTTTTTTTTTTTTTTTTTTTTTTTTTTTTTACCAATAAAAAAAGTTAGATACCGTTGAATTTTTGACAAAGTAGTCAGAGAAGTTCAGTTTAAAAGAAACCAGTGTTCGTAACTTTATGAAAACTGAATGCAATCTGTCATTCAAAAGAGCAGTATTACGTTCTAGTGAACGAAATTCTGAAGATAAACTTCAAAAGCGCTTGGAATAGGTAGATCGCTGGACATCAACTGATATGGACTATCTTTCTAACCGTATTTTTGTGGATGGAAATGGATTTGACAAAAATATGCGTCCACCTTTAGCCTGGTCCAACGGCAATTGTGGAAACCAAATCGACCAAAGCAACTTCCCATACAATATTGGGCGCTATCAGCGCAATGGGGGTAGATATTAAGCTTATAGTGGCAGAGAAGCCCGAACAACGTAGAATTGACGGTGTTGGACAAGAAAAGAAAGCGCATACCAAATTTTAAAAAGTCAAAAGGTACCACAACAGGTCACAATTTAAATTTTATAAGATAAAATGGATAAAACCCCTCATATCAACGGATTTTATATTGTTATGGACAATGCACCTATTTATACACATAACGATATTGACAAACTGTTCACTTTAAGAGGCTATAGAAGCATATATATCCCCCCATATTCAGCCGAACTAAACCCAATTAAGCAATTATGGCCTGTTGTAAAGATCAAGGTCAAGAGGGGCACGTTTTCTGATGATGAAGATCTTAAGACAAGAATTGTAGATGCATGCAACAATGCTACTATTCAACATGCGAAAGCTTTTATACAACACTCATGTAATCAATTAGAGAAATGTAGAAATAAAGAACCCTTATAATCGTATAAGGTAATTGCATAACAATAATATTTTTAAAAATCCGACCATCATTTTCAATTGAGGATAGACGCACTGTAACAACAACACGGAGCTTGTTCCTCTTCCTTTCCAATATGTCAAACTTGTCTACTGGTAAAAAAAAAAGCAAAGAAAAGAAAAGAAAAAAAAGGCTTTATGGTTTACGAAAGACCCTATTTATTAGCAATAGACGTGTACATTCGTAAGAACACTCTTCAATCAAGTTTGACAGGATTCTTGAATGACGATCAAAAAAATAAAGCGCTCCTTGTTCAATGGTTTGAAGTGTACACAACTTTGGAACAAGCAACAAGCGAACTTGTAGCTATGTTTTTACACGCCTATAACACTGTCTGTCCCGACAGCACGACGAAAAAACCTAACACACTTGTCGATCTCGGTGTCTTATTTGCAGAAGCCGAGATGAGGAAGACTATTATTAAAGGAAACATGGGAACTATTATCGCGTCAGCACATACTACAGAGATACAAAAAAAGCAAAGACTTGTTGATGGGGAAGATATTGTTCAATATATCGGAAATGACACATCTCTCAACAGGCCCAATGCAATTACTACTGATAAGGCGATATCGGACGTTGCCTCCTCTTCTACGGCTAAGGTGACATCTACGGTTACACCAGCAGAACGTCCTCATACTGGCGATTACATCTTAGCAAATAAGTTTAACATGACTAAAGCTTTAAAAGCTTACATCGAAAAGTGCAAGAAGAAGAAAATTGAAGGCATGAATTATATTGAGCTGATGTAAATATTTTGACAATTATAATGTAACACATGTACTGTTTATTGACTGGGCTATTTTTATAGGGCATCATGTAATGTTGTATTTCTTACACAAAATGCATGCCCTGTAATCATGAAAGACATTGGATCTAGTAATTTGGATATGTTAAAAAAAGAACTCTATGACAAATACATGAATGAAAATATTAAAGTCAATGACAGCTTATACATGGATTTGGTCTCATTATTTCGTGTAGGTGTTATGAAACTGTAAATCTATATCTTTTTAACTATTAACAAACATTCTACTCATTGCAGGATATGGATAGTGAAGCCTCGCAAAAAGAGAATAATCAAAAAATCAAAGCACTTTTTAAGAACTCTTCAGAAGAAGACGGCGTTATGTGTGATGTTCTTATAGAAAGGTAAATCTACGTCAGAGTTATAGTCTATTTGTAACTGATTTTCTCTCATAATTGATAGCCTCAATAAGCTTCCGTACTGTAACGCAGCACACCAGCTTGGAGAATTGGAACTCTGTTCAAGATACTTTGATCCATTGCTTGCACCGATATTTCATGACCCTGAGGTTGGTCAACAATTAGTATGGTATATGATGAAATTTTTTCCGCATAATGGCACAATTAAACAAAGCTGATTGCTTTTTTTAGGATAAGGGGGGATACCGACTACCAATTATCAGAAGTGCATGAAGAGGCAGAATTCTTAAAAAAAATCGCATGTGATATGAGCCAGCGTACTACTTTGGGCTTGTGTAGACAAAAGCCAACCGAACAAGGCGATGTTGTTCTTGCAGATTGGAATGACAGACTTTACTTGGCCAATTTCACTAACGGGTTGGTCTCAACAAAGGATAACAAGTTTGCGATATGTGTTCAGACAGATGGTAAAAATGTTTTATTTCTTTTTTTAACGGCAAATTTTGATTTTCTAATTTTTACAAAAAGGTCTCCAATGCAGCTTTTATAGTTTGCACGAAATTGCTCCTGGTGTCACCGTTATGCTTGACTTACTAAATTTTGATGTTCCCCAAAAAAGATGTGAAGTTGTCAACTTGTTACCAATACTTGATCAACTGAAACGCATATACTGCTTGAATAAAATGAAGTATGCGCCTCTTCATTCCGTGTCTAATCCTTTAGAAGAAACAGCAGGAACTTCTATTAAAGAAGCAGCGGAAAATGAAACGTGTGAGCTCAAACGGAAGAGAAAAATTGAGCGCGTTTAAATATGTTATTACAGTATTATCATGTTAAATTCAGACAAGCTCAAAAAAAATTCGGACTAAAAAAAAATGTTTTCAGACAAACGTAAAGAATTATTCAGACAAAGGGAAACTATTTTCAGAAATATGATAATAAAAATTCAGACAAGTAAAATCTAAACTAGTTTTGACTCTTTGTTAAGGCATTTATCCCAGTACGTTTCAGAGTGTCATATCCAACCATTACAATCCTACGTAGTGATAGTCTCACAGGCTGCCTGAATTCTTGGGGTTAAAGTGTCCAAAGTGGAAAGCGGATTTCTTTTGATGTGCTTCTTGATCTTGAACCAGCACTCCTCAATAGGATTCAAAAATGGGGAATAGAGGAGCATATATAAAGGCTTATATCCCCTACTTTGGATTGCATCAACGACACTCGATGGATATAGTGAATTCGGCAATTATCCATGACGATATAAACGCCATGCTTATTGTGTCTGTCCAGGACATCCATGACATTTCGAACAAAGGTTACAAATGACAAGCGGTTGTACCTTTTTTGGGCTTTTCTGTTTTAGTGTCATCGGTTTTAGCCTTTTTTGTCTATCAACTCTGCGAGAAACTGGTGTGATCTTACAGTTGTTTGTTCGTTCCCCCCCCCCCTATAGGAATAACAGTTACATGACTTTAATTTCACTGTTTCAATATTTCATAAATATCAATCATCTCTGAAAGAAAAAGCTGAATTTATAATTCAGAATAAGATAGAAGAATCATTTAGAAGACACATTGTAAAGAGCCTGGATGCATTTGTTTAAATCGATAAAAACTAAAAGCAAGCTTTTGAGGATGTTATTTTTTCAGTAATTAGCAGAGCTATCGAAGCTTACACGCTTCTGAAAATATTTTTAGAAAGTCCATTCTTATAGAATATTAAGCAGGACGTTTTTTCATCTTTTTTTTTAAAATTATTATGATCAAATACATTAATTAATCATTGCTCTGCTGAATTTAACAGTCCTCTGCGTCGACAACATAAATCAATTCAACAAAAGTTTTGTAATAACATCCTCATTTCTTTCCGTATATTAACTATATGCGTATCCCAATTCATCCAGATACTGAATGCTTCATAAAGCTAAAAAAGCAACATTTATATGAAAAGCTACAGCAGCAAGAAGAAGAAGGGACAGCAGTACACAATGATTTCAAAGGCCAAGCTAAAGAAAAAAAAAGGTGATATCTATGAAATATGTATAAATAACGAAACAGAAAAACCTAAGTCTTTAAAAGGTATAAAACTGAAGGATACTGCAGAAGAAAAACATAACAAAAGCGCAGCAAAACGGGCACGCAATTCCAATCTTGTAATAGCAGCAGCTATATCCCGCAAATCTTGTGGTGAAAGCGGACACTCATTTGCAAGAAGTAAGCAATGCAGCCATCGTAATTTCACAATACAAGAAACTATCGAAAACAAAATTGGCCTTAATCATCAAAGATACACAGTGTCTATACCACTTCGATCATTTTTCCCCACATCTGATGATGATGCGTTTAATAACACCCTCAACAAAATCAAGAGTTTATCTATGTTTCTGAGAAATGTGATTTATAGAGCACAGCTTTTGATAAATTACTATATTCTCAGGTACCCAGCTGACTTGCCAAACGAGTTTTTCCAACAAAACTTTTGGTATTTTTTATGCCGTCTTATAAATGAGAATATGTCAATTGAAAGCTTTAAGCAGAAGTACATTTCGCATATTCCTCATCTGGAAGAAATATGGACGGAACTCAGCGGCATTGAAGGTGTAAGCATGTTTGTCCAAAAAGAAGGTCTTACCAACTATGGTCAAGTAATAGCGTCCGCGTGTAAAAATGTTGCAACTTGCTATGACAACTTTTACATAGAAAATTTTGAAAACATTGTCAGTAACTATTTCATATATATGATCCGTGCTGAATTTCAGGTAAAAGAAAATTTTATATTGTACCTACAAAAGGCTGTTATTAACAATACATAGGACTTGAGAATGCCTTATATCAAATCTATTGTGTACGGTCATATATTAGAAATATTGTTTAACGTGCAACAATCAACTTTGCCGGATAACATTATGGGAGTTCTGTGAATAAAGAAACGCAAGACAAAATTCGGAAATTTCTAAACCCGCTGATTGTAGAAATCAAAAATCGCTTACCACCAGCCCCTATCACAAAAGCGACATTAAGTAAGGCCCCTTTCGATATAATGCCAGTTTTTAGACATATATTGTCTAAATACGAATCAATGATTGAAGCGAACCAGGAAGTAACAACATCGATACAACTACCATTGACTTTACCACAACAGTCCGATTTATTGCAACAATAACTGAGGATTTAAATCAGTCACGGAAAAGGCCTAAAAAGAAGAAATCATCAGTAAAGAATAAGATCTCAAATGCGCATAAAGATAAAGAGAAACGATTCCAACCACCAAGGCTGTTCAGTTTATTTCCGAATCCAAGCTTAAAATGGCGATTTATCAAAATTGATAATCAAAACCTACATGGGATTTTTGGAAGGAGAATTCGCCAAGTACAAGAGGAGACACCTTTTTCTTTCACACAAAGATCTTTCTTTGAATGCTTTGACTTCAGAAAATTGAAAATAAACAGGTAAGCTTGCAACATTTTTTTTGAATAATACGCAAAATTTTTTATCGTTAACATGAACAGTCTGGCTGAATTACAATCACTGCATGAGAAAGGTCGGATGTTTTTGAACAGCTTTTATACCGATGGTTATACATGTAGAGTCTCTTTTTGTAGAAAAGAAAACCCTGTTTCATCTTTGGAAAAGGTCACTCTGACCCTGAATAACTTTAATAGCGAAGAGGTCAAACAATATTTCAGGCCATGTACAGTCGATCCTAATAGGAAGGATGTTTTTACATTATACCATGACGAGAATGATGTAAGACGCCTCTCTAGCTCTGAGTGTTACAATATGAACGGAGTCATCAATTGTCAGAAACAAGAACTAGAAAGAAAGAAAAGTAACAACATCGAATATATTGAAACCAGAATCCCTTCCCCAAAAACAACTGGCGCTGAAAACTATAAAAGGCACATAACATATATGCTCCAACACTTTGAAGCCTTGGTCACTTTTTATGACTTCCAAAATGCTAGAATACGATGGTCCAACTATATCGGGAAACAAAAGGCTACGGATCATGCTATCAATATTTTGATTAACGGTTCCACAAAGTACAACAAAAACAGGAGAAAAAACACTAGACGAAATAAACGTGAAAGACGAAAATTAAACAGCAGATATAAGCGAGATCTTTCCAACACCAAGCAGTCAAAAAAAGGAAGACAAGCGGCGAGGTAAAACTGCTTTTCATTTTTTTCTAGAAGCATTAATCATTTTATTCTTTTAAAGGGCATTTAAGGAAAAATTCGAAGAAGGGGATAAAAGCAAAATGTCAATGATAATATTCGGAGACGGGTTAAAAAACAAGTCGCATGTCCGATTTAAAGGACTAAGACATGGAGTAATCGTTAAGTTGTACAGACAGCTAAAGCGGCGTGAGAATTTGGGTGAATTGTTATTGCTTGATATCGACGAGTACAACACTTCCAAGGTGAAATAAATAGATGTTCATTTTGCAAAAGTATTAATAACAAAGCTCTTTTTTTTGTAGACGTGCAATGGCTGTCTCGTGAAGAACTTGGAGAATCTGAAGTGTGGTGATCACAAAATTCATCAGATATTAAACTGCAACAATTGTAATATCTTTTGGAACCGAGACGTCTTAGCATCGAAGAATATGTTTACTATTGATAGCTCCATTTATAGTGGTAATGGTTCACCAAGTGTCTTTCAAAGACAAAGCGCCACCTCCAACGTGGTTGCTGCACCGTCATCGGTGACAGCTTAAAGATAACTGCAGGTAAAACAAATTATCTCTTCTAAACTTGTCTGAAAACTGATTTCATTTATGTCTGAATTTCCTTTTATTTCGTCTGAAAAAGGTAAGTCAATGTCTGAAAGTAAGTTTTTATTCGTCTGAAAAAAAACTAACATTGTCTGATTTTGAAGTGTGGAAACTGTAGCGTAGAAGTACTTCTTTATTACGAATTCGCTTTAAAATAAATAAATTACGCAATTCTATAGAGATAAATACTTGTGTCAAAACTAGAATAGACTGAAATTATGCAAGAACTGTATATTGCGGTGTATAATTCCCTGTGCGGACAGTTAGCACTGTATGGATCATCTGTAATCCAGCAAAAAAATAAAATAAACAGTCATTTCCATAAATATCTGATTTTGTTTATTTTCATAAATTCTCTCTTTTTTAACATATAGAAAAAAAAAATGGTCGCTTATGGTGGAGGTAATATACCCCTTTTTTTCCCTATTGATTAGGCATGATAGACCGTTTAACTGACACATTTTAAACAGACGAAGTCAATGCTCTTGTTCTTGACGTTGGATCAACCATGACGCGTGCTGGTTATGCAGGCGAGGACACCCCTCGTGTCATGTTTCCTACCAGTGTAGGCTACCTGGAAGAGAACCCAGATGTGGTCATGGCTGAAGAAGATACTGAACCACAACCATCTTTGTCGAAAAGAAAATATTACATTGGTGACAATAAAATCAACAAGTTCAAAAGCAACATGGAAGTCAAGAATCCAATGCACGACGGCATGGGTATGTGTACATCATGATTACTACCTTCCTTTATATATATATATATCTAATGGAAACAATGCTTCTAAATGCAAAATAATAGTGGAGGATTGGGAAGCCATGGAGCATATTTGGGATGCAGCATTGAACGACATGTTGAGAATCGATCCCGAAAATCATCCATTGTTATGTACAGAACCTGCTTGGAATACAAAAGAGAAGCGTGAAAAGACGATGGAATTAGCTTTTGAAAAGTTTAGATTTCCTGCTTTTTATCTCGCCCAAGACGCCGTGATGACAGCGTAAGTGTGTGCATGTGTGTGCGTGTTGATTACAGCAAGTAACACAGATTTTTCCCTACAGGTTTTCAGTGGGAAGAGCTACAGCGCTTGTGCTTGATTCAGGCGGAGGTGTGACAAGTGCTGTACCTGTCTATGATGGATTTGTATTAAAGAGGGGCATATTACATCAGACCGTAGCGGGCGATACCTTGGCTAATCAAATCAAGAGACAACTGAAAAAGGATTTGGATTACACCATTACTCCTCATTACAAAATCGCTAAAAAGAATCCCGTAACTTCTGATCAACAACCCGATGTCCAGTTGCGTGATTTACAAGGCATCACAGAGAGTTTTAACGACTATCAAACAACGGTACTTTTACAGAAAAGGATCTATTTAAAAGTACTCATTTTTTTTTCTTTGGTCTCGTATAGAAAGTTGTGAATGAATATAAGGAAACGATTTGTGAAGTTTCTGATACGACATTTGATGAAGAGTAAGTTATCATTCATACATGGGGAAGGGCCTCACACAGAAAATTAACATGTTTGATGGTTAGAATTTTAGGCTCGAGGTCTAAGAAATCATTTGAATTTCCTGATGGATTTAATCATGCCTTTGGATTAGAGAGATACAAGGTCCCCGAGACCCTTTTCCAACCTCACATTCACGACGAAATCACCACTGCGCAAGAGGAAGAAGAGCGAACAGAAGAAGAAGGCGTGGAACCTAAGAATAAATTACTTGGTGTGCATGATATGGTCTTCAACAGTATCAATCACTGTGATATCGATCTTCGACCTCTTTTATTCAATAATATTGTGGTCACGGGTGGAAATACACTGTTTCCAGGTTTTAATGAGCGTTTGAATTATGAGTTGCCCTTGAAAGCGCCTGGCGTAAGTATAATTTTTTTTTTATACATGTGCGAATCTATGCTAAAACGCATATGACTATTTTTTTTTTTTTTTTTGTAGAGTAAAATCAAGATTCATGCGGCAGGTAATGCAACAGAACGTAAAAGTAGTAGTTGGTTGGGTGGGTCTATATTAGCTTCATTAGGTACATTCCATCAATTATGGGTGTCGCGAAAAGAGTATGAAGAATTCGGTGCTTCCATTGTTCACAGAAAGTGTTGATTTTTATTGAAAAAAATAAAATCAATAATAAATATATATAAAAAAAAATAAAAAATATATGTGACAAGAGATGGGAAGAAAAGGAGGGGAAAACGGAGGCGAAAAGAGATGTGATTATTTACAGTGCATGTGTTTGTGTGTGTGTGTGTGTGTGTATGAGATTGATATATTTAAAATGGAGGATCATATAAATCATTTAACTTTTGTCTTTTACTTTGTTGTTGAGGAGGATATTTTTGTTGTACAGAAGAGGACCAGACGAGTTTCCTGTTATCAATGGGTTGCCAGTAATTAGAGTCGGCGGTGGTGGTGGTGGGGGTAGTTATAGCAACCGCAGTGGCAGTACTGCTAGGGACGGCAGTGGTGACTGTACTACTGCTACTTGTGGTCGTACGATTTGATGTGTTCGTGGGAGAGTGGTTTGTTGGTGAAGAGGAAGAGGAAGAAGTAGAAGGGGTATCCGCAATGGGTGTATTATAAGGGTAAGTATTCGTGTTGTCATCTAATAATGGGGTGATATTTGCTTGTCCTAAGCCTCCTGATGATGAAGATGATCCTCTGGGAATAAGAATTTCATCCGCTGTTGTTTGTTGTCTTTTCATGATTTTAAGATGGGCACAGTGCTTTTCAAGAATATCATACAAGGTGCTTTTCGAAAAGGGTTTTGGCAAGATATCGTTCATGCCAATACCAATATATTCCATAATATCATTGTGGGTGAAGTTAGATGTCATGGAAACGATGGGTGTTAGCGAATCATAGCGTCGAATATTTCTTGTTGTTGCAATACCGTCCATTTTAGGCATGACGATGTCCTAAAAATAAGCTGAATAAGAAAGATTTTTTTTTTTCACACAAAAAAGTTATTTACCATCAGAATCAGATCGTACTTTTCCAGACTCATCTTTTGAAGTGCTTCCAAGCCATCCTTGGCAAGATCGATGGAGCAACCAATCATATTCAACATGCGACCACTCACATCTCTATAGACGGAATCATCATCTACAAGTAATACACGTGGCGGAGTAGTCCAACTAGCGACCATCTTCTTTTTACCTTTAATGTCGTCGGAAGGTGGAGTAGGCACATGTTCTTCTTTTGCGTTGAGTCTATTTAGCTTATAAACAGTTAGACCACCATCCGCTCCCTTGACGGTGGACCCAATTAAACTTCCTCCGTTTAATTGGGCGGCAGCAGCGGCTATGGACGCCGTATCAATTGAACTTTGGGGCGGTGTAGGTAAAAAGAGGTCGGTCAGAATACTTTCGATCGGAATTGTCGATTGTTCTGTCCAGGTAGAAGTGGCATCTTCTTCTATTTTGACGGCTATGAGATGAATGAATTTAGTATAAAATATAGGTGTAATACTAATAATACAACTCACTAGGCTCAGGTGGTGGTTTGTTATTGACAGTCAGCTTGAGACATTCGCGTATGATTTCGTCCTTCTTTTTCAGGTTTTCTTGAAATCCCGAAAGTTCGGCCATGATGAGTTTATCATTCTGGTCCATCTTATTGACGGTGGCTTCTAATTCAATTTGAGATTGTTTAAGTTGATTGACTTGAGACTGAAGATTTCTGGTTAATTTTCTTAGGTCAGCCAATGTATTTGTCGGTTCGTGTCCTCCGATGACAGGTGAGTTTACGGCGGGAAGAATGGGAGAAGGAGATTCTGTGGATGAATCCACCAGTGTCTTTTTCTTTTTTCCCGGTGTCTTTCTCTTGATTTCTTCAAGCAGGTCTTTTCGATCTCTTTTGAAATTGGCGTGTTCAAACTCCCAAGTCTAATTATTATTAAAAAGGGGGCGGGGGCATGTTAGTTATACTATTGTAATCACGATCATTATTCGTACCTGATCACCGTATAGTTTCTGAGTTTCGTCTGCATTACTTCGTATCTTGTGGAAATCATACTTGTTTAATTGACGTACAAAACTAGCAAAATTACAGTGTTTAAAGTGTTTGGGCAAAATTGACTTTGAAAATTCGTTGGTGTCTTTCACAAGAAATGTCGTGCCTGAAGGGTCCCAACAAAAGACGTCCTTGAAGGCCTTGTTTTCCAGCATTCTTTTTTATACATATGAAAATAGGGTTAGCGTCACCTGACTTGCATTTTTTTTTTATAGTTTTTTTTTATCTGTACCGAAATAGCTTTTGAATAAAGTCAGGTACAGCTGAATTGCTTGATTCACTAGAGTTCTTACCGCCATGCTTCATGGCTTTTTTAGATGAAGTGGCCTTAAACTCTTTATGTTCCTCCATTTCAGTTTTCAGTATATGTGTAATATATGTAAATAAAAAATCAAAAAAAAAAAAGAGGAAAGGGAAAAATAATAAAAAAAAAGGGAATTATTAAAAATAAAGGTTTTTTTTTTCACACCTTTTTTTTTTATACCTTACCTTATTAGGTCAATCAACGTCACTTGCTTTGAGTGCATTTCTGACTGAGTTTAATATTTCTGCAAAGTTGCCAAAAGGTCCGACAATAGCGTGTTCTTCTACACATTGCAATTGTTGTGAGTGTCCCAATGATGAAACGGAATAAAGGCAAGATCGAACCTTAACAGTGTCATGCTTTGGTTTGCATCTTTTACCCTATGATATCATTTATTTTTATTCTATGTGTCATCTTCAGAAGCCGAAGTCATTTCCATTTGCTGGATAGTCTATGTCTACACACACTGCGCCATGTGACCCTCTTCTTCTCCTCTCTCTCTTTAAATCTGAAATTCCTAAAAAAAGTTTGTCTTTTTTTTTTTGCACACACACTTTCCCTGTCATGGTTGAAGCTAGTATTCCTCGCTACTATTCATTAGAAGAAAAAGAATATGTGGCACCATACTACTCTGTCCGAAACGATTATAAGAAATATCAAGCGGTGAATACACCCATCGTCATTGACAACGGTATACATCCTTTTCCCATTTCTCTTTCTTTTAATACTAATCCCCTTTGTAGGCTCTAATCAGTGCAGAGCTGGCTGGTCTTCCGAGAAAGGCCCTTCCAGTAAAGTTGCCAATAGAAACGCGCGCCTTTCATTGCTTTAACCCTTTTTTGTGCTTTTTTTCTTTGTAGTGATCTTTGACAATGTCGTTTCGAAATATAAAGACCGTAGATTAAACGAAAACGTATTAGCTGTCGGTATGGACGCATTAGCCGATCCTGCTGCTAAATCAAACGCACGTTCTCCATTTGACGCCAACGTCGTGTGTGATTTCGAAAAGATGGTACCCCCTTCTAGTCTTTACTTTTGTGTGTTCGCCCCTCCTTTGTTTAACATTCTTTCTTTTTTTTTTTTGTGCAGGAAACGATTTTGGATTATATATTCGTGGTATTGGGTGTCAATGCATCCACTGTCGCCCATCCAATTGTCTTGACTGAAGCACCTTGCGTACCTCAATACAGTCGCACACGTAAGCTTATAAACACACAATTATAAAAAAAATGGGAGGGGAACAAACAACTAATGAACAGCTTAGACATGACCGAGCTTTTGTTTGAAGGCTATAAGGTGCCTTCTGTGGCATACGGTATTGATTCCTTATTCAGTTATCATGCCAATGGTGGATCAATGGACGATGGTGGTATTATTATTTCCTCTGGCAACTCTACCACACATGTCATTCCCACTTTAGGCGGTAAAGGTGTTCTATCAAAAACAAAACGGTAAACAGAGTACACGAATAATACAAAGTAGATACACTAAAATCTTTGCTGTTTTCCAGTTTGGCGTATGGTGGTACACAATCGTCTGATTACATGTTAAAATTGATGCAACTCAAGTATCCAACATTCCCTACGAAAATGTCCAATACACAAGCACAAGAGTTGGTGAATCATCATGCATTTGTGGCGCGTGATTATGAAGCGAATCTGAAAGCCATCGAAAATAGGGATACGTTTGGAGAGATTGATCGTATTATTCAATTTCCTTTTACTGCACCCTTAATTGAGGAAAAGACAGCGGAAGATTTAGCAAGACAGGCCATGAAACGAGAGGAAAATTCAAAGCGGTTACGTGAAGCCGCTGTAAAATCACGATTGGAAAAACTGATTGCGCGTGAAGAACAAATGGAAGCTTTCACCAACCTGAAAAGTATCAAGGGTAGTATCAAAAAAGCAGAGTGGCTGGTAAGTGCTTCTTCAAGAATTAAGGGTCGGGTTGATTTGGGACTAAGATACTCTTTATGTATGTAGGCTCAAGTGAAAGAGGCTGGATTTAAGGATGAAGCGGATTTGGATGACACGATCAAACAGTTAGATATCGCCATTCAACGTGCTCGTAATAAGGAATTAGGGATTGAAGAAACCGAAGAAAAGGAACCTCCTCTCACTACACTTGTGCATATTCCCGATGATCAATTGGATGAGATAGACAAGAAGGAAAAACGTAAACAAAAGTTACTGAAGGCTAGTTATGATGCCCGTCAGCGTGCTAAAAAAGCCAAGGAAGAAGCCAAAAAACGCGATATCGAATTAGCTCGAATTGAGGAACAAAAACGCCTGGATGATCCTGTCAGTTGGATAGGTGAAATCAAACAAAAACGTCAACACGTCATTGATCGTTTAAGGCAACGCAAACGATTGGCTTCCGAATTAGCTGATCGTCGATCCCGTGCATCTCAACTTCGCATGAAATCTATTGCCAACTTGGCAAGTGATGCTCCTGCTTCTAAACGTAGAAGAAAGGGTAATGATGAGGATACATTTGGTCAAGACGACGATGATTGGGCCATCTACCGTGAAATCGTAAGTGGATAGAGACTATTCTTAATATTTGTATTCATTCTAGTCAAGTAGAGCCGTGATGATGAGTCGGATGAAGAGGAAGAAGATATGTCCGAATTAAACCAATACGAAACATTATTACTCCAATACGATCCCGACTTTTTACCCGAACACTCATACGAATCCATGACTTCTCCTACCAATACATTAATGCACATTTTGGCTCGTGGTATCTACCCACCTTACGACCCCACAGATATAGAACAAAGCTACCAATTACATGTGAATGTCGAACGTGCACGTGTTCCCGAAGTACTTTTCCAGCCTAGCATCATTGGCCTTGATCAGGCTGGTCTGGTAGAGACCGTGCATGATATTGTTCGTACATTTGACACAACACAACGAGAGAAATTGATGGGCAATATCTTCCTGACAGGTGGCTTTAGTCAGTTACCCGGATTGTCCGAGCGTTTACATACATCGCTTCAGGGTATCTATCCTGTTCATACCAAAATTAACGTCAAGAGAGCCAAGGATCCTGTCTTGGATGCGTGGAAGGGTGCTGCCATGTTTGCTCAGGATCAAACCAAAGAACAGTACTTTGTCACAAAGAGGGAGTATGAAGAGTATGGTTCGGATTATATCAAGGAACATGGATTAGGAAATATCATTCAAAAATAAATGTGTGTAGATTTCATACCCCATCATCATCAGATGGGGACTTTTTTTTTCATTGTAGCTACAAAGAGACACTCCCTCTAGGATGGAGGTTTGTCTAATTGGTGGTATTTGTTTATATTTATCATGTCATTACTGTGAACACGCATAGTAATAAGATCTTGGATCCTTTCACCCGTGTCATAATGTAATATTACTTTTATCTTCCATAAGAAACAATTATAAAGAAAAAGCGATGATTGAGTGGTGCCTTTCTTGGCCACATTACATGCACTGTTCTGGTTCATAATGCATAAGACTGGTTCATGTATTTAACCACTTTGTCTCTTTGGGATTAGTTTTTGCATGAAAGTTGATAGATGATTTAGTCGGTGTCTAAAAAAGAAGTAACCCACTTGATCCCGAAAATTACAGTGTTGCTACTTGAAATTCAGACAAATGCAAATCCTTTTTGGACAAACTTATATATGTTTTCAGACAGGCTTATAATTGTTTTCAGACAAACAGAAATATATTTCGGACAGTCGTAAAAAGATTTTCAGACAAATGTAAAAGATAATCAGACAAGATATCCATCCCAGTCAATACAATCTTTTGTGTCGATAAAATGTTTTAAGGAATTTTAAAGAGGACGTCAAATTATTTTCAACCAACACTTCACGATTTAAGTGAGAAAAAGAGAGTACGGAGGTACCGACAAAGGTCCCTACACTTGTGCAGATAATTGGCATGGTCTACTTGTGATATAATGATAGAGGGGATGATACTTGAGTAGGGCATAGCGGAGGAAAAGAAGATAATGATAGAGAGTATGACATAGAACGTATGGCGGTAAAAAAGAACAGGTAAGTGATCCTAGGCTATGACTACGCGCACTTTAGCGGTCCTAAAGAAAAGCGTAATCATAATAATCTATTCAATCAAACTTTGAGACAGCCAAAACTCACTCAACAAATTTTGTTCAGTACGACTTATATTATAAATGATTTAAGTGGTTTACATGCCTATATTTATCATACCTAGCCTACTACTAATAACCTTACTTCATAACATACGAATACAATCTGATATAAAAAGTTATAATTTTTGTTTGTACAAATACTTTGATAAATTAATAATGTACAGCGGTCACATCAAATATATATATATATGAGTCTGATGTCGATTTAAACAACAATTACGTCCTTCTCTTTCTTATATCCAAAACGGGATGCGTACACCAATTTATCCAGAAATTGAAGCTTTTATACAAACGAAAAAGTTGAAAAAATATGAAATCCAACAACAGGAAACTGCTAGTGAAACCATCAGCAAACCAAGTAAAAGAAAGAAAAGTAATATAAAAGCTTTCTTCAATGTGTTGTGATAACTAAATCTTCTCAAAGGTGTAAAAAGAAAAGATACTCCAGAAGAGAAAAAGACAAAAAGTGATGCAAAAAGAGCTAGAAATGTTTTCCCAAATACATCGAATCTAGTATGTAAGTCTTGCGGTCAAAATGGCCATGCATCTGCTAGGTCCAAAGAATGCCCGAATTATAATTATGCAGTGAAAGAATTGATTCAACAAAATCTGGGTTCTCAAAATCAAAGATATACTGTCTCCATACCTCTCAAGTCATTCATGTCTTCAGTAGATGAGAATGCGAATAACACGGCGGTTGAAAAAATCAAAAGGCTTTCTATATTTTTGCGAAAAGTCGCCTACAATGCTCAGCTTTTTGTTAACTTTTATATTCTGAAAAACCCAAACAGTTTGCCTAATGAACTATTGAAACAAAACTTTTGGTATAGCGTGAATAGAGTGGTGTACCAAAATTTATCAGTTCAAAACTTCCAATCACAATATCCACTTATTACCCACCTTGCAGAAGTATGGGAGGGGCTTAACGGTGTTGAATCACCACGAAATTTTCCAGTGGTTTATTCGCACCTTAAACCGATACCGGCGGTATCAGTGAAATTTTTACAATTTACCGGAACCGGCGGTATCGGTTTAGGTTTAAACTGCTACTGCCAGCAACGGTCTAATTTTTTTAAACCGCTACCGCCGGTAACGGTGTAAGCTTATACTGATACCGGCCGGTTAACTTTTTGGCGGTCTAAGCTCTACCGCTACCGCTGGAAAGTTTTTTAGTGGAAGGCGTCAACTTGACAGTTGATAAAGGAAGTTTAACTCTTTACAACCAAGTGGTTTCATCCGCTTGTGAGTCTATAGCTACTTGTTATAACAACTATTATATAGTTAGAGAACTTTGAAAATATTATTGCAAATTATTTTATATACATGATCCATCAAGCATTGCATGTAAGTGTAAAACCTTGTTGAATATACACTAAAAACTTGACATCAATTATTAATTTTGTAAAAGGACATAAAAATGCCCGCAGTAGAGCATATAGTATACGAACATGTGCTCAATGTAGTGTTTTCTTCAAGACCAGGAACCATCAATTCTGACAATATTTCCACTTATTTGAACAGTGCAGAGCAAGAAAACATTTGTGCGTTTTTAGACTCGTTGATATTGGAGATAAAGAATCGTTTATTAGTATTTCCTGTAACAAAGGCGACTCTAAATAATGCTCCATTTAGCATTATGCTAGTATTAAAGCACATTCTGGAGAAATATGAATCCTTGATTGTGTAAGCACCACTACCTGTTCCTGTCTCCCAAGTTCAAATCATCCCACAATTACAATAAGATGAGACTGATCAAGTAAATAAAAGACCAAAAAAAAAAGAAGAAAGGAAGAAAAAACAACAATGACAACAACGGCGTAAAAAGAGGTTTCCAGCCGCCTCGTCTCTTCTGTCTAATCTCAAATCCTAGCTTGCATTGGCGTTTCGTTAAAATAGATAGCCAAATTTTGACTGGTGTGTTTCCGACGGCTTCAATGGAACGGTTAGAGGAAGAAACAGTTTTTGAATACACCCAAAGATCTTTTTTTTCCCGTTTTCATTTTGCTAAATTAAACATAAATACGTAGGTACATACATTTTTAGCAATTTATAAACATGCTAATTTTCAAATAGTATTTGGCTTTGAAAAATTAAATTTACCTCAACGAAAAGGAAAGATGTTTATTAATAGCCTGTACACAGATGGGTACAATTGTAGGATTTCTTTTTGCCGAAAGAGATACGCAGAATCTCCTGTGAATGAAACTGCATTTGGAGCTGCAAGATTTCAATAGTGAAGAAATAGATCGTTATTTTAGACCTTGCACAGTAGATCCGCCAACAGGAAAGATGCTTTTGTGTCATTTCATGGTAACACAGATGTTAGGCGGCTATCATCTGCTGAATATTACAACATGAATGGAAGTACCAAACGTCTGAAGTTGGAGCAAGACAGGAAGAAAGAACAAGGTGTGCAAACAATCGAGACAAATATACCTTCTGTGAAGTCAGAAATTACAGATAAATATATAACGCATGTGAAATACATGATGCAACATCAGGACACACTATTTAATTTTTACAATCTTCAAACAGCAAGAGTCAAATGGTGTAACTACATCGGAAAACAGCATGCCCTCCAGGATGCTGTAAATATCCTAATTAACGGATCAAAGAAGTGCAATAAATCTGTGGGATTTGTACTTTCATCCATTTTGTTCTTGTAACACCCGTGCAGCAATTGAATACAATAATTGAATTGTGGGGTCATTGCGGAAATGGTTCACTAAATGTAAAGGGTGTTGACTGATAAAAAATTGTTGACAAAGCAACAAAAGTAGAAAGTGGTGATGTCAAGCTTCCTTCTATCGAGCTGCCGGTCACAAAGTAACACATCTTGGCCCAAGGTTGACATGAGTGTCGGCGAAGAAAAGGGTGGTCTTTGTTTTGTACAGTTTTCTTTAAGACTTCATATTTCACTGAAGATATTACAAATGTTAACACAATCGGCATTTTATTGTATTGACGATAGAGAGATATGGCATAAGACATATAAGTCTCAGAATAAAATCATTGTCCACTGTATGCTGAATTTTCACTAAAATGGGGGGGGGGCTACTGTTCTGTTGAGTGATCTGGGTTGTTAAGAATTTCCGAAATGGTACGATTCGGCCATTCTGTCGGCCAAGGTGAATTATAGTTGCTTTTTTCCTTCAGATCCGATTTGTTGTCTCAACGACAATGTCAATCACAGTGTTATTCAACAATAAAATTTGTTTCGACATCAAAACTTCTCTGGGGAGGTCCGTCATCTTGTACTTTAGTTCTAAATATCTTGATACCAGATGAAGTGAAAAACGGACATGTTTAGACCTCCGTGTTTTTTTCAAACGTATTTTTTTTAATACCACTTACATCAATTCTGGCCCAGACCAGCAGGCCAATATAGCCCAATCATTTACAGTGCAACTCCTATTATTCACAGTCTGTGAGTTCTAAAAATTCAAGAACCCTGCCTAGGAGGTCGCCCTCCTATAGTAAATACTAGCCGCAGCCGCAATATCGGAATATATCTTTTTCGATTTATCGTCTTTTGAAAGAAACAAGAGTCATTACTAACTAATTTTTTTACGTTATCGGTTACTTTCATACGATAGAGGAAGTATGTTAAGGAAAAAGAAAAGGATAAGAATAAATTGTGTGAACCAGCTTTATTTATAGGCTGATAAACAAGAGCTTATGTCAGAATGATCTAATTGTTTGTTTCATCATCCATAATGATAAGTACTAACACGTTGAGTAAAATTGACAGTGTGAAAAAAAAATGTAACATGGAATTTGGTTTTTAAGAGCAGAAGTAGTTGGCTGATAATAGTTCCTGTATCCTTCAGGATTATTACAATAAGAGTAACTAAGGGTTCGTTGTTAAGTTGTCTAAACTAACTCAAAACACAGGCATATGAAATATCTCCCCCCCCCCCAATATACGTAAACGAGCTATTGATGGCATGCCTAGTTGTAAAACTTTATTCTTTTCAACATATTGGTAATTCTATCATCTTTTCAGGCCCTAATATTAATAACGGACCTTTTATCCACGTATTCTTGGGACAATAATCTTGTGGCATATCAATTTTCCATCATCTCCTTTTTGATTATTATAATGTTCAACACTTAAACTTCTCTTTTAAATCTGAAAATGCCAAACCTATAATTCCTGTTTAGCATTTACAAGACTTTCCCAACTACAAGAAATCAATCAATTTGGCATTTCTGATCGATTGCCCTCTTCAAAAAAAAAAAAAAAAAAAAAAAAAAAAAAGTGACGGGAAAACGAAAAGTGCAATGCATCACTCAGGTTCTTCCCCATGATGGTTTTTTATTAGACATTTATATGAGACTGGCTGGATTTTTATTTTAGTCAAACTTAAAACAGTTGCGCTCGGATGCTCGTTACAGTAGATCTTTTTTTCTTTAAAAAAAAAACTTGGTTCTTTCGTAGCAATATCAATTACAGCAGTGATATATTGCAATAAGGACTTTAGGATTCTGACGAGATTTACGCACCTGAAAAACAAATCCTTTGTAAATATTGAATGTGATCAAGTTCCACGAGATGTTTGCACTAAAAACAACTCTATCCTTAAATTTAAGTCAAACATTAATATCTAGATAGAACGACTGTCTTAATTTATATGCTCCCCACAATTCTGAAAGTGGATGTCGTCTTAAAATACGTTTCATCTCTTCTTTTTAAGCGAATCGATATTTGCGTTTAAGGTATAATTTATGTATGTATTGATTAGCTTAGTTTATTAGTGAATATAGCTTAATAACATGACTCGATGCACTCAACCGAAATCAGTTTATGATTTCGTAATTAGGCGATTCTTAATAAATAAGAGCGTATTTGGGCTAGAGGTGAGGATTACAACCCTCGTTTTACACAACGTTATCAATGGCTTTTTTCCAAGTGTATAGTCAGTTGATCTAGGATTCCCCTGATAACTTGGCTCTTTTGTTTTAATGACTGCAGTACAGTGACATGGTATTGCTAACGACAAAAAGAAACAAAAAAAGGCTTCAGCAGGTCCTATACTTCATCTGAAGGGAGGTGATATCCTCGTTCATGAGCCAGCACTATCAGTAACGCTAGAAACAGTTATTTACAAACACATGGATTTTAAATGTTTGTCAATTATTGAAAGGATACCTCGGCACAATAAAAAGCTAGAACGCTGTAGGAAGTTTCAAAAAAAAAATTTTTTTTTGGGGAGGAGCGGACGGATACCAAATGCCGCAAGATAATCTATGTTTTTTTTTCTTCAGCCCTTTTTTTTTTTGTAGTACAACAAGTATGCTGCTTTTTGTTAAACTATATCTCTTCTCATCCAACCAAATCGTTCCTTGCATACGTGTCAAGGGGGGAACCTTAAAATGATGAGGGAATCTCCGCCTAGAGTGTTTGTGTATTTTTTTTTGTGTGTGAATACGCCAAGAAGATAAAACCCTTTAGAAACGTCAGTTTTTTGGGTATTCCGTTAATTAGGAAGGGACCCCCCAAGTGATTAGAATATAAATTTATCACGCTAATATATCTCAGAATAAAACCTGATTGAAACAAGGATACCACATTCTGATTTGACAATAAGAAAGTGTCTTGTGCTAATTTAGCACTTAAAAACCTTCAAATGGTCATAGCGGGAACAAAAAAAAGAAAGTGTAATATGACGGAGGTGACGTTTTTCTCCCTTTGACATAGGGTTTTAAAGATTGTGATGTGTTATTGCGTGTAAGTGACAACATCCATTGTATAAATTGAGAGATGTCTGATTTTGAGTGAGTGTGAGAGTGTGCACATGTTCAATCACAAAAAGACAATTTAAAAACCGCGTGGCATAAGCACTATATACGTAATACATCTCATCTTTTTGGAAGATAACGAAAAAAAAGTTTAGTGCTACTTACAAAGACACTATATTTTTTGACAAAGTACGGTAGTATTCATGAACGATGATAGGTTTAAAAATAAAAAATAAATAGGCATGCACAATGTACACAAAACTAGTCTATGGGAGATGGGAGGATGTGTATATTTGGTAATAGTTGACTGATGGAATTATATCTTTTTTATTTTATTGATTATCACCATCTTTGATAACAACCTTAATTTTGCTATATAAATACCCAGGAAAAATTTAAATTTGACTTTGATTTTTTGTTTCTTTTTAGTCAGTTGGTGTCCCCGGAAATTCCTTTTTCTTGATGGTCCTGTCCGTTACACTGTGCCATTGGAACATGCCGAAAAAAAAAAAAAACTAGATTATCTTTCTACCTAGTTTTTGATTGGAGTAGTTTTATTGGTTAGATAAGAGCAGACCCAATAAGATCATTTCTCCATTTGGAAAGTGATATTTTTTTTGAGTTTATTATTTTGTATGTATGCATGTATGGGGGGAAGTAAGCAACACAGAGGGTATTCAGTTGTACTAGAGAAATATGCATTTCGTATGTACATAAAGTAAAACCAATGTGTAATAAGAGTGAGACATTTCCGAAGAAAGGGGGGGGGGTGATTGCGGGGGATGTGAGATTAATCATAAAGTTCAATATATTTGGTACTCCGGGGTTTACTCTAAACTCCAATAGGTTATTACGATCCAAGCCATGAGTCATTTTTGAGAAAGACATATAAAGGGTGGCGTTCCTCAATTCTACAACCTTTTTTTCTCTATTCTTTTTTTTTTTAAAAAAAACTCCCTATTCACCTACCTTTACAGAAAAAAAACTCTCTTTTTTTTCTGTTACTCTTTGCAACTTTTTACTCTTTCCCTTAAACTCCTGAAACCCTTTTAAAAAAACCCTTTTTTTTATCTCCCAATTAGTGTACATTTATCAGAAATCGAAATGTACGCTACTACCTTTTAAATCTCCCACTTCTCGACCCTTTGAATAGAAATTAAAAAAAAAAAAAAAAAAAGTTAAAATGGCCTATTATTACATGTTAAACGGAAAGCACGTAGGAAACGACGTAGATTGAACCCTCATTACAAAATTAGCCCAATTACACACTATATAGAAAATATCATCAACCCAGTACAAAACTCAACTATCATGTCTTATCCCATGGACCAACAATTATTTTTCCCTACACAACAAGACCCATTGTTGTTTCAACAACAACAACAAGAAGAAGCAGCTCTCTTTAGTGATCTCTTTAAGGACCCTTCTTTAGACCAATTGCTCTCTTATTCGCCAATCTCCTCTCCCGGATCCTCCTCTTCTGAAACTATTGACAGTCCCACTGCTGTTCTCAATGATGGATTCTTGGATGACTTACTTACTTCTCCCTCTACTTTACCTGCCATGGATATGATGTATCATCATTTTGAACCTTTGGAACAATTACAACCCATCCATGAAAAAGAAGAAGAAACTCTCAAGCCTCGTCCATCCAAGAAGAATCATCTTCAAGGCCAATCTACCATGTCAATCAAGATTACAACCCACAAGTCAGCAAGACCTGCACGCAAATTAGAATGTTTTAATTGTAAGGTAACCAAGACTCCTCTTTGGCGTCGTACCCCTGATAGACAACATTCACTTTGTAATGCATGTGGACTCTATTACAAGCAATATAACTGTCATCGTCCACTCCATGTTCGTAACAAGACCCATACTATCCGAGCTCATCCTTATGCATGTGAACGTGTATTGCCAATGACAATTCACACCAATAATAGTCCTCCTTCTCCTCCTTCTCCTTCTCCTGTGGTCCCTCTCGCTTCTCTTTCCCCTACTACTACTCCATCTGTGGAACCCAAGGTGATACAAGACGAGGTCAACATGATGGGTCAAGAGTGTGCCAACTGTCATCAAACACAAACTCCACTTTGGCGCAAGAATGAACGTGGTGAACCTGTGTGTAATGCGTGTGGATTGTATGCCAAACTTCATCATCGTGATCGACCTGCTGAAATGAGAAAGACGACTATCCAAAGACGCCGTCGTGATTGGAATTCCGATGAAGATGAAGAAGAACCCGATGTTGTCATGTCACCTCCTACCAGTCCTGTTACTACGACAACCCCTCCTCAGCAACAGAGTACCTTGTCACCCATGGCTGGACTTGAAACCGAAGATACCCGATTTGTGTCGCTTTTATTGCAAATGGACAGAGATCAAATGCATGGCTTTTTAAACACGTTGGAACGCCGTTGTGGTTTCCTTAAGACTATTTTATCCACAGATTAAAACTTATACTATAAAATAAAATAAAGAGACTTTTTCCTTTTAAAATAAGACTATTTTGTGCAATGACCAAACCAGTATTATGGTATCGGATGCCTTGTTTAAAATAAATGCAATGTTCTAGACCTTTTTTACAAGGTATAATTGGAAAGTTCATAGAAGTTGAGTAGAAAAAAAGAGAACAAATTAGATCAATTCAACTCTTTCATTGGATGACGGTGAGTGATTATAAAAAAAATAAGAGATCGAAATCGAGATTTGTTTTCATTCTTTTCTTTTCCTTTTATCTTTTTATTTTTTTCACTTTCTCATAAATACAACCCGTAGTTTTTTTTTTTTTTATTATTACTTTATTTACATCCTTTTTTTTTTTACCTCAATAAAAATAAAAAAATAAATAGAAAACCAAAAAAATAATAATGGACGACACCCTATTAAAATACGATCAGAGTTTAGAGGCACTAGAGAAACAACGAGAGAATCTGGAACTGGTGATGAAAAAAATGGGCGCAGAATGGGAGGAAAGGTATAAACTAAGCAAAAAAAGTAAATAGACAAATAAAAAAACTAAAAAAAAAAAAAAAAAAATCAAATGGGACACGTAGTGGTGCAGGCGTGGGTTGGATGGGCGATATCATGTACTCGAATAGCAGCACAACCAGTATGGGTAAATCTCCGCCACCACCCCTTTTGTTACCCTCCATCACTTCTTCCAGTTCAGAACCTTCACATGATTATTTACAAACTTTATTAAACGTCAATGACCAACTATTAGCCGAAAGTTTGGCTTGTTCTAGCATTGACACTACCAATACCCAATCATCATTTATCAAAAAGTCTCCATTCGTCACACCATCCCCTTCTCAGTCTCAGGACGACACTTTGGTGGCTCAGTTCACTCCACCAATCACACCTGATTAAAAAATAAAAATATCTTTTTCCCTGTAATAAAACGTCACTATCCCCCCCCCCTTTTTTTATATGTATTAGCTTCTGTGTGAGAAGAAACCTGACTGAGTTTTTTGACAGCAATTCCAATCCCAGGTGGATAAACGTTTCGAGCGCGTAGGACGAAATAAATAACCTAGTACTACTGGTTGACGTCATAATCATAAAGAGTCATTGTCAATTATACAAGAGTAGTAGATCCCCCATTTTTAATTTTACAAAAAAGAGTAGAAAAAAACAGTCAAAAAAAAAAAGGTTATTTATACATGAGAATGTGCATTCAACTTTAAAAGGAAAGTTGCAAGGACTTTTTTTTTTCTTTTTTCTATTAGTTCTAAAAGGGATCGACAAAAGTGATTTAAATGAAAAAAAGACATTATTAAAAAACGGACCCGAAAATAAAATGAGGGATTGTGACACAGGGGAGGTATAATAAATTAAGGTTAGGTCCTAAAAAACGCAAAAAAAAAAAAAAAAAAAAAAGAGATCTGCGTTTAGGCAATTTATGGAAGGAGAGGATTACTATGATTGATTGCTTATTGGATCATCGTCTTTATTAAGTGTAATGTGACAAGATCAACTACCCAAACCTATTAAGGCTTAAACCAAATTTATAAACTCCTCCTTCTCAAACACACACACACACACACACATAACACACATAAATGGATTATATTTTTTTTTTTTTTTTTTATGAATTCTGCCTTCTTTTATTCTTGTCATCCCCCCCCTTTTTTTTTTCTTTAATTTTTTTTTCTTCCTTCTTTCTTTCTAATTTTTTTTAAAAAAAATACATATATATACACACATACAGACACACACACACAATGATTCATAATAGACACTCTCCTTCAAACACTATTGCAAATGCCCCAGAGGTACCTTCTTCTAATACGCAAATGCCTTATTTTGATCCAAGAAATAACTCCAGCAACTATTTCTCCAGCGGTCACTCAAACCCCCCTGTTGTTGGTCAACCATTATACACACTCGATATGAATTCGGCTGCCACCGCTGCCGCCGCCGCCACTGCTGCTGCCGCCGCTTCAGTGGTCGATGTCAATAACTCTTTGCCCCCCCTCCCATCTTTTACCTACCAAATCTGCAAAAGTAGACACTACAGACTATTTTAGTCCCCAAACTAAGACAGCTACCGTACCTTCTCAGCCTCCTCAACAGTCATATCGCAAAAGTGTAGATTATCAACGAGCCATGTATCCACCTCCACCTCCTCCTCCATCTTCTGACAGAAGATACATTCCCGCTGGTGGTGGCAATGCTGGTCCTCCTTCTTCTAATAGCAATAATAATAATAGTAATAATAATAATAGTAGTAGCGACGAGAACCCGTTTTATATGCTGCCACAGGCAGGTCATGGTTATGCCCCTCCTCCTCCCTCCATTGTACCTTCCTCAGGTAATAGCGGTGATATGTCAAGTATGTATTCTATCCCTCCTCACCCTTACAGAAATCATTTTAATCAACAACATTATCACTTACCTTCACCACCTACTTCAGTGATCGATGGTGTGCTTGTCAACCACCATCACCATCACCACCAGCAACAGCATCACCCACACCACCATGGCGGTCACCATGACTACCATCACCCTAACAATCAACATGTGGTGAACGGTGGTATCACCAACAATAGCCAAAAAGTTTTTTCATTTGTGCCACTTCCCGGTTTAAATCAAAAGAAACGACCCAGAAGAAAGTTCCATGAGGTGGAGCGTCTATACCAATGTAATTACCAAGACTGTACTAAATCATATGGTACCTTAAACCATTTGAATGCGCACGTCTCCATGCAACGCCACGTAAGAAAAAAAAAAAATCAAATCTAAAAACTTTCTTAAAAATTTAACAAATATTTTATTTTTATTTATATAGGGCAATAAAAGACAGCCTACAGAATTTAAAGAACTTCGCAAGATGTGGCGAAAGCAAAAACGAGATAACAAGCAACAACGCAATGGGTCTCGTAGTACATCTCATTCGATGGAAGACGACCATCAACAAGAGATATCTGTGATGAATACGAGTATTTTATCGCATCATGCTGATTATAATATGCCACCTTATATGCAACATCCTTCCTTATTGTCTCACCCACCTCCTCCTCCACCACCACCCACCTTATGGCGTCCTCATTACCCATCCCAACCCTCTGAATTTATGCCCCCTCCACCTGGATATTAATTTTTTTTTATCTATCTTATTTTTGTACATATAATATATTTCATTTTTTAAAGCTCATTTATTTTATCTTCTAATAAAAAAAAAAAAAAAAACTTTTTTTTTTTAATGTTGTACGGGTTAAATGACTTAATTTCTGGAATATTTTTTTTTATAGCTGAAACACGTGCAAATTAAACAACGCACAAACAAAAACAAGTAAATTATTACAAACAAAAATTTTGAAAAATGACGTAAAAAAAGAGAGAGGAGAGGGGGAGGGGTGGTCACACCTCTAAAAGTTTTTTTTTATCTTCCTCCCGAATAAACCAGGGGCATTTATCAAAAAAAAAAAAGTTGGGGGAGCTTGAACACTTTTTGGCTTTTTTTTAAAATTAAAAAAAAAGGGGGGGAGCTTCAAGCGCCAAAAAAAAAAAATGATTTGCCGATAATCCAACAATGTTTTTTTTAAACCCCAAACCCCAACTCACCCAAGTCCAACAACACTTTTGTAAAAGAAGATATTTTGGTAAAGTTGAACACCCAGCTTGTTGGGGTGAGGTAAACTTTATGATTGGCTGATTTTCGATCTCCGTTTCTCGTCTTTGAAACTTACCATCCCAGAAAAGAAATGGGGGACGCAAAAAAAAAACACTTTTTTCTTATTGTTTGAATCATTTTTTTTTTTTTTTGTAGAGGGCAGAAAAAAAATTAAAAACAGCATTGAAATTTAAAAGCGTCTACTCTTTTTCTTTTTATACCATATAGACACAACAACAACACATATATATATATAAATTATGGAACACAAGACCTTACCTAGTCACTTTTTAGGTAAAGTAAAAAAAAAAAAAGCCCTACCCTTGCTGCCAAACTGACAACTCTTTTTTATTATTTTAGGTGGTAATACAATTGATGCTGCTCCTCAAGGACCCGTCAAAGACTTTGTCCAAGCACACGAAGGTCACACTGTGATTTCCAAAGTGTTGATTGCCAACAATGGTATGGCTGCCATGAAGGAGATCCGTTCCGTTCGAAAGTGGGCCTATGAAACATTTGGTAACGAAAGAGCTATTGAATTCACCGTCATGGCCACACCCGAGGATTTAAAGGCCAATGCTGAATATATTCGTATGGCCGATAACTTTGTTGAAGTACCCGGTGGATCCAACAATAACAATTACGCTAATGTTGATTTGATCGTTGACGTTGCCGAAAGAACAGCTGTCCATGCTGTCTGGGCTGGTTGGTAAGTGCTTCCCCACTTTTTTTTTTTTTTTTTTTTTTTTTTTTTTTGGCTGTGATGATAAAACAAATTTTTTTTGCTAAACTGATGTGTATTGTAAAAAAAGGGGTCATGCTTCAGAAAACCCTCGTTTACCTGAAATGCTCGCTAAATCCAAGCACAAGTGTTTGTTCATTGGTCCTCCTGCTTCTGCTATGAGATCATTAGGTGACAAAATTTCATCTACCATTGTTGCACAGAGTGCTCAAGTTCCTACCATGGGTTGGAGTGGTGATGGTATTACAGATACCGAACTGGATGAAGCAGGTCACGTTATTGTCCCCGATGCAGCCTACCAAAGCGCTTGTGTCAAGAGTGCTGAAGAAGGTTTAGCTGCTGCTGAAAAGATTGGTTTCCCCGTTATGATCAAGGCCTCTGAAGGTGGTGGTGGTAAAGGTATTCGTATGGCTCATGATGGTGCCAACTTTACACAATTGTTTGCTCAAGTCCAAGGTGAGATTCCCGGTTCCCCTATCTTTATCATGAAATTAGCTGGTAATGCTCGTCATTTGGAGGTACAATTATTGGCAGATCAATACGGTAACGCCATCAGTTTATTCGGTCGTGATTGTTCCGTTCAACGTCGTCATCAAAAGATTATTGAGGAAGCTCCCGTCACCATTGCCAAACCCGAGATCTTTGAACAAATGGAAAAGGCTGCGGTTCGACTTGGTAAATTGGTCGGTTATGTCTCTGCTGGTACCGTCGAATATCTCTATAGTCATCACGATGAAAAGTTTTATTTCTTGGAATTAAACCCTCGTTTGCAGGTAGAGCATCCTACCACTGAAATGGTATCTGGTGTCAATTTACCTGCTGCTCAGCTTCAAATTGCTATGGGTATCCCCTTGCATCGTATTCGTGATATTCGTGTCCTCTATGGTGTTCAACCCAATAGTGCTTCCAGTATCGATTTCGGATTTGAACATGCTACCTCCCTCACCAGTCATCGTCGTCCTACCCCCAAGGGTCATGTCATTGCCTGTCGTATTACCGCTGAGAACCCCGATGCTGGTTTCAAGCCTTCCTCTGGTATCATGCAAGAACTCAACTTCAGATCCAGTACGAACGTCTGGGGTTATTTCTCCGTTGTCTCTGCTGGTGGTTTGCACGAGTATGCTGATTCTCAATTCGGTCATATTTTCTCTTATGGTGAGAACCGTCAACAATCACGTAAGAACATGGTCATCGCTCTTAAGGAATTGTCCATTCGTGGTGATTTCCGTACCACCGTCGAATACATCATTCGTTTACTCGAGACCCCCGATTTCGAAGATAACACTATCAATACCGGTTGGTTAGACATGTTGATCTCCAAGAAATTAACAGCTGAACGTCCCGATACAATGTTGGCTGTGTTCTGTGGTGCTGTTACAAAAGCTCATATGGCCTCCATGGAGTGTATCCAACAATACAAGCAATCCCTCGAGAAGGGTCAAATCCCCAGTAAAGGAAGTCTTCGTACTGTCTTTACCGTTGATTTCATCTATGATGATATTCGTTACAACTTTACCGTCACACGTTCTGCTCCTGGTGTCTATACCTTGTACTTGAACGGTACCAAGACTCAAGTGGGTATTCGTGATTTATCCGATGGCGGTCTTTTGATCTCCATTGATGGAAAGTCGCATACCACTTATTCTCGTGATGAAGTGCAAGCCACACGTTTAATGGTGGATGGTAAGACTTGTCTTTTGGAAAAGGAAAGTGATCCTACTCAATTAAGATCTCCTTCTCCTGGTAAACTTGTCAACTTGTTGCTCGAAAATGGTGATCATTTAAAGGCTGGTGATGCTTATGCTGAAATCGAGGTAATTACAATAATTAATTTTTTTATTAAATGTAATGTTAACATGTGCGTGTGTGTGAATGTTTTAGGTCATGAAAATGTACATGCCCTTGATCGCTTCTGAAGATGGTCATGTTCAATTCATTAAGCAAGCCGGTGCTACATTGGAAGCCGGTGATATCATTGGTATTTTGTCCTTGGACGATCCTAGCCGTGTCAAGCACGCACTTCCTTTCAACGGAGCCGTCCCTGCCTTTGGCGAACCCCATATCTCGGGTGACAAACCTATCCAACGTTTCACCGACACCAAGAATGTATTGGAGAACATTTTACAAGGTTATGATACACAAGCACTTGTACAAACCGTGGTTAAGGATTTCGCTGATATCTTGAGCGATCCCGAATTACCTTACTCTGAGATGACCGCTGTCTTATCTGTTTTATCCGGTCGTATCCCTCAACGTTTAGAGAACTCACTCCATAAGTTGGCTGATGAGGCCAGTGCCGCTAAGCGTGATTTCCCTGCTGTCGAATTCGAAAAGATGGTGGAGGATTTTGCTCGTAACCATATCACACTCCAATCAGAAGCCACTGCTTTCAGAAACGCTATTGCTCCTTTATCTAGTATCTTTAGTCGTTTCAGAAACGGACTCAAGGAACATGCCTATGGTGTCTATGTGCAACTTATGGAACAATACTACGATGTCGAGATCTTGTTCAACCAACAACGTGATGAAGAAGTCATCTTGTCGCTTCGTGATCAAAACAAGGATGATTTGGACAAGGTAGTTGCTGTGGTTTTATCCCACGCCAAGGTCAATATCAAGAACAACTTGATTTTATTGTTGCTCGATATTGTGAACCCCGTTAGTACCGGTGCTGCTCTTGACAAGTACTTCACACCCATCTTGAAGCGTTTGTCCGAGTTGGAAAGTCGTGCTACTCAAAAGGTGACCTTGAAGGCTCGTGAACTTTTGATCCTCTGTCAATTACCTTCTTATGAAGAACGTCAAGCTCAAATGTATCAAATCTTGAAGAGCTCCGTCACTGAGTCTGTCTACGGTGGTGGTTCCGAATACCGTACCCCCAGTTATGATGCTTTCAAGGATTTGATCGACACCAAGTTCAATGTGTTTGATGTTTTGCCTCATTTCTTCTATCACGCCGATCCTTATATCGCTTTAGCTGCTATCGAAGTCTACTGTCGTCGTTCTTACCATGCTTACAAGATCTTGGACGTTGCCTACAACTTGGAGCATAAGCCCTATGTCGTTGCCTGGAAGTTCTTATTGCAAACCGCTGCTAACGGTATTGATTCCAACAAGCGTATTGCTTCTTACTCTGACTTGACCTTCTTATTGAACAAGACCGAAGAAGAGCCTGTACGTACCGGTGCCATGACCGCTTGTAACTCCTTAGCTGATCTCTCCTCCGAGTTACCTCGTATCTTGACCGCTTTTGAAGAAGAACCCCTCCCCCCTATGTTGGCTAACAAGTCACCCAAGGAAGATCGTATGGAAAACATTTTGAACATTGCTGTCCGTGCTGATGAAACAATGGATGATACTAGTTTCCGTACCAAGATTTGTGAGATGATTACTGCTAACGCTGATGCTTTCCGTAAGGCTCATCTTCGTCGTCTTTCCGTGGTCGTATGTCGTGAAAACCAATGGCCTGATTACTACACTTTCCGTGAACGTGAAAACTATCAAGAAGATGAGACTATTCGTCATATTGAACCAGCCATGGCTTATCAACTTGAATTAGCACGTCTCTCTAACTTTGAGATCAAGCCTTGTTTCATTGAGAACCGTCAGATGCATGTGTACTATGCTGTTGCTAAGGAAAATCCTTCAGATTGTCGTTTCTTCATTCGTGCGTTGGTTCGTCCTGGTCGTGTCAAGAGTTCGATGCGTACAGCTGATTATTTGATCTCCGAGAGTGATCGTCTCTTGACTGATATCTTGGATACGCTTGAGATTGTCAGCCACGAGTATAAGAACTCGGATTGTAACCACTTGTTCATCAACTTTATCCCTACATTTGCCATTGAGGCAGATGAGGTAGAACATGCCTTGAAGGACTTTGTGGATCGTCACGGTAAGCGTCTTTGGAAACTTCGTGTGACCGGTGCCGAAATTCGTTTCAATGTGCAATCCAAGCGTCCTGATGCTCCCATCATTCCTATGCGTTTCGCTGTGGATAACGTTTCTGGTTTCATCTTGAAGGTGGAGGTGTATCAAGAAGTTAAGACCGAAAAGAGTGGTTGGATCTTGAAATCCGTCAATAAGATTCCTGGTCCCATGCACATGCAACCTTTATCCACTCCTTATCCTACCAAGGAATGGCTCCAACCTCGTCGTTACAAGGCTCATTTGATGGGTACCACTTACGTGTATGATTTCCCTGAACTCTTCCGTCAATCTATCCAAAACCAATGGACTCAACTCTGCAAGCGTAACCCTCTTGTCAAGCAACCCAGTCATTTGGTTGAGGCCAAGGAATTGGTGTTGGATGAAGATGATGTACTTCAAGAAATTGATCGTGCTCCCGGTACCAACACCGTGGGTATGGTCGCTTGGATCATGACCGTGCGTACCCCCGAGTACCCCAGTGGTCGTCGTATCATTGCTATTGCTAACGATATCACCTTCAAGATTGGTTCCTTTGGTGTTGCTGAAGATCAAGTGTTCTACAAGGCCTCTGAACTTGCTCGTCAACTTGGTATCCCTCGTATTTACTTGTCTGCCAACTCTGGTGCTCGTATTGGTCTTGCTGAAGAATTAATTGGTCAATTCAGTGCTGCCTGGAAGGACCCTACAAACCCCACTGCTGGTTTCAAGTACCTTTACTTGACCCCTGCTGCTCATGAAGCGCTTGTTCAACAAGGTGATGCCAAGAGTGTGATTGTGGAAGAAATTCAAGATGAAGGAGAGACACGTCTTCGTATCACAGATGTGATTGGTCATACTGACGGTCTTGGTGTTGAGAATTTGAAGGGATCTGGTTTGATTGCTGGTGCCACTTCTCGTGCCTATGACGATATCTTTACCATCACTTTGGTTACTTGTCGTTCTGTCGGTATTGGTGCTTACCTTGTTCGTCTTGGTCAACGTACTATTCAAAACGAGGGTCAACCTATTATCTTAACAGGTGCTCCTGCCTTGAACAAGGTCTTGGGTCGTGAAGTGTATACCTCTAACTTGCAATTGGGTGGTACTCAAATCATGTACAAGAACGGTGTTTCTCATTTGACCGCCGAAAATGATTTGGAAGGTATTGCCAAGATTGTGCAATGGCTTTCATTTGTTCCCGATGTCAAGAACGCTCCCGTTACTATGCGCTTGGGTACTGATCCCGTTGATCGTGCCATTGAGTATTGTCCCCCTAAGGGTCCCTCCGACCCTCGTTTCTTCTTGGCCGGTAAGAGTGAAAATGGTAAATGGTTGAGCGGTTTCTTCGATCAAGATTCGTTTGTGGAAACCTTGAGTGGTTGGGCTCGTACTGTCGTCGTTGGTCGTGCTCGCTTAGGTGGTATCCCTATGGGTGTTGTCTCTGTTGAAACTCGTACTGTTGAAAATATCGTACCTGCTGATCCTGCCAATGCTGATTCAACTGAACAAGTGTTCATGGAAGCCGGTGGTGTATGGTATCCTAACTCTGCTTACAAGACTGCTCAAGCCATTAACGATTTCAACAAGGGTGAACAATTGCCCTTGATGGTCTTTGCTAACTGGCGTGGTTTCTCCGGTGGACAACGTGATATGTATCACGAAGTGCTCAAGTACGGTGCTCAAATTGTGGATGCTCTTAGTAACTACAAGCAACCTGTCTTTGTCTACATTGTCCCCAACGGTGAACTTCGTGGTGGTGCTTGGGTCGTGGTAGATCCTACCATCAACCAAGATATGATGGAGATGTACGCTGATGTCAATGCACGTGGTGGTGTACTTGAACCCGAGGGTATTGTTGAGATCAAGTACCGTAAGCCTGCTCTTTTGGCTACTATGGAACGTCTTGATCCTGCCTATGCTGCCTTGAAGAAGCAATTGTTGGAGGAAGGCAAGACCGATGAGGAATTAGCTGCTCTTAAGCTCCAAATCGAAGCACGTGAACAAGAATTGATGCCTGTCTATCAACAGATCTCTATCCAATTTGCAGATCTTCATGATCGTACAGGTCGTATGAAGGCCAAGGGTGTGATCCGTAAGCCTCTTGAATGGTCTAACGCTCGTCAATACTTTTACTGGCGTGTACGTCGTAGACTTTCTGAGGAATATGCTTTCCGTAAGATCGTGTCTGCCACCAAGAACGTTATGTCTCGTGAGGAAATGTGTGCTCTTGTCAAGCAATGGTTTGAAAACGATAACGAAGCTGCTGTCTATGATGATGCTGATCAACTTGTTGCTGAATGGTTTGAAAAGCGTGCTAGTGTGATTGAACAACGTATCACCAAGTTGAAGAGTCAAGCACTTCAAGAACAAATCGTCTCTCTTGCTGCTGATGATCAAGAGGCTGTTGTGGAAGGTTTCAGTCAATTAATGCAAAACTTGAGCCCTGAAGCTCGTGCTGACATCTTGCGTAAATTGAACGCTCAAATCTAAAAAAGAACAAAAAAAGAATTATAAATATTTTAACTCACCCCCCTTTTTCCCCCATCTCCCCTCCCCCTCGCACTTATACATTTGTCAAACGGGTTTTAATCCAAAACACGCCATCCCATATTATAAATAAAGAATAAATATTAATTAAAATTAAGTCCGTGTGGCCCTTTTTTTTTTATATATGTCTGTTTCGCATGAATTTTTTACAGCAAGGATGATGGATACCAGCAGGTAATGTTATTATTGAACAGGGAAGAGTGTCCTTTGTCGCTGAAGACAGTAACTGCTACTATTATTTAGTCAGACGAAAAGCCAGACATTCAGATAAATGCATCCACCATCGTTTCTAAAATCAAAAGCTTCAACTTGTTATGAAGGGTACACAATACGCTCATGCATCATATTATCCACCATACTGGGGAAAGCTTTTTTTTTTTAAAAATCATTGTGGTGTACCTGAATTTTTATTGCCTAAAGTTAGCATTGTTACGACTGCTTTATAATTGGTCAGTAATACTGCTGGATCTCATTGATACAAATATAAAGAAGGCCAAACATGTGTTCAGATTGCATATATGCATGTATATATCTACACTATTACACTAGAACAACAATGCTTAACTTGAAACACACGGACGGTGCCATTTATCCACTAATGCTTTATAAACCCGAGAAAAATTCTTCCATATGCATGGTTGTCAAAAAAAAAAAACAATCTGACACCTAAACACTCGTCAGGAAAATAACTATAGGTTAAAGTCGTAAGGTGGCTGCGTTTGGTTGAAAAAAAAAAAAAAGAGGGTGAAATTACATTGTGCCAGATTGTATAAATCAAGGCTTTATTTTATAGGCGTTAATACACTGAAGATTTGTATATACTACTCCTGCAAATACAATTTTTGTTTTTCCTTTATACAAGCATCCAATCATGACAGATTTAGCATACGAAGGTAGGCAAACATTACTCAAGTATGGAAAAAGGTATCATAAATTATTCCTTGTTCGTTTACATGCTTGTAGTCACACTCCTCATTAAAAAAAAATGCAAAATAATTCTCGCTGTCTTTTTTCTTTGGTCGACCCAAAAAAAAAAAAATCATGGAGCCTTTACCTGTTGTATATCGTGATGAAAACTGGTTTATCGTTAATAAACCATATGATTGTAGAATACAAAACTACCCAAATACAACCGGCGCCACGGGTAAAACGAGATCAAGGTCGATCCATGACTGGAATCTAATCTCTTCTCTTTCTCAATACAGTCGAAAGCATGTTGAAGGAGCAATTTCCTGAGATCCCCAAGTTTCGTAATGTGCATCAACTTGATTTTGCAACTTCGGGTTTATTCGTCCTGGCCTTAAACAAAAAAGCAGCGGCTGCCGCCAGTAAACTATTTCGCGATCGCACTGTTAAAAAGACCTACCTTGCGTTAGTCAATGGCCATTTAGCACAAGACGAGTAAAAAAAGAAAAAGAAAGAAACGAATTTGAAAGGAGGGAAGAAAGAACTCACTTCTCTTACGTCTAGATACTTTGTGGATCAGCCCATCGATGACGATCCCGATCATGAGTTTCGTATGACGATTTTGAGTTCAGGAAAGCCAGCACAGACAAAGATTCAGGTGCTGAAGCGAGGATTCTATCATTATAAGGAGGAGAAAACAGGCTTAGAAAAGACGATTCCTGTGACCCAACTCAGCCTATCACCCATTTCGGGTAGACGACATCAGTTACGAGTGCATTTAAAACATATTGGACACCCTATTGTTGGTGATTTTAATTATGAAACTGAGTACACGGATACATTTCGAATGATGCTTCACGCCCATCGAATCTCACTGCCTTTACCCGGCCAAGATGAATTAAAAGTCATTTCGGAGGATCCGTTCTTGAAGCTCATCGAAGTAAAATAGAAATGCGACCGACAGGATAGATTAACTCCCTTGCATTTAAACCATGTATGTATCCCCCCCCCCTCCCCTTTTTATATATAATATACGCACGAATGATTGAAAAAGAGCTTGTTTATTTTATTTTTTTCTCTAACTAAAAAAAAAGGGTTTATATGCTATGGAGATTTAATAGTGTATTATTGATGAAGGGTGGTTGGTTGAAAAGGGGGGGGGTAAACATTTAAAGGTAGTTGATGACAGCCTCCTTGGGAGCATCAGCAGGGAAACCTTCAAGACCTTGAGGGTTATTACTTTGCCAGTTCCATAATGAGTTACAAGCATCATCTAAAGATAACTCAGCCTTCCAGCCTAATTCCTTGTTAGCCAAAGTGGGGTCAGCAGTAAGATTAGGAACATCACCAGCACGACGTGCAACAATCTTGTAAGGCAATTCACGACCGACAGCCTTATCAAAAGCATGGATCATCTCCAAGACAGTAGAACCAACACCGGTACCCAAGTTATATTCAACGCATCCAGGGTTTTCCTCGAGCTTCTTTAAGGCGGCTAAATGACCCTTGGCCAAGTCAACAACATGGATATAATCTCTTAATTTAAAAAATTAAATTAGTTTCCCTTCCCTTCCACCTTTGATATTGAATATATATATATACCTAATACATGTACCATCACGGGTAGGATAATCATCACCAAATACAGACAAGAATTCACGCTTACCGACAGCCACTTGAGCCAAGAAAGGCATCAAGTTGTTGGGGATACCAGTGGGGTTTTCACCCAAAATACCAGAGGGATGGGCACCGGCGGGGTTAAAGTAACGGAGTAAACCAGCGTTCCAATCCTTTTCGGCAGTACAAAGATCACGGATAATATGTTCAACAAAGAGCTTGGTACGGCCGTAAGGGCTCTTGGCATCCTATGAATAAAATGTGAGATTTTCAAATTCAAGTGTGTATAACTTTCTTTTTTGAAGACTTACAGTAGGACTGGTTTCAGGAATGGGAATGACAGGAGGTTCACCATAAACGGTGGCAGAAGATGAAAAGACAATGTTCTTGACATTAGATTCCTTCATGGCTTGTAATAAGATAATGGTACCGGTAATGTTGTTGTAGTAATAATCGAGAGGGATTTGAGTGGACTCTCCGACAGCCTTGAGACCGGCAAAGTGAATGACAGAGTCAATAGCATGACGGCTAAAGACCTCTAAAAGAGCCTTCTTATCGAGAATATCAGCCTTATAGAAAATAGGGGCCTTGCCAGTGATTTTTTCGATACGACGAACGGCTTCATAAGAAGAGTTATCAAGGTTATCGTAAATAACAACTTCACGACCAGCATTCAATAACTCAATAACGGTATGAGAGCCTATACACAGCCAAAAGAAAAAAAAAAAAATGTAAGAATAAAACAATAAAGCTACAAGTGTAGTCTTTTTACCAATATAACCAGCACCACCAGTAACGAGAACAGCTTTTTGAACCATGTTTTTAAATATATATATAAAAAGAAGAAGGGTATTATATTCTTTATATGAACAAAAAAAGAAAAGAAAGGCCAAACATTTGAAAAAAGCGTATTTATATACTTTTTTTAAAATTCAAACAACGCCTTCTCCGAGGGTGGCAGTTACTTAGGTAATCAGAGACTTTTCCAAACGGAGTAACTGTCATTGATGATGTATTTTTCCCTTTCCCGTACACAAACGAAAAGATTTGAGTGATAACCGTGTAAAAACATCCATTCTACCACTCCTTTTTTTCTTGGACCAGAACCTTTTCATGGGCTGATTGTAGCACACAACTATTTTAAAAGTGTAAGCCTTTTATCAAACAAAGGAATTGCTAAAAATACTTTTTTTTTTCGCTCAAGAAATGACCACGTATCTGGAACACGATGATTTATTAATTAATTATTTTTGGATTTCTTTTTTCGAATTTTCTTCACTTGATGATCATTAAAAAAAAAAGCTGCATGTAACCCAATACTTCGTCTTATTATAATTGAATGCATGGAGTAAATTATAAACAGGGCTTTGATTAAAATCATCGTTGTACCAAACACAAGTCCTTTTTAGGTATAGCGCGGATTATATAAGCAAATATTGACGGACTATCATTTTTAGACAAGAAATGATTGTTCATCTCTTGATGTGGGGGGAGATTACTTAATTACAACGTGCGTAATTTCAAAGAATTCAGTTGACTAGCTTCGTGTCCAGCTGACAAAATTATTCACTTGTTTTATTATACGCTGTCGCTTTAGACTGGGGGGAGAGGATGGATTGTTTAGATGCGTCTTAAAATACATTTGTGCTTCAAGACACAACATTTGCCAATTATATATCTGATTTGTCTAATACAAGTACCATGTGCTCAAAAGATATAGAACTAAATTTAGAACTTTCTCTTCTATTAGTGGAGGAGGTGTAGATCTCACAAAAGAAGATACACCGAATAAAAGACGAAAGGAGAGATAATAAGGCCCTTTAGATATACGCGCATCTCATCAAACAGGCATTACTATACTTATATAGTAACTACTAGATAACTCGGGTCATCAATCCAGTAACATAGGCTCGCTTGTTCACATACAAAAAAAAAAAGTCAAGATTTGGAAATGATTATTTAAACTTTATTCGACGACGCTCTTTCATGCGTTTGCTAATTCGTTACGATTCTGTTCTGCCACAGCTAATGCAGCCATGATATTGTTTTGTGTTTCTGCATTCAAGTCCTTTGTCAAATGTGTATAAAACTCGGGTTTGTGTTGTTGCATATCTAGTTTAAAAGTTAGTAACATTGGGGTTTTTTTTATTCATTTATTTACCTCTAAAGACTTGTTCAAAGCAAATGTAAGGGTCAACATCATCCAAAGGTGATTCAAACATGATTTCTTCAGCAATTTCGTCTTCCTCATCGTCTACATCGCTGTCTTCATTGTTTTGATTAGCAGCTTGTTGATTTAAATATTCCAAATATTCAGTGTCCTCATCTTGAACATCCTCATCTATTATCATTTAAAAAAAAAATTTAGTATACAAAAGCTTAACCATCTTTCTGATACATGTATGGCTTTTTTATACCTTCGTTGTCTTCATCCTCTTCCTCTTCAACATCGCTGGTTTCTTCCTCTTCACCGCTTCCTTCTTCCTCTTCCTCTCCTTCTTCATCACTACCAGCTTCCTCGTCCTCATCCTCTTCTTCTTCTTCGTCTTCCTCAAATGATCCACTATACAACTTTTCCATAGCTTCACGATCTACATTTTTTTTTTCGTTACATTAGAGCATGCTAAAATAAAAGGGGCCTTAAACACGACTTACTTTCAATAGCTTTAGGTAGACTTTCAAATACCCCCGAAATACTGACCAAAATTTGTGGCCAACCAGATTGTAAGGATTGAGGAATTTGATCTGAGGACAAGTTTAAGAGGGAACACATGGCCACAATAGCTAATTTCTTATCATGGACTCTAATATTCTAGTTAGAGCAACCAAAAAAAAAAAAGGGGGGACTTCATACACGGTATCCTATAACAAACCTTGAGAATTTATCCAAGGTGGAGAACCAAAGACTAAAGAAACCTTGCGACCATTGGTTTTCATCCAAGATACGAAGGGTTAAAACAGGATTGTAATAAATGCAGTTTACAACAACCTCGATACAGTGCACTTTGAATTCCGTTGTCTTCATTTGACCAGTAAAAATGTACTGGAAGGCGAGATTTAAGAAAGGTGCAACACACTATATATATATGTATAAAAGAAGGATGAGGTAAGTAAATGTATAATTTTGCAGAAAAACCCCCCACCGTAGGGGGTAGACAACTTACAACATCAACGTAGCCACGACAGTTGAGCAAAATAGATTCCATTAATCGACATGCACAGACACGATCCACCTCTCCTAAATGGTCGCTCTTCATGACAGTATCAATGATCTCAAACATCATTTGCTTGACATGATCATTGGTAGTAAACACGTCTTTACCATACGACACAAAGTTAACCAAAGCAGGCAACATTTCATTCATGAAATCCAATCCAGAGTCCTTGAAAGCACTATAGATCAGTTCAAAGACACCCCACATGGTGGGTGTAACACGCTTAGCCGAAAATGTACAAGAATCAATGATCTCAAAGATTTCATCATAGAGATCAATAATGCGTTTTTCAAGTGTATAGGTGATGACGGGTAACAGTGCGTTTTCTAATTGTTGCAAAATATCGGGCGTACTTTCCAAACTCAGGATCAAGGTACCGATGGTCTTGAGGACACCCATGGCTGCCATGGTTTTGTCACTTGCTTCATCCACATCGCCATCAAAGTTATCATCGTCGTCTGTGTTCTTGTGGAATGTTTGTGAAAGTTCTTCCATGATACGCAAGAAGGTATCTCGTAATTGCGTACAGAGTTGGACTGCAAAAGGGGTTAATTGTTCTGCAAACACTTCCACAAATTCTCCCATCACACTGGATAACGTATCAATATCAATTTCATTCGTTAGGTTGAGGAATTCTTGCATAATAAATGGTAAATGGGGTGCCATCGCTTCACAAACTACAACGAGGGAGGTAAACACATGGCACAAGAATTAAACAAACAAAAGGTCTACTTACCACTTGCATGTCGAATCATGGGTTGTAAAGCTAAAGCAGCGTGTACTCTAACAGGAAGCTCAGTGTCACGAAGACAATCGAGTACATTTTGGTATAAAATAGCAAGATTCTGACACAATCATTTAGTATTTACACGGTTCCCGTTTTGGATTTTAATATTCACTTTTTACCTGTTCATTTGTAAAGTCTAAATCACTGAAATGTCTAGCAATTTCACAGGCCTGTTAAAAAAAAACATTGGTTAAAAAAAAAAAGAGAATTACTTATGCGAGTGTGATTTTTTATAGCTTACTCTTGCACGCAAGTAAGGAAATCTGCTTTTGAATTCAGGAAATACATGAGTGACGAAGAATGGTTCCATCATGTTGGCAACCTCAGACGTATTTCCCAAGATCACTGGAGCCAAGGCACCAATCATACATAATGCACCATCCTTATCACGACCGTTTTTCTGCTCCTCGGGTGTTTCCATGTATCGGTTTAGGACGTCATTGATGAAGCCCAAAATGTTCATAAATGTGTGCTTTTTACGATCTCTAGCCAAATCGATTAATAAAGTGGTTGCATTACTTTGACTGGAATGAAAATCGTCCAAGGGATCTATATAAATATATATATTAAAAAGATACAACGTATCAATGACTTCAGTTTTTTTAAGAAAAAAAGATAATGTGTGTGAGTGTTTACCAATTTTTTTGTGGACATAGTCTACAGCATCCTCTGTCCATAACTGTTCGTCTTCTGCCGAGAAACAAAGTTGAGGGAATAAAAACTGAGAGACCAAAGTATCCGTATGAGGTTTAATGATTTTCCATGTTGTTTTATGCTTGATGCTGTCATCAAAGAATGCAGCGGATAAAGCTAAGCATTTGTTGGACATCCAATATTCCTTCTTGATCCATCCATCGATCTGTTGCAGGTAAGTTTGCAGGATATTTGGTGCGAAATTGGAAGAGAATGATTTGGCAAAAGCAGTGTATTTGGTGGCGCTGGAAGGTAACATGGCAGGATTACCATACTTTCCAAACAATCGGTTTAAACAATGGTAAGCCCATTTCTTGGTCTTCCACCAAATGTATTTCTCGCGTTCTTCGGGATCACTAGGTAAGACCTCGTTGGGAATCTTTTTATCGACTAGCTGAAGGAAGAGCGTACCCCAAGGTACTAAAGAAGAGGGTTCTTGCAGACATTTGGGCAAATCCACCTGAATACTGGAATGATAGATTTTCAAGGCCAATTTCAACATTTCGGCAGCTTCAACTGTATCCATATTGATAAGTTTGTTACAGATAGCATTGATAGCAGGGAATGTAAGTTTAATAATTTGTCGTAGGGGTTCTCTTCGTTCCAATGATTTCCATCTAATATCCATTTTGTTTAACTACACAAACGACGTTACCCAAAAAAAAAAAAAAACCTTTATATAACTTACTGAAATACTTTGACAACTTCACGTAATGCGATCAAACCAACATAAACAATACGAATTTCCTCAGAGATCATAAATGTTTCCAACTCGTTAATAAAGGTAAGCCAATTTCCAGGAAAATCCGTAGTAAGGATACTATTTAATGATGCGGCTAATTGCACTCTAAAAAAAATGGCAAATGGCAAAAATTTAATGTTTTTTTTATGTAAGCTAAAAAGGTACAAAGCATGATAACTTACTGAACAGCGGCAGGTGCAGTGACTAAAGCGTGAAGAATATTTCTCTTGATAACAGACTTATCGTCCTCTGTAATTAGAATACCTTTGGATCCATCCCAAGCTTTATGAACACGGTTCTTGAAATAAATAGCGGCTATCACGTCGTTTCTTTTAAGTTGACAGCAAAAAAAAAAGAAGAGGTTTTTCTAAAATAAAAGTTGGATCTTACCGGCCTGACGAGCTCCTAAATCTAACTCTTCTGAAGCTTGAATTTGCAATACCAATGGTAAGAATCCAGGTTGAGATTCGATCTATAAAGAGATCAGTTGAAAAATAAAAAAGAAGACGTGTTAGAAGTTCGAAAACCCCGAAGTAAAGAGAACAAAAAGCGTTTTACGTTTCTAATGTTTAGTTCAGCCTGTTTGTGAACATTGGGATCAGGATGATAGGTCGAAACAAACAATTGGTAAACCGCGTTTTGGTCCATTGCAGTTTGTTTGTAAAAAGAGTAACGAAAAAAACGAAAAAATGAAAAAAAAAAAAGTGTTGTTGCAGTTTTTCCCGATTAAGGTTGGAACGCCACTAGATTCTGTTATCTCTTTATTTTTTTTGACTTTTTGTCCTCTGTCATGAGAATATCTTTCCATATGTTTATAACAGTAAAATGGCTCATAGAGATATAGTTTAACGACATGAGAACCACTTTGTTTAACGTCTTTTAAGAATTACGGTGGAAAAAGCAAACCACATATGTGCGTATTGTCGGGGAATCAAAACAAAAGCTCACCCACTGATAAAAGACTTAAAGCGGGGATTAGAATGTGCTTTTTAAGGTGAACTAAAGTCTCTCTCTTACTTGGGGGTGTACGCAGCTAACTAATCGAGAAACGCGGAGGGGGGTGCACGGCTATGTGCACGTGGACTTAGTAACGGTGGACGAATAAAAAAAGAAAGTAATGTGAGAAGGTCTTGTCGATCAGAGCAAAACGCACCAATGTTTATCAGGAAGCCTGAAATGATTTAGAGAACGCAAATCCGCATGATAGTTTTTTTTAGTGCTTCGATCCCATTTTTTTTTTTTTTGCTACGGTGTTACGAAATGAGGCACAACCTTTTTGTAGATGCAAATTATTGATACATGGGTAACTGCATTAACCCACTGTTTAGTATGAAAAATGCAATTTTATCACACTTTACAATCAAGTAGATGATCCATATGCACCCCGCATTCCCCCTTAGTTCAAGGCTGGGGAAATGGAGATACTCCATGTTTGAGTAAGGGCGATGATTGTTTATAATCTCCGTTCTGCTTGGCATGTGGGAAACCCTTGGCATGCTTAATTTTGTTTTGCATGCGACTGCATTTTTTTTATCAAGTTTTTTTGCGTGCTTTTTTAATATTTTATATATAAAAAAAAAATGGAGGAGAATTGAGTGTATATATATGTAAATGAAGATTAAGTCTATTTTTGTTCGGCAGTAGTCTTAGCAGCTTGGAATTGTTTACATTGAGCCTTGTGAGAAGTCTTGAAATCGGCCACTTGACATTCACGAGAACAATACCAGATACTTCTACAGGCGCCACAGGCTAAAAGAGGGGTATCAGGCTTATCCTTGACATGAGCCGCGTTACAGTGAGAACAATGCTTGGGGTTAGGAGGGTAAGAGTTATTCAAGATACCGGATTGGATCAATTGTTGCATCTTTTGATCACTTTGCTTCTTGGGTGCATAAGAAGAGATCAACTTTTGAGCCTCAGCCTCAGATTCATGAGCACGAATAGCATCACGCTTTGTCTCGCTTAAGCCAGTATGTGCACCGTATAACTCTCTGAAACGTTCTTCAGCCAACTTGGCCTTGACATAGTACTCATGTGCCTCATTCTTTCTCTTCTTGTGGTTGACAAGCACGGATAAAGCATAAAGTGCATGGACAGAGTCATTGGTATCGGCGTGTCCGTTTTGAAGGTACAACTTGTAGTTCTTGATGGCATTCTCACGCTCATTTTCCATGGATAAGTAAACAGAACCAAGCACAAAGTAAGCAATAGAGAACTTGGGGTCTCTTTCTAAAGCCTTTTCCAAATCCTTAATACCAAGTCTAATAATAATAATAATTATTTAGAATCAAGAAAAAAAAGCAGGGGTTATAATGTTAAACTAACCTGAGTTTACCCAAAGAGAGATAACAAGATGCACGAAGGAAGAATACGCGTGCAGGGAGATCAGGATAAGTATCAATAGCTAAGGATAATGTGGTGATACTGTAAAAAGTGGTCAGGTAACACATACACGTAAAAAATATAATAATAATTCATTTCTTACCAATGCTTAAATTGTCTTCCGACCAACAAAATCCAAGCAGAGAATAAAAGACTATCCTTGACAAAGAAACCTTCCTTTTGCTCTTCAGGAATGTTTTTTAACAAGACCTTTTCATATTGTTGACCAAGAATAAGAATACGTTCAGACATGGGAGCAGCCTTATCGTCCATGATCCAGGCATCGACCATAGTTTCAGATGCAGTCTTGATGTCTTCTTCATATTTCTCTAAAACGTCATCCTCAAGCGATCTGGGAATAGTCATACAAAGCTCATAACCTTTACGGAACATTTCCTTGGCCTCTCTGTATACTTTAGCATCAGGGTCGTCAGACTTGTCAGCATTACCACGAGCTTCTAATAAGTCATAAGGAACAATACGTTGAGAGCCTTCCAAGAAGCGATCTTGGTATTCTTCAGTAGCAGTGGCACCAGAAGCAGTGGCAACTTCGTTATTGGTAGTAGTAGGGGCTTGGACAGCAGCAACTTCAGTCATTATGTGTAATAAAGGGGGGGTAGAAGTGAAAAAAGGGAAAGGGGAAAGCGGGGGGTAGATTTCATTTTTATTTCATTTTTATAGGAAATAAACAACCCCTTGACGCACACCCAATGGATTCAGTCAATTACCAACCAATAGAATAATGACGTGTAAATTACCCCACTTGATAATTTTTTTTTTTTAATTTGACTATAAGTATTGTCTTCTCTCCAGTGATTTCAACTGCAACACAAGATCTTTACTCTCTTTATAAAAATCCACCTTACAACGAGGATGATGAATATCGATTTCATTGGGCAAAAGGATATCCATCGATTTACCCTGTATATTTAAAATAATCTTGTTGGTTGTAATATCAATTGTCCACGAGGACGAATTCTAATAATAAAATGCATAATCAAATTTAGCGCTTACTTATTTTACACACACACACACACACGCTTTTGCCACACATCTTACCTTATCCGGCATACGAATAATCACATTAACCATTTCATTCTCTTTATCCACCTTGATCTTGGGCTCCAATTTCCATTCCACATGATTTATGCTTAATTCACTTTTGACGGCTGTCAACAATGAAGGCTTGGGTACTCGCAATAACCGAGCTGGGATCGCTCCTTTACTCGCAATCAATGGCATAGTGAATTCTCTGCTTAATTTTACATGGGCGATTTCTTCGACATATTCCATCGATAATTCTAATATGTAGAGCCTAAAATCCAGGTCTCTTTCACTCCTTAAATAAGGTTGCGTATGGATGCAAGCGTCCATGATCAATGCACCTAACAGACACATGTAAGCCCTAAAACTCTCTCTTTTCTTTCAAAAAAAAATCACAAACCTCCATCGACTCGTTCCTTGCCCATATTTAAGGGTACTTTATAATACGCATCAGGTTCTGCATTCAATGCTTTCTGGATTTCTTTTTCCGTCGATAAAGGTGGTGCAGGAATGCTGGCTGCATGACAAATATTAATATAGACAGCCGTGTTCACAGGGTATTTCTTGTTTTTCGATGTCACCACTCTGGTTTTACAAACAAAACCTGCTTGGGGTTGTACATTAATTGTGTTGAAATCTCGTCTTGTCGCAACAGCCATATACTTTTGGACCAGTCGTGTCATTGAAGCGGGATCTTGAGCTATTTGTGACGCAATGGCATCCATCAGTGCCTCGTGCTCTTCTCGTGTCAGTTGCTCCAACGTGGGTTTCTTGGTGGCGTCGAGTAAAAATGGTGTCGTAGGCTCATCAGGAACCAGCTCGAGAATAGGCATGTTTTGTAATTAATGTGAGTGAGAGACAGGAGACAGAGAGAGAAAAAAAAAGAAAAAAAAAGGTTTTTTTTATTGAGTGTGTGTATGTGTGTTGTGACCGTATTTGATTTATTGGGTTGTTTAAAAAAAAAAAGTCAGTAAGGAGAGACAGATAAAGTGAAAGGCACATTGGTAAGATTCAAAAAAAAGAAAAATCGCATGTTATCAGTATAGTAAATGTCTCATCATGAATAATATACTCTCCAAACAACAACTTTCTCCTAAAGACAGGTTAACCGGTTATTGTTGTTTTTTTTGCGCCGTCTGCAGAGACAGAATAAGGCTGCCGATCACTTTATACCAAACTCTAAATCAGGTAGATACCCACATTTCAGCTTGTTGGTTATTGTTATACAGCGGCTCCACCCCCAAAGTTCGTTTTCCAATTTCATAAATTCGCTTTTGTCGCAGCCCAAAGTTCGCTTCTTGATTGGTCAAAGTTCGTTTTTTGAAAATCACCCAAATTCGCTTTGGTGGCACCCAAAGTTCGTTTTCACGTCAGAAGAGTTCGCTTTTAAAAATTACAGGATTATGAGATAATGTTATGAGAGATAATGTTATGAGAGATAATGTTATGAGAAAATGTTATGAGAAAAAAAAAATGTTATGAGGAAAAAAAATGTTATGAGAAAATGTTATGAGAAAAAAAAATGTTATGAGAAAATGTTATGAGGAAAAAAAAATGTTATGAGAAAATGTTATGAGAAAAAAAAATGTTATGAGAAAATGTTATGAGAAAAAAAAATGTTATGAGAAAATGTTATGAGAAAAAAAAAATGTTATGAGGAAAAAAAAATGTTATGAGAAAATGTTATGAGAAAAAAAAATGTTATGAGAAAATGTTATGAGGAAAAAAAAATGTTATGAGAAAATGTTATGAGAAAAAAAAATGTTATGAGAAAATGTTATGAGAAAAAAAAATGTTATGAGAAAATGTTATGAGAAAAAAAAAATGTTATGAGGAAAAAAAAATGTTATGAGAAAATGTTATGAGAAAAAAAATGTTATGAGAAAATGTTATGAGGAAAAAAAAATGTTATGAGAAAATGTTATGAGAAAAAAAATGTTATGAGAAAATGTTATGAGAAAAAAAAATGTTATGAAAAAATGTTATGAGAAAAAAAAATGTTATGAGATAATGTTATGAGATAACATTTTTTCATAACATTTTCTCATAACATTTTTTTTTCCTCATAACATTTTTTTTTTCTCATAACATTTTCTCATAACATTTTTTTTTCTCATAACATTTTCTCATAACATTTTTTTTTCTCATAACATTTTCTCATAACATTTTTTTTTCCTCATAACATTTTTTTTTTCTCATAACATTTTCTCATAACATTTTTTTTTCTCATAACATTTTCTCATAACATTTTTTTTTCTCATAACATTTTCTCATAACATTTTTTTTTCTCATAACATTTTCTCATAACATTTTTTTTTCTCATAACATTTTTTCATAACATTTTTTTTTCTCATAACATTATCTCATAACATTTTTTTTTCTCATAACATTTTCTCATAACATTTTCTCATAACATTTTTTCTCTATGAATTTAGATGTTAATGCTTTGCGTTGCAAAGATTGCAATGTTGACTTTAAGACTCATTCAGAGTTAAACAATCATAATTACGGCACTCATGTGGATAAAACAAAAGTCTTTATTGGTAATGGTAAGAACTGGACATTTAAATAAAACATGACATTTTTTTTTAAAGAACAAATAGACACCATTATGGAAGTTAGCAAGGTTGATGGCAAATTTAATTGTCCTGAATGCTCAAGCAAGCTCAGTACTCCTACCACATTTAGCGCCCATCTCAAAAAAAAGCATAACGGCCACTGCGAAGCCATTTCAAACAAAACAAAGCGACGAAGCCTCGAAGATAATAACAACGATAATTCTACAACCATATCATTGAAACATCGAAAGTTACGAAGCCTGAGATATGTCTATTTTTGTCTAAAAGTAGGCCCAAAAAATTATATTCAGCGCATAATCAAAAAATCAAACAAAAAAACAAACAATTTAGTTCTGAATCTAAATTTAGATGAAATTGATTCAAATTCTGGTTCATCTGGTCCTTTATTTTCAACATCAGCTCGATGTGATAATGACATGGGAGTATTACTTGCGTCAAATGCCTTAGATCTTCCACAAACTGATCAAGAAAAAATAATAATGTTAAGCAAGATTGGAAATTGGAAATCAATAGCAGTATCGTTAGAAAATGGGAAAAAGTATTACATGCTCGCCTCTCCAGACCTCATTGAAGATATACTTGCAGAACAACCAACTGGTGTGGATCTCTCAAGTATATATATTGTTGTTGTTATTGATAGTGTCTTTGGTACTTCTTCTACTTCTATTTTCAATAATATTGCTGGGTCTGCATTTGCTGGTGTGGACATTACCAGGACAAAATACCACAAAGCCATCAGATTTGGCTTAATCAAGCTCAAGCTTCATTCCATTATTCACTGGACAACAAATGCATTTCAAGAATAGTTTATTAAGGTCATGAAGCTACCACATTTGGTGAAGTATATTTAGTATTCATTAACAGGGTTTTTATTTCCTTGAACTGATAATATAATATTTACAACTTGTTTTTACAATTCAATTTTTGTTCGTATCAATGCAAATCAAAGATATAAGATGAAATACATTAAAGAAACAACCCAATAAAATAATAGCGGTATACCGTAGTGATGATTTCTTATATAGGGTATTATTTACGCAGAAGTGTTGTAAAATTACTGTTCACCACTGCGTTGGCATTTTTAATAGATGTAGTCATCGAATCAGCTAAAATTGTGAGTAATTGGTTCAGTTTCATATTGTTGATGACTGCAAATGATTTCTCTTGTTGATCAATAAATTCACGGATGGTATATTTTATTGCTCCATTTTTCAATTTGCTACATAGATCATTTAGAACATCTAGTTTGATTTGGGCCAATATGCCATTGTTGATAACTGAAGTGGCGATTGTTTGAAACAGTTGAGATAGCAATTGAGATTGTGAGTCTGTTTGTTGGGAAGAATCATAGTCGCATAGGGTCCAAATCGTGTAAGGTCTGTAGGAAATATCATATGCAAATGTACTGGATGAACGACATAAAGTATATGTGGATAAACAATGAAATTTTGATCTGAGTTGTCTAAGTTGATAGAAGTAATTTCCTACATCAATACTGGTTGTTGAGTCATCCTTCGCTAACACTTTTCCCAATCTTAATGATTCCATATTGAGATAGATTTTTGTATCGTGTGTTGCAGTGAAATTACTGGTGGTTGGTCCTAGTTCCACAATATTCTTTGTTATTGAGTTTTTGTCTATGCGTATACTTGAGGTCACCAACAGATTACTGACCGTTGTGCCAATTTTTAGTTTGGTTGCTCCGTCTTCGTGAGTGGTAATAATATTAATCCATCCGTAATTTGGTTGTTTTTTGGGAAAAGAGGATGTATTCATTGCAGTTCCAATTCTGCGCTCATGGTGTGCATCAACGGTCTTCGATCTTCCATATGATTCTATGCAATTCAAGAGTAATGCTGATGTCTTATTCACTAGGATTGCCCCAGCAAAAATTTGCGAGGTGACATACCTAAGCTGAGGAAAGAAAGTCCAATCCTGGTTTATTAACTCTGTAACTTCCATTGTAAGCTCCACGTATTTTTGATCAAATAAGTGGTTATAGAGTGGACTTGTATTTATAATATGATCCAGAAGGCTGTCAACGCTTGAGGATGAAGAGTTTTGTATGACTGTTGTATCGGCTGCTGGAAGGGTCCAAGAACCAGAAGGTTGATCGGTTAGCACATCACTTATGCTGTCTGACGATTTTAGAAAATGATAAGTTTTACCACTTCCACCCACTATGGATATTGGTTCCAAATTTCCAATTCTTGCCAACATTATAGAATTCTCTTTTTCACGAGTTGACCCTAAAGATGTACCAGATGCCAACAATATAGCAGTGTTTTTATCAAGAGCTTTTGGAGATCGAGATGAATCAATTTCATCTAAATTTAGATTCAGGCTTTGTAACTTTCGATGTTTCAATGATATGGTTGTAGAATTATCGTTGTTATTATCTTCGAGGCTTCGTCGCTTTGTTTTTTTTGAAATGGCTTTGCAGTGGCCGTTATGCTTTTTTTTAAGATGGGCGCTAAATGTGGTAGGAGTACTGAGCTTGCTTGAGCATTCAGGACAATTAAATTTGCCATCAACCTTGCTAACTTCCATAATGGTGTCTATTTGTTCTTTAAAAAAAATGTCATGTTTTATTTAAATGTCCAGTTCTTACCATTACCAATAAAGACTTTTGTTTTATCCACATGAGTGCGGTAATTATGATTGTTTAACTCTGAATGAGTCTTAAAGTCAACATTGCAATCTTTGCAACGCAAAGCATTAACATCTAAATTCATAGAGAAAAAATGTTATGAGAAAAAAAAAATGTTATGAGATAATGTTATGAGATAATATGTTGTGACTTTTTTTTTCATAACATTTTTTTTTTCTCATAACATTTTCTCATAACATTTTCTCATAACATTTTTTTTTTCTCATAACATTTTTTTTTCCTCATAACATTTTTTTTTTCTTATAACATTTTTTTTTTCTCATAACATTATCTCTCATAACATTATCTCATAATCCTGTAATTTTTAAAAGCGAACTCTTCTGACGTGAAAACGAACTTTGGGTGCCACCAAAGCGAATTTGGGTGATTTACAAAAAACGAACTTTGACCAATCAAGAAGCGAACTTTGGGCTGCGACAAAAGCGAATTTATGAAATTGGAAAACGAACTTTGGGGGTGGAGCCGCTGTAAGTTTTCCAAAAGAGTATTAAGGGCATTGTTCCCCAGAATTTCAACGGCCTGATTTTTTACAAACAAATTCTGGGGAACAATGCGTTTAATAGTCTTTAAGAAAAATTAACTGCATTAAATGAATGAATACACTTTTTTTTTTATAAAAAAAATGGTTAGAACTAACTAACCTTTTTGATTTGAATGATACCATAGAGTACTTTTATTTAAAATGGTCTCAACATTTACGCCTACTGTATAAAGTATGATCTGTCATTTTAAGAAGAAGTAGGCTAATCCGCAAAGACATACACCCAAATCATATCAACCAGATTATACAAGATTAAAGAGAAACTACTCATGAAATCCATTGTAAACCATAAGCAATTTGGTTAGATGCGTGTTTGCCTTTGACCTCACACCAAAAAAAGTCCGACTAGTTATAAATACGATAGGAGGTACAGCATGTGTGTGTGTGTGGCTTGTCTACCCCTTCTTCACTTTAATTATTTTTTTTTGAAAACATGTCTGAAACCGAGAAAATGAAGACAGCCGTGAATAGACTTTTTGTTGAGTCTGGTGAAAAGGAAAGGTAAAACGTTACCAGACCTCTCATTGCAGAAGAAGACTCACCCAATGAATAAAGACTTTTACAAGTTTTGCGTTTACGTTTAGCTGATTCAGGCTGGAATGATGGGCTCGATGCCCACTGTCGCGGTAAGTTTTTCTTCTTCTTTCTTTGTGGCGTGGAATATGAGGCTGAAATATTTCAAAAGAAACCATTCGCAATAGAAATCTTGATGATGTTTCAATGGAAGATTTGATCAAGGAAGTACAAGAACACGGTAAATGTAAGTTCTGTTTTTTGTTGTTTTGTAAAAAGAGGAAGAGAATTGAATAAACCAATGGTATCTATTACTAAGTTGTATATATTAAATAATAATAAAAAAAAAAAATTGCTGCACAGCAACTGTAAATGAATCGATCAAAAAGGACTTGTTGGAACAAATCAAGAAGTTTTTAGATGATAATCTTGAATAAAATTCTATTATTGAGCAACAACTTGGTTCACTTCTTCAACAATACCACGAATGATAGGCTTAGGTTCCTTCAAATTCAAACGCATGGCTAAAGCATCTTCACCATCAGCATAATACTTCTTTTCAATATCATGCACGCTATAAAATGAATCGCTAGTCAGTTCAAATTCTTTTTGTTCCTCCTTTTTTTTTTTTTCTTACTCAAACTTCAAGGTGTCTCTGTAGAGACCGATGGCAGCACGGTTGGTTTTACGTACGTGTAAGGATACATAGTGAGCTCCAAAGACTTGAGCCATTTGCATGGTAGCTTGCGTCATTAATTTCTGGGCAAGACCCAAACGTCTATAAGTACGCATCACAGATAAAGATGTGATATGACCATGAGGCACTTCGGTAGGCTCTTCCTCCCTATCATTTACCGTGTAAGTCTCTCTTTTTGAATTTGACAGGGAAAACTTACATTTTAGCTAAAACATAGCCAACCACCTTGCCACTTTCGTCTTCAGCAACAAAGGACAATTGAGGCCAAGATAAAGCGTGATAAAGGTCTAGAAAGATATTTATTTTTTAGAGGCAATGGGCAAGAAATCACTAAGTGAGCAATGCTTACAATACTTCATTTGGTAGTTCTCTGGAAGATCCAGTAAGTTACAATTTTGAATGTAAATCATGTCCTCGACCTATAATAGAATGACACACGCCTTAGTATCCGCAGTGTCAGAAAACGAATTGCATGTGTTGCTTACGGTAGCTTGTCTAACGTTCATCTTTAATTTTGTTTTAGCTTGAAAAATAAGAAAGATAAAAGAGCGTGTGTCTCACTTTCTATATTCCAACCCGCCAAAAAAAGCCACTAACCCCTCCCCTCTCTCGCCAAAGTGAGCGGATAATCTTTATAACACCGCTTTTCTTTCTCGAGCTTCAATAACCAAAAAAAAAAAAATATGGACGCACCCAACATTCAACAGGTGGAAAGGGTAATGATTCTTTTCTTTTCTCTCTTCTTCTTCGTTTATAAACAAGCCCTAATTTTCATTTTGTGACAATTAAAAAAAAAAGCTCATTGAACAACTTTATAGTTCGAACGATCCAGCCCTCGCAAAACTTATTCAAGAACAACTCCAATCCTTACAAAGACAACCTTATGCCTGGGAAATCGCTTCTCAATTATTATCATTACAGGTAAATAATCATATAAGGTTGTTTCAAATATTTTACTAAAGTGGTCATTAGTCTGACCAGTGTCGATTTTTCGGGGCACATACCTTTCAAGTAAAGATATCCCGTGATTGGTAAACACATACATACATAAACCACGAAAGCACAACACCAAATTAAAACTTTGTCTGTAGGGAAACATTACCAGAAGATAGAATCGATTGGCTAAGAGACGAGTTATTGAGCTGGCTAGTTCGATTATGTGGAGGTCCGATCTTTGTCACAACCAAATTATGTTTAGCAGTAAGATATCACACCCCTTTAACGGCTATATATATAAAAAAAAGCACGTATTTATACCGTAGTCTATTAGTTGATCGCTTTTGCATTTAACACCGTGCCCAATCAATGGCCTCATTTCATTACGGCTACAGTGGACGCATTAAAAATTGGATCACACGCTTATGGAATCCCCACAGACACTATCCACTTAACCATCCTCGAGTTTTTTACGCTGGTTCCCGAAGAAGTATCCAACGCTAATTTAATGGGTGGTCGTAAACTACAGCTGATTGGCGAGTTAAAGGATAGTATCCCACTTGTCTTGTCCACCGTTTCCGATTTACTCTTTTCCACTACCACAAATACATCAATCCAACAAAAGGCACTGGAATGTTTACAGAGTTGGATTCAATACGGGTTTGATTTAGAGTAAGCTATACGGCAAAGAAAGAGAGAGAGAGAGAGAGAGAGATTAAATTTTTTTTTCTCTCTTTAGAACAGCGTATCCTTTATTGCAAAAGGTCATGAGTTTATTAGGGGACGAAGTATTATTTGAACCTGCCGTGGAAGTACTTTTAGAATCCATGCAGCAATCTTCTTGGACAAGATACCAAACTTATAGAAATGAATTACTCGCTTGCTTCACAAGTGAAGGCATGCGAGAAAAATTCACGTTATCCATCTCAGGTAAACCAACTTATACTATATCTGTGATATATTTTTTACTTAATCTTCTTTTCGATAAACAGAAGAAGACGAGGAAACAGGAAAGATGTTGGCCAAATTATTCACGACATTTGGTGAAACTTATACCGATTATATCGTCACCCAGTTAGCAGACCCCAACATCAAATGGCTCATGACCATGATTATGCAACTTACCAGCTACGAAGGTTATTTTCCCGTCGATCAAGAAGTGACAGAGATACCTTTGAATTTCTGGTACGTCTTACAAGAGACCTTGTTCGATGAAAATATCCTGCCCTTGTCCACAGAGAAATCCGCTTGGTCTAATGAGTGTGGACAAACCGCTTTAGCCATGTACCGAGAACTTGTACATGTCTTGATTAAAAATGCAAAATATCCCACAGATGATGTCTGGCAATCCTGGAACAAAGGTAAACATTTTGCGTCCGATTTTTCTTTAAATAGCGAGTGTGATAAAATATACTCATAATTTGGAAGGATAGATGTTCGAGACAAATTCAAGATTTGGAGAAGAGATTTAGGTGATACCATGATCAATCCATACTATGTACTTCGCGATGAAATGCTTTCTATTTTACTCGATCATAGTGTCTACATCATTAACCAATGGTCATCTTTACCCTCTGCTTCTCAGGTTTGTTTTCTCGTACTGTCCTAAAAAATCAGAAAAACTAATCGTACGAAGTAGCATTTGGAAGCTACCTTATTTTGTTTAAAAAGTATTTCGGAGGAGATTTCACCTACGGAGGACCAACATATTGCTCGTTTCTTTGGTCAAGAAGTCCTTGGCAGATTACCAAAGGATAGTTCAATCCGGTTACAAAACACGGTCTTGTTATTGATGGGGTCGCTTTCGGAATGGCTAAAGACGCATGCCCAATATCTGGGATCTGTCATGAATTATATTGCACCTTGTTTGAGTAACCCTCAATTGGCCCCCGCCGCAAGCTCCGCCTTTGCAGATATTTGTGATACCTGTCGTGAATCGCTTGTGGATGAACTCGAGAGTTTAATGCATGTCTATGCCGCCATGACAAGCTCACAGATTAAAGCCAATATCATGCAGAAAGTTGTGGAATCTGTAGCCGATGTCATTCAAGTCCTCTCGCCCGAAAGGGCCATGGGCCCCTTGATGGTAAGTTCCGCTTAGAAAAAAAAAATGGATGTGTATATTAACAAAAAAAAAAGTCCTTGACGGGGGATATTTTACAGGGTGTTTCTAAGGCCTTGCTGTCAGTGAAGGAAGATCCTACTGCGGCACGCGAAGCAATTTTAATTCAACTGCAATATTTATCTGCCTGTTGCCGAGGTATTCAATCTCCCAATGATGATTACCAATCCTTGATGGAACGCAACTCAGTCTATGACGCTTATGCCAGTGGACAATTATCTGCCATGTATGCAACCGTGGAAGGATTCAATGAAATCACCTTTGCTATTCGTGCGTCGTGTTTACAGATCGCTTCCATGTGGGGTGCGGATGAACAGGTCATGAAGGCCTTATCGCATTTCTTGGAATTGGGTATGAGATCCACCAGTCCACTTTTGAGCTTGAATTTTGAGGACCTGGTGTCCTTGTTGGAAACAAGTTATGGTATAGCACCATTTTCTTGCTGGTTGGATACCGCTTCTTTCATGATGACCGTGTACGGAGGACAAGCAGATCATGTGGAGACCTTGCGGGATTTGTTGGGGGTCTTGACTACAAAGACATTAGCATTTATTCATGGTGCTCAAGGTAAAAAACAGCTAATATGTGGGGGTGGTTTTTATGTATGTGTTAACATATATTTTTTTAAATTTTTCATGAAAAAAGCGATGGAGCATTATCCAGATGTGGTAGATAGTTATTTTGGTTTATTATCAAGGGTAAAATGGCATTCCGAAGGAGAGAGAAAAAATAATTGCATGAATTGACAAGATTTTATTTTTTTCGTAGGCAGTTCGACGATGCCCTATGGCTTTCTATCAGCTTCCTATAAATATGATTAGCACTATATTTATGTTTGTAATTGCGGGTATGGGATTACAGGAACGATTGGCTTTAAAAGCTGCGCTTAATTTCATGGTAAAAAAGCTTTACAGAATATGTGAAAATGAATGATACTAAAAATGATTTTTAAAGGCTGATTTCGTAAGCCAAGATTACCAAGAAAACACAGATATTGCTAAAATTGTAGACACCATCATGATGAATATGGGAATGCAAATTATGGAACAATTGTTAATGGTATATGTCTTTTTAAAATTATTTTGTGCCATGTTTTTCTGAAAAAAAAACGTATTAGGGAATCGGAGGTCGCGTGCCTAGATCCTTTTCTGGCCCTTTGGTGGATGTCTTGTATAAAATAACCGGAAAATATATTCAACCGAGTAGGCAATGGCTGCATACATTGTTAGCCACCGTAAGTTTCTTTATGCACTTTTTATTTTATTTAACTTTCATTGTAACATTGATTATTACTTTAGGATGGGTTTCCGACCTCTTTAGCTTCGCCCAATGACAAAGAGATCTTTCTTAAAGGCGTGCTTGGGTAACTGCTAAAAAAAAATGACGAAAATTGCAAAAATACTAACAAGCAACTTATAGAACAAGATCTCTGAAAAGGTTTAAAGAAAATGCCAATTCATTCTCGATAAAGTGTCGAGGCTTAGGCAATACTTCCTTTGGCAAAGTTTAATTTTACTGTGCATGTTAATTAAATATTTATGTAAATCGCGCGCCTTCTTCGCTTTCCAATAAACTAAAAGGCTCAGTTTTTTCTCTCAGCCGTTATAAATCGCAAAATTGTAATATATCTTTTTAAATTTTTCTAGGCTTCACAGGATGATCGATTTAATCTATTGCGCTTCACTATTGGTACATGCTAATAAAGAATAACTGATAGACAATGTCCAAAATTAAATTTATTTGTACATAAGCCTGGGACTAATTCTTGGCGGATGTTTCTTTTAAAGGTAAAGTCTCAAACATTATGGGTGATTAATTAATCAATTAAATCATCCTGACATAATCCAACTCTTGTTCAGATTAAATAATCAATGACATAAGCCAGCTCTGATTTATCAGGAGACTATAAATAAAACTCGTTTACACACTTTTCTCTTCCTCTTTTTCTTTTCCTACCAGAAGATGAAATTGAGGAAACGGTTTTCCTTATGCATTTACAGTGTGGTCCCAGCTATTTACGGTCATTTCACGTATTTACAGGAAAATAATGAATATGGTAAAAAGGTTAATTGATACGACTTTTATTTTTCCACGAAGTGCTAGAATATTGCATGGTTTATTTTCTAAAATAAAAAAAGACATGTTGCAATTTTTGCGATATTATGTCGTTGGGTCTACTTTCTTGAAAGTAGGCCCCACAGAAGCCCGCTAATGCTTCAAGATTCAGTAATAGAGGCTCTTCCACCCGTAATTGTTGAAATACAGAATACAGTTGACAAGACTTTCATTCGCCGTATTATGAAATATTGTGGCCATATAATCGATAAGTACAATGTGGAGCCAATTGCTTTGGCCATATGTGTACATGAAGTCAGAAAAACCATCAGCGATCGTTTTCTTGAAACGCCTAAAGCAGATTTTCTAAAGAGATTGCCATCTGAATGGTGGGCTAAAGAACATCTTTTTATGAGCAAAGCAACAATCTCGGATTTCTTAAATACGCCATTATCAGAGATGGTTGCACTTGTATATGTATTGACAGAACAAGAAGGCTCACTGCTTAGTTTGGAGCACAGGGATGACCTAACAGTGCAGATGTTGTATGTCATCTATAAAGTAGCACTTGAACATGAAATACGGGATGAAGAAAGAACAGTCGAAGTATTGTTGAACTTCTGTGAAAATAACCAGGATAGACAAGGTTGAACTCCCCGTGCAAGAAAAGCTCGTTCGCCAAATGCTCGAATGCACGCTTACTCACGCGGTATGTTACCCGGTAACTGTTGACTTGATTCTCGTCATCGTCGTTCAAAAAAGAGTGTTCCAATTTCCAAAAGTGGTATCGACGAGACTCTCTATGATCATCGGCACCAACAACCGTTCGGGTTCTCTCGACATATTCACCCCCGAAAAAAATGGGTAAACTGGTGATGGCAACACCGAATTGACTCTGGAAGTCACTGACAATATAGCTATATTGAAGGCGTTCGGACATGAAGAGTTCATTAATCGAGTGATGACTGTTGGCAACTTCTTCCAAACGACGTGAATCTTCTAAAAGTTTCATAATATGCAGATACAAAAGAATACTAGACGCAATTGAAGAGGACGGAAATGATTCGAAACGAGCACGAATACACGCAAATGATGGCTTTGTGGTGACCTATCAAGGCTATAGCCATATTAGAGCTAGTAAAGGCTTATCCGTGCTGATACCATTTGTAATATAAGCTTAACAATGAAACATGTAAAAGAAAATATACTAAGCAGCTTGCCGGTTCATCCATGCCAGAGCCTCTAGCACTATCGCCAACAGTTCAGGCAAGCAGCAGTAGCAAACCCAGACCTTAGAAAGACAGATACGGAATGGCTAAAAGAATTTGTTGAAGAATACAGGGCAACAAAAAAGAGAATGAACTGGAAAACATGCTTTGAAGAGGGACGCAATGCTGGTTATCTGGGAACATATGCAAATTCACAAAGTCTTAAAAATACATTGTTGCAGCCAATTTAAATTGACTCGGTGTTACACAGGATAGGATATTTCGTTAGTTTTTTTAATAAATAATTTGACAGTTTTATCTTGACTAAAAATCTAGTTTCTTAATAATTTGTAATTGACTCCTTTGTGTTTCCCTCAACTTTCATACTTCTTGTTTATCTTAAGTCTCTACTTATCATATAACATTTAACTCAAAGTTCATATTTCACACTCGACTTCAATCTCTTTATTATCAAAACCGTATATAAGATATTGTTTATAATAACATAATTACTTTTCTTTTTAATCTTGGCAATCAGTTTATATTTATATTACTAACGCCCTCTTAAAATCATCGCTGATCATCTTCTTATCCTTAAAACTTTATATTATAAAATTTCTTAGGTTGACTACTTCCAGTCTGGTGCTCACTTTTATAACTACTTTATTATTAACATCAGTGTTGATAACCTATATCCACCTTATCCTTTAAGAACTATTACCAGTGTCTTAACAACATTTAAAAAGCTCAATCCAAAACATTAGATATGTTTTATGTCATTTTGTTCCATTCATACCAACATTCTATTCTTCATCCATTTATAATAAAAATAGTAGTTGATAAACATGTACCAGTTTTTTTTTTCTTTCTTTCTTTAAATATATATATATATAGTAAATAAAATATCTGTTGATTTACTGTATACCGTACATATTGAAATTGACTACAAAGTGATATCTTTTATTCTTGTTTGCCTATGGAAGACAGGCCGGCCAAATTGTAAGCAGTCAAAATGCTTCAAATGTGGTAGGACTAAAAATTTTCTTGATTCGCTGGTAAACAATATGAATGCAATAAGAAAATCTTGATTGGTTACATAAGAGTAGTCTTCTTGATAGAAGTTGGAGTTTTAAATGCAAATCACTGTATATTCCACCTGGGCTCGTCCCCATAGCTCAGTGATTATGACCATAGCTTACTAAAACTAGAGATTCGGATTTCAATTTTTTCTCGCCGCAAACATCTGTTTGTTAGTCGATTTCCCTTCCGTCACGCACCTCAGGGTTTTTAATGCCACTGTTTAGTTCGCGGTAGTAGTTGGCAAAACTCCACTTGAAAAGAACGAAATGATTGCTGATAGAATTGAAGAGGCAGCAAAAACAGTTACAGAAAAAAAATGTACGACAAAAAGTTGAATCCAAAATATTGGGGTGAAGAAGCCAACCCTCGTAAAGATATTGTTCTTTTAGGAAATTTCAAATTGTTTTTATTTCCAGGTTCCTTGGAAAAAATGAAGGAGCAATGTGGGTTTACTGATGATGAGACCCCAACAAAAAATGAAAAGGACAGCATACTAGCATTTAAAGTTATTGCTCATTACCTCAAGCTTTTCAAAAATCATGTCACTGAGCATATCGTCACCAAAGAAATAAATGAATACTTTAGTCTTTCTAATAGGTCAAGGCTCTTGACCTTGTTATGCAGCAGTTTATAAAAATTCATAAAGTAAAATTATTACGTCGAATGTCACTGTTTTGCTATTTCTAATTTAATAATATAGACTTATTTTTTGCCTGATTTGCAAGGCGATAGTTTCTACGATATCAGTTTGCCTGAAGAGAGACTCTTAAATTTTTCTAACAATTCCAACTATGTAATGGTGGATAATAACAAAACACTTAGAATGAAGAACAGAGACATGAAAGACATAGTGTTTGATCCAATCGTTAAACGAATTTTTGGTCTTATCGATGATCAAATAAAGCCGGCAGAAAAAGGAGACAAAAATATTGACGCGATTTTGATGGTTGGAGGCTTTTCTCAATCTGAATATCTGCAGCGATGCATCAAAGACCGGTATTAAGGATGTTTGTCATGTCAGCGTCCTTTCGGAGGTGTTACTGCGGTTTCTCAGGGTGTTATGTCTTATGCCTTAAATCCCTGTATGATATCAAAAAGAAGCGCCGAGGAATCTTTTAGTTTAGAAGTGCAAGCTTCTTTTAATGAAAACTTGACGGATTCAAGTAAGAGGGTAGTAGTAAAAGGTCCCAATGGAGTGTGGATTTTTGAAAAAGACCGTTTAAGTTATTTCGTAACGAAGGGTCAATTCTTAAAAGACGAGCAACGGACAGTATATCAAAAAGATGTATATGTTTCATACCCCAATGCTGCAGTGATATGTATCTATAATTGCTGCATACAAATCCTCACAACACTGGTTAATTTTTATACAACCAAGCGATCTTCTCTTGTGACTCTAAAGATGCTAATAATAGGTACCTAACTAAAAGCCATATTCTTTTATACTCGGCCCTGGCCAGTCCAGGTATGGGGAGAGCGCCAAATCATCCAATCAACGTAACCCCAGCAGCAAAGAAAACAAAAAACCTGTTTAAGAAGAAGCCGCATAAAGCGAACGGAGTTTATGATGACGTTTTTTCAAAATTGCATTTGGGGAGGTGAGGAAAAAAAACGCGTTGTCTTTTTCAAAATGAGAGCATGAATTTTTAATTTTCCTTCTTTATTTACATATCTTGTTAAAGTCACAGCATGCTCATTAATAGACCATGAACAATAACGAACAAGAAAATATACAACAACAAGCAAGGTCACAACAGGCCAGTCTTTCAAGTATTGTGAAAGCGCAAGTGACTTTACTCATCTCTAACCTCGACAATGACAATTTTACCAGAAAAGCCGCAGAGATAAACTCGGTAAGTTTTCATCACAATGTCCCCCAGAGAAAATAGTTCAATAAACGTTTTCCTACATAAAAAAAAAAAAGCTCATAGAAACCCATGGTGAAGCTATTAGACAACACTTGTTTCGTTATCTGCTTTCCGACTTGTCTACACCATCCCACATTCGACTATTAAAAGAACAATTAGCCAACCCTCAAGCATGGGTTAGTTTTGGTAAAGCCTTAGGAGGATGGAACCCATCCATGTCATTAAACGACTTGTTTGAGAAACTTGGCTTTGACCAGTTTCAAAGACTCTTGTTTTCCATTCCTCTATTCTCCGGTCCACACCATGACTTGAGCCAACAAGGTAAGATAGAGAGAGAGAAAAAGGAGGGAGAATAAGGAGAGACAAAGCTAATGGGAAATTAAACAGCAATTACCATTTACGAAAAGAACATACATGGAGCGACTGGTCAAGCCGTACCCGATGTCGTAGCAGTATATCTTTTCCATGCGATTATTACAGCAATTGAAAAGAACACTTACACTTTTGACTTGAATCTATTACAAACATTTGTACATCAACAAGTCGAGCTTTTAAAAAACAAGAGTATGGGACAACACATTCTATTTGCTTTGGACGCTAAAAAAAATGGAAGTCTCGATGCATTAAAGAAAAAGATTATGGACATGTACGCTACTAATCCCACTTGTGCTCCACAAGTAATAGACTTGGTAAAAGAACTTGACGTAAGTGTTTTAATGGAACTTAATTATCAGATTTTGTTTATTCAACTCAAAATAGGCCCTTCCTTCTTTATTAGACGCTTTACCTCCGTTTTTAGCTCTCGATTTGGCTTCATGTGCAGCCCAGCAAAATTTGTTGCACTTAGAACCTTGGCTTTACCGAAAGATTCAATCCGACAACTTTATTTCACCTTGCCTCGATTACGTGGCTCAAAAGAATGTCTCCAAGGACCCATCTGTACTTGAAACCATCACCATCTTTCTCAAAGTACTTTCTTCTCGACCTTTACCACCCACCTATGCCGAAATGCTGAGTCGCCTTCAATCACAGTGTCATTCCACCTATCCTAATCTATTTGTACCAGATGCAAGCACAGAAGTCTCTTTTTCACAGGACGTAGAAAAGGAGGCCAATGTTTACTACGAGCGAATCTACAATGGTGAGCTTTCGATGGATGCTATGATTAATCTCTTGAAAGAAAAGAGCCAATCAGAGAACCCACGAGATCGTCAAGTCTTTGCCTGCATGATTCATAACCTGTTTGACGAATACTCGTTTTTTCCTAAATATCCAGACAAGGAATTGACCATGACAAGTGTTCTCTTTGGCTCGTTGATTCAACATGGACTTGTGACTGATGCATCGCTCAGCACAGCCTTGGGTTATGTCTCGGATGCCTTGAGAAATCCTGTGGGGTCCAAAATGTTTAATTTTGGTATTGGTGCACTTTTACAATTTAAATCCAGATTGCATGAATGGCCTCAATACTGCCAGCACTTGCAACAAATACCGCACCTGGTTCAGGCACGACCTGATCTACTCCTGCCGATGATGGATAACGCCTCCGATGCATCAACAACAACGCCAGCAGCGCCATCTTTCAGTTGTGTGCATGTTCCCAAAGTTAAAACAGAGATTGCGTATCATGAGCCTACTGATGCGGTACAAGACAAGATTTTATTTATCATAAATAATGTGGCCGAAAATAACATGACCAGCAAAGTCACTGAACTATCCAAAATCCTTGATCCAGCATTATTTCAATGGTTCAGTCATTACTTGATTGTGAAGCGTATTTCGCTAGAGCCAAACAATCATGAACTCTATGTGCATTTATTAGACGCAATGCAGAATAAAGTTCTGGTGTCGCATGTGCTTGCTGAAACTTTTTCCAATATCTTGATCCTTCTAAACTCGGAAAAGACGATTTCGAATTCATCAGAACGGTCACTTCTAAAGAATTTAGGGTCCTGGTTGGGTCGTTTGACGCTAGCAAAGAACAAACCCATCTTGCATAAATCCATTGCATTCCGGGTAAGCTTAAACTGTATATGTATTTTTATAACTATAATTCATTTCTTTCTTTTTGTTGTTTAGGATTTATTGTTGGAAGCATATGATACACAACGGTTGATTGTTGCAATCCCATTTACATGTAAAGTATTAGAGCAATGTGCTGATAGTAGAGTATTTAGACCTCCCAATCCATGGCTGATGTCCATCCTGAAACTTCTTGTGGAGCTATACGAATCTGCCGATCTCAAACTCAACCTCAAATTCGAAATTGAAGTCTTATGTAAAACTTTACATATTGAATTGAAGGATATCCAACCTACTAGTGCCTTGAAAAATCGAAAACCACAAGAACAACCCATGACATTTAATAGATACCCGGCCGCACCAGCATTACCACCACTTCATCCCGAACTTGGTACCATCATGACTGAAATCCCCATTCCTAATTTAGCACCTTATATCGCCTTCAACCCACAAATTTCTTTATACTCTACACAACCTGCAGCGAAACGTCTCGTATTGCAAGCTTTCACGGAATCGATCCGAGAAATTATCGGGCCTGTAGTTGAGCGCGCTGTAGCTATTGCTGTGGTGTCTACACGTGATTTGGTATCGAAGGATTTTGTGATGGAAATGGATGAAACCAAAATGCGAAAAGCAGCTCATATGATGTCACAGAATCTGGCTGCTAGTTTGGCTATGGTGACAAGTAAAGAACCTTTACGTCTAAGTATTGTGGCGAACTTAAGGACCATCTTTCTCGCACATGGATTGAACGATGTAAGTTTCTTTATTATGGATTTTAGATAAAGTAAAGAAGAAAAAAACTGAAATACATGTATACATTAATATTAGAGTTCGGCAGAGCAAGCGATTATTTTAACCGTGGCGGACAATTTGGATCTGATGTGTGCAGTGATTGAAAAAGCTGCGATGGGAAAAGTCACCTTAGAGATTGATCAAGCACTTTCAACGGCATTTGCTGTCCGTAAGAAGCATCGAGAACAACGACCCCATCAACCATTTGTGGATGTGGATACATATCAAAAATCCGGATTTCCTTCGACTTTACCACCTCATCTTTGTCCTCAACCCACTGGTGTTTCACCCACACAGCTAAGTGTGTATGAAGACTTTATGCGTATACCAAGATCTACGCCTATTCCTCAAGATAATAAACCTGCCAGCGCCCATGCCATTTTGGAACGATTTGCACAATGTATCAGTGAGCTTGAAAAGGCTGTTGCTGCCAATCAAATCTGGGATTTTCATGCTTTACCTCCACAATCACCTATTCGAGAGCTCGTACGACAGATTACGATGTTGGCAGTGACAAGTTTTGATAAATGTGAAGCAGCCAAGGCGTTTGCACAAAAGGTTGTTCAGTTGTTGTACAAGACAGAGCAACCTTTATTGATTGAGGTGTATGTGGTACTATTGGAAAATCTGTGTGAAGTGTCAGCGAGTGTAGGCTCACTTGTGACATCCTGGTTAACGCATGCGGATGATGAACGAAAATACAATGTGCCTGTTACTGTAGCATTAATCAAGGCAGGGTTAATTGATCTACCTGAACAAGATCGCGAACTTTCAATGTTGATTGAAAGTGGACGAGCCAGTGCGATTGATTTTACATTGAAATTGATCCGGGCCTGTTTACTGGATGAAACGCCACCTTTAGCCACACGACAAGAATTCAAGGCCTCAATGGAATGTTTGAGTCATTTACGTCAAGAACCATCGATTAATTTACTTTTAGAAGAAATTCGCAAGAGACAACCGGAAGATGCTGGATTACGTGAGCAACTCGGATTCTTTTTCGGTGAATGGGTTCGTTTATATAGTCATCCTGGTACGACTGAAAAGACGATGCTTGCATTTGCTACACAGTTATCACAACAGAGTATCTTTTGTCAGGAAGAAATGTCCTCATTATTTTACCGAGTTTGTATTGAGGTCTCGGTAGAACATGCGATCAAGTATAAAATGGTACCTGGCGCGCAATCCACTGCATATCAACCAATGGACGCATTTTCCAAATTACTGGTGACTTTACTTCAAGTGCCTGAAGCTGAGCCCATGACGACATTCACACGCGCATTGTCTGTGATTGTCTTAGTGATCTCACACCATCATCAAGTCCGTGGACAACATTTCGATCAACGACCGTTCCTGAGATTGTTTACGAGTCTGTTAACGGATCTTCACTTACAGGAGGCTAATGTGCAGTACCTGGCACTATTGACAGGACTTAGTAACACGTTATTTACGTTACAACCCAGCCATTTCCCTGGATTAACTTTTGCCTGGCTCCAATTGATCTCACATCGTTTATTTATGCCACAATTGTTATTGGCGGAGAATCAAGTCGGATGGTCTGCATTTCAGAGGTTACTAGTATGTCTGTTCCAGTTCTTGGCACCTTATCTACGACATGTGGAATTGAGTGATACAATGCGTATGCTGTATCGCGGTACACTACGTGTATTACTGGTACTGTTGCATGATTTCCCTGAATTCCTATGCGATTATCATTATAGTTTTTGTGATGTGATCCCCTCGACGTGTATCCAATTACGTAATTTGATTTTGAGCGCGTTTCCTCGTAGTATGCGATTACCGGACCCCTTTACACCTAATTTGAAGATTGATTTATTACCCGAGATCCAACAATCGCCTCGTATTTTGTCTGATTTTATGGCGGCGTTGGATGAATCTTTGCAATCGGAATTGGATGTTTACTTGGAGACGAACAAGCTTCCCACGACGGCGTTTTTAGAGGATTTGAAGGGTATGCTGAAATTAAAAGAGGGAGGGTATAATGTTGAATTGTTGAATGCGGTAATATTTTATACGGGCACAACAGCTATTTCAAAGGCAATACCTGTTCAACAAGGACCGACGATGACGATTTATCAGTACTTGTTATCGGAATGCGATTCAGAGGGACGATATCTGTTTTTGAGTGCCATTGCGAATCAATTACGATATCCTAATAGCCATACGCATTATTTCAGTTGCGTTCTTTTGTACTTGTTTGGAGAGATTCAGAAAGAAATTGTGAAAGAACAGATCACACGTGTGTTGCTAGAACGTTTGATTGTGAATCGACCTCATCCTTGGGGGCTTTTGATCACCTTTATTGAATTGATCAAGAATCCACGGTATAGCTTTTGGACGCATTCTTTTACGCGATGTGCAACGGATATTGAAAGATTGTTTGAAAGTGTTGCTAGGTAAGTCAATAATAGGTGTTTTTTTTTATGAATGGTTTCTAATATTTTTTTAATAGATCAATTAATCAAGGTTAAAAACCAAAATACCCCCTCCCCCTCCACCCTACCTTTTTTGTATAATACATTATAATTTAATAAAGTGAAAAGATTGTAAACATTAAATGGAAACAAGTAGCGAACTTTGATTATTATTAATTTATATAAAAGCAAAGGGAGGGGGGGGGGGGGAATAGTAGTTAGGGATTATTAAATTTACTGGTCATGTTTATTTGGTTCTAGAGTTTATATTATTAGATCAGGAAGAGATTTGTAGAAAAAAGTCAAAGTTTACCTTTGCCCTTTGTTGAAAGTTTACGTATTTTTGCTGACTCAATCAACAAATCAAACTCGGACTTGTACTTTTCTCTATGTTCGTTAGGATCTGTAGCTTTCCTTTTATTTTTATCGCAAGCCTGTGCGTTTTCTATGGCTATAAGTCTTTGAACCAACATGGGAGCGCTGACAGGTCTATCTGAATCATAATTGGCATTATACAAGGTGATATATTCTTTGTGTCGCCAGACCTTCTGTGCCTTATCCCCGTAATCAGGTAAATTTAAGTCTTTTAAAATTGTCCTTAATTCCTTGTCTGAAAGCATGGCATAGACCAATTTGTTTGGCTTTTTACCCAAATTAACTGGTTTTTGTCTATCATGTTTGTTCATTGTCCTGTAATACGTTTTTTTATAATTTCTTATCTGGAACTTACAATTTGAGTGCTGCGGGGATTTGCATCTTGGGCGCTTCCATTGTGTGTGTTATGTTCATGCTACTGATACTGCTGTGTATCGGTGAGGATGGGGGAATACGACTATCTCCATTTGCACAACGATCCATATGAATATTTAAAACACGGTATTTCATTTTTTGACAGCAAATGGGACATTCCACAATCGACAGGTCTATTGTTCTATTAGACTTTTTCTTCTTCTCTTGCTTTATGCAAAGATAAATAGAGTCTTACCCGTCAACACTTCTTCTTTTTTGTTGCTACTGGAGGAGGAGGATTCTTGAGAATCCAGGTCGATCAATTCAATGTCATGTTCAATGGGAGTTTCTACAAAATGGGGCGATAATGTATCTGTTTTAGTTTGTGAGCTGAGGCGAGTGGATCGTCTTGTTGTAGGTATACGCGAGGAGGTGGGACGTTTTAAGGTGGGGAGTGGTTTAAAATCGTTAGAAAGGTCGCCGTCGTCATAGTTGTTCTCGTTATCGATTATTTGGACATTCGTCGGTTGAACGGTATTTGGCTGAACGATATTGGGATGTGGAGGTGCGCAGGTGGTTACTGTATGAATACTTTTGTCTGCATTTAATAAGAAGAGGCTAAAATTGAAACGTTAGTTTTGGTAAAGGGGAGTGGAAAAGTTTCTTTTCTTTTTTTACCGGGAAGCCTTCCATGTAGTCACGGCGTTATCCAAGTCATAATTATGAATGAGGTTTTGCTCATGGGCGATGGTGCGACATCGGGGACAGTTTTGTTCCGTGTTTAAACTACGGCGAATGCAAAGGGCACAGAATGAGTGAGAGCAAGTGGTGAGAATCATGGTGGTATCAAAAAACTCTTTACAAATATGACAACGAAAATGTTCGTCCAGTTCTTGAAAGGATCTACTTTGGAAATCAGAAGGATCGTCTATTGTGTCCTCCATATTTAAAGATGACATTTTTGGTGAGGGTAGAAAAAGTTGAAGAGAAGAAAAAAAACACGCGACCTTAAAACGGACTGCGATTTTATTTTTCTTTGTTTGTCGCGTGTTTTTGACGCAGTAAAAAAAAAAAAAAAAAAAATGAGAAAAAGGCTGGATTCCGTGTTTGTTTGGGTAGTACTGGTTTAGAGTTAATTTAGAAACATGCGATGATAATTAACAAATCTGGGTGCTTGTACTAAATCATTATCATTGAAGTTCGTTTTTGCTTTGAATAAATGATTGCCCCAGGTTGTACCTTTTTTTTTTTTTTTACGTGAACAACCATTATCCAATCATATAGTTTTTTTTTAAAATAGCCTTCTTTTTTCGACACTTTAATGATTTCGCAAGCTTCATGGTTGTACAGACTTTCATTTTGTTGGATTGGCTTGTGTTGCCCTGTGTTGGTATTCCGCGAGAGTGACATTAAACCAAAAAAAAAAAAAAAAAAAAATGTAATCTCTTTCTTTTGTTTTTCCTATACAATTATTTAAAATGGGCTGTTGTGCTTCCGTAGAAGAAAGTGATAGCGTTGGAAAATTACGTAATGAGGAAATCGATGGCCAACTTCGTATGGAAAAATTAAGCGGTCGTAATGAAGTCAAACTTTTATTATTGGGTAACAAGAAAAAAAAAAATTAATATCAAAAAGAAATCATAGAAAAACTAAACAGTGAAAGAATAGGAACGGGAGAAAGTGGAAAGTCAACGTTGTTGAAGCAGATGAAGCTCATTTACGATGGAGGGTTCACGCCAGAGGAACGAGAAGCATACAAAGAAGTTATTTTTAGCAATTCAATTCAGTCCATTCATGTCTTATTGGAAGCGATGGAGAATCTCGGTATTTCCTTAGGCGACAGTGGTAACCAAGGTTACCATGACTTTATTATGGATCAACATCAACAAATGGATCATTTTAGTATGCCAGCTGAAGTGACAAGAGCTATTAAGGCATTATGGTTAGATTCGGGCGTAAAAGAGACATACAGTAGAAACAACGAGTTTCAATTAAATGACTCTGCTTCATAGTAAGTGACGAAAAAAAAATATTAAAAAGACACCTTGATTTTGATTACTGCTTTTAGTTACTTTGATTCGATTGATCGTATAGGTGCCCCAAATTTTTTGCCTACCGATCAAGATGTATTACGTTCACGTGTCAAGACAACGGGTATTGCTGAAAGCAAGTTTAGTTTTGGCACGTTGACATATAGAATCTTTGATGTGGGAGGTCAACGATCTGAAAGAAAAAAGTGGATCCATTGCTTTGAAGACGTCACTGCCATCATCTTTTTGGTGGCCATTTCCGAATACGATCAAGTCTTGATTGAAGATGAGTCGGTCAACAGAATGCAAGAAGCCTTAACCTTATTCGACTCTATTTGTAATTCTAGATGGTTCGAGAGAACATCCACCATTCTCTTCTTGAACAAGATTGATTTATTCCAACAGAAACTCCCATCCAGTCCCTTGGAGGATTATTTCCCGGATTACAAAGGCGGTGATTCTTATGAAGCTGCTAGCCAATATATCACACAAAGATTTGTTTCTTTAAATTCGTCTGTTGAAAAACAGGTCTATACTCATTTGACTTGTGCGACTGACACTGAACAAGTGAGATTCGTCATGACTGCTGTCAATGATATTATTCTTCAGTCCAACTTGCGAGATGTTGGCTTAATTTAATATACCTCGTCCTTCTTTTTTTTTTGTATTCCATTTCTTTATTAACTTTATCACACTCCTCCTTTTATACACTATATATTTATATGCCCACTTTATTCTTCTTTTATACATTTTCACACCCCACCATTTTAGCGGCCAATCAAAAAAAAAAATATTTAATTTGGCAATAAAAAAACGCTAATCCTGTTTGCTCATTTTTGCCACCAAAAGATTAAGTGAACAGTGATTATTTTACGCTTTTTTGATTTCCTGTGTTCTTTTGAATACAAGGCTGTTTTAATATCAAGTGATAACTCCTGAACGGGAAATTCGGTACAAGAAGAGATATATAAAAAAAATCAGGTACAAGAAATAATTGTTTAACAATGCATCTACATACAAAAAGGTAGCACATGTTCATGTGACTGGAAAGTGTTTATTAATTGAAACTTTTTTTTTTCGATCATTTTTGTATTCACTTTACTCTTTTTCTTTATTTTAATACGAAAATCATATTAAAAAAATGCGTACGGTTATTTTATTTTGCTTGGCCTTCATCTTTGCAACAGCTGTAATTGCTGCCGAAGGTAGAAACAAGCCATATTGTTCGAACTCAAAAGAAGACTAACCTTTTTACTTATAGAGGGATTTACAACTTATATTCTCGGAATTTCTGAACCTGTAACCAAGGACAAAATTAAGCAAGCCAAGGCGGATATCAAAAAGGCTGGTGGTGAAGTCACCAACGAAATCACTTTAGGTATGCATGCTCTCATCGTATCTCTTCCTTCCGATCGTGTACAAGCTCTTGATAACAAGGACTACATTGGCTTCATGGAAAAAGATCAAATCGGTAAGTGGTTTACTTTATAAATTGTGAAATTTCTGACAAATTGTGGTTGTTTTTCTAGTTCATGCGCTCGAACAGTAAAAGAGTATTTATCACTACACTCTTACCCATAACGACCTTGTTTTTGTATACATGAACACAAAAATAAAACTTTCTCGTTTTTTGTTTACATCTTGTGTAATTAAAACGCATGATTAATATAACAGTTAGCAAGAGAGCATATGCAGTTACCATAGATAGAGAGACGATAGTGCAAATAAATAAATCTCTCTTCACTGAGACTAAAAAAAACATGGCACACAAGAATCTTTTTATTGTGGAACCGGAACCCACGTTTAAGGAACCAACCATAAGACAAGGCGTGTATTCCATTCTGTAATCATGCTCACTCAGCATGTCACTTCAGTGTCCTCCTTTTGGATTGGTTTATACAGTGCGGCTGGTAATCAGGCATTTTGTTCAAGCGTAGTCATGAGTGTGTAAAATCAGTACTCAGGTACTGATTTCATTTAAACTTAGTCGTTACTGTGTGAATAAGTGCTCAGGCACTTGTTTTATTCAAGACTGGTCATTATTGTGTGAAATCAGTGCTTTTTGAGACAGTGCTTTTTCTTCGACGTGATATTCTTATTTATTTTGCTGCGATTATAAAAAAATTGTCTTACATTACAAATATTTGGAGCTCGCGAGTTAATAAACGGTCGCAATTAAAGGCTGACCCAGAGATATGATGGTAAAAAGAAAACATTTGTTTGGTTGATAAAGGAAATAAAATTTTAGCGTCGGGGTAAGTGAATTCTTTGTTTTATTCTAATGTGCAGTGGAGACAAGAAGCATCGGCATATGACGTGAACGATTATTTGAATGATTGGGTTGTATGGAGGTGTAGAAATGAAAATGGATAAATTGATGCTATTTTACTAATGGGGGTAAATGAGACATTGTGGTTTGTCCTTCAGTCAAAGGCTCAATGGAATAAAGTGACCTTGTTATTTTTATTAAAGATATCTTTCAAAGACTTTAGAATGGCATACTATAAAGACTCGACTGCTGGTAAACTAGGTGCATAGACAAAGTTGAAGTTTTATTTGAGATATGAAAAAAGCGAGTGGTGTATATGAGAAGAAAAAAAGCGTGCTCGTTTCTTTGAATTTTTTAATGGGCAAGAGCTGTGGGAGCACTAACTTGGATTTCGCCATAAGGACGATCTTGCTTTACCTTAACCTTGTTCTTTGTAGACAACAATAAAATATCATAGAATAATTTAGCTGCTTCAGCCTTTCCACATGAACGAGGTGCCATTTCTCCAAACTTGACAGTGGGTTGAGTAGTCAACTTGTTTTCAAGAGTGACAAGAGTTTGATTAGTATGAGCGCTCAACAAGTTGACACTTTGAGACATGGTTAAATCATAATCATCAGTGATATTCATACGGGCCTTTTTAAAGAAAATAGGATTAGTGTCTCGAGAAAAACATATATCATGGACTTACAGTATATTGGGCAGCAGCAGCAGCATCAAAGACAGCGTCATCTCCAAAATCTCCTCCATCATCATCAAAGTGGAAGGCTGAAGTAGGGGCAGCAGCAGGAGTGGTGGTAGTAGCAAAGGGATCATCGAAACGAGCTTGCTTTTGTGCTTCACTCATAATGGCAGGTGCACGACGCTTGTTGCTCATACGAGTGAACATGGACTCCAAGTCAGAACCAAGTGATTCACCAGAAGGTTGGACCAAGTTAATAACGTTCTTACTTTTGGTAACGGGTTCAGTGTTTGTTTCCTGTAGTACATACTTAGTCTATCTGATTATATAAATGAATAAAAAGAGATCCTACCCTGGTATTAACAAGAGGAGAAGCATCATTCACGTATCTACGAAGATCTTCTTGAGGAATTTCCGTGATTTGATCCACAACCAATCTCTTACGTCTACGAACAGCAGGCTCGGCCATGGCACTATCCAAATCAAACATATTTTCGTCCTCGACAATACCAATATCCTTGAGCGTGTCAAGAGAAGCATCACGATTGTCAAACTCGCGATCTCCATTAAACATATTATCATCCATGCCATAATCAATATTATCATTTAAATCGAAATCAAAGTCAACGGCATTGTTGTTAATACTTCTATTATCATGATCATCACCAAGTTTCAAGTTGTTGAGAGGATCTTCCAATTCTTGTAAATTGAAAGCATTGTCGGCCGTAGCACCATTATCACGACGACCAGCTTCAACACCGCCGCCATCGAAACGTCCTCCTTCAAGTGGCCAGTTTCCGAAACCACTTTGCATATCACCTAAAGTAATATCTTGGGACATAGACATGGATCCAATGCTATCAAAGATAGGGTCGATTTCAGTCAAGTTGTTACTATATAAAAATTGAAATTAGATGAATTCTTTGTGTCTGGCCTAGAAAGGAAGGGAGGTTTACTTGGAGTTGAATGGGAGATCGGGAAGCAAGATATCAAATTCAGTTAATTTGTCTTGCAAAGTAATGGTGTTGGCATTAGCAACAGATTGGTGGATATCTGGCATGTTGACATCGCCCTTCTTAAAAGCCTATAATTACAATCAGAAAAAAAAAAAGTAGGGATCACATGAATACGGGTTTGTTGATATTGAACAAGGCCTTAATTGATTATTTACTAATTTAATCTTCACAAGTGCTTCATTACAATCTTCCAAAAGATATCTAGTCTTTCTTGAATAAATACGAACAACACCAAGCAACAACTGTCCTGATAAGCGGAGTGCAATAGGTTCTGATTGTTGGTTTGTAGTGATGGCGTCTAAGAATTTATAAAAAAAGAGTTGTTTGTTTAACAACAGCATGGAGGGGACAAATAATTTTTGTGTATCTTTTACCAATGGTCTTCTCAAGGTTGGTTTGTAAGAATTGAGACTTGGAGATCTTTCTCTCCCAATGAGACGCTAACCAGACACGAGCTAAAGGCCCTTGGCTTGTTCTTAATTGATCAGAAATCATTTTTTTTAAAGAGAAAAAGAAAAAGTGTATTGATTGTGAAAAAAAAAATTGTTACAATTTACACGCAAGTTTATTATAAGCACCGCTTGGAAAAGTGCGCAGACGCGTTAACGCGTGCCCAAACTTTAGACAAAAACTCATTAGGCATCCCAGTGCATTTCTATTCATTTTATACTCAAACCTAGATGTTATTATCATTTCCTTCTTATTACCAGTGACATTTAGGTACAGACCAATATATTCGTGTGCATTTGTTCCTATCGTAATACACTTGTTTCAGAAAAGAAGCCTACATCAGGGTCCAACATATTTTAGAGATTAAGAAAGTAAGATCTATTGTGGTACAGTTTCACAGTGGAATAAACTTTTATTGATGCTATTAATTGACAACATATTTGGCTTAAGATACTTTACGGGTGGTATTGTACATTTCTTTTAAATTGTTATCTCTGTAGATTTACTAATTTACTAATATGCCGGTTTATAAAATGCTAGTGTATTGTAACTAAATTCAATAGTACTTAACTACATAGCTAGAAACTACCCTCCTTTTTTAATTGATGTGTTTGCTTGTCATTATGCACCAGTAATTGATTGTCTCGCAAACTAGCTAAAGTTGATTACGTCTCCTATTTATAATCTGGTTTAAAGTTTTTCTAAACAGGAGCCTGTACCACCAATACTCGCTAATCATGCAATGAATAGATCCCATAATGTCTGGAAAGCGTCATAAACAAATTTTTTGCTGCAATTTAAGACAATACACAATGACCACAGTCATTAACTATTTCGTAATAATTCTGTTCTAAAGTTCCTGAATTATCCTCGCGAGATGGCATATCAATAAAACTCGTCCATTGAAATAACAGTACCTAGTCTATGAAGTTTATGGTTCAAAGCTTCAACATAGATATATAGTTATTAATGGCTGAGATCTAGAATATTATCGGATATAATCATGCTGTAATATTTTCACTACTACAAGCTAATTTTGATCACGACCTGCAATTTCAAATATCTTTGGTCTCTCTTTTTTTAAAAACATAAATTCTTTCACTTTTCATTAAATGTTTGATAAACAAGGTACTTTTCAGCATAAATAGACTATTTGATTTTTTACCCGTACTTTGCTTGCGATCTTTATTCTTGAACACAATTTCGTTTAGTGTATGTGACCACGGTTATTAGTCTTGGCTGTAGCGTCACCTGATTTTGAAATATCAACAGAACTAGGCTGTATAAAAGCAATACTGGAATAACTTGAAAAATAAATGACATCAAAATTCAAAGGATTAGCTTTTTAGACTTAGCGAATAAATACTAGAACCCTAAACAGCAGTAGTAGAGAGATATCACGCTAAAAGACTTATTGTATTCTTTCGATTTAGGTTTAGTGACATTGAGTGTGTACTAAATCCTGTTCTCAACAATGGCTTTTTGAATAGAGATTCCAGTGTTTTAGGCTAGAAGACAAAAAATCAGAGCAGACAAAATAAAGAAAATGTAACTCTACGACAGATTTATTGATTGATAGATCTGATTACAACATTTGATCAAATGCATAATCCTGATTTTTATTACGGCCGACATAAGTTAATTCCACTGCTGAGAAGTGTATCTTAGCACAAAAGAAAGAACACTCAATTTTTTAAATAATGCTGTATTTCAGCCTAAAATAATTCGGTCGTTATTAAATTATTACTACTGTTGATTGTGCGTATAATATTTCTATAGAATAGTTTATTTGATTTATTTAAGAAATTTCGTACGAAATAGTTCAAAGTCAATGCGGTATTGTTCCTTTGTTCGTACAAAATAGAGTTATATACGCATGCAATAAGCCGGCTCTTCTCAATTAAATTCAGATACTAGTGCCATCGCACATTCTCAGTATTCGAATAATAAGTGGGAGAGTTACGATAATGGGATTCTTGTATGTTACAAGAGCAATGTCATAGCTGTCGTGGTACTACTAAGCCTTTTTTTGTCTCTTCCCTTTAGCCACTAGTCAGATCAAAGAAAAAATAAACCCTGTGTTCATTTTGTTATGAGAATGCAGTTAGTGATTTCAATCCTATTTCGTATTAGTATGTGAAAATCAAAATATTTTACGTTGGGAAAAAAAAGTCATAATCGTACGGTGAAATCTCGGATATGTCGGACTTTTGTCTTTGCTCAATAAAATGGTATCCCTCTCTTCGTAATTTTAGCTGATTTGAAACATGGATCATGTAGACAACCAAAAAAAGAATTTTTGTCATATCTTTCTATTTATTGAAAATGAGCTGTTAAGTAAATGTAGATAAGATATTAATGCTAATCAGGAAGGATAAACGATTATCATTTGTTTTTGATGAATTAAATCAAGCACACAACCTCTCAGGTACCCTTAATTTTTTTTTGAGAAACAGAGAGAGATGACGAAAAGGAATCCGGCCCGAAAAACCAACTTGGCTAGCATCGACAATCATTGTGGATGCCAATTGTGGCAATGGGGTTCTCAAGGGTTTCCTCTTTTTTAAAATTAGATATGTACAACTTTGCATCTTTATTGTGCGTGGGAAGTCGTAATTCTGAATCACAAAATGGCGTTTGATTGCAACCAAAGAGCAATTGATAAAATAGGTCAGCGTCGGGCTTTGTATACAACGTTTTTTAAAAAAAGAGAAAATAAAGCTTGAAAGGTGATAAGGTGGAATCATGCATTGATAAGAAAGACAATTTAAAAAAATATAAGGTTGGATACAGACTTAAACCATAAAAGTAAACTTTAAATTTTCTATTCATCCTGAGAAAGATGGCTCAGTGTTTACAAACAGCATATTGTGCAGCGACATTCAATATCTGGTAGACATATGTAACATTTTTACGTCAGATCATACTATTGCAAGTAATCATGGGTACGCACCAGTTACGAAGAACCTTATATGTACCTTTTAAATGGTCCTATGCTATCATGACCCTAATTTTGTGATCTTATTCTTTTTATTTTGTGTGAGAGTATATTTGGATCTTGAAGCTAAACTTTTTATCATTTTTTTTATAAATATAAATATGGACTTGTTTTCTCGGGGTCTATTTATTTTTTCATATTTTTTTTATCTGATAATACAGATATGGATATTGAAAAAAAAAATGAGGTTGAGAGACCACAGTCGATCTCTTCTTTTAAATCGGGAGGAAAGTACGAAATGTCAATACATGAAAGCCCAAGAGGAAAGCTTGAAATGACAGCAGATGAAGGCGATAAATTTTCTGATATCAGTAACCTGGAAAGTCAACCGCAATTGAAAAGAACTTTGAAGGCTCGTCATTTAGCGGTAGGATATATTTCTTTCTTTTAAACAAACATGGAACATCCACTCATCCTACTATTATAGATGATTTCACTGGGCGGTGTTATTGGTCAGGGTCTTTTCCTTTCTGCCGGTTCAAACTTATATGCTGCTGGTAATGCCCTGCTTGATCTGATTCTTATTTTAAAGACGTTTTATCAAAATTATACTAACAGAAATATTGTACAATAGGTCCTGCTGGCGCTTTGATTGCATATGCTATTATTGGTTTTATCGTATTTTGGGTGACGTTCTCATTGGGTGAAATGGCTACGTATATTCCAGTAAGAAGAATAAATCATACATTTTTGTTTGCTTATGTTTAATTTGTTTATATTTGCTCCATCTGTATTTTTAGGTTTCAGGCTCATTTACAGTCTTCTGTAGACGGTTTGTAGATGAATCATTCGGTACAACTATTGGTTATAATTACTGGGCTTGTTGGGCAATTATTGTTGCCAGTGAACTTACAGCTCTTCCACTTGTCATGGAGTTCTGGACGACTGCAGTTCCATCCTGGGCATGTAAAGTATACTCAAAATAGCGGGCTTTATTTTTTATGAAAACTTGTTTCTAACATGATATGAACAAATACTAGGGTCTGGTATTTGGTTAGTCATTATTTTTCTTTTAAACTTGTTTGGTGCTCGTAGTTACGGTGAAGCTGAATACTGGTTCAGTGTGGTACGTATAATGGGGTTATATATTTCTTGCAATCAACGACCTAATAAGGTTTATAGATCAAAATCTTGGCTGTTCTTATTTTCATTATTGTCGGTTGTGTGACATCAGGAGGATTAATTGGGTACATATTAACTAATTTTAAAGTTTAAATGAAAAAAAAAAAAAACATGGATCTAATATTCACCATAGAAATACAACGCCACATGAGGTGTATGGTTTCAAATACTGGAACAATCCTGGAGCATTTTCTAATGGTGCCTTGGGTGTTGTTAACGCCTTTGTGCTGGCATCATTTAGTATGCAAGGAACTGAGATTGTAGGTATCACAGCAGGTGAATGCGAGAACCCAATCAAGGTGAGTAAATATGCTGTTACATCATCTGTGTTCAAGGACTAAAATTGTACGGTGTATCATTAGCAAGTACCTCGCGCGATTAAAAATGTCTTTTGGCGTATCATTATCTTTTATCTTGGTTCAGGTGTGTACTCCCAGAAAGAAAAGAAAAAATACTCAATCTGATCTCGTGTAACTAACATTTGTCTTCAAAATCTTCAGTATTTGTAATGGGAATGATCATCCCATATGATGATCCAAGAAATAATATGGGCTCTGGTTCTGTTACAATCTCTCCTTTTACAATTGTCTTTGAAAAAGCTGGCCTGGAAAGCGTAGCCCATATCATGAATGCCGTTATCCTCATCACCGTAAGTAAAAACCAAATTCAATAACCGGCTGTTGCTTATTTACATGTGTTACATTGCAGGTTCTTTCTTGTGCCAATAGTGGTATGTACGTTAGTTCTCGTATGCTTTGTGCTTTATCTAAAGAAGGACTTGCCCATCATAAACTTTGTATGTTACACTAATCACGATTTGGGACCTCTGCTAACCTTATCTAAATTTCGTAGCTTATATCACCAAAAGAGGTGTTCCTATTTGGTCTTTAGTTTGTACAGCTTTAGTCAGTCTCGTGACATTTGCTACTTCTTTTATTCCTGGTAAAGCTCTTTTTGTAGTGCTCACCAAATTATCTGGTGTTGCAGGTTTTGTAACATGGGGTGGTATTTGCTTAGCCCATTACAGATTCCGCAAAGCTATTGTATATCAAGGCCGTAGTATTAAGGAACTTCCCATTGCTGCTCCGTTCCATCCATTTGGCGATTTATTTGGTATGTTCGCTTGTGTAGTTATTTCTTTAATGGCCGGTTATTCTTACTTTAAACCTGCTGATCCTGTTGGATTGGTTGGTAATTATGCTGGTCTTATTGTTTGTGCCATTCTTTTTATTGTTCTTAAAATCTATACCCGATCCAAGTTAATTCCGATCGATGAAATAGATTTGGACACTGGTCGCGCGGATTCTTCTTTATATGTAAATAATGATGACCAAAGCGAAATCACTGGACCTTGGTATAAGAAGGCATGGAAGCGTTTCGTCATTGTTGTCACATAGTTAAAAATCGTAACATACAAAATTATGTACAAAATGTCACCATAACATTTACTTTGTTACATGCGTAAATATCTTAACCATATTAATTATATTTTATTCCCTCACACATAATAGTATCTAATAAAAGTACAAGCATTACAGGTTGTACAAATATCAGCAATATTTCAATGATGTTTTGTTTTCTCGGTTGAGCGCAATGATTTTAATTTTTTTAAAGTGTAAGGCTTCTTTTGATCAGTTGGTCTGAAATTATACAGCCATGTTTAGGAAGTTTTTTTTTTAACTAAAAATATAGTGCTAATGATTACAGTACATATGACGGTTGATTTTTTTTTTTTGAAGTCGTTCATGATATGTTCAAGTTTTCCAAATATGTCTTGACAGGCAAACAAACCAATGCGTCTGTACTTTTTATTTTTTATCAGCCTCATTTTCGATTGCTCAAGTAGCAGGGTCACTTTGGAAATAATCTTTTAACGAAATTATGTCTAATTTTTTTGTCTGGTACATATTCAGCTTCACCTGACCCGCCTTTAATAACCTCTTTACTATGATTTTCAGTTGAGTTTTTTTTTCAGAGCGTTTTGGCTGATTTGAATCGAATAGGACATAAGACGATAAATCTAGTTGCGATATCCAGCAGGGTTAAGATATATGTGTTACTGGAAATGGTAACCGGGACGGTCCATAAAGATCCAGTTGATAGTGCTATGCTGTTGTTGAACAGTATAATGGTAATGGTCTGATGGATTACGTTTTTTTCTTTGTAGTAATCGATTAAGGGTGTAATCCCACATGATTATTCGTATCATTGATCATTTTTATGGGATAGGAATATTGTGTAAAAGTCAATAAACGTTTAAAGTAAATATCCTTTGATTTTATAAAAGTGTGTTCGCGTGCTTTTTGCATGTTATCATTATGCTTGTATTCAAGGGTTCCTATTTATTAAGCAGTTTGGATTTCATTTGTTCCAACAATCTAAGAATATAATCACAGATGTGGGGAATGGTTTAGAAAGTTTATGACTTATGATGTTTTTTAAGTCAAGGATCCAAACCACATTCGTGTAAGGCAAAGATGAAATACGTTCCATATATCACATCAACAAATGGATATCTACATGTTCATTCTTGCATACGTACTGAAGACTTCTATGATCATTACAACATGTAAATGATTTGAAACCGTGTATAAATTTATGAAATTTGGTTAATCCTGTAGTTGCAGCGACTAGTTTCTTTTTAATTACGCAATAACTACGTTGATTTGGATGTAATGCTTTAGTTGCATAACCAATATATTTGATAACCTCTTTTTTTGTTTTTTGTTTTGTCAGAAGCACCTCTGTAGCATTACGTTTTTTAATTTGTTAAGGCCAATGATGATTTATGTTCGTCATCTTTGTGCATTTTTTGACTTGTGAAGTGCTATACAGATATCAAATATAGATATAAATATGGTTTCATTTAATGAATTAAAGTTGTCATAGCAGAAAGTAAGTATCCATTAATTCATACACTATTTCGTTATACACTTTATCAGTTGTATAGTTTATATCAATATATAAGTGAATGAACCATTTACATCAATAGCTGCTCTATTCTCTTTATGGGTAGCGAATCCATTGAGAGAACTATTAATATTAAGTTTCTCTTATCATTCTTGATTTGAACCCAGAAGATTCTTTTCTCGATCGGTGATATAGCATTATGTATCCAACAGACATTCGCATATCATATTTATGCCAATCATGCAATTTTTAATATTGAGGTATATACTCGTAGTAGGAGAAGCTATACATTAGTATACAAGCGTATGCTGACATGCAACATTGAAGGTTTTAATTTCATAATTTATTTATTTGAACGATTTGCTTATTTATTCTGAAGTGAATCGTACCCAAATACGACAAAATTCCTAATTGAGAAAAAAGCATCATTTAGTACCTTGTCAAGCTTTGGTCCGAATACCATTTATTATTTTGTTTGGCGTTTATTTACAATTGTCCGAATATTTGTCTGAGAAGCCTTTTCATTTGCCTAAGTTAATAAGGCGAATTCTGTGTACATAAAATTTTACGAAGGGCTTATAACGCTAATGGACTACTCCAAATTTAATATTACGCCGTATCTCGCCAAAGTAAATGGCATTTCACAAACTTGAATGTCGATTCTCAACTTAACCAATTTCTTCTTGCTAGTATGTCCGAGCACTACACGCCAACGACGAAGCTTTTAAAGTTCCTTATACTCACACTCAATTTGGGGTGGTGTTGATGGTCGATGTTGTCGGTAAGATGAAATATTGTAAGGAATCACATGATTCTAAAAGAAAATAGGCTTTAGCGTGGTAAGATAATAAAGCAAAATATTATCATTTCTGGTGGTTGATTAGAATTTTAGTTGACAACTTTAGCCCAAGAAAAGGGCGATTCAGCTGCTGAGGCCATTGCAATGGAGATCGGAGCATACATGGGCGAGGTAACACAACATGAATTCGGAAAAATATTTTTTAATCATTTTGACATAGTGTATTCAAATAATCGAGTTTTATGGCGGGGATGTTGTCAAGGTAATGGAAGTGCAAAGTACCCCACAATCATATTTTGTTAAAAAAGAGGTCTGTAAAGTTTTTAGGTGACGCTGTTTTGGTTTGCTTTCAACCTATAAATAACCAGGCTGAAGAAACAATAGAATCAAGCGATTCGTCAAATGAAATCGATGATTCAGAAGCATCAGTTCGACAGAAGAATCTCTTGGTCAGAAGGGGTGTCGAATGTGGATTACAATTGTTAGCACGATTATCTCATTACAGAGTATATTTAACGGCAGAAGAAAGATCCAAACATAGAACGCTTGATGGTAGCAAAAAAAAACCAACAGAGCAGACGATATTCGATTCGATAACTCCAGATAATGATGAAGAGAACGATTCAGAAAAAACAAAATCAACAACGAGATTGGATGCAGTAGATAATTTGATGGCCTCGTTAAAGAAGCATAAACATAAGAAGTTAAGTAAAGAAAAGGATCGAAGGACCAGTAACGCCAGTAATCTATCAACGGGTTCAGCGGACATAGCTAATTCTGTGGATCTAGAATTGCACATGGCATTATCTTGTGGAAATGTTATCAATATAATTGTGGGCGATCTTGATCCAAGCGAGTTAGCTGCACCATCCTTTTATCCTCAAGTTCGTTCAAATACTCCCAATGCTGCAGATACGAAGGCTGTACTGGATGAGTTTTTTCTTGAATATCATGGTAGACTAGAGTACACTATTGGTGGTGAAGTCGTCGATTCTTTAGATGATGCTTTGTCTATAGCGAAAGCAGGTGAAATGAGTATAACTCCTGCTGCTTATGACATAGTTCAGCAGCAAGCGATGAATTTAACTTTTGAAAGGCGGAGAAGGTTTTTTGTTATAAAGAATATAACTGAAGATTTATCCATTCGCAAAACTAGTTACCCTTATCCGTCCTCACTTCGAAAAGGGAACTGGAATACGGGTCCAAATGCAAATTATTTGAAGACGTTACCGGGGCTAACAACACAAGCAGCATCAATGTCGATAGAACCATTAGTTCCTCGAGTTAGGAACACCTATCACCTAAACTATCCCGTCAATTCCAATCGATTCTACTTAAAATACATAAATAGAAGTGCTTTATATAGAATGCAGCATAGTATAGATGACAACCTACCTGCCCAGTTTCGCGAGGTTACAATTATGTTTGTTAGTTTAGGTAAAGCAGATGTTCAGAAAAGAGAGGGATTAGCCAAAGTTCAGAAGGCTGTACTGTTAGCCATTAAGTCATTGGTTAAATATGAAGGAATGCTTCAACAATTTGCAATCGATGATAAAGGTAAAAAATTAGATGTTTTTTGCTATTTTTTTTTTGCACCTTAACATTAAATCATCATAGGTGCCACCTTGCTATCTGTTTTCGGTCTTCCACCCCTATCTCATGAACGTGAAGCTGTATTTGCTGCTAAGTCTGCTTTAGAAATACGGGATCAGTACCGAAAAATTGGATTTAGGGGGTTTGCAATATCTTTATCAACAGGAATGATCTTTACTGCAGTTTTACCCCAAGGTAGTCCGTATCGAAGAGATGCTGGAATTTCAGGAGATACAATTGTGGTAGCTGTAAGAATGTTGAAATTTGATTTCTCTGAACATAATGTTGTTTGTGACCCGGCAACAAAGAAACAAATTGGTGGTCTTTGTGAATTCGAAGATTATGGGGATAATTTTGTTAAAGGAAAAGTTAAGCCTGTAAGAATTTATGGTATTTTGAAATTTGGCCCTCCCGAAAGAGATAATCGAATTTCTCTACTGAGCAATGAAAAAGGAAGTGACTTCATAGGGTACAAATCAGAAATGGAAAGTGCAACTTTATTTATAGATGATTGGAGCAGAAACCCAAATCATCATGTCTTAGTCATTTCAGGTCTATCAGGTGTGGGTAAAAGTTTCTTTTGTAACAAGTTGCATAAAACGGTTTTGTCACATGGTGTATTAAGCTGGTAAAAGAAGGTGGCAATAATATTTTAATTTTAGGCTAATATTTTGTATAATTTAGCTGGTCATCATCTAACGAAGGTATTTATAGAACATCAGCGCTTGGAATGTGTACCACTGACATATCATAATTATTTTAGTGGAAAAAGGCAGCAAGTATTATCTTTTAAGAAATCTGATTCTGGCTTTGTTTGACATCATTGACTCTGATAATGTGCCTATGAAGACCTCAGCAAACCACTCTCGATATTCATATCCAATTGGAGATAATAACTATCAAAGCCAAAGTTTAACAAGGCACACAGAAGAAGACGCGTCAGATTCAATGTGCTCATCGCACTCGCAATCGCACTCATCGGCAAGCTTTTGTGCAAGTAGGGAATGGTTTAAAAGGCTGGCTTCTTATACTTCTCCGACACCTTCTTCTCCAGGTTCTGATTCAACTAATATTGAATTAAGTAATGATTTGATTGGATTAATATCCAGATGTCTAAAAAAATCCGGTGAGGAAAGCGAATACCTTCCGTTATTTAAGGCCATTTTTGTCACTCTAGGAGATATAGAAGAGAATAGATATACCAGACTATTAGATGGAAGAGCAAGAGACATACTTTTAACGGGAGTTATAACAAGAATGGTTTACCATGCCTCAGTTCATGTCGGTTTGGTTTTTAGTTGTGACGATATACAATGTAAGCATCAGACCGTAATTTTTTCTGTACCATAATATTAACATAATTAAAAGGGGGAGATTCATCATCAATAAGAATATTGGAACATATACATGATCATTGTCCGAAGGTTATGCTTATGCTCGCAACAAGGCCGATGAAAGATTATAATGTCACATTTATTGAAGATTTTAAAAAGGATGGATCCTACCAAGAAATTCAGCTAAAAGGTCTGGGAGAAGATGAGATTGGCGAAATTATTCTGCAAAACTTTGATAGAGGAGTAGACAGAATTAGCCCTGAAATAGTTAAAGTCGTTCAGGTATGGTGCGGTACTATTTTTTATTAAGCTACATATACTAACACGTTGTCGGATAGAGACGTACTGGCGGTAATCCTCTGTATGTCAAGTATGTATCGCCCTTGTAAAACAGAACCTACTGTACTTTATTAAAAAAAATATCTATTAGAAACATGGCTATTATCCTTAAGGATTTTAATCATGTTACGGTCGTTGAGGGTGAACTTGTACCAAGCAGTAGTTACTTTGACCTGGAAGATTTGTTAGGTAATTTTGATTATAAGCGTATAATCAAAATGCAGTTTGATAGACTAGAATCCAATTTCCAAGAATTTTTAACTGTAAGTCTGTTATAATATTTGGAGCGAAAAGTTTTTAAATAAGTTAAGGTTGCAAGTTGTCTAGATCAACACTTTACTGTGTTTGAGGTAGGAGCTGTTATAAAGCCGAACAACTTTATATTTAAAAATCATAGCCCTGAGGTGATCCAGAGATACATCCAAAACTTTGATGTCTATCATTTTTTAAAACAACTTGACAACGGAAATCCATTAGAGAACAATGTTGCAGTATACACTTTTACGCATATAACAATTCCACAAAGTATTTACGATATGGTTGCATACGAAACTCGGATATCACTTCACCGGTCTTTGGCAAAATATTATGAAAGCCAACTTAATCGAGATAATTACGTGCAGTTACTTGGAAAAATAACCAGGCACTACTTGAAAACGGATTATACCGGTAAACAACTATATTACCTTGAAGCACTTGCCGATCAAAACATGCGGATGTATCTCTTACCTGAAGCAACTGTGAACCTGCAAAAAATTGTGAAAATTCTTGATGAAAATAACAATTTAATAAGCCAATTTGGATATATCCATCTCAGCGATATATATCGCCGCCTGGGTGTCTGCTTTACTATGAGAACAAAACTTATGGAAGGAGAGTATTACTTGTTTAAATCTTTGGAGACCCTTGGTGAAAGATGGCCGAAGTTTAAACTTGAGTTCAAGTACAAGTTTTGGAAAAACAAGTTCAGCCAATACCGACATCGACGATGGGGATTTTCAAAAAGAATTTTAAAATCCAACAGGTACGAGCATAACTGTCGTGTTGTTGAAATTATGGCACAGCTATCGAATATTTATTTCTACACTGGAAAAGGACAAAACTTTGTGTATGCTTGTCTTTTAGGATTAAATGCTTGTGAAAGAATAGGTGATTTCGGACAAAATTATACACTTTTCTTAGCGAGAAATGCTCTACTTTGTTGGCTGCAGGATGACAAAGAAAACAGTGTTTTTTATATTGCTAAAGCCTTGCATCGAATGAATAACGATAAAACTGATACTGATACTTTAAGGATTTGTTCGTTGCTGTGCTTTGCTGCAGGGAAATTTTCAAACGCAAGAGATTTGTTATACCAAGCAATTGAAGGAACTGTGACTTTGGGTGTTGTTACAGATTGCCAATCATTTTATAGATCCGTAGGTTTAGTGGTGACGATGCGTATTTTTGAGGGGACCTTTGATCGATCGGCAACTGATATGGCACTCTTAAAACAAATGGCTGATACTGCTCATAGTAATGGTGATTATGAGGCTGAAATATGGCTTGGGGTGTACAACATAGGTAATGCAATTATTGTCGACCGTATGAGTGAGTGCGCACCGTACGTTTTTCTTTTGGAAGCTCATGAAAAAGATGCAGCCGTCTACAATTTAATTGCTATTCATGGAACACTATCCTGTTATTACGCACGAAATCATAACTATGATCTCGCTAGACGACATATACAAAAGCTGATTAACATATTGCCTTCCCTAACTATAACACGTACGTCAAAACAACAGTAAATTTGCCTATACTCACAATTATCTAAACATAGCAAATATTTTCCCTGTTTATGGTTTAATTTTTGTTACAATGGGATTATATTGTATGGTTGAAGACGGACAGTTTGATCTTATCTCGACCGGTGATTCTAAAAATTATGAAAAATTTGTATTTGGTTTATCAAGGATAAATCATGCTTTTCAGCAAGTAAAATTCTGGGAGTTCACCCAGCCGTGTCTATATTTAGCTCGTGCCCTACCCTATTTTACAACGCGTCGAACTGTAGAAGGTTATATGGTAATATATATCCTAATGCACATAGTTTCAGACTATACCATACTTACATAATGTTAGGTGCTTCGTCACGGTATATTTGA